CCCTTGTTTGACGAACTTTTTTTTTTTTTTTTGAGCGTTGACCGCTCATGTGCCCGGGTGCTGCCGAGGGATCAGCAGAAAAGAAAAAAGGACCCTGAAGATTTGCGCTCTTCACGAGCGAGCGACTTCGCCTCTGCCGCGCCTCCCTCGCTTAAAGATACAGACTGCAGGCGGCGAAAGTCTGTAGCTAGAGAGAAAGAGAGAGGAGGGGACGAACGCAATGCGCAGTCGACTGTTAGGATGGTGACCGGTCAAGTCGACAACTCATACGATTCGAGTCCCTCTCGAACTTGGACATGGATCTCGTATGGGATGGACGCAACGGCATTTGCGGCTAATCAACCATTGGCCGCACATCTGCGTTAGGGGGAAGATCTCACACTGGAGAGCTTGTTTACAGCGACAACTTTTTGGGTCGACGTCCGTTGATGAATATCTCTTCGATAGAGTGTCGTATCAGAGTTGTTTCTCCCGCGCCTTCGGAGGCAAGCTTGTAGCTCATGAAGAAAGGGGCGAGGATGCTGCCGCCGCCGTCACCACCGTTGCCGGTGCTGCTGCTGCTGCTGGAGCGGACTGCGATAACCAGTCCTTTGTGCTTCGAATCAAGCTGTGGAAGAATGGCTGTCAGAGCGGAATTCAACTCCGACGAAGGCGGGCTGTGGTGCGGCTTGCTGCTCCGCTTGGTGGCGCGATCTTCTCCCCTCACAGCGTGTGAGTGGTTGAGCGGCTGCCAGGGTTTTGCAGCACTCGGCCTCACAGCCTCAGCCCAAGTGACAGTCTATGATTTGTTTGCAATTTTCCGACTGCGCTGCTCCAGGCGAAACGCAGCTCTCGTGCCCGTGCGCGTTGGTTGCGTGTGCGGTTGTGCCTTGAGCTCGAATATAGACTTTGGCTAGCAACTCTCTCTCTCTGCTCGCAGTCGAGAAGGCGTGACATTTTGAGCTCACGAGCTCGCCCAGCTCTAAGTTGCCCACGGCGAGCAGTTGAGCTGGAACAGACGACCCTTGTTTGTCGCCCGCTCAGCCCGTGATTATCGGTTTGGCGCAATCTCGTCATTTGACTCTTGGTCGTCGCTGTCGCCGTCATCGTCCTTGTTCACTCCCACGTCTTCTTCATCTCCCGGTTCTTCGCACGTCCAGAGCTCCGCCAACTCCCTCGTCCTGCGCCTCTCCATCGTCAGCGCGGGGCTGGAAACGCCATCTCCTCACACGTACCAAGACCCTTTCGACCGAAGTGCGTCCGATCGAACCATCGCGTTGCTTCCGTTGCAATTCTCATCCAAAGGCTTCACCCCGACCTCCTCTTCCAAAGGCGACTGACTCCACGTATCTCGTTGCCATATTCTCGCACTCGAAGACCAGTTGCTTCGAGTCTCTCATCTCTTTCGTACGCCAGTCCCGTTTTTATCTGCGAGCAGTCAAGCGGGTCTCTTCCCCTTCAACCAACCCACCACCGTGTTGACTCGACTCATCACACCCGCGTGCTCCGGTCAGCATCCCGCGGCTTTTCGTCTCCAGCCCACCGTTCTGTCGCGCTGCTGCTTCCCGTCTTTGGCCTCCTAGCACTGCGAGTCGTGTTGCGTTCCACACCATCAGCAAGCAAAGCATGTCGATCGTCTCCTCTCGCTAATCACCAGCATCGTCCCAATTTCTCGTCGATAGTTTCACTCCCACCTGTCTCCGGGTCGAGCTGTCTTGCACTCTGCCCGAGCTTATCTAGGTCGCGCAATTCTCTGTTCAAGATCTCCCACGCTCATCTTTGATCACTCGCCTGACATCCATCAGCTGCTTTCCACTGCGAGCTCAGCACTCTTACACCAGCGCTCGATCCCTCGCTGTAATTGACCTCCCGCCTTCGCCGATAAGAGCTGGTTCATTATATATCGACAGACCACATACACACCACGATGGCTGCAACACTAAACGCCCAATCGGCGTTGCCGATGCAGGTGAATCCCATGTCGCGCCAGACATCATCGCCGCTTCCTGCCGATCTCGCATCACTACCCAGCGACTTCCTCGACCACCTCCTCCTCATCACCCAGACGCTCGTCAACTCAAAACCACCGCCCGCCGTCCGTCGTGCCATGTCGCGCGACCCAACACGGGTTGACAAACAATCACAGAGTACGTGCATTCGTCGACCTTGCGGCCTGCAGCCATACCCTCTTAGATCTCACGTGATACTGACGCTCTCTCCATATCTCTTCTTTGCAGACGGCGACACAAGCCGAAAGGACATTGCGGACGATGTCGCCTCCATCGACCTTGACAGCCCAACGCACGAAGTGGAAGGCACCGTCAGCTTGCCCTTGCCCCAATTCAACTCGGAACACAGCGACGAGCGCACCAGAACCATCGAGGAAAACCTCAGCAAGCTTGCAGAGCGCCTTTGGCGAGCCGAAGATCATCTCGAGGTGGTCGCCCGCAGCCAGGAGATCGTACGCACGCCAGGTGCCGAGGAGGAGCCTTCAGCCGCGTCCCACGCTCGTAATCTCTTCTTTGGCAAGCCTTTCCCCTATCCACTCTCGCACGCACAACCGCAGAGCTCAACGTATCCGCTCAGCTACCCGCTCGGCATGGGTCTCAACGGCCCCGTTCTGCTCGGCGGCCAGCATTCCCGCAGCGACGACCCCATCGCCTCGTTCGAACGCTACAACGATGAGAGCGGCCTTTCGGCGCAGGAAGAGTTGCGTCTGCTCAAGGCACAAGTCCAGGATATCGCACGCGTCTGCAAGGCTGTCGCCTTCGGAGATCTCACTCAGCACATCACCGTTCCCGTACAAGGTCACGTCATGGTCGAACTCAAGGATATCATCAATCAGATGGTCGACCGTCTCTCGCATTTCGCCGCCGAGGTCACCCGCGTCTCGCTCGAAGTAGGAACCCAAGGAAAGCTCGGTGGTCAGGCCGAGGTGCACGGCGTAGAAGGTACCTGGAAGGAACTCAAGGACGTCGTCAACCGACTTGCTGCCAATCTTACCAACCAGGTACGAGGTGTTGCTCTCGTCACCAAGGCCGTCGCCCGCGGCGATCTGTCGCAAAAGATCGAAGTCGAAGCCGACGGTGAGATCCTCGAACTCAAGGTCACCATCAACGTCATGGTGGATCAACTCCGCCACTTCTCCACCGAAGTCACCCGTGTCTCGCGCGAGGTCGGCAGCAAGGGTCAGCTCGGCGGTCAGGCCAACGTCCCCGGCGTGCAAGGTGTGTGGAAGGAGCTCACCGACAACGTCAATCGGATGTGTTCCAACCTCACAGGTCAAGTGCGTTCCATCGGTGTTGTCACCACCGCCGTCGCAAAGGGAGACCTCACCAAGACGATCGACATCGACGCAGAAGGAGAGATGGCGCAGCTAAAGGACACCGTCAATTCCATGGTGGGCCAGTTGCGTATCTTCGCCAGCGAAGTCATCCGCATGTCGATGGAAGTAGGAACGTACGGCAAGCTCGGCGGTCAAGCGCACGTGCCCAACGTCGAAGGCACGTGGAAGGATCTCACCGAGAACGTCAACAAGATGGCCGACAACCTCACTTCGCAGGTGCGAGAGATCGCGCGCGTCACTAAGTGCGTAGCTGAAGGTGTGCTTACCGAGTTCATCAACGTCGACGTCAAGGGTGAGATTCTCGACCTCAAGTTGACTGTCAACAACATGGTTCGTCAACTCAAGACCCTCTCGGACGAGATCATCCGTGTCTCCGTCGAGGTAGGCACCGAAGGTCGTCTCGGTGGACAGGCCAAGGTCAACGATGTCAAGGGTCAGTGGCAAGTGCTGACCGAACGAGTCAACGGGATGGCCAGCAACTTGACCACACAGGTGCGCTCCATCGCCACGGTCACTACGGCGGTCGCGCGTGGTGACCTCAGCAAGACCATCAACGTCGAGGTTCGCGGCGAGTTCCTCGACCTCAAGCTCACCGTCAACAACATGGTGGAATCGTTGCGCACCTTCTCGTTCGAGGTGACCCGAGTGGCCAAGGAGGTCGGCACCGAAGGCAAGCTCGGCGGTCGTGCAACAGTGCTCGGCGTCGGTGGCACGTGGAAGGATCTCACCGATTCGGTCAACACGATGGCGGCCAACTTGACGCTCCAGGTGCGAGCCATCGCCCATGCCACCACAGCCGTGGCACGCGGTGACCTCACACAGAAGGTCACCATCCCCGTCTCGGGAGAGATGCTCGACCTTGTCAACACGATCAACAACATGATTGACCAGCTCAGCTTCTTCGCCTCCGAGGTGACGCGTGTCGCTCGCGAGGTAGGTACCGAGGGTAAGCTCGGTGTGCAGGCGCAGAAGAAGGATATCGAAGGCACCTGGGGCGAGATCACCGACAACGTCAACATCATGGCCAACAACCTCACCTCGCAGGTACGCGCCTTTGCCCAGATCACGGCCGCTGCCACCGACGGTGACTTTACACGCTTCGTCACCGTCGAGGCGTCCGGTGAGATGGACTCACTCAAGACCAAGATCAACCAGATGGTGTACAGTTTGCGCGACAGTATCCAGAAGAACACAGCGGCCAGGGAAGCAGCTGAGCTGGCCAACAGGTCCAAGTCCGAATTCTTGGCCAACATGTCGCACGAGATCCGAACGCCCATGAACGGTATCATCGGTATGACGGCGTTGACGCTCGAGACCGAGCTGTCGCGATCGCAGCGTGAAAACCTCGTCACAGTTTCGACGCTGGCGGGCAACCTGCTGGCCATCATCGACGACATCCTCGATATCTCCAAGATCGAGGCGGGTCGCATGAATGTCGAAGAGATCCCCTTCTCGCTGCGAGGCATCGTCTTCAGCGTTCTCAAGACGTTGTCGGTGCGAGCGACGCAAAAGAAGCTCAACCTCATGTACGAGGTGGCTCCGGACTGTCCAGATCCGTTGATCGGAGATGCACTCCGTCTCAAGCAGATCATCACCAACCTGATCGGTAATGCCGTCAAGTTTACCGATGCAGGTGGACGAGTCGCGCTCAAGTGCAAGCTCTCCAAGATGGTGGGTACCGATCAGGCCATGCTCGAGTTTTGCGCGTCAGATTCCGGTATCGGCATCAAGCAGGACAAGCTGGACGTCATCTTTGACACCTTCTGCCAGGCCGACGGCTCGACTACGCGAAAGTACGGAGGTACAGGTCTTGGATTGTCGATTTCAAGACGACTCGTCAACCTCATGGGAGGTGATCTGTGGGTGCGAAGCAACTACGGCAAGGGTTCCGACTTCTTCTTCACCATGGTGGTCAAGCTGGATCAGATCTCGCCGGACCAAGTCAAGGAGAAGATCCGCCCCTACGCTGGCCGCAACATCTTCTACCTGGACACACTACACGACGAGACGGGTGTGCAAGCCATGCTCGAGGACCTTGGTCTGAAACCCTTCACGGTACACAGCGTCGACGAGGCATCCCATCGCAAGCGTGGCATGCCTCGCATCGACGCCATCATTGCCGATTCGCTCGCTGTGGTCGAAGACCTGCGCAATGTCGAACATCTTCGCTACATCCCCATCAACCTCGTCTCTCCCGCTCAACTCACGCTCAACCTCACCTACTGCCTGGATCACGGTATCAGCTCCTACATCAACACGCCCACTTCGGTCGCCGATCTGTACTACGCGCTACTACCATCGCTCGAGTCTTCCGCAGCTACGCCGACGGAAGGATCCAACGAGGTGACGTACGACATCCTGCTTGCCGAAGACAACGTGGTCAACCAGAAGCTCGCCTGCAAGATCCTCACCAACCAAGGACACAAGGTCGACATTGTGGACAACGGACACTTGGCGGTGATGGCGGTCAAGAAGAGAGGGTACGACGTGATCCTCATGGACGTCAGTATGCCTGTCATGGGTGGTATTGAAGCGACCATGGCGATAAGAGAGTTTGAAAAGACGCTGGGCGATGATCAGGTGCCGATCGTTGCGTTGACAGCACACGCCATGTTGGGCGACAAGGAGAAGTGTCTGCAGGCGGGGATGAGCGCATACGTGAGCAAGCCGATCAGGAGGGTGGAGCTGATCAGTACGTTGCATTCACTGCTGAGTCAGAAGAAGAGTGTTGGGGGGAGAGCGTGATGTCGCAGACGGATATATGTATTCTCTCGTTCTGATTGCAAACGTTTTTTTCACAGATGATGAGGAGGAAGAAGTGTTTTTGGATTGAGAGATGCTTTTCGAAACGCAGCAGGGTCGCTTTACGACCAGCTGATCTGCCAGTTGTTCTGGAAATCAGCGTTGAGACCGGTGATGTTCAACAAGGACCTCGACTGGTCCCAGGTGAAGTTTGCCTGCTGTGCGTCGAAGGTGACGCTGTTGGGTTTGTGTTTGACGTCGAGCAGGACGATGTGCGAGAGGTTCTGGTGGGGTGTGTAGTTGCCGTGGAGATGAGCGGTGAGGGTTTGGTTGCTGGCTTTGACGGTTAGAGTCGAGTTGGGGGTGGGAGCGGGGGTGGTACCGTCGTCGAGGTAGAAGGCTTGTTCGGCTTGGCCTTGGGTGTTGAGGTTGATGACGAGGGCGAACTTGCTCTGTGCGGTTTCGTGGACGGTGTATGCGGGGTGGGAGTGGGTGAGAAGTGCGCTGCCGGGTCGGAGATGGACGTTGATCGTGCTGAGTTCTGCCGATACGGTGACGTTTTTGTTGCTCTCCACGTCCAGGCTTTCCCAGGTGAAGACGTTTCGCCACTTTCCGCCAGCTTCCGGGAAGAAGGCTTTGATCTGCGTCACGTTCGGCTCCAGTACAGGACTGACCAGGAGGTTGTCTCCGAACAAAAACTGGTGTGCAAAGTCCTTGGTCGCATCGAACGAGTCTTCGAATTCGTACCACAGCGCTCGGACAGCCGGTTCGCCCGTGGAACTCGACTGAGCCATGTGCGAGTACAAGCTGGGCAGCAACTCGTACCTCTTGTTGATCGCGATCCGGGAAGCGTTGGCTACGGAGGGCCATCGGAAGGGTTCCTGCGAAATCGCACCCTGCGTGTTGTGGTTGCGCATGAACGGCAGGAATGCTCCGAGCATCATCCAGCGGTTGCACAGCTCCTCGTCCGTGTTGCGGTTGAACCCGCAGATGTCGGCTCCGATGAGGTGGATTCCGAAGATCTGGAACTGGAGCACTCCGTCGATGGACTGCGCCATACCGGCACCCGCCTTGTACGCTTCCTGACCGGGCAGGATGGTCCACAGCGCGTAGTTGTCGCCCAACCAGTGACCGGTGAACTTGCCGGCTCCAGGGTAGGTCGAACGCGAGATGAGGAAAGGTCGTTCCTTAGGTCGGATGGTTCGGAGGGCGTTGTAGAAGTGCTGTTCTTCCAGGGTACCGTCGAGGTTGTGCACGTCGTAGAAGTCGAGTTGGCCGTTGGCGGAGGTGGCTTCCATGGCGACGGTCTTCTTGTCGAGGTTGATGTTGAGGTCGGTTTCGCTGATGTGGATGCCGTTGTGGATGGCGTAGGGCGGGTTGGAGAGGTAGCGCTGGCTAGAGTTTGCGTAGCGGTAGTCAGGATCGTTTGGTCCAAACTTATTGCTCATCTCCTGTCGTTTGACAACATCGCGCTCGCGTTCCACAGCGAGAGAACGATGCTTCATCTCCATATCGTTGTTCTGCACTGGTCCCTGTTGGAAGGTGTAGCTTCCGTTGACCGTCAGATTGCCCGAGTTGCCCCAAGTCACATTGTTGTATCCCTGCGGCCAGCCGGCAACACTGGTCGCAGCAGTGTACGCCGGGGTATTCGACAGGTTCGTCTCCGGCCCAGCGGCATTTCCAACCACAAAGCTAGACGGCTCGTTCATGTCCAACCAGATGCCCGAGAAATCCACAATCTCGCTGAAGTTTCGAACCGCCTCGGTCCACCATCGACCGGCATTCTCTGCCTGCTGATCGACGAAGCTCGTGTAACCCGGCCAAACCTCACCAACGTACTCGGTGCCGTTTCGGTTCTTGAGGAACACGTCGAGCTCGTCACCGCGTGTACCTGGGTAGTAGGTATCGCTAGCGTTGGTGGGCGCCTTGGGGATAGCCATGTCGATGATGGGAATGTAGTGCTGATGGTTATCTCTGAGCTTCTGGATCATCCCTGCAAACTCCTTCTGCGGGAATCGCTGAGGGTCGGTGGTGAAGTCGCGGAATTCCTGGAGATAGTCGATGTCATTCCACTGAACTTCGAGGGGGATATCGTAGTCGCGCATGGCATCTACGATAGCCTGTGTCTCGGAGACATTGGTGTAACCCCATCGGCAAAGGTGGAAACCATAAGACCAGTAAGGATGAAGAACAGGGTTGCCGATGAAGTTGACGTACTGCTTGATCGCGGTATTGGGGCTGTTCTTGCCATCAGCAGAGCCCGAGAAGAAACGGAGATCCATGGTCCCGCCGATAGCTCGGTACTGGATCAAACCGCTTCGCAGCAAGACATCCATACCGCTCGTGCTCGACCAGCTCACGGTATGCGATCGGAGCTTGCCGTCACTCCCCTTTCTCACCTCGGTGTAGACGGGGTGATAGCCGTACATGTTCGAATCGACAGGCGTGCCAGCATCCAGCGTAAAGAACGTCTGCAGCGTCTCATTCGGGTTCCTCCTAAAGCTTCCCGTCACGTACTCGCCGAGTCCGTACACATTGGCATCCTGCGGCAAAGCAGACGACAGCTGCAGATACTGGTTCTCGAAGATGAGCTCGTGCTTGGGCGTAGCCGTGGAGTTGCGCTTCGTGTTGCTCGCGACGTTGTTCATGCCATCGTTGTAGGTGGGGATGTTGGAGGGACGCGTGTCGAAGATGACATCGCCGTTGGACCTGCGCTCGATCCAAAAGGCCCACGCACCAGAGGAGGTGCCGTTCTCGGCAGTGTGGTGGAAGATGAGGTCGCTCTGCTCAGCACTGGAACCGTTCTCGACCTTAGCGGGGTCGTCCGACGGGCGATCGTAGATGAGTCCGTTAGGCAGCTGGTACTGCTGCTTAGCCGTATCGTAGATGTGCACATGAAGCTGGTGCTTCTTCTCGTACACGACCGAAAGCGTTAAGTTGGCAATATCGACACCGTACGCATTGCAAGCTTCGCCAGCAAGGCTGAGTTTGGCGGTGAAGCCATGCCGCGACTGCTCGGGCTCGCCGACGAGCTGGTACCCCGGGCAAGTGGTTACGTTCAAGGAGGGTGAGATATAGGAGCTGTTGCTGTCGGCTCGTGGTTGAAGAATGTTGGTCTCGAGCTGGTGGTCGAGGATGGAAGAAGGAAGGGCCAAGGTTGAGGTGAGTGTGGTCGCCACTGCGGCCAGCAAGGGCGTCAGCGAAGCCGCCTTGATGGAACGCATCTTGGTGAGAGATAGTCTTGAAGGGTGAGTTGTGCTAGATGGAAGTGCGAGGACGGAAGAAGGAGAGACGGTGGGTATTTAAAGGTCGATGGAGGTGGGGCGGCCAAAGCCTCCGGGCCACACAGTTCTGCATTGCATGCGTTGCAGAGAAGCAAAGGTAGGACAGAGCGCACGAAGAAACCCAAAAGCAGAAGCGGGGCTCCAGCAGACTGGGGAAGGCGACTGTGCGGGGCGCATTACCTGACAGCGCTCCCTGTCGGCGAGTTTTTTTTTGTTCAGCCGTTCCTAACGAGCAGATCCCCCACGGTAAGAAGCAGCACCGCGGGGGCAGAGAAGGGAAGATCCTCCGACCGAGATCGATATGCTTAGGCGAGACCAGCAGAGCCACAAGGATGCGTCGGATGCGGACAGGCAAGCTGGTTGGGTGACTGCGGCAACCAAATCGGCGGGCGGAAGAGTGGCAGCGGAAGCAAAACTGCCGACGGCGAGATTCTCGTGGACCGAGATTCGAGCGAGTGTTGACGCACAGTGATGTCGAACAATGCTCGAGAACGACGGAAGGCGGGGTGAAGAGGGTGTGGAAGGATAAGCGAGAAACTTGCAGAGACTAAGCGAGGCAGACGGTTTGCAACACCTCGCGGTTTAACTGTACCGGAGCGACTTGCTCGGCCAAGCCTGTGAACTAAATCGAATCGTGCTTGTCAGTGTGAGCAAGGTGAGGTGACGCTAAAACACACACTTGTGTGGAAAGTGTCGCTCTTCATGTCGAAGGCTGTTGTTTGATCGGACGAATGGCGTGGAGTACCGGGGCAGAAAGCGGGGAAGGCCGATGTTGGGATCAGCAGATCACGTCTCGAAGTGCGGAATGTGAATTTTGGTGCACGAAGACGCCGCAATCTTGGTGGTATTTGGGACCAGCTTCCTTCCACAGCAGCTGTCCGGACAGACCACGGTACGAGGCGTACTCTCAGGGCGCTTCGGAAGGATCTCGGAGAGTTTTCCTCTTGTTTAGTGCCAAGCTCGCCGTCATTTGTACCGCCGCGGAGTGTTCTGTCTACCGATGCAGGATCGCAGCGTTGAGAGCTTTGGTCACCGTGGGGACAGGACAGTTTTGATCGGCTATGCAGAACCTGTCTGATTCTCGCACCGAGCCAATGCCTAGCGAGCTTGCCGGTTGCCGAAACGAATGTGCAGGGCCCCCGATGCCGCATACGATCATTTGGTGTCCGTCTGCTTCGAACCGGTCTTGTCGAACCGAAGAGGCTCTGTGATTCTCGCCGAGTGGCCCGACAAGGGTGGTGTGTGAGGTCGAGAGGCGAGAGTCGAGCAGCATGGCGGAATTTACCAGAAGTGTTACGACTTCTGAATGTCACATTGAGGTACTCGAATGAAATCTCGCGCGAGTCAACTCTCGTTGAGAAATCCAAATCGACGACGTCAAAAGTCCGCTCCCAACCAGAGTGCGAACAAAAGACAGGGGCCTCGACTGCGACCGACGCTACAGACGAAGAAAAGCCCAATGCATCCTCGCTCTGAAAGAGTCTCGAATCTCGTGGGCTTGCGGAGTCTGCTTTGTGATGGCGAGCGGACTTTGTACGTAGCAGCAGCGAGTGGCTGCTGATCAAGTGCATGTGCATGTGGCCGAACCAGCTTGCGATCGGGGAGGTATCCAGCTAATCGTGGCGAGTGTACTCTACACCGTATGGTAGGGGCAACACACAACACAACCGCCGCCGACACACTCGCCGTGTTTTTCGGGTGAAATGAGTGTGCGTGGCATACTGACTGTATGCAGCCTCTGCGAGAAGTGTTGGTCTCAAAAGCTCGCAAGCTCCACCTGCAGAGTCTAATTTCCTTTCTTGGAAATCGGAAACCAAAAAGGGGCTCAACTCCAACGCAGGAGCGAGGAACCGACCGACAGGGTCCTGCCTCACCGTGCTTGTTACAGTGTAACTTCTCAATCTTTGTATTTGCGGCGTATGCATGAGCAACTTGACTGCACATCGAGTGTGTCTGTGTGTGTTGAGTGCGTCAGGCGGTCTCCTATTTCTTGACTTTGTCCGCAAGCCGTGCAGGTCTCCTGTCGAGCCTGCCTTGTCCTGCTCGCCGTGGTCAGTCAACAGAGAGTCACTCGACGAACATCAATCACTCGATCGCTCGTCTTTTGCTTGTCACACCATCTCGACAATCCTACGTTCCCACCCAATCACACTTCAATCTGCCTTCATCGTTGGCTCAGAGCATTTCATCACCTTTAGCGAGCCGACGTTATCCAATCCGACCTGGTCTCTCACCCTCGACCCAATCCGAACTCTACCATGGCGGCGGCAACCGCACGACCTCAAGGCGCAAGGCCCATGCCTTCTTCATCCGGTTCTGGCGGCAGCGGTAGCGGTGGAGGTGGCGGAGGTGCCTACTACGCAGCTGCTCACGCCTATGCTCCTCCCGCTCCCGCCAAAGAGGCTGCCTGGTACGAGTACGAGGAGCGAATGCGTCCCTCGTACATCCAACAGCCTCCGCCTCAGCCTCTCGCTCCTTCCAATCAGTACAATCAGCCTTACTCTGCAAGAGCGCAACCACCTGTCAGCCCGTCTGCCTACGCCAACACCGCCTATGCAACGAAAGCTGCCCAGCCTTACAACCAGCAGCCACAGTCGTACCAACAAGCGCCAGCTAAGCCCGCTGCTCCCGCTTATAGTCCTGCGACACAGTCTCCTGGCCCGTATCAAGCCTCGCATTATACCCCGCAGCACCAGCAACCGCTGCAAGTACCGCAACCGCCTCAACGATACGCTCAAGCTGGACTTCCATCATCGAGACCTCCCCCCTCTCCCTCTGCAAAGTACGCAAACCCTCACCTCAACAGTGCTCCTTCTCGCTTTGCAGCTAACCCTTCCTATCGCGAACCGGAAGAGATGCCACGCTCCAACGTTCAGGGTAGCGCTTTCATGCACAAGGGCTTTTGGGATATCATGTCGCTCGTCAACAATCAAGGCCCATCGGCCGGCCGTCTCGCTCCGCCGTCCACTTCGCAGCGTCCCTCTTCTCCGGGCAAGTTTCGCGCCACGCTGAGCAAGGCTTCCGGCGCTCTTCGCAAGAACACGCCAGACAACTTCCAAGCCGGTCCCGAGTATGGTGCTACAGCTGCTTACCCAGCCAGTGCCTCGCCTCGGGCTCCGAGCTCCCCCGTCAAGGACGCATCATCTTACGGCGTGCCCGGCGCTTTCCCTCGTCCATCATTTGCCGCCCCGTCCACTCACACTGCCAACGCTTCGGCCATCAGCACCGCTATGAACTTTTTCACTCCTGCTGCCATGGGTCCCAAAGCCCAGAAGAAGCGCATCAGCGTCGACATGGTCGGTGCTCCTCGGACCGAGACGTTCGTCCACGCCGCTCATGCCAGCGACGCAGAGCAGGCAGAAGTCATCCTCAGCAGGTGGGGCCGCGACGGCGTAGGCAAAGTGGCGGACCCCACCTGGGTCGAACCCATCAAGGAAGCACTCCGACTCCAGGCCGCTCGTAATCAGGCCGAGGCCATCGCTCAGGTTCAGGCCGCTATGCACCAGGACAGCCTCATCCACGAGAACGCGCGACAGCTGCACATTGTCAACGGTGCACCCAGCCAGATCTCCATGCTGACCACCACCACGGCCACCGCAGGTCACAGCACGCTCTCCAATGCCACCCTTCGTCCTGTCGGCGCCGCTCCAGCTCTATCGCCTGCTCGCGAAAGGCACGCATTTGTCGGCATCGCCGAAGAGCCGGCGATGGGCACAGACGCTGAACTTGAAGCTGCCATCAAAGCTCAGCTGCAGCTCTCTTCTCAGCCGCCTCAGCCTTTCGCCAGGCCTGCCGCCTTGCGTACCAATACAGCCGGCACTCTTCTCGTCAACCCTTCGCCTCCCGTGGCTCGCGATGGTAGCCCTCATACGCCGGACTACTTGATGTATCGTCCATCTTCGCCGAATGCTTCCAACCGAAACAGCCGCAATATCGATGGCTTGCCTTCCGGTGGCCCCAATGCCATCAACGCCATGTTCGATGCGCCGGCAAGCGATCCTCCCGTGCAGGAGCGTCCGAACTCGATGGTCGTCCTCGACAGCCTTCGTTCCATCGATACAGCCGGTATGACAGCGCTTGCCGAGTTTTCTCAGCCAATTGGTGGTGCCGTTCGTCCCTCGCTGGAGACCGTTGAGAAAAGCGTTGCCGCCAAAATCTACTTTGAGAACCTCTACTACGGCATCCTCAAGAAGCCCAAGGCGCGTGACACGAGACGAGCTGGCCTCGAAGCCGAGCTCGCTTCGCTGCGTATCCCCGAGAGCAGCAAGGAGCAGATTCGTGAGGCTTGGATGGCCAACGAGACGCAGTACTTGCGCGATCTGCGCGCCCGCGTCAATGTCAACTCGTTCCTCAAGCTCAAGACCATCGGTCACGGCGCCTTCGGCGTGGTGGCGCTCTGCAAGGAACGCCAGTCGGGTCAGCTCTACGCCATGAAGCAGCTGCGTAAAGCCGACATGCTTCGCAAAGGTCAGGAGGGCCACGTGCGCGCAGAGCGCGATCTGATGACGTCGGCTTCTGCCAGCGCATCGGCCAAGTGGATCGTCAAGCTCGTCTACTCGTTCCAGGATGTCGATCACCTCTACCTCGTCATGGAGTTCATGGGAGGCGGAGATCTGCTCAACCTGCTCATCGAGAAGGACATCTTCGAGGAGGACTTTGCGCGCTTCTACGTCGCTGAGATGGTGCTCGCCATCCATGAGGCTCATTCGTTCGGCTACATCCATCGCGACATCAAGCCGGACAACTTCCTCTACACCTCGGAGGGGCACATCAAGCTCGCCGACTTTGGTCTGTGCCAATCATTCCACTGGGCGCACGACGGAGCTTACTACGATCAGCAGCGCAAGAACCTGCTCAAGAAGCACGGTATCGATCTGGATGACTCGCACGCTGCTGCTGGTATGCGTCGTGCTGCTCAGGCGACGGGACGCGGCGGTGCTGGACCTGGTCAGGCGGGTGCCGGCCTCTCGGACAAGGAGCTCGTCGAGATCATGTCGGACCGCAACGCCGATGGTACGCCCAAGACGCACGTGCTGACGTGGCGCGAGAAGAACAAGAAGAAGATCGCCTACTCTGTCGTGGGCACCAACAACTATATGGCGCCTGAGGTGCTGCGCGGCCTGGGCTACGATCAGGCGTGCGACTGGTGGTCGTTGGGCGTCATTGTGTTCGAAATGCTGTACGGCTACCCTCCGTTCGTGTCCAAGTCGAGACACTTGACGAGGCAGAAGATCCTCAATTGGAAGCAAACACTGCGCTTCCCTCCCAAGCCGAGGATCTCTCGTGAGGGCCAAGATTTCATCGCCCGCCTCGTTTGCGAGCGAGAAGACAGGCTCGGCAGCACCGCCTCGGCGTCGGTTAGCAGGCCCAACAGTCACATGCAAAACATGCGAAGGTCCGGGTTCGCCAACCAGGGCCAATCAGGCAGCGGAAGCGGATTGCAAGACGGCGTCGAGGAGCTCATGTCGCATCCCTGGTTCCGCGGCATCGACTGGGACAATCTGCACAGAACACGTCCGCCCTTCCAACCGGCGCTGAGCCACGCGGGCGACACGAAGCACTTTGAGGACGACATCGAAGATGCTCCTCTCGCAGCACCTGGTGCCGCGGACAATCCGAACGCCGACCAGCCACGAGATCCGATGCTGCGAGACAGGCAACAGGGACCGAAGCTGTTGGAGATGCGCAAGCAGCTCGCCTTCATGGGCTACACGTTCAAGAGCCCCAAGGCATTCGACCCGAGGGAGCAGCTGGCTGACGAGCGCAACGTGATCGCGGCGGAGAGGGCGGCTGGTATGATGCCAGCGCACGAGCGTGGTAGGAGCCGGGAGCCGACCGACCTCGGCAGCAGGATTCGAAGCATGTCCATGTGATGGCAGCTCGTATCATCTCATTTCGTTTTACGTCTCATCGTCTCTTACTTTATGGACTGTCATGATCTTAATTATTGCTTGCTCGCTTGCTTATTCCCTTTGCCGGACTCGTTAGCGTGCCTGATGTGATGTGATGTGCTGTAGCATGCTCTGTGTGTGTTTCAGTGACCTGGTTGAATCGGGTGGATCTGTTGTCGCAAATGTTTGTCGATCTGTCGATCCTGAATGCTGCACGTGTCGGGGTTTCGCGAAGTCAACTTGAAATGAATTGTAGCAGCTCACACCTTTCTGCCCGAATTTGTTGCCCTTTTTTTGGTCAGCTTCATTTCAGTCTCAGTCCGGGCCGCCACTTTGCATCCTGTGAAGGAAAAAACGGGGGTTCTGACGCTAGCTGAGGAGCATGTGACATTTCCGAAGTTGGCTATCCCCGCTGCTGTCCGCCTGCTGAGGGTCCCGGATGTGACCAGATCGTGCAACGCGGGTCCCTTTGTGCTCTGCCCGCGCGCCTTCTGCACTCACCAGTAAAAAAGCACCCCTCCGATCGACGGGTGCTTTTCTGAGAGGTTGCACTCCTCGGGACTGTGTGCCGCTGAACATAGATCCCAGCATTGGCCCGTGCCGTCCTCCAACTGAGAGTTCGATCCTCGAATACAAACTCTCTTTGCTCGCACGCACGCAGCCCACTACAGCCTGGGTCAGGAGTCGAGGATCGGAAAAGTTAACATCATTTCAGAAAGCCTCTTGGAGTCAACGGGCATCTCCTCATCGTCACCACCAACATCGACACACCTTTCATCACCATCCCTACACTCGTATAGCACGATCATCATGGCCAACACTTCCGCACATTCGTACGACCCGGCCAACATGAACGTCTTTAGCGGCGCGAACAGTCTCATCGACTACTTCAACCCGGACAAGAACGCGCCTCTGCCTCTGGTCGAGTTGCCACCCCAGCTCAATCCATACTACGACGACGGAGTGAGGATCTATGCCAAGATGCTCACCGCTTTGCCTGCAACCAACGTCAAGAGTCTACCTGGTAAGTTGAAGACATCAGCCCCGAGATGATGCTCTGCGAATCGACGTGGCGGACGAGGGAAGGAACGGTTCTCGTGAAGCTGGCCGTAGTCTCGTCCATGTACATCTGTGGTCTCGACGCGAAGCTGGAAGGGAAGGAAGAAGTCGAGGACGCTGCTTCATGTGTGCAATGCACGAAGATCTTTCTTCTGCAAGACCCTAGATAAGATAGTGAGGAGGATGATCAGCATCGTCCTCCTCCCGGCTGCTAAGAGAGAGGATAAGATTAGATAGGGGAAGCGAGGCTTCGGAACGGAAGGAGGCTTGCACATGTCGGTCAACCGGACTTGTCTTGCGTGCTCACAATGCACGTAAGGCGCAACGGCAAAGGCCGAGGCGAAGGCGTATGCCGTTGAACGGGCGCCAGAGGGTTGATATCAATTGACCAGGATGGCGAGCTGTGGCGGGCTCCAGAGGTGCTGGCGCCCTCCAACTCGCAATCGCACGCCTTTGCCTCGCTGCGTCAGCCGACTGACTCGGTGCAGAAATTTGCACTGCGAGCCAAGCACGCCATTTTGTTCGTCAATCACGCCATTCTCGCGAGTTCTGGCCGCGGGCCAACTTCTCGATCTGACTCTGGAGGAGGGAATTTGCGACGTAACATGTCCTAGCCTCAAAAAATCACTGGTCGAGTCGCCATGTTGATCCCTGTTCGCTATCATCATTGATCTCATTGCACCCTTTGCTGACCTTCTTCGCGCCCTCTCCCTGTCCTACATGCTCGTCATCGACGCCTTTGTCGCAATGTACTCGCCGATGATTGCTCGCCATCGCCAACAGCACTCTCACTCCTCGAGTCTGGCGGCGTCATCTCGCTTGACTCTACTCCGGAGCAACGTGCGGCACAACCCATCCACACGGTGACCGAATCCTCCTCCGGCTCCACCGTCACCTCGATGGCCATGATCGCACGTCAGCACGGCGTCTCCAAAGTGCGTGCTTGGATGTCGAACAAGGTCTCGCCTACCAAATCCTCCCTGATGCGCTTCTTCGGCCTCGAACTCGCCCTGTTCGGTGGTCCCTCGCAGTCGCCTCCGCAGGACCCCATGGGCGGGATCGCCAAAGCTGCCTCGCAAGGCGCCCAACCCGGCGTGTTCAACCCGAACCAGTACGAGAACCCCGCCAACCCTGCCGCGCACGAAAGGTGGACCGGCAAGCAACTGCTTCAACAGCTTCCCGACATCAACGTTTTTGCGGGAGGCATGGGCACCGGCGGCACCATCACAGGTACTGCCACCCGCTTGAAACAGGACCAGCCCGACATGCACATCATCGGAGTCTGCGTCGCTCGAGGCGACAAGATCCCCGGTCCACGACCACGCGAGCTGCTCGAACCCGTCGACTTCCCCTGGAAGCCGCTCGTCGATTCGGTCGAAGACGTCGTCAGCAAGGACAGCTACACGCTCAGCATGCAGCTCTGTCGCTACGGGATCGTGTGCGGTCCCAGCAGCGGCTTCTCCCTGCAAGGGCTGTTCCAGGTGCTGGAACGACGCAAGAGGCAGGGAACGCTGGCGGCGCTTCGTCAGCAGAACGATGGCAAGCCTATCCAGGCTGTGTTCCTCTGCTGCGATCTGCCGTTCCAGTACGTGGACGAGTACTTTACAAAGTGCGATGCGGATATGTTCCCGCCGATCGTGAACGAGCATCTGTTCAAGGTGGATCAGTATGCGTACAGTACGAGTTGGATTCTGGACGTTGCTAGTGCACAGACGATGCTCGTCTACCCGCGATTTGCCGCGCAAGCTGCAGCGACACAACCTCTGCCGTCTCCGTCGGACTTCTCCTCGGATCCGTCGGAATCGGACTCGGACACGTCGACACCTGCTTCACCGGGTCTGCTGCGTCCGGCGATCATCGACCTCCGCTCGCGCGCCGAGTTCGCTGCCGGTCACCTCGCCCACGCGCGCAACATCCCCCTCTCGAGCCTCAACGCCGACGATCCCAGTCCGTACCAGGACGCGGTGCTGCTCGCGACGCAGTTTACCGAACTCAACAAGAGATTTGTCGAACAACCGCGCGTCGAACACCAGTGCCCCGGCAACGGTGTCGCCGAGTTGAATCAGCTGGAGCTAGCCGAGATGTTGGAGTGCCTGAGGAGGTCCGAGAGGGAGGTGCTGGTGGTGGATTACGATGGGGAGACGGCGAGGTTGGCGGTGAGCGTGTTGAGGCATGCGGGCGTGAAGGCGTATTCCGTGGTGGGAGGTTGGGGGGCGTTGAAAGGCATTGGTGGGATCGTCAAGGGGTGAGGCGGTTTGAGATGGTTTCGTCAGGTTGCTTTGTCTCTCTTTTGCATTGTACAGTTCTATCGCAGTCATATATCTTTTGTGTCTCCTTATCCACACAGCACATCGAATCAGTCTGTGAAGCCAAGTTGATATTGCAGTTTTTATTGCGACTTCCTTCCTCATCCAAACAACTTTGGAAACTCCTGCCCTGCCTCTGGCTGCAACCAATTTCTCTCGTCGTACTCCGCCCTTGATGGATCTCCTTCGATCATGTGGAACGTGTAGATGAATCTGCTCTTGTTGCTCGTGTTCTTTTCGCTCTTGTGCAGCACCGATCCGTGGATCAACACCAGCGTTCCTGCTTTGCACTCTGCGATCTCGGCCTTTTGCTCGTCCCATTCGGCTTCTTCCTCTTGCTCCAGGTGGTGGAAGGTTGTTCCGGCGTCGGGGTTGCGTGGTTCTCTGCGAACGAATCGCTTGTTCACGCCTCTTGCCACGCCTAGGGGTTCGTTATGTGCATCTTTGGGTCGCGAACTCTTCGCTTCCTTGGGGTTCGAACCTTTGGGCCAACGATGAGATCCAGCCAGGAAACTCAAACATCCGTTCTCCACCGTACAGTCCTCCAGTGCAAACCAGAACCCAATCGCACTCGGTGGATCCGTGTACAGGAACGTCGAATCATTGTGACTCGGTACAGCACCTCCTATACTCGGTTGCTTGCAGATGATCATACTCTGCAAAACCCTAGGATCCTTGTGGATGTCCAGACTGTTCGCCACATTCTGCAGTTTCGTCGAAAACGAGAATTCCTTGAACAGTGGATCGAGAATATGCAGCCCATGCCCGCATTTGTTGATGGCGTTGGATTTGGGCACTAGGAGCTGTTTGGTGGTTGGATCGACTGCATTTTCCTCAAAGAAGTAGTGGATGCGGGATCCGGATTCGAGAAAGTACCGATCCCCAACGTGCGCTTCTTCCCCCTCAGCGTCGGACGAGGTGGTGAAGGCCGTCAGCGGGTGATTCTCCAGTGGGAAGGTGGAGATGAGGTGTTTGCTGTGCTCGAGCAGCGCGGTCGGGTCGAAGAAGGAGGGGAGAAGCAGGTATCCATCGCGATGGAATTGGGCGATTTGATGCGCGCTGAGCACGCCGTCCGTTCCTGAAGCGGACGTAGACTCGGAACCCATTGTGAGCAGATGTATTCGGGATGGCCGTCGAGGGTCGAAGCAAAGTGGTCGATAGTGAACAGCGTGCGACCTTTGACGTTTGATTAAGAGTCAATGCGTAAACCTCGCTCGATGTCCGGCTTCTCGGACCCTATCGCGCCGCTCCACCCGAAGATCCGCGAATTTCCACCCTCTGCGACTCGGATTCGGCGTAACAGCACGCGACAAAATCCTCGCTCGGTGACGCCATTTCGGTGCCCAGCATAGATTGCCGTGACCCGCGACATCGGTACACACCCAAAAAGGGTTTGTACAGCCGGAACTCGATAGATATCATCGGCCTTCCACCGTGACAGCTACTCTTCTCCACATGCACGACATACCATCGATAGATTGGTCTGTCGACGTATGCGCGATCAGATTCATGGAGAGCTATAGGCAAACAACCTGCTGAACAGCACGTACAAGGCAGCTACCAGCTCCTCGTTCTGGCGGATCACCATGCCGAACACACCATCGGCCACCGCCTCGAGCTCAAGAGACGCCTCAATACATCCCTCGATCCCTTCCCACAACAGCAACGACGACTCTGCTGCAACTCTCACCACCACCGACGATGACTTCACAACACGAGCCGTGCTGGCAGGCCTGCTCATCGGCTGCCTACTCGCATTCACCAACCTCTACCTCGGCCTCCAGTCTGGTTGGATCAGCATGATGTCGCTGCAGAGCTCCCTACTCGGCTTCGCGCTTTTTCGCATCTTTCCTCGACAACTCAATCTTGCAGGTCGACGCTTTGCTCTCATGACAACGCCCTTCACGCCCCAGGAAAACGTGCTGGTTCAGACGACGGCGGCAGCGGTTGGGGTGATGCCGCTCTCGGCGGGACTGGTGGGCGTCATCCCTGCACTCAAGAAGTTGACTCTGGACAAGGATGGAAGCGGCCCGATCGATCTGGACTTCCTACATCTGCTGGGTTGGTGCTTTGCGTTGGCCTACTTTGGCGTCTTCTTCGCTTCACCGCTGAGGGAGCCGATGATTGTCAAGGAGAAGCTTACGTTTCCAAGCGGGACAGCGACGGCGCAGCTGATCGGCGTGTTGCATAACAAGCCGCTGGTCGGGCAGAGTACTTCTGCGATACCACAGAGGCGAAACCATGCCGACCACGAATATGCAGAAGAGAGCGACGAACGCACCGCGCTGCTGAGCGAACAAGCTCGCAACGACACCGATGTCGATGATGAAAGCAACCGAAATACGGTCGACAGTGCACAAGGGTGGAGAGCGCTAGCGTGGTCCTTCTCCGGCTCGGCAGGATTCACCGTCTTGTCGTACTACGTTCCCGTACTGTACGCGATGCCCTTGTTCGACGTCATCCCTCCGCACAACCTCGCCTCGATGTGGGGGTTCTGGTTCACGCCTTCGCTCAACTACATCGGCCAGGGCATCATCATGGGACTGCCTACAACGGTGAGCATGACGGCAGGTGCCATCGTCGGGTGGGCAGTGCTGAGCCCGCTGGCGTACTATCAAGGCTGGGCAAAAGGCCATCCGCTGGACTCGGAAGACGGCAGCAAGGGCTGGATCCTGTGGATCAGCTTGGCCATCATGTGTTCGGAGAGCATCGTTGGCCTGATCACATTGGTAGCCAGTAACGGTATCCGTGACCTGAAAAGCTTGACAACAGCCAGCAGGCAGCGGCGACAGCATCTTGACGGCATCGGTGGGAACGATGCTGAGCAAGACGAGGCAGATTCTGACCACGAATCGCCGCATCGGAATACTCCCAAGACGTGGGTGATCAGCGGTCTGATAGGCTCTACGCTGGTAGCTGTGGTGCTCATCTACCTCTCGTTTGGCGCAGAAGGCATCTCGCCATGGGCGACGTTGCTAGGCATCGTACTGGCATCATTGTTTGCCATTTTGGGTGTTCGTGCGCTCGGCGAGACGGACCTGAACCCCGTATCAGGGATCGGCAAGATCTCGCAGCTCATCTTTGCGGTGGTTCAGCCCGGCAACGTCGTCGCCAACCTGATCGCGGGTGGTATCTCGGAAGCTGGTGCGATGCAAGCCGGCGACCTGATGCAGGACTACAAGACGGGGCATCTGGTCGGTGCCTCGCCGAGATCGCAATTCAAAGGGCAGCTGATCGGAAGCACGCTTGGCATCTTGATAAGCAGCTTCGCGTATAAGCTGTATACGAATGCCTATGAGATTCCGGGCCCGCAATTCCCTGCTCCGACGGCGGCAGTATGGCTCAACCTGGCGAGACTGGTGAATCATGGACACTTGCCGGAAAAAGTCAACGTGTTCATGATCGGGTTCGGAGCGGTGTTTGCGGTGACGGGAGTGATCAAGACGCTGGCACGAAGCAAGGCGTTGCGCCAGGAGGGGCAGGTGGGGACAAGTGCCGCTGCCAAAGTGGCCAAGCTGGTGCCGAGCGGCATCGCATTTGCTGTTGGGATGCTCAATACGCCCAACTTTTCACTGGCTCGTCTGGTGGGTGGACTGATCGCGCACTGGTACTACTCGAGACTGAACTCGACTTCGAGCAAAGCGGCATCAGCGATGACAGGCATCGGCATCATTATCGTGGCGAGTGGATTCGTGCTGGGTGAAGGGGCAGCGAGTATCGTGACGCTGCTGCTGAAGCAGAATGGTGCTCAAGCGTGGACTTGTGCGGGATGCCGAGGAGGATGTGCTGGCGGATGCTCGTAGTAGATCTTATGTAACATCAGCAAGCAGTCAGCCCTTTGAAACCTCGCAAAGACACATTGGACTGCAAAGGACGAGATGGTTGATCTAAAACAAGCAAGTCGGCTCTGCCTTGGCTCCACATGCTTTGCCGCTGTTCTGGCTGAGTTTTTTGGTGTGACTTCTGAAAAGTGTTGTTCTCAAACTCAGACGCGTCTTTGAGCCCGAAAGAAAAAGGTGCAGCAGACAGCAGAACGCGAGGTTGAATCCGAAACTGAGCGTCGTGTTAATTGGCCGTTCTCTTCAACGTCACAGGAAGATTCGATGCGCTCCTTCGTCCAATCCACCACCACTCGCATCCGCATATCAGCAGCTCGCATCGATCGTCTCCATCATCATTCGGGCAGCTGATGGAGTATTTGATCTGCCTGACACATCCATTGCCCCTTTAGCCCGCAAGTCTTCATATGATTCACATGCTTTCGACTAACACGATGCTCGGCTGAGCAACATACGATTCACGAACCGCACTTCGGGAGCCAAACTTACACGGATGGCATGCGATTGCTTCCTCCGCTGATACGGATACGGTATAGACTGCCAATCCCCTCGATCACTCGGACGCGCTACCATGCACAGCGATCTTGTGCATTCAAACATCAGCAAACCATCTGCAGCCAGTACTGCCTGGCTCGCACTGCGCCTCTGTCGCCGTCTCGAAAGAGTCCTGCGCTTCTCCATCACATCTCAACCTCGCCAGCCAATACCACTCAAACTGCGCTCGCTCAAGGCATGAGGATCCTCTGCGTGGCCGAAAAGCCCTCCATCGCAAAGAGCATCTCTGCCATCCTCGCCGGCAGAAGTGTCTCGAATCGTCCTGGAAAGGACAAGTTTTGCCGCAATTATGATTTCCAATATCGCATGCCCGGTCAGCAAGGCATGGTTGATATGACCATGACCTCAGTTAGAGGCCATCTCACCAACGCCGACTTTGGCCCTCAGCACAAAGCATGGTTTTCCTGTTCGCCCGCCGACCTATTTCAAGCGCCCATCATCACCGCCCTTAGCGACGATGCCAAAGCCATCGGCACCAACCTGCGCATGGAAGCCCGAAATGCCGACGCCGTCATGATATGGACAGATTGCGATCGCGAGGGCGAGCACATCGGAAGCGAGATCGTCACCGAGGTGCGCAAGGTGCGTCCCAACATCCGCGTCATGCGCGCCCGCTTCTCTGCCATCATCGATTCTCAGATCCACGCAGCTTGTCAGAACACCGTAGACCTCGACTGGAGAGCCGCAGACGCAGTCGAGTCCCGCATCCAGCTCGATCTGCGCGTCGGTGCGGCTTTCTCACGCATGCAGACCTTGGGGCTCCAAAATCGTATTCCTGCGCTCGGCGAAGAGCGCCAAGTCATCAGCTACGGCCCCTGCCAATTTCCCACGCTTGGTTTCGTCGTGGACAGATACAAAAAAGTGGTGCACTTTGTCCCCGAGCCCTTCTGGCTGTTGCAGGTGCACAAGACCCGCAGCATGTCCGGAGGCGACCCCTCACCTGACGATCCGCCAGACGACATACGGAAGGTCGTCTTCAACTGGGATCGCGTCCACCTCTTTGACAAGCGCGTCGTGCAAACCTTTCGTGATCTCTGCCGCGCCAATCCTGATGCTACTGTCGACAATGTCACCAACAAGCAGACCAAAAAGTGGAAGCCTTATCCTCTCACCACCGTCGAGCTCCAAAAGTCGGGCTCACGGCTGCTGCGACTCACGCCCAAGCGCATCCTCGATGTCGCAGAGTCGCTCTACCAGAAGGGCTTCCTCTCTTACCCGAGAACCGAGACGGACCAGTACGACAAGGACTTTGACTTTACAAGCCTCATCGCAAAGCAGACAGCCGATGGGGCGTGGGGCAACGTCGCGCAGCGCCTTCTCGACGGCGCCTTTGAAAGACCCCGCAACGGCAAGAACAATGACAAGGCACACCCGCCCATCCATCCCACGTCGCACGCCAACGGTCTCACGGGCGACGACAAGCGCGTCTACGAGTACGTGACACGCCGCTTCCTCGCCAGCTGCTGGACCGACGCCATCGGCAACCAGACCAGCGTCGCCATCGTCATCGCCGGCGAAAAGTTCCACGCATCAGGACTCGTCATCCTTCAACGCAACTACCTCGAGGTATTCACCTATGACAAGTGGGAAGGCAACCTGCTTCCTCCTTTTGTGCGCGGTGAAACCTTCCGCCCGACACGGTTCGAGATGAAGGAAGGTGCCACCTCTCCTCCGAAACTTCTCACCGAAGCGGATCTGGTCAATCTCATGGACAAGAATGGAATCGGCACCGACGCCACCATCGCCGAGCATATCGCCAAAGTCGTCGAGCGTCGCTACGTGATGCAGGTCAAGGAGGGCAAGACCACCTACCTCGTCCCCTCGACGCTCGGTATCGGCCTGGTGGAAGGCTACAATCAGCTCAACCTCGAAAAGTCGCTGAGCAAGCCGCTGCTGCGTCGCGAGACCGAGTTCCGCATGTCGCTCATCTGCGCAGGTCAGCGATCCAAAGCCGAGACCATGGCAGAGAGCATCGAAGAATACCGCCAGGTGTTTGCGCTCACCAACCGCCAATTCGACCGGATCGCCGCCACCGTGCTGCAGTACTTGACCGATCCGAACGCTGGACAAGAGGCGCGTGCAGTCGAGCTGCTCCCTCAAGATGATGGCGATGTGGAGGAAGTCGCCGACGACGACAGTGACGCAGACAGCGATGGCGGGTACGGCGGTCATGGTAACGCAGGAGCGCCCCCACGAGGGCGAGCAGTGAACGGTCGTGGCAGGGGAGGCGCCAGCGCCCGCGCGACGAGGGGTGTGCGGGGCCGCGGACGTGGTGCGGCTACAGGGGCTCGACCTGCTCAAGCTTACGATCGACCAGACGACGACGATGGCGACAGCTTTACGCTGCGTCCACCGCGCCGTGCAAATGCTACCGCTGCAGCAACAGAGCGCTCACTTGGCGGGCGTGCGAACGGGGCAAGCGGTTCGAAGCATTGTCTCTGCGGTGAAGCGGCCGCAGAAAGGACGGTGAATAAGGAGGGCCCGAATCAAGGGCGACGATTTCTCGGCTGCGCCAAACCGATGGGGGACTCGAGCAAGTGCGACTTTTTCGATTGGCTCGACTCGGGCACCGGCAGCAGCAGTGGGATGGAAAGTAGAGAGACAGCGACCAGGACCATTCCTGCCAAACGACCAGTCCCTTCGGACAACGACACGGACGATTGGTTACCAAACATGCGCTCGTCGACCTCCTCAGGGGCACGACGATGCGACTGCGATCTGCAAGCGATACTCAAGACTACGACCAACGGAGGACCGAATCAAGGTCGTTCCTTCTGGACGTGTGGCCGCGAGAGCGCCCGATTGCGTTGCAAGTTCTTCGAATGGAACGATGACGGCAGCGGGCCTGCAAATGGCCACGGCGGGCAGTCTTATGGTGCGAACGGAAGTACCAGAAGCTCGGGAGGAGGTAGTGGCGGGGGCGCTAGCTGCTGCTACCGCTGCGGAGAAAGCGGTCACTTTGCATCCGATTGTCCGAACCCGCAGCAGCAGCAGCAGCGAAGCGGCAGCAGTCGCGGAACGACGTCCAAGAGAGGTGGAGGCAGAGGCAGAGGCAGAGGTAGAGGCGGATCTAAAAGCGGCGGTGGTGGAAAGGACGATGGCTGTTTCCGCTGCGGCAAGAAAGGTCATTGGTCGAGCGAGTGTCCTGGCACCTAGCGACGGACGCCTCTTGCTTTGTAACATAGTATCGTGTAATTGTACCACATTCATATTGCTAGACACGATTCTTCTTTTTGGGGATGTCATGAACGAGTATACGAGATCGATACGAACAACGACGCTTTCGGTCGAGCGCGAGCTGACCGGCTCGGAGAATTCTCGGAGAGAATCGCTAAGGGCGCCAGGTACCTCCCTGCTGAAGGATCTCGTCTATGCAGGATGGATGTGGTCGTGTGATCTGCGGACGCACGGTAAGCGAGACGAACTGATCACCCATGGTGCGAAGACAGTCAGCAACAGAAGGCAAGGACCAAAAGGGGGATGGTTGTAGTTCTTCACCTGAACAGGCGAAGGTGGCCAATCACAGAATTCCGTGGCTGACGGCACTGTTGAGCAGCCCATTGCAAATTCGCCGTCCAATCGGAAGAGAAAGTTGTGCTGCAGGCTGCACTATCCCTTTTGATCTTGCTACACGGGTCAGATCTATTCGTTGCAATTGGTCGGCGGAGGCCCGTCTGCCGATTCAAGACGTTTCCCCCACGCCACGCTGCAGTGTTGGAGCCGCTTATGCCGACGGACCTCATCTCAGGCGCGCTGGAAAGTGCACCGTCCATCGTCTGCCGAACATGGCAGGATTCGTCAAATGAACGAGCCAATGCCATCACTCGTCGGGCCAGAAGATCGCACAACCCTCTGCCGCGAGGGGCCACCGACTAAGACCGAGGCCGGCCAACATTGTCCCGACGAAAACCTTCATTTGACCCTCACTCTCCCTCTGCGTACCAAGACCATGCACGCCGGTCAAGTTGATGGACACAGGAAATAGAGCTTAGATCCACCGTCACCGTAGCAGACATTGCATCCTTTGGCGGAGGACGGTTGTCAGAGGGACGAGAGCGAAAACTTTATTCTGTTTCACAGCGGTTAGCAGAGAACACGTACCGAATCGATCAACCGGAACAGCCGGCCTGCTGATAGCGTTGGAAGATGTCGCTGCTCGCACTTGAGGCAGACCTTTGACTCTCTCTGTCTCTCTGTCTGCAACGCAAGCGCTGCTCGCGCGACATGCGCGTCGCTGTCGCAATGAGACATGTTTGCTGCACAGGCACTAAGCTGCAGATCCACACTGACTCGAATCAGCAAGACCAAGCCAATCGAATTCGTCAACGCCACATCTGGCCTGCTTGTCGTGGTCGACTGGCCTCAAGCAATACAGCATCGCAGTCGAGATTCTGAGCTCCCCTTGCTGCATCCAAAGAGACGATGGCGGTGTGAGTGTTGCGATTCGCAAGCATCCCCACTTCACTGTGGACAGAGGCTTGAGGACAAACGCGGCGATTTCCAACAATGGAAGGATCAACAGAATTTCATGCAGGGAGAAAAGATCTCTCTGGTGCAGTGCTTCAATTCTCGAACAAAGTTGCTTTTCTTCCAAACTTTACAAAAAAAAATAAGGATTTCAAAAGTCAGAAAGTCCGATGCAGTTCAGTCGAGGGGCGGAGGGCTCTGCAGGTGAAAGCTAGACAGAGGAGGGCGGAATTTTGGAACCAGAAACAGAAAAAGAATCGGCTTGGCGGCCGCAGAGCTTTCTTTGCTTGCGAGGCGAGCTTGGTCAAGAAACAGAAGGCAGCTGAAAGCCTTCGGCGGACTGCCCTCACTGGGATACACTAGAGTGGTGACCCGCCGTTCTCACTCTCCCTCCCCCTCTCCGCTTCGAGCCCTTTTGTCGTGGCCCAAAATCTCGCCTAGCTGGCTCATCGACCTCCTCAGACCCCACCGCGATGAAAACGCGTGTTCCTGCCGATGCCCGTTCCGTTTGCAGCCGCGGTCCTGCGTCCCCCTCAGACCTGCCTGTCTCCTCGCACACCTTCGCGAGCCTGACGGACTCACCGGCATTGTGCCTCGCCGTCTTGCTGTTGCCCTACGCTCCCATCCGGGGTCCGACTCACGTATGGACTTCACCTTACAAAGCCTGTCACAATCTTTTCGCATCTTTCTGAAGGCAGTATCTGCGATTGAGCCCTGATCCCCGACCCGAGTCGCTCCTTGGCGGTGGGACGGATCGCCAGCTTCTCTCACACAAATGGACTTCTCATCCTCTTCTTTTTGGATTTTTATTTTTCTGGCCCCTGCTTGTAGAAAGTTCTGCTTCGTGTGTTTAGATATCTTTTTTTTTGGCGGAACATCAACATTTGAAATCAGCAGTAGCCCTGCAGCAGTTCAGCATCGCATCGCACCTCACCGCTCCGCAGAAATTCCGAGCAATGTCAGGGCAGGGCACAGACAGAGACGCTCTCTCTCTCTTGTCAGGGCGGGCGAAGTTGGGTGCGACTTTTTTTTAGGATTGGGAAGGCACAGAGATCTCCAGGTCGCTCATCCCGCTAAAGACTGTGCACTGTGTGGCCTGCGTGGACACCACTTCGCGATACACCATCTCAGCGCCAACCTTGCCTCGACCCCCCGTGCATTCATCCATTCACCATCTGAACCTCCCTATTCAACAGCTGGCATCGTATCGTATCGCAACAGATCTCACCGCGGATTCGCGTTTCTATATTCCTTCCGCATCCAGGCGCAGGCTCGATACAGCCTAGACACTTTCCGATCTCATCAGCCTGTCACGTTGAGAAGTCAGGACCCATCGGCTCCCATCCGACATCTCATCGCACTCACGGAGCTTCTGAGCAGACACTACGCGGCTTTTCTGTCGGATCTGACGCTCGCGATCCCGACATTGACCTTCCAAAACCCACTTGTATTCGCAACCCGGCTCATCCGACCATCGTGACAGTGACAAGCTTGCTAGATCACCAGAGTCCTTGTGCTCTCCACGGCCGCAGACTGCCCTGTACCTAGCCTATCTCTCATCCTTTCCTCGCCTTCACCATCTCCTTTCCGACATCCGAAGGCTAGACACCATGCAGCACAGTCCCGCCCCCTTTCCATCTTCATCCACACCAAACTCCTTTATGGACACGTTTGATTTTGGTAATCCCGACTTCTCCACGACCAACTCGGGCATCGAGGACCTCAATATCTTTCCCAGCAGCGGCGCTGCGCCGTCCGTCTCGTCTCAGCACAATCCACACTCCGAAGCTGGCTCAGCGCCTGTCAGTCATCATCCGAGTCCCTCGGCTACTTTCAGCCACGCCGGACCCTCGTCTGACTCGACTGCCGTTCCATCACAGCATTCGAGTTCCAACGGCCATGGCGCGGGCATCTACATGACCAATACATCGCATGCTAGCTCGCCCTTAGCATTCAGCCGTAATCGCTTCGATGCCAACTCCTCCGCGAGCCCACAAGCCGGAGGCAGCGAGCACGGCCATGGTCACCATCGTCAGCCATCCGCTGAGCCATCCGACGTCAACTTTGGCAGCTCCAACTTTGGCGATCAGAGCAGAGCCGGGCCCTCCATGCAAGCCATGCATTCGGCATCCAACGATCAGGACGGCAGCATGCCGCAGCTGTCCATCTCGGACTTGCAGCGCATGCTTCTCGAGCGAGAGAGGACGGAAAGGATTCAAAACATGCAGACCGCCCTCTTGAAGCAGCAGCTCGACCAGCTCTCGCGCCTGCAGCAGCAACAACAACACATGCAGGGCCAGCAGCACCCACAACAACAACAACAGCAGCAGCAGCAGCAGCAGCAGCAGCAGCCTTCTCAACAGCAGCATTCACAACATCAACAGCCGCACGGTCAAAACATCCAAGGAAGCGGACCTTCATCAAATTTGCAGCTCAACTTGTCCGGTTCTGCTGGTCAGCTCTCGCCAGGACAGCAGCAGAGCCTTCTTATGGCGCTTCAGAATGCGTTCGCCGCCGGCAACAACCCCAGTGCGCATCACAATGTGTTGCAGGCTGCCCAGTACCAGCAGCAACAGCAACAGCAGCAGCTTTCTCAGGGACAGCATGCGTGGCAGCAGCAGCAGCAGCCACAACAAACGAACGGCGCTCAAGGTCAGCCGGGCAACAGCAACGATCAGTCCAACGTGCTGGCGCAGTACGGTCTCATCACCCCCATTGGCTCTGGTCCCTTCAACAGTTCCGCGTGTCCACCAGGTTCAGCCAACTTTATGTCGCCCCTCACTATCCAGCCCAACTCGCAGCCAGGAAGTGCAGGCATCGAGCACCGGCCGGGTACCGACTATCTTGCCAATTACACGCCGCTCGAGTCGCCTGCTGTCACCCCGGCAAGCGTATTTTCCACCGGCAGCACCGGCATCGTCATGTCGGAGCTCTTTTCCCCACTCACATCGCCTGCGCTCGGCCCGCAGCCACCAAGTCTCGGCGAGATGATGCTGCCGCCGGCGCAGCTGCACCAGCCACACCATCAGCATGCGGCGCAACAGCCTAGCCTGCACGGCTCGCCTGCCGTGAGCGCCGTCAGCAACAACTTTACCCCCACCGCCTCGCCGCTCGCCCTCATCGCAAAAGGTTCGTCCAAGATTCGAAAGAACCGCAGCACGACGGCAGAATCGCGTGCCAACAAGGTGCGACCTTCGCCCTTGATGAAGCCCGTCTCGGGTCCATCGTTGAAGAAGAAGAAAGATTCAAGCACTCTCGCCTCGCCCAGCACAGCGACGCCGCTTGCCAGCGCGAATGGGCACACCAGTGTTGGTGCCTCCGGCCCGGGGTCGCGAAGAGCGTCCGTCGCGACCGCACCGGACGCTGGTACAGCGAGCGGCTCGCACTCGAGGCATCAGTCTACGGACGTGGCTCAGAGCGAGGGCACTTCGTCGACTCCTTCGCCGATCGACTTGTCCGGCGGTGGTTCCATGCTTCCTCCCTCTGGACCGACAAACAAGATCCTCACACCCAGCTCCATCATGGGCATCCGATCGAGTCCCGGCAGTGCGGATCAGCGTTCGCCAAGCAGCCGCACAGGCTCTGGCGGCGCCTCGTCGTCTGCTCTCAAGGCCAAGATTCGCGACGATGTTCAACAGTCCCAACAGCAGCAGCAGCAGATGGCGATGCAGCAATCGCAACAGCAGCCGATACCGGTAGGAATGCCCGGTCAGCACGTCTATCCCAACATTGCGCCTTTCCCATCCGCAGCACAAGCCGCGGGGCCGAAAGTGACCTTCAACCTTCCGGGACACGGTATGCCCATTCAGCCCGGTGGACTTTCGCAAGCCGATCGCGATGCCTGGATGACGTACAAATCGGCGGGAGGACTCGAGTCGCGCCGAACTTCGCACAAGGCGGCGGAGCAGAAACGCAGAGACTCGCTCAAGTTCTGCTTCGACGAGCTTCGAGGTCTGCTGCCGGCCATCACGCTGGACGAAGATGCACCCAACGGCTCGTTGCTCGGTCCGGACGGAGTCGAGGAGGATCGCGAAGCGGAGCACTTTGATCCCGCCGAGGTCGGCGACCCGGAGATGGCGCGTGCCGCCAACAAGGCCATCTCGAAGGTGGCGCTGTTGAGGCACAGCAACGAGTATCTGGTGCGGATGAAGAAGCGTCTCGAGAGGAGAGACCAGGCGCTGCTGGTGTGCAGGAGAGAAGTGGACGAGTTGAGGCAGAAGCTAGGGTTGCCGCCGTCGGACGACCCGAGCATTACGGGCAAGGGCGCGCCGTTGGGTTGGACCGATGAGAGTATGATGGCGTTCGAGCTGAGTATGGGCGCAGAGATGGATGGGGAGGTGGGGAGCGAGGAGGATGGCAAGTTGGAGATGGATCAGACTGCGTAGGCGGGGTTTTTGCTAGGGTAGGAACGATGTGCTCCAATCGTCTGCTTGAGATCTCTACTTTGCAATGCATTTCACTGGCGTATATCTATCTATGGTGTTGTATGTGGTGTGTGCCAGGAAGCACGACGACGTGATCCAGGTAGCTAACTTTCTCGGCATGAGCTCGTTGTTGGCACAAAAATGAAAGAACGGCTTGAGAAGTAGAGCGAGAAAAGGGCTGCAAAAAGAAAAGGCCAAAAAATTCCCGGCCAGGGAATCGAACCCTGATCTGAGCAGTAGCACTGAAGGTTCAAGTCCATCAGGTTCTGAGAGTGCCCTATACTAACCATTGTACTAACTGGGAGGCTTTGGTTGTTGCGATACATCCAGAGTGTTGCGTACATAAACCTTTTCTGTTTTGGAGCGTTGAAATTTGTCGCACGTGCAATTCTCGAAGCTTCCTAGATCTGCGCACGGGCTTGACCTCGTTAGCGATTCACAAGATCTTCCTCCCTTCCACACTGTCCACCACTTTCATATATCTGCAAGTTCGCCCGTTATGTCGTTGTCGATCTCCGAGACCGAGCTGCAAGAGATCTACACGTTTGCGATCGAGCTTTCGCGCAAAGCCGGTCGGGCGATCGTCGAAGGTTCGTCGCGTCGGTTCGCCTCGTCTGCCGGGTTCGACCAGAAGAAGAACACGGCCGATCTGGTCACCGAGACGGATCAGGCGGTGGAGGCGTTGGTGAAGCGCGAGATCTCGACCAAGTTCCCGGATCACGATTTCATCGGCGAAGAGTCGTGGGCTGCAGGCGAGGAGAATGTGATTGGGGAGAAGGTGACTTGGATCGTGGATCCGATCGATGGTACAACCAACTTTGTACACGGGTTTCCCTTCACGTGTATTTCGATCGGTATCGTTGTCGATCGAAAGCCGACCATTGGTGTAGTGTACGCACCGTTCATGGACACGCTGTACCACGGATGTCTCGGCAAAGGCTCGTTCCTCTCCTCCCCGCACCACCCGACGCCTCAACGTCTACCCCTCGCATCTCCACAACCGCTCGGCTCGCTCAACCAGGCACTCGTAGCCTTCGAATGGGGCTCCGATCGACGCAGCGAGATCCTCTCGAAGAAACTCTCGTCCTTCAGCAAGATCACCGGCGATCCCGAGGGCGGCGTCGTCGGCGGGAAATTCGCCCAGGGCGTACGGTCCATCGGTTCCGCCGCCCTCAACTTCTGCTCCGTCGCCAGCGGAAGCCTCGACCTCTACTGGGAGATTGGTTGCTGGGCTTGGGACGTCTGCGCCGGCGTGGTCATCGCACAGGAAGCAGGCGCCGCCGTTGTGGGCAGCCAGAAACACGCAACGGACGTCATTGCAAAGGGTGATGACTTCAACGTCGTCACAGAGCAGGTCTTGACCGGAAGGAAGTACGTCGTGGTCAGAGCCATCGATGGTAACGACGAGGGGAAGAACAGGGAGGCTCAGAAACACATCTTGACCGAGTTCTACGGATGCGTCGACGAGTGGGAGCCGTAAGCCGAGAAAACTTTTCTCGAGTTGTCGTGATACAGATCGTCTCAAGGTCCAGTTTGTTCACGAGAGTCACTGTGAAACGAATCTGTCGTCACGCTTCGTCGCAAAGGTTTGTGAGTGTGTTCGACGAGCAAGTGAATTTGCATCAAATCTGAAGGACGTCCACGGAAACGACGCCGACGCCATCTCCAGGACGCCAGGGGTATCATAGCAATTGCTTTTGTCACAGGAACCTGTCCGCTGCCACTTCTCACCCTACCTGACCAACCTTCTTCCTATCCTTCCCCGTCTTAGCCGCATTCAATATCCTCGCCTCGGCATCATCGATCCTCGCCTCGACCGTCTGCCCATCCGCGATCGCCAACGTCTCCTTCGGCGGAGATGCCCCATACATTCCTGCTTCCCCTACCTGCAACCTCCCCTGCTGTTGCTGCTGGACCTCGATCCACCCTCGCTCGTCTCTGTACGCTTCGAGCGCCGCCACCGCCGCCTCGGCTGCAGCCCAGGCGACACGCACCGCCTTGACGTGCAGATCGTGCTTGCGGACGAAGCGCATGGCTCTGCTGGTCTCTCGGACGGCGAGCTGGGTGCCCTTTTCGGTCAGGCTGTACTTGGCGTCGATGGCGGCGAGGATCGAGACGAGTTGTCGGAGGAGCTGGTAGAGTTGCGTCGGGAGGGGCGATCGTTTGAGCGAACGCGCGAGGGAGGCCGAGAGCAGGATGAGTCGGTCTTCGGCTGTCTCGGCTCCGGATCCAGGGACAGAGGAGGAGGGGGTTCCGGGTTCGTATCTGGCAAGATACATTTGCTCCTCCTTGGTCATGGGTGGCGCGGTTGCGGATGAGGGGTCGGAACGTGCCACGGCACCGAGACTGCTAGCGAGGGCGCTGGCGGCTGTGCTCGCGAAAGCAACGGCGAGCTCCCACTGCTTGTTGTTCTGGTTGATCGCTCGAGTCCAAGCCGTCCTGGGTGTCGCGGTTCCACTGCTAGGTTGAGACGCCCTCGGTGAGACATCAGCCTCGGAAACATTCTGCAGATCTTCCCCGTTATCCATATCCGTGATCCTAACATCCTCGACCTTCCCCTTCTCCTCTCCCCTCCCTGCCCCCCTGGTAGGTGCGATAGCCCCCAAATTCGCACTTAACGCACTCAACGCCCCCGCACCAATGTGCAACCCTACATCCAATACGCCACTCCCGATCTTGCCCGCCAAACTCGAGCTGCCCCTCGAACTCGCTTTCGCCGCCGCATGGGCTCTCGAAAAATTCCCTCCCTCCCCCATCCACCCTCCACCCGGCACGGCGGTGTGATAGTGATGATGAATGACACTGGCCGGTGAACCCAGCTCCTTCTGCAACTCCAGCTTCCCGCGTTCGAGCTCAAGTTGCCGTTTCAGCTCCTGTGCCTGTTCGAGTTCTGCTTTCGCATCGAAGCCGAGTTTGGACATCCCTTCCTCCAACCGCCTCCGCATGTCCTCCTTTTGTTTCCCGTTGAGTGCAGTCGCGTCCTTGTCCGAGATCGCCGAGATCAGGTAACCCAGTGAAGAGATGTAGAGGTCTAGAGAAAAACCAACATCGTCTTCCACCTCGCTATCGCTATCACCCTTGGTCCGCTGTTTCTCCTCCCAGAGACGTTCGTCTTCCTCGGCTGCCTGTGCTGCTTCGACCGCCAAGCTCACAGCTTTATCGAGTCTCCTCCGATCCAATTTCACGGGTCTCTCTGTCTTCGCCACTAGAGACCTTTCACCGTCCACTTTCGTCACCGCCAGAGACGGACTTGGCAGGGGAGGAAGGTCATCTGACGAGGTCTCGGAAGCACTGCTAGACGGCTGAGACACGAACCGCGATGGAACCCATGCAGCTGCCAGGCCTCGAATGGAATGAAGGCTTCGTGCGCGGAAACCTGCTTGACGCTGCACCGTCTTCTCCTGGCTCGAGAGTGCTGCTTCCGATGCACAGTGGAGCGATGTTGTTCGGGTAAACTCGCTATCTTGAGTGGTGGAGGGAGCAGGAGGATGTGAAGCGAACGACCGTGGTAGAGTCTGATACCGTGGATCGGAGGGAGAAGGTTTGATGGTGGCTTCTGATGATGCTGGATCGTAAAGCTTTTTACTCTTGTTGGGAGGTGAAAAGATGGAAGTAGCAGGGGTATCGGTCGATTCGGATGCTTCGGATTCCATTGCCGTGCTCGTCGAGCTGCTCCTCGAAGGCGACCTTTCCGACGTCGGGAACGCGATACCGCTGGTGACCTTTGAACTTCCACGGAAGCGTACCTCCTCCCCTAAGCTTCTGTCCTCTTTCACCGACTCCATCCCCGATCGTGCCTTGACCGGACTCTCGTCAGCCCAAACCGTCGGAGTCGGATCCGAAATCATAAGTTCGGCATCCGTGCTCAAGCCTCCCGTTTTCCGCGCTTCGTTCGGCTGAGTGAGTCCCGCGGATAGAAACGATCCGAGCGAGTTTAACGATGGTAGAAGTGAGGTGGATCGACGGTGCGTGGGCCGCGACGATGAACCTGATGTGCTGGCGTCAGCGGAGGAAGGCCACGGTTGAGCGGACATTGTGTCCGACGCGAAAGAAGAAGCTGAGCTTGGGACCAAGGATGAGTCGATGCGATCGGAAGTGATCCGAGCTGCTTCTGGTGTGATGGTAATTGGAGCGCTCTTTCGGGTGCGAGCCGAAGGGTTTGAACTGCAATGAGGAACAGTCTCGGGCGTAGCACCGAGCGTCGTAGGACTGTTGTAGAGGGAATTCGTATCTACCGTGCCGTTTCAGTGATACGTCCTCATGTCTCAAGACCGACGCTGTCCGAGGGAGTCTATGCTGACAGTCACGCTGATACTCTTGGTCGTCGCGGCCCTTCCGGTGTGCGACGTGCTGGTCGTTCTTGCTGACACTTCTATCGATGTCTCGCGCTGCTGGTCTTGAATCCCGTTGATGGTGGAAGTGATCAATGGTGGTGTAGAACCTTGATCACCAGGTCAGCATTCCTCCACCTGGAGCTTGGCCTCTTTCAACTGCAACAGATCAACGTGAAATGAGGCGCAGGGTTCTGCTGCACTGCAGATGCAACTGCATAACGCAGTCCCGAACAGTAGATCCGATCTGTTTTCGCTCTTCAACTGGCCAGGCAGAGTGCGCATTCCCCGATTTCATTTTGTTCCGCCAGGTTATCGAAAAAAAAAAAGAGTTCCAGCGAGCAAAACAGACCGAGCGTGAAATCTGATCAGCGCGGTACCAAACTCTACGCGATCTGTGTGTTGTTGTGCAATGGGTGAAAGCACCGAAAAACCTTAAACATAAATTGTCCGAAGACCAAAAAAAAAATTGTCGACCTTTCACGCGTTTCTCCAATTTCTGAACAGGGACTCTGTGACAGCAGCTCGCTCCATGTCATCTCGATCCGTGCAGCCCTACTGTGCTCAGGTCGCCATGCAAGGGCGCCGCGCTATCTCGACTCAGCCGATCGATTTCATATCGCTCATACCTACACAAGTCACGGAGAGGATGAAAATGGTTCGATGCGACGCGAATTGAAAAGGGTATGGTAGTGAACGCTAGTTGTGTTGCTCAGAAGGAAGCAGCTGTGTCACGACGAAGTGCTCCACGTAAACAGACGACGGATGAGCGGTTTGGTACGAGACTGATCGTCGCCTGTCTTGATGGTCGACCGGCGGCTCGAAGATCCCGCAAAGCGCATTTCCCTCTCAGGCGAACGCATCTCAACCGGCGACATGACCAACGGCGCCGCCGACAAATGCTCGCTATGGTCACCTGCGGCTGCGTCTTGATACCCCTCCAAATGGCCGATTCGATAGACGTTTTCGTCAACATGATCACGGCCGTCGTCGGATGCAGATCTATGACCTGTATCAGAGGCAAACTTCATGCCACTCGATCGCTTGCCCATCAGCTTCATCGAGCCTTCCTTGAGACGCACTTGCTTCTCCTTGAGCGTCGCCATTAAGCTGCCATGCTTGTGGTGTCGGCTGTCGCCAAAATTGCATCGCGGTGATCCGCCAATATCTTCTCCCAACATCCGTCTCGCAGAGCTCATAGCTACCGGAGCCGGCACGCGGAGCGGCGTCCTTGAGCGCTCAACTGTCGACCCGAACATCGGCACAGACGCACCACGTCCATGCGACGCGGGGCTCGAAGGAACACTCGCGCTCGGCCCGGCCAGCGTGCCACGGTACGGTGCAGAAGGATTCAGCCGTAGACTTCGCATGCCTTCCAACGGCCATTCGATGCCGAGACCTTGCGAACCTGCAGCAGCTAAAGGAGGGGCGCCTTCTGCACCAACGCCACGCTCCACCCGTTGCACACGCGAGCCGAGAGGGCTGCGATCGCCGACACCTCTTGCAAATCGTGAAGTTGCCACCTCAGTCACCGCGCGATTCGGTGTCGACGGCTGCGATCGCGGCAGTGCTGCGCGGCTTGCAAGCTTCACATGCGCTGAGACGCTGTCCCTGAGTGGCGTCGTCTGCAGTGTCGCGTTGGCTGTCGCCGGTCGATCGGCGCTACGCGGGAGTGCCTTTTCGCTCCTCGCTGGGGATACAAGCTCGAAGCCTTGAGGCACTGGGTCCTCATTGTCGCCTTGGTCTTCGGCGCTCCGACGACTCGCAGCCGATGGAGGTGCTAGAAAGGTAGACTCGGTCGTTCCCGTCTCGGAGCGCACCTTGCGGTCGCCGTCCGGCGTTCTGTTCTGGCACTCCCTATTGGCCGTCTCGCATGTGTTCTGCGGGCTGCTCGTCGATGAGGCACCGTGAGACAGCGTCGGAGTCGTGAACCTCGAGCCGTCAAACTCGCCGCTATGTACACGCGGCGAAGAGGTCGGCTGTGAGAGGTGTCGGCTGCCGTCCACGCTTGGCTGACGCACACTAGACTTGGCCGGCGAGGCGGATCGTCCTCCGGCGAAGTGTGCCGAAGGCGCACGAGACCCAGATTGTGGAGCTTGCATCATGTGAACGAGCTCGTCCGCGGTGGGTCGCAAGTCTTGGTGTCGGAGCGATGCCTTGAGCGCCGAGCGCAAGGCTGGCGAACAGCCCTCGGCCTGGCTAGTCAACGGCACAGGCTCGAGTGCGATGCGGACGATGAGCAATGGCAGAACCCGACACCATTGATGGAACCGTGGAACTTCGTCCTCGCTCGGAGACTTTTCGTGAAGGGGATCAATCATCTCGTCGCGGTGACGCGAGAAAGAAAAGTCGTACGGAGAGATGGTGCTGCTGCTTGGTCGCTGGTCCTCGTGGATCGTCTTGAGCATTAGAGCCTGCACGGTGCAAGCCCAGCTCCAGATGTCGGCGCGGATGCCCCAGCCACGTCTGAGATCGCTCAGACCGATGTGATACATGCCCCACTGTTCTCGCGGGAGGAAAGAGTGAAAGTCGAATTCGTAGTCCTCCAGCACCGAGCGAGCCCGACCGGAAACGTCGACGTATCTTGTCGCCTGGAGGAGGATCTCAGGTGCCATGTAGTAGGGTGAGCCGGTCAACGATCCAAGTCCTTCGCAGAGTTCAGGTGCGAGCCTAGCCACTGGGCGGCTGCGCGCCAGGAGGTGGCGGTCCTGCTCTTCCACCGCGCGTCGATTGTTGCGCTCCTTGTTGGAGAGATGCACGAATCGGCGGCTGGCACCGAGGTCGATGATCTTGACAACGCCCGTGCGAGGATCAAGCATGAGGTTGGATGGCTTCAAATCGCCATGCGTCACGTTGTGCTCGTGCAGAAACTGGAACGAGGGCGACGGCGAACACATTGTTCTTTGTAAGTCTAGCGGCTCGAGTCCTTGGTTGTGTTATGAACATGATACTCACCTGAAGTCCACGCATGACCTCCAGGGCGACTTTCTCGACGCGCTCGTGCGACCACATCTTGTTGGACTTGACCCAACCCTGCGATGTGCGTTCAGCGTCAATCTCGATGAGCTTCTCGAAGACGAGCAGTCTTGTTGGCGGACCATCCTCCTCGTCGAACGAGATGTCGAGAGCCTCCAGCTGAGAATCTCGACTGATCCCGTTTGGAGGAAGATTGGCCAGGAGCTTGACGAGCGGAGGATCGTCGCAACGGCCCGACGCCTGATGTGCCGCTTGCAGATACTGAAAGATGCGACCTTCACCTCTGACGATGCGTACGTGGGTCTTGGCGTCGTCCTGCATCTCGGCGCGCCGTGTCCGTTTATCGACCAGGCTCGTCTTTTGCAGCTCGTCAAAGGAGCCGGAGCAAGGCGTGCGACAGAGCTTGATGGCTACGAGAGAGGCTGGCTTCGTGACAGAGTTGACGGCTACGACCTGATCGCAAAGGCGGGAACGAGGAGAGGAGCGGCCGCGGTCAAGTTGCGAGGAGGCGATCGCTTCGGAACCAGACGCATGGCGATGCATGGCGGTGGAAGTGAGGGAGAGCGATAAATCCATTGAAGAAGGCGGCGTGAAGGATGAATCGATGGCGTATCTATAGACGCAGCCAAAACCGCCCTTGCCCAGCACACCCGCATCCACATCGCCGCTGCGAGCCATGCGGTTGTAACGGACAAATCGTGCACCGCCAAGTGCGAATTGAATGGTGGCGGGCGGACCATTCGAAGCGCCTGCGGACGAACCAGCCTCGGTGGCATCTCCCAAGGTTGCCGGCATTTTGATGCCGTGTTGATGTATCGCCACGGTGTGAGGATGAGTGGCGACGGTGCAAGATGGCTGCAGATCGAAACACTACGATGCTCAGTTCTGTTGCGATGGTGTAGAAAGTAAAGAGGCGATGTGAGAAGAGGCAAGTGCGAAGGAATGCGGCAAAAGGTGGTTGTTGCTTGGGCAGTATTTGTAATGTCGACTGTTGAGCTCGATGTCGGTGTGGTGATTGATGAGGTTGGGTGGGGCTTTTGTTGTGCTGAACGGTAGCAAAAGCTAACGATGTGATGGGAGATTAAGTCGTGGGAACTTCCAGCAAGGCAATGTGGTCCTGGCCTGTAAGCAGTGCTGAATTGATCGAGAATGCAACCAGCGGGCGTCGTGAGGTAAGCCGTACACTATGACAAGGGCACGATGGTGGCCGGACCTGCTCGACTTGAGCGGGAGGGTGTCCTAGTCAATGCTGCATGCGTTCAGAATGACTCGAGATTGTCTAGCCGTAGGTTACATATAGAGGTATCAACTGTGGATCGCAATTCGGATGAGATGCCGTGATTAGACAGAGGCTCAGGCACGAGGAGCGGTCCGAGCCTGGAGAGACGCGACCAATGAAGGTAACGAGCGAGTCGATCCGACTCGCATGCAGAGGGGCCTGCTGCCGATACGGGCTAGGCAGGTGGGCGAAGATGACCGAGCCAAGTTGGCTAAGCTTGTCCTAGAGGCTCAAGGTGCGAAAAGGAAAACGAATCACGGTACAGTAGCACGAGCCGGTCAATGGTGCGTAATGAAGAGACTTGTCGGCCATGCAATGAAGATAGTTAGCTGACACTGTTGGCTGAGAGGTGATCAAATGAGGTGAGGAGAAAGACGCCAGCCGAGGTTCCTTCCAGAATACCGGCAACGATCTCGCTTGATACGTATGGCTAGTCTGGCCATCGTCATGGGAGGTCTGTGACCTGGATGAAGAGTAGGATGGAAGATGGAGAGGAAGAAGCTGGAAGGAAGGAGGAGGACGTTGGCGTGGTGCGTCAAGAGTGCGGGAGGGAGGAGCGTGCATCCGACACTATGCATGCATGCAGGCAGGCAGCATCGAGCCAAAGGGTCCAAGCGCCACCGGCACATACTGAATCGCACTCGTTCCGCTCTTCCACCAAACAACTCAAGCGTTCCAAGAGCATGCCGACGCTGCCAGATGTGGCAAGGCGGGTCGGCTTCGGCCTCACTGTGAACAGCAAGCGCAAGAGCGGGAGCAGTCGATGCGGCTACCTCAATGCTTTCTAATCGACCATCCGATACTTCCGATCCACATCCAGCGCGACAAGGGCTTCAAAGGAACAGTCAGGGAAGTGAGAGAGAGCAAGCGCATAAGGTGCGGCTGTCGAGCTTCCCTTCCCTGGTCAACGCAAGCTCACAAAGTCACACGCGCAGCGGCAAGCCTGAGGAGGGGTTGAATTGGCGTCTGACACACGCTTTCTTCAGCAAGGCTTTGCGGCGCATCCGACTGCTCGAGCCCACCACGAGTCTGCAACGCACTCGGACAAGCCGCCGACAGCAGCACTTGACTCTGTCTCTCTCTCTCTCTCTCTTTTTGCAAGCCGCAAACAGGCAGCCGTTGCTTTACCGTTGCTTCCACGCTGCGAGGTTGCGCTGCAAAGCTGTCGTGTCGTTGTGCGCTGCCAGGTTGTCTTGTTGTACTGCTTGGCGCGATCGACGAAAACCTTAACAAAGGGCAGCTGCAGCAATCATCAGCGCCCAGCACGCAACGCCTTCGGCAAGGCATCAGGCTGGCTCAACTGAGCTGCCAGATGACAGCTTGATGACGGTCGAACCCAGTCTCAAAGCATCTGCGTGCAAACGGGAAGATGTGACAGAAGAACAACACTTTCGGCTCTTCCGAGACCAACACTTTTGGATTTGCTTGCGTTTTTCCAGCCGACGCGCTGCAGCTCCGTGAATGTCGCATTGTGCGCGGTGCGTGACTTTGGAGAGGACAAAGGAGACGGGACGCAGCCGGCCCTGCACATGCTCATGCATGAACTGGTTCGACTGGCCTCGGAATCCTCGTTTCCATGGCCAATGCAGAGCCGAAGGTGGGCCTTCCATGCAGCAAGCAACGCTGCTCCTATTCCGGCACCATTTGTGTCTCTCCGTCTCTCACTCCAGCGAGCTCCGAGAGGTCTCACCGCCACGTCTCTTGTCAGACACTAGAGGCTCACCGAGGCAAAGTTGCCGATCAGGGGCCACGTGGCTCTGGCATCTTCTTTGTGGGACCGCAAGGGGACGAGGCTTGCTGCCCTTGATTCAAAGGGCACCGAGCATCTTGCTTGATCTTCCGGGTATAAACTCAGTTCATCCCTCAGTCGAACATGTCTGCCGCCGCTTCCTTACAGTATGTGTTGAACAAACACTTGGTGCACATGCAATCTCGCGAACAGGAGGCGCAGCGGGCCGGTTGCATGAATGAATGTCACACTAAGCAGCCTTCACTTTCGGCTGGAACGCGCCGCCTCCTCGTCCGCTCTTGTGGCGGTGAGCCAGCACGACAAACGTGCTCCCGTCAAACACCCCCAGAATGTCGTCCTTCCGCATGTAGCCTGTGAAAAGCAAGCATGCAGGCAAGCAGCAGATAGGATATGCGCAGAGAAGTTTGGGTCAGCGGTGTTCACATCTCTCGTGCTCCCCCCGCTCCGGGACCCGACTTACCATCAGCCGGCCAGAGCAGCATGTAGGTGCTGCCCCACTCAAACAAGAAAGCGAACCATCCGAAAGGATCCACGAGGTTGCGTCGCTCGCGGATCATGGCCATGGCATCCGAGAACGAAAGGGCGTCCTTTCCGTGGCGCGTCGAGTAGTCGTCCAAGATGCGCTCAAATTGACGTTGTTGGAAGTGACCGCGTCGGTCGTACGACTCCGTGTCAGATCCGTGCTTGCATCGATGGATGTTAGCCACGTAGATCCGCATGAACGGATCGGGAAGCCAGTCCAGCAGCTTGTTGCCTTTGCGCGGCAGCGTCGGATACGAGAACGGACCGTGGATGATGCCCACCGCCAACGCCGAGAGAATCAGTCCGAAGCCGAGAGACAGGAAGGCGAAAAAAGTATCGGTCGGCCAGATCACGCCGTCGCAGTCGCCGTCGAAAAAGGCCACATGCTGTTGAATTGTGGACGAGAAGGACTCAACTTGTCAGCTTCCGATTCCTGAACATCTCGTGGTGCTTTTCGACGACTACTGGGCGCTTCTGGCTCGTTTCAGACGCAATTCAACTCACTCTCTGCATCGCGGTGAGACCCTTGGTTCGCTCGAGATAGTCTTGACGATCCCCGTTGGGATCCTTCCAGGTGTTCTGGGGAGTGTAGGGCACTTTGCTGCCCGCCTCTCCGTACACCAGCTTGGTGTTGTCAAAGTACGGGTCGACGTCCACCTGACGTGCAATCTCACCCTTTCCGCCCTTGTTGATGCTCGTCATTGTGCCGATAGCAGTAATAACTTGTTTCTGGCGTCGACGGTCTGGACAGAGACTTTCTCAGATGGTGAGATGAAGAGAATCGAGGAGCTGTGCGGGTGGTGGATGGGAGATGAGGAGTGTTCCGCTCAATCACCAGACTCAAAGGATTCAAATCTCTTGCTGCAGTCGTCCTCGATCGTCACTCGCTTTGAGAACGAAGTACCAGGATTCCGACGGCGAGGGATGCTTCGGAACACAGCCGACAGCGCGCTGTGCAGCAAGTATCGATAACCGAAGCGTTCGAAGAACGAGCGATGACTGACACAAAAGCGCTGTTCCTCCCATTCACACGCCAATCGCCAAGCAAGGCGCACGGCGAGGTGCAAGGCCAGCCAAGCCACGGAGTGACTGTACCGACAGTACAGTTTGACTTTGTCGATGTCGCGAGTCGTTCAATCGACGCTCGCTGATTGAGTTTCGTGCAAGAGACTTTTGTGACGTGTGTCTTACGTGCTGAGATAACAACCTGGACAGAAGCAAGGGTCCAGAAACGCAAAGGTGAATAATCATCATCATCAGCAGCAGCAGCACATTTTCACGACCACGTTCTTCCACTTTGACATCACCGAGATTCTGTTTCGAGGCGAAATGCAATACGACATCGGGCCGATCTCGTTACCTGGCTTCCGATACCACGGACGATCATCGTCTCAACACCACGGCCGAATGATCATCTCACATCCTTTGAGTTTGTCGCTTGCCAAGATTGCACGTCAAAAGCCTCACCTTGGGTCGACCTCTATCCAGCTCACTGCTGCCCGACCCGGGGAGGGAATCGCATTACATATTTCGGCACACGCACCGACGGGGGAACCAAATCGGCTGTGCCGTCTGTCTGATTCAATGGCCTCTATGTCAATCCGCGAAATTGATACATCATCAAAATGCTATCACTTGGACGCTTTCTCGTACTCGCTGAACAACTTGGCGAGCTGCTCCTCGTCGATCTGTGAGGTGATCAGGTCAGTGAAGAGGGCGGAAGCGGAAGCAGTGTCAGCAATGAGCGAATCTTTCTATTCTTCAAACCTGCGGGGAACTCTCACCTTGTCGATCTTTGGCTTGTCCAGATCCACCTCATCCGTGAGCTGAACAGAGTCGCCGAGAAGAGATTTGCAGACATCGAGCAAGAGCTCCTTGACACCATAGTTGGCATTCGAGGAGATCTCGCGGTAAGGAAGGTCCTTCTTGCGTGGGAACTCGATGGCTTCTGGCTTGATGTCTCGGCCTTTGATGTCGTCGGCTTTGGTGCCAACGACGATGACGGGGAGAGGCTCGCTACCCTTGCGTCCGTTTGCCTTGACGACGGCATCGTACCACTCCTCCATGGCGGTGTAGCTGCCTTCCTTGGTCAGGTCGAAGAACACGATGGCAGCATCGGCGGTGCGGAAGAAGCCGTCGTCAGGGATGCCTCCCTTGGCGTGCAAGTTGGTGTCGAAGAGTCTAAGCGTCACCGAGCCAGCCGAAGTCTGAAGCGTGACGGGGTACTGCGTCGTCTTGAGCGCCTTGATCTCCTTGGAATCGGACTTTGCCGATTTGACGCGGGTGGCAAAGGTGGTCTTGCCGGTGCCGAACTGACCGGCCAACACGATCTTGAAGTCTTTAGCAGATGCCATGATGAAATTGGTGGTGTATGACGGTACAACAGAGGGAGTACGTGTCTGCAGAAGGTGATGGGACAAGGTGGATGCGAAGACGAGGGGTACACTGTAGTAGACGGGGTGAAGGCGAAGCTGCAAGAAGATCATGCGCTTGAGCAAAACTCGGTAGCTTGCGTGGCCCGTCCATTCTCACGAAAGTCGAAAACGCGGGGCCAATCAAAGTGTTGGTTGGATTGCCGAGACGAGGAACCGAAAATAGAAACCAGCTGCCAACCGCTTTGCCCTTCCTCCAAGAGTGCGGGGGCGCACACAACTTGACCCTCGTTGCCTCACGTCACCTACAGGTGTAGCTGAGTACTGTAGCCTCTTTCCCGCATCATCACTTCTAGCTGTAAAGAGAAGCAGAGAGACACCGAGAGAAACTCGCTCCAAGTTAAAGTTTCGACACACTTACCAGACGAGCAACTCTTGACTTGGAAGAGCCCAGCTTGAACGGTGCGTTACGTTATCGCGCGCAGAGCTAGCTGTTCTGCTCCTTGTTGCGTGTGACGTCAAAAGAGCGCATTGGAGCGCAATGGATCGGGCACCACCCCTCTGCCGATGTCGTTCTGCAGCCCATTCGGGTGTGTCGTATCAGTCAGGGTCCACATACTGGCTGCAGCCTTTTTGTGTTGAAATCCTTTGCTTCCGCGGCGGAATTTCGTGCTTTGGCAGCAGCGTGATGCCTTGCTTGCCTCTCGCGTCTCTATGCTACTTTTCCAGTCCAAGGGTCCGACTTGGATGTGAAAGGAGCATTTGGACAGCTGCACGGACTTGACTCCAACACGATCACGCACCCATTCTTACGTTCAGAGGTCACTCTACTCTACACACCGCCGATCACAGGGAGTAGATTTTGATCAGCGCCGTGCGTAGCCCTTCGAAACGGCACTACGCCCTTGCTGTCTTCCCTTGCATTCATTGCATTCGAGGCGGGAGCAGTCGAGGTGGTTGTCATCGATACCACCATAGAGAATCGATTCGCTTTGTCACAGGTTTCGGCATCTCCGAGTCCGTCGCTGCTGCGCCGAAGGCGCGGGCGTTGTTCGACCGTTCTCGGCTCGTGCCTACGATGCTGAACCGTCTGCTGGTGACGCTGGTTCGTCACGGAGAATCGCAAGACAATCAGCAAGGGATATGGGCGGGCTTCAGGGATACGCCGCTAACCGTCGACGGCGTCAATCAGGCGAGGGCGTTGGGACAATCCTTTGCCAATGTGCCGCTCACAGCCATCTACTGCAGCGACTTGAAGCGAGCAGCCATGACAGCAGACGAGGTCCTCAAATCCAATCGGTCCATCCCACCGCCCCCTTTGGTGCAGTCCAAATCGCTGCGAGAGATCAACTTCGGGCAAGCCGAGGGACAAAGCTATGCGCTCGCAGAATGGATGCAAGGTTCGACGGGTCATGATGCGCGCAACTTCCGCTTCCCCGAGGGCGAATCGCTCCAGGAGGTCAACGCGAGGGTAGCAAAGGCGGTGCGCCAGTTCATCCTTCCACGCATCGAAGCGCTGCGCAAGAAGCCTCCGCAACAGAATACTGCGGCAGCTGATCTCGTCCACATTTGCATCGTCGCTCACGGCATCGCCATCGCCGAACTGCTCCGCGTCTTTATGGCGCTCCACGATGCCTCGACTTCCGATGCCTGGCCAGACCCAAAGGGCTCGTACCAACGCGTGCGTCTGGAGAATACCGGTTGGTCTCGTCTCGAGATAGCAGTTCCTTTTCAGGGTGACGACAATGATCCCTTTGTACCGGGCTCCACGTGTCCCGTCAAATCAGACGCCGCCGCAGGTGACGCTGCAGCTCAAGCATCGTCATCCTCGTTAACCCGCCCCGATGCGCAGTCAGGGTATACCGACTTTGGCGAGTTGCAAACCGATCTCGTGGAGGGCCCTGCCGACGCAGCATCCAGGACGCCAAACAAGTCGGCTCTGCCTCGATCCGAGTCTGCAGCCCGTCCGATCTATGTGCGCATCCTTTGTCAGAATCAGACCGACCATCTTCGCACCTACAACCCGCAACAAGGTCCTGCCGCCTCGGCCGCCAAGACCGTAGCCCATCTGGCTGGTGGTGGCGGGACAATTGTGTCACCCGCTGGAGCCGGCTCCGGGTCTTCAGCGGCAATAGCCAACCAAGGTGCGACCGCGTCATCCGCAGCAACGGTCGGAATCCCACATTCGGCAACCCTTGCCTCCATCGCGTCCCTCGCAGGCAGCTCACACGCACACCCCAACATAGCATTGAGTCCATCAACACCCGCCGCGCCAGGCGCATCGGCCTCGGCGAATGGCACGCCCAAGAATGCCACGATCACCCCAGCGTCCACTCGCAGCCTCAGCTCTTATGACGCTAGAATAATGGCGCGCGAACTTGAGCGCGCAGGTGCTGCCTCCATGCTGGCTGGCTCTGAGGCGGGGCCGTCAGGAAGCGCAACAAGCTACTACCCCGTGTCGACATCTTTTTCAGCCTCAACAGCCGACCGACAAGGATCGGTCGCTGGGCATGCTGGCAACGCCGGTGCAAACGCAAGCGCAGGCGGGTCTCATGACCGCAGCACTTTTCCTACATCGCCCGGCGTGAGTGGCTCGCTGGCCACATCTCATCAAACGAGCTCCCAGCTCGGCGCTGCCTATTCTCAGGGCACGCCAGGGAGCTTAGCGGGTGCCGCGTCGCCGAATCCCACGAGCGCAAATTTCCAACCAGGCCCTGGCGCTTTGTCGGATACATGGCAGATGGTGTGCATCCGAGTCCTGCCTCTCTTCAACGGCGAAGCGCTTCGCACGAGCATCGAGGACCTGAACGAGATGGTCAGTCTTCACGTGCGAGACACGCTCGATCGTGGTCAGTCTCAAGCCATCGAATCGCTCACCCTCGATCTCATCTCGCTTGCGTCGACTGGAACATTGACCCTCAATTCCAAATTGCAAGGTCTTGAGGATACGCGCCTTCTGCTCCGCTTGGTCGAGATCTGGACCTTCTTCCTTGGCCAGGTACTGCCTTACTGCGAAGCTGCCTTCCTCCCTTTCCAGACGGATCCAACCATACGTAGCCTTGTGGCAGCCTCGAGCTCCCACGGCACAGCAGCGACAAATACCTCCGGCTCGAACAGCACCGGACCCTTCAGCAATGGCACTGCCGTCACACAGTCCAGCGCGGCGGCCATCCTTTCGAGCGCAGGAAACACTGGCCCCGACTTTCAACGGATCGATGTTCGCAAGGTGCTGCTCGTCGTGTTCCGAAACCAGGTGCTCATGCCCATCTACAAGAGACTCTTCTACCTTTTCGCCCATCTCACCGAGCTTGATCCTGCGTTCTCGGCGGCAGAAGATGCCAACACTGTCGCCGGCGGAGGCGACGACGGCATCAAGCAAGTCTCATTGCGCTTGTTGCAAATGACGAGCGTCCTCGCCAGCATACTCAGCGACGATGAGGCGCAGGATGCTATGGACAGCCTCCTGCGTGCCCTCAGACTTGGATCAAAGAGCGCTTCCAACGGTCGCCACCGCGGCACCGGTGAAGGCCAGAGTGCGCGCGCCGCCTCACCGACGCAGAAGAACAACCGTCGAGGCTGGATGGCGCAGAAAGCTCGCAAGCACGGCACAAGTTTGGGCTCGGAAGGCGACGCGAGCGCCATCGGCAGCATCCACGGCCCCTCGCATTCGTTGCAATCAGGTTCCGATGGTCAGAGATCCTTGTTGACCCGACCGTGGCATGTCCCCAACTTCAGGGATCGTCTCGGTCCTTACTTTGGTCCAGAGATGACAGAGGACGAGTACCTCAGCTCTTTCCAATCGCCAGCAGGCTCTCCGGCGATGTCGACCCCTGGACAGCCAGAATCGACCTTCACCTCGATCGTGGATCGGAACGAGTCGTCATCTGCAGCAGATGCGAATGCCTTGCAGAATGGATCGGCTGATGACCAGCCCGACTCAACGCCGATGGTCACACCGCGAACGGGGGTGTCGAGCGCTCTGGATGTCAACGAGGCCGAGCCAGTCGCTGCAACTACCGCGCTGGCAGCATGACCTGGTCCAACTTCCGCACGCCATTCAGGCACACAATTGCGTCCACACGATTTGCTTGTCTCGTCGCCCTGAAATAGACCGCTGTGGAAAAGCAACGGAATCCGAACGGTGACAACCTCACCGGACGATGCGACTCGTTTGTTCCTGAAGCGCATTCTGAGCGCGTCTGAGTTCACACATTCGACGAAGGAGAAGCAACTCCAGTCACCGAAACCGCACGGCATGAGATCTCGCAGATCGTCATTATACGTCAGACATGCTGTCAGAAGAGGTCAGGAATCTACCCATGCAGTTCGAGTGCGAAGGGAAATGGAAGTTGCGGCTCGCTTCCCGCACTAAGGGCAGATCCACAATCAATTTCCATCCTGTGGTCTGACGGTGAACTGGTGATTTGAGATCCGATGACCTGAGCGAAGCGTCGGGCTCCGCATTGAGCTAGGTCGCCGACGATAGCACAGCCGGATATCGGGCGGACTTTGGCTTTTGGTTCAAAGGGAAGGATTCGAAGGAACGGTCTTCGCGCAACTACTGTGCTTTGCAGCATCATCTATGCCCGCAACAACGACCTCCGATCCGAATCCAGACTGTAGGCTCGTTGCCATCGCGAGTGGACCCGGACCGTATCAGGGGCTGTCAACAAACATCTTGAGCTCAGATCTAGATTCGTTCATCATTCCTTCTCCCGAACACGCGGCAAGCGGTCCGTCCAGCTTCTCCTTGTTCCAGTGTCGCATCGAGGGCCCCTCGAAGACGCATGGTTGCAAATTTCGCTGAGAGGGTTTTCGACGACCTACATCGCTCCGAAGCAGTGAATCATCTCAAACACGGCAACGCGATCCTCTCATCGACAATGACAGCACCCCTCGAACCGCGCAGCCACAAAGAAAGTTTTCAATGCTCCCGCCCGCAGGCTGTCCGACATACCTTCTGGGGAGCCAAGTCAGCCGATCGATACCGCCACGAAGGCTGCCACACTGTTCAGCATTGCTCGAAAGGCTCGGCGTCGGCTTTGTGTCGTTTCGGATTTGTCATCACTGTATAAACGCTACATTCGGAATCGATCTTGGGAGAGTGGACGCGGGAGGACACGCTCGGACTTGTACGATCAAGCAAAAACAAGCTCGGACTTGGAGCAACGAGCTCGGATTTCAACGATAAAACGAAACTTTCCCTCTAAAATCATTATTAAATAATAGATCGAATAAAATTAGCCGCGCGTGGTTCGGCGTTTTTGGACACCGACATCAACGACATCGAAATTTCTCGCTGACTTAGCCAACCAACCAACTCACCCATCGACAGCCATTCGGGACGTCAACACGTTGTTGCTGTGCGGAACCCTACAGCGAGCTGCAGATGCGGTCATTTGACGTTCGGTATCCGACTACGTTCCTGTGTACGGTGCCCTGTATCTGCTTTCGATCGGGGCTCCCTTCCGCACCGAAGTTCCACCGTGGCTTGAGTTGGAGGGCATGAATCTTTCGTATGATTTGGGTGGGATTCAGACCCAGCTAAGCCGCCATCTCGCTGTAGCAGGCATGGAAACACCTGAAGTGCAGCTTTGCGATTGACAGCTGACATCGACCCAGGCTTACGTGCATACACGCTGGTCTTTCGAGGAGTGTGCCACCCAATGCGATGAAGCTGTCCCCGACGCCGATCCCTACTTGCCCAGGTACTGCCCAACAATCATAGGCGGTTGATACGCTCCAGCGACGAAACCCTCGGCCCTCAAACATCCTCCTTTGCCACATGCGAAGGACGCCGTAATGTTGTCGTCGACTGCGTGACTGTCGAGCGGAAATGCAAGAAAGCACAGCCTTTGGGAAGAGGGTGCTCCCTGCCTCGTTCGATAATTGCCGCAGATCTCGTGGAAGGGGTGGCGCCTTCTGCCGAAAGCTTACAGTCGAGCGATAATGACCCGACGCGAGGTCAGCGTGTGTCTGATCGTGTCGAGCAGCAATGCGAGCAAGCAATGGCCATGCTCATCCTCAATTCGCTGTTCAACACTGCACTAGCGTGCGAGCCATCGGCCGACGCCGGGCCGTGCCCATCGGGGCGGCGTTTGAAAACAGCAGGCAAACAGTGGACACAGATTGCAAGTCTATACAGTTGTACATGGAATGCATGAAAGCTGTCCCGACTCACTTTTTTCTCATCCTTTTCAGCCATCAGAATGCGCACTCCAACGGGTTCCTGAGACCTGCAGTCGAGCTTCAACAAGCCCGGACCGCTTCCTCCGTCTACTGTGCCGCAGACATCGATATTGTCGAAGGCCACGTTTTAGCCAATATTGCTTCACGTCTAGAAAGCTTCCCTGTCTATTTTGAGCTCCGAAGCGATGCGTACCTCGCATTCGACATATTTGCCGGCCACACTCGTCAAGTGCCTCCAAGACTGGGTTACACAAGACGAAACGACGACGAAGCCCATCACGGCCCTGGGTCGGTCGGGTGGTGCAGGTGCCAGATGCCGTGCTGTCTCGCTTGATTTCATGCATGCAGACAACCTGATTCCACCGTGTCGGTGAAATTGCGGCAGTAATGTAACGCTGCTGCAGAGTGCGCAATATCTTCAGCTTTCAGGCCGACCAACTCCGCTGTTACGCAACGTCGGCATCGCACACACTTATTCTGGATCTCTACTTGTCTCTTTTGCGCTCGGAAAGAGCCGCCTTTCGGAATCGTTCATGCCAGCGACGGCGAGATTGGACGTTTCGAGAGGGGCGACCCCAAAATATACATGGTATCAGGGGACGTGTCAAGACCGAGAGCACAGCCTTTGGTCGTCGAGAGTTGATGGACTGGATCTTCACGAAAGTTGGAAGACGTCCAACTCAAGCAGATCGACGAGTTCGAGACGGCTCTTGACTTCCTTGCACAATGCTGGGACGCTTCAAGACCTTTTTCTCTCCGACAATTGCCCGACGTGCCCGATTGGGACAGCTTTTCCGCAGCTGTCGGGGGCCATGCTCTCGACCGCGAAGTCTAGATGCCGTTCAACGTCAACTGCCCCCAACCCTCTTTCCCAGATGTTTGTTGGTGCTTTCCCGGATCTGGGTCAGCTCGGTTGGGTGTGCACGCTTTAACCTCACTTTGCAGCAGGATTCCGAGCTGATTGCAGCTCCGATCAGGCCCAAACTCCTGCCTAAATGACCAGAGGCGTGAACCATCGTCCGGTGGAGCTGTTCGCTAACACTCCCAGACGGTTGGATGACGGCAACGTCCTGGATGCTCAAAGTCGGACCCTTCAATTGCATCGCAGCCTTCGCGTTAGTTTCCTTGACCCTGATCTCCTCTACCTGAGATACCTTTCGCGCTTACAGCGGCTCTGCTCGTACCTGGCCCGCGATTCACGACTCGTACCCCTTCAGTCAGCCACGTTCGAGAAGCTCAGCGGAGCTGCAACGAGCGCAGCAAGCCAGTGGTCCTCTCTGTTCCTGAACATGATCTATGCTTGCGCATGTTCATCGAGCATTCGCACCACAACTCCCATTCGCCACATAGAATCATCAGCCCCCAAGGGAGATGAACTGACGCTTGCATCCTCGCTCCTCTCCACGACCTCTTAACCAATACCGGGTCGGCTCAAAAGCGTGCATTACACTGGCTTTGTTGACACCAATAGCACCCACCGATCGTTCAAGCCCTTCTCCAATACCCATTGAGAACGATCTTTGGAGCTTGGTCCAACCCCGCGAACCGCTCTACCTGTTGACGGCCAGGATTCTCATTCGGACATTTGAAGCGTTCATTCGCTCTTCCGATTCTCACACAAGCGAGTTCTCGCGGCAAGCGTACAGCGGTAGACTTTCGGCACCTTCATGGGACTCACGGTGGAACCTTTGTACGCGATGAGCATGGACGAGTTTGGCTTCTTCTCAGAGGCGTCAACTGCGTCGGCGAAAGCATCTTCGTCCTACTCGGAGAGCACGAGGTCGCAATCCTCTTCGCAACATGCCTCTTATCAGCGCAGTGGATATCCAGAGTTCGAAGAACAGTATCAGTCACGAGCTCAACCCTCGTCACAACCTCTGGATGTCCATCAGCATCGATATCTTCAACCCCAACAGCAGCAGCAGCAGCAGCAGCAGCAGTATCCACACCGCCTGGCCAAGGCCGAATCTGATAGCCCATCAGCCCCCCTTCGCCGCTCCAACAACATGAACACCAGTGTCCACGACTCACCCACAACTGCAAAGCGAGGATCCAATCTTGCCTGTCTTAAGTGCCGTGCGATCAAAGTCAAGTGCTGGAAGAGCAACCCCAACGACCCTCGCTGCGCACGATGCAACCGGCTCGACTTGTTCTGCGAGTTTCGCGAGCACCACCGCGGAAAGAAGCTGGAAAAGGTCATTGCCGACGAGAATCGACATGTCATCCTCACTCCAGAGATGTTGCGACGAGCACGTCTCCATATCCTCCGCTGCAGTAGCTATCCGCTCAATCTTGATCTAGCGTCGATGGCGGTCATCGAAAATGCTGAGGATGCTGCTCAACTGAGGGCGCCTCCAAGTTCTTCGATCCAAGCCTTTCCCACGATGCTGGCCGACCCGACGTACCCAAGTCTTGCGGGTATGGCAGCTTCGGAGTCACCAAGCCCTCTGGGCATGGCATCGAGCGTGTACGACGATGTGGTGCAGATGAATGTCTGCAGCTGGACAGACGCCTGCTATCTGTTCAGCTTGTTCATGACGCAGCTCAATCCGATCGTTGCGTTGCTCGAGCCGAGTCTTTATACGGTCCAGTATACCCGAGAGCAGTCGCCCATCCTCTTCTCCAACATCCTCTCCGTGTCCAGCCGCTTCTTTCGACCTGAACTGCATCCACAATGTCAAGCTTCCGCCACAGCCATCCTCAAATTTGCGGCCAGTCGTCAATTGTGCAGCATCGATCACGTCCAGGCATTGATCGTCTCCGCCGTCTGGGCCACGACAAGCGATGCTGCCAGATACGAGACTCTGGTTGCGGCGGTTGCATACGCGTACGAGCTCGGACTGCCGTTCTGCTTTGAGTCCGGAATGGCGGTCGCCTCTGCCACGAAACCGTACATGCCGCCTCTTCCCGTGCATTTCCTGCACGCAAGTCATCAGTCGACGACTTTGCGAGTGCAGCAGCGTACTTGGATCCAGCTGTGTCTTCTCGAGCTGAGCAGACAGAGCGATTCAAAACGTTCATCGACGCAGAACAGACCCGAATTGATCGCTCAGAACGACCTGCCCAACGTGAGGGCTTGGTACGAGCTGCATCACTCGACTATGTCGGCCAACGACACGCGCCTAGCCTATCAATTGGACTTTGCCCTTTGCCAGAGGCACTTCAATCTTCTCGCAGCTTCCGTTCCGGGGTCGGATCAAGCTTTGAGCAGCAGCATCGATTCGCAACTGGTACGAGAGAGGGAATGCTTCGCGACATGGTTCAACACGTACGGCGAAGACTACGTCCCACGATACGGGATGGATCGATACAGCAGCACAGAGGCTGGGTTTCTGCTCCTTCTATATCGATTCGGACGAGCAGTGCAGCTGCATTCCATCCTCAACTCTTCACAGCTGCTGCGAGATCGTTGGGCGGCCACTGCCACCGAATTGGCTTTCAAACTGATCGACTACTTCATCAACAAGATCCTTGACCAGGACAGTGCCTTGTCATCGATGCTTCGTCTCAGCCCGCAGTATATGGCAGTCGGCTGCGTATCCGTTGCCAGATGGCTGCTCAACTCTCCACACAGTCATCGCGCGATAGATCGCGTACGGGAGGTGGTACGTCTGCTCGGCCTCCCGCAGTTCTACCCTGACGGAAACCGAGTGGCCACATCCAACGAGTTGACCGGACAACTGGATCAAGCATTGCGTTCACTGCTGGGCGATGCGGGAGCGGTAATCTCTCCAGGCTTGAGTACCAGTCCGAAACGCACACGTGCGCAAGACTATCAGCAACAGGCTTGGGATGGACAGAGGAAGCAGCAACGTCGTTTACACAAAGTGCCAGCCTTCGGTAGCGTCGGAGATCGTGCTGCTGATTCCAACTCGGATCGGATAAGCGATCGTTCGCTTTCATCCACCATCAGGCCTGCAGGCTCGGGAGCAGAAGGCAACTTGAGCATCGATCTAGGATTGGCTGAAACACATTGGCCAGCATTGATGGCTATGGGATCACAGCCTTCGTTGACACCAACATCGGAAGGTAGCTTTTCAAACGTTGCTATGGCTCCCTCATCGATCTCTCCTTCAGCTTCGGACTCTTCAGCCGTGTTTAGCGTAGCAGCGGCGACGACAACGCTTCCCGATTCGTTGGATTTGGGATCGTATCAGTACGGCACCACAGGCGCGATCGCGACGGCTCCGACAGATCCAAGTTCGGTAAACCCAAGGCAGTACTATACCTCAGGATTGAATGCTTCGTACTCGAGCCTGGCCGGAAGCGGAACGACGTTCGACGGAGCAAGCGGCGGCGGACAATTCGGGCCGATTCAGTCTTTTGCTCTGGAACGAAACAGCACTGTGGTTCCACAGTCGTACAATGCCGCGGCAGGCGGCACACGAACGGGTGCTCAACATCAGCAGCCACTGTACGTACGGATGGAAGTCGAAGCTCATGGCGGACTGGATGCATCACTGGCGATCGGACTGGGCGCGAGCTATGATGGCAGCAGTGCCGGGTCGGATCTGATGACGAATCACGCTCGACAGTAGAGACGCGGGGTGAATTTCAATCTCATAGATGATCGCAGGTCGGGAGAATGTGTGCGTGCAAAGCTGAGTGAAATTGTCACGGAATGTTGTCCGAGTCGGAGTGAGTGCCTACCTCGCGAGATGCAGGATGCGTCGCCACGTGTCAAGTGCCGACCTGTCATCGTGTCCGTCTCTGCGGTCTTCTGCTCGAACGCTCGCTCGTTTCTGCAGCACACATCTCAGCTGAACCCAACTTGTGGTTTTTCAGACACACCCATACGGTAGAAGACGATAATAGAATAATGTGCTCGATTGTCCGTGATCAAGAGAAATAGAAAGGCGATGCGTACATGTGGGATCAACAAGTAGAAGCTTGTCTTTGACGGATAGGTCTCCTTCGTTCCAGCTCCTAACTCAACCCAGCGGCGTCGGTGATAACGCTCAGCCTGTGAGGAGTCATGTGCGGGTACTCCCAGAACATGGCGCCACCCTTCCAACCGTTCTGGACGGCGATCTTCAAGCAGGCGCCCTCTACGCTCGGTCGCATGAATCCGTCATCCGCGTCGTTCTCCCACGCCGGCTTGCCGACGACCAACTTGTCCAAGGGAACGCCGGAGTACTTGTTGATTTCGAAGAGGCTTGTGAGGGGGAAGTTGTTTCCGGAGTTCCAGATGAGTTCGTCGCAGGTGTTGTAGTTTTCCTGGTTGTAGAACTGGACGTTGTACCAGTCGATGAGGTCACCGACTTGCTGGTGGATGGTGGTGTAGCCGTTGGGGTACATTTGGGTGTTGAACCAGGGAGCGACGGGAGCGTGGGTGATGATGTAGTCGGGACTCGGCAGTTCCTTTCGCAGAGATCGGGTGAGCTCGATCAACCACGGTGTACTCTTTCCCGCACCGAACAGGTCCATCTCTTCGTAGTCGACGTCTACACCATCCAATCCGTTCTTCTTGACAAACGCTGCAATCGTCTTTCCCAGAGCGGTGGCATTCTTACCCAACGACTGCGGTGTATCCGTCGCACCGAACACCGACACCATCAACTTCATACCAGCTCCTGCATATCGGCTCTTGAACCACTTCTTATCCGCATCACTCTTAGCCGCAAATTTCTGCGCGTTATCCGCAACGCCGAATTTCACCGTCCAGAATGCCAGGTTGAACACGTTGAACCCGGTGATGTTCCAATAGGGAGGTGCACCGTACGACTGTTCCGCCACGTCTTGGTCTCCGTACAGGACGAAACGCGGGGCTGCGACGGAGTCGATATCAGCGGTAGGGAAGCCAGAGTCGAGGAGCTTGACACCGGGTGCGTTCTTGATGACCTGGACGGGGGAGTGGGACTGGCCGAAGAGGGAGGTCAGGGTAGACCAGACGGTGGAGGTGACGCGAGCAGGGATGGAGTCGTCGTAGAATTCAGCGGCGGGAGTGGAGAGGCCGTTGTAGCCGTTGTACAGGGATTGCTGGTGCGGGATGGCGAGGACGGAAGGGGTGATGGCGATGGCACCGGCAACGGTGATGGCGATGGATGGGGTACGCATTGCGAGAGATTGTCTAGTTGGTCGGATGGGTACGGGTGTATTTGTCAAGTGTCTTTGTGGGAAAGCAAGGAGGGGGTAAAGGGGAGATGGGAAAGGGAAAAGCTTGGGGGGTTAATGAAGGTAGAGTGGAGAGAGAGAGAGCGAAGCTCGATGAGGAAAAGGGAAAAGACGAAACGGTAATGGATGAGAAACCTTCGTCGATACTTATATGAGCAGGTCCTCTGCGCTTCACATCTACCTTTCGCTCCTCCTTACAGCAGCGTATGTCCGGCGGAACAGCCTCCTCGTGTAGAATAGACTGCTGCGCGCCGCACGATGGAACGTCAAGTCAAGAAATCGAGCTCTTCAACTCCACGGCGCATCTTGACAGCTCAGTGGCATTGATGCGCAACACGGCTTCGGCAAGCGGCAACTTTTTCCAGGGCAGGCGTCAAGGTAGAATCTCTCTTCGGAGTTTCAATTGGTACAAACGCACTGCTCATTGCACATGAAGAAGCCCGAATGCCTCGTTGGTGGCTATGCCCATCCATCGTTGACCTTGCTTCGCAGTGTGCTTTCGAAGTGGTTGATGTGCGATCTGGTGCAGATCCTCGCAGCTGGTGCAGTATATGCGCAGTGCAAAGAGGTGATACTCGCGCGATCCAACCTGCTGTCGACGTTCGCTTGCGTGGGAAAAGGCCAACCTTGTTCCGAACCAAGATCAATGCAAAGTGTGTTACGAAAAGGAAAACTCTATGTTGAACTTCGCAGTGACTCCATGTGCGTCTTGATGAGCAGCTGACCGCGATGACAACCGAAGGCGTTCGAGGAGATGTTGAACGCGGCCAATTCGTGTGATGTTCCCACGGCCAGCGGCTGACCGGACTTTGTCCTCCGCCGTCACTTGCAACGTGAGCAGAGATGTTGAAAACTGCCATTTACGGCGTAAAGGGAGCGCGGAAATCAGGAACCACACATGGGCAGTGACGTCTGCAGCGTAATGCATGGTCCGGTCGAGCCGAGACGGGGGGGCACAACGCAGTGTAGCCAAGATTGGATGTTCTCGAACATCGATCGAAAACCTTATGATCATTCGTCGGCAAAAGCGCTGCTCGGCACGACAGGTGAATCGGACAGGCTTGCCCACTTGTAACTAGAAGCCCACACCACAGGGTTGGCGCAACCGAGCTGGACAGCAACCTTCCTATTCGAAACGAGATGAAATCCCCTCTGGATATCATGCCGTGTCGGCGAATTCTTTTGAAATGCATTTTTTTGGTGTCAGTTGCCAAATTGAGCGCAGCAAGAAAAAACCGCACTTCTCACCCTCGCGTGTTGAAAGAGCTTCCACCACGGCGAACAAACGCATGCTTTATCGGGCGATTTTGCGAGATCTGCCCCCGATCACCTTTCAGAACACACTGCTCCTAGGAGCGTCAACATTTGTTCACATAGAGCAGGCCGATGCAGATTGATGATGCTGCGATTCGCACTTTTGAGGGAGAGGGTATGTCTCAATCGAGCGGTAGCTCGCTACCAGGTCATGATGAACAAGTCGAAAGGAAGCAAAGTTGTCAGCATCGGAATACTCACTCGGGAACTCAAAAAGCATTACGGGTTCGCAACTCACCTTGGCTCCGTTCTACGGCTGGCAGGATAGTACGTCGACCAAGCAAAAGCGTTTCCTGACCGAAAAGATCCAGGATTGACAACATGACATCCCTCGTATGTCAATTCGTACCGGTCGTATGCATCGGCCAGCACCAACTGTTTTTCCTCCAAAAAACCGGAAGTCAGTCAAACCATTCCATCTTGTCTCCATCTCGATAGCGAACGACTTACCGTAGTAGGCATGGGGTACAAGCTCAACGAATGATCGTGATCCCAAAGCACCGGTCTGATCCTTTGAGCCAGTGGAACCAGATGTGCCTGATCCAATACTGTCGACACCAAGAACTTCTTCAGATCTCTCTCCTCCCTCTCCCTCTCCTCCCTCTCCTGCTCCCTCTCCTCGTCCTTGATCCTCACCGTATTCCTTAAAAATCTCGTCATGGTATCATCGCGGTACACGACGATCTGTTGCGAAAAGTACGAGATTCGGCACGGATTCGATGCCAGGTGGATCGTGCCCTGCATCGCCTTCAACTTGTTCAGCAGCGGTTGCACCAGCACCTGTGGCAGAGGAGGTCGTGGTACCAACGAGGTCGAGAAGGGATCTTGCGGTCCGGGTACCAGGATGATGTGGCTCGAACGAACGACTGCCGGGAAAGCGGAGAGCGTTTCTCCCAACGCCGCGAATCCAGCCTTGTACTTTTCCACCATGTCCGCGGAAGTGTACTGCTGCGAAGCAAAGTTGCCGCACAGCACCAATGCGAAAGGGATGAACTCGGCATCCACATACCCCTGAAGAACCGTGGAGAAGGCGGACATGGTTTTGGGGTGATCCAGATGCAAATCCGAAAAGATGACAAAGCACAGATCCGAGTGGTTGGCTTCGTGCACCTGAAAAGCCGCTTCTTCTTTCACGGAGATGGCGCCTCTCCAAGGAGCCGCAACGGCACGACTGGGGGCGGACGCGGACGAGAGGATGGGCGGTTGAGGTGCGCCGAGGAAGTCCGTGTGCGCGTGGATGGAACGTGCCTGTGCGCGCGTCTCGCTAGGTGGGTGACCGATGGCGAACACACGGATGCGTTCTTCGACCGTGTACTCTCCCTCGACGAGGATGAGGCTTCCTTCCGTAAAGATTCCTTCACCCGGGATCGCGGTTTGCAGATCCAGCCCGACGGTCCCGTCTGCATCTTCGAGTTCGTACCGACCATCGGAGGAGGTGCTCAGCATGCCGAACAGCAAAAACCTCTGCCCCTGTCGTCCGAGCAGGTTCTTGGTCGAGGTGAGCTTCATGAACCCATCCGCGACGTTCTTCGACGAGCTCGCTGTGCCGATCGCTAATGGTGGACAAAAGTTCTCGTTCCTCGCAATGACGCTCCTCAGGATATGATACCTTTGTCTTGGGAAATTGGATCTGGTGGAAGCCGTCGGCAGCACAGTCGGTGAAAGGCTCGCTGGTTCGAACACCTTGCGTATCGGATCGAAAGCCAGCTTGGGCTGGGTGAACGCCGAATGGACGCCAAAGTACCGATGCGGATCCGGCAGCTCTCCGTCCGTCAACTCGTGCCCATGGCTGTTCGTCGTCCCCGTCCCTGAGCCACCGTTCGCTGCCGAATCGGCAACGACGAGTCTCGAGTACACCTTCTCCAACGCGGCTGCCGTCACAACGTCCGACGAGTCTTCCTCTCCTCCTAGATCGAGCGCTGCCGAAGGTTTGGACGTATATGATGCGTGCTTGGAGTCGACATCGGTCTGACCTTCTACAATACCCTGCGCAAGCGCGTCGATGGCTTCCTCCCACTCGAGTGGTTGTTGGAGCAGACCATGTTCTGCCAAGGTGGACGTGATGAATGCGATGGCGGAGGAGTGGAGCTGTAGCGAGTGTTTGGTTGTGAACACGCGCAGGATAGCTCTGCGCAGTTCTGGTGGTGGTGCCACTGCTGCCATTGTGACTGGCGTGTTGTGAGATGGTGGTGGAACCAGACGAGTAAAACGAGTGAATGTCGGTGAAAGCGGTGTTGTTCTCTTTTCCTGCCACGACACGCGTGTTGTAAAGTGCAATTAACGCGACTGGCAACAGAGAAAAACAAGATCGGGATTCCCGATTCTGTGTTGAAAGTCGCCGCTTTTTTACGCAACGGTGTACAGTAACAGTGTGGAGGCCGATGGCGAATGGAGTTTGTATGGTTGTGTAACCGCTGTGACGCTGTGTACAGGTGTCGAACGACACCCGCGTTCCATCATCGAGCAGCGGAAAGCATCTATGCACTGGTCTGACGCAGATACTGCAGCCGGTGAAGTCGCACAACGGCCAGCAAGATTCTCCATCTCGAACTTGCCTCCGCACCACCAGCTGTCGTTCTCCTCCTGCTCCTTTTTTACCGTCAGTCGCTTCTACATTCAACATGTCGTTCTCAGCATCTTCAAGCACCATCGCATCCGATGTGCCCAAAACCATGAGAGCGCTCCTCATCGAGGAGTTCAACGCCGATCCACCCTACGTCCTCCGCAACGACCTGCCCGTCCCCTCGCCCGGCCCCAACGATGTCCTCATCCGCATCGCCACCGCAGGCTATTGTCACACCGAGATGATGGTGGCTCGCGGAGAGTTCGCCTCCAAATCGCGAAAGCCCCTGCCCCTCATCCCCTCGCACGAGCCCACCGGTATCATCGTCGGTCTCGGCAGCACCGCCTCCTCCACCACCCCCGCTGGCGCCTCCTCTCCACTACAGCTCGGCGATCGGGTCGGAACCATTACATTCTACGACCCCTGCGGTACCTGCCCGGAGTGCAAACGTGGAACACCCAAATACTGCACTGAACAGGACATGCTCGGTGTCACCGCTAACGGCGGTTTCGCAGAATACATGCTTGCAGACTATCGTTCCTGCATCCCTCTTCCCGATGCATTGGACTTTGATTCCGCTGCACCGCTCTTCTGCGCCGGTGCTACGATCTACACTGCCATTGCACAGTGTCGTCTGGAAAAGGGTTCCACCCTCGCCATTGTCGGAGCGGGTGCGTTGGGCCATCTCGGTGTGCAGTTTGCCAAGTGTCTCGGCCTCAAAGTCTGGCTGTTCGACGCCAGAGATGCTCCTTTAGACATGTGCAAATCTCTTCCATATCCACCCGATCTCTCAATCAACTCTGGCGATATCAATGGACACGATCAGCAAGCCGTAGACACTTTCGTCCGCGAAAAGCTCGCGGGTGAAAGAGCAGATGCAACCATCATGTGCACAGACGTCATCCCCGCTTACGAGTTCGGTCTAGCAATCACCAAGAATCACGGTCTGTTTATGGTCGTAGGTCAACCCAACGATCCCATCCCCATCCACTATAATCACTTCATCTTCAGAGACATCACTGTGAAAGGAAGTCTGTTGGGCGATCCAAAGACCACAAGGGAGATGTGCGAGTTGGTCGCGAAGCACAAGATCGAGGTTAGAACGAAAGCCTATCCGTTGCAAGAGGTGGACAGGATGAGGGAGGATTACGCTAAGCCGGAGCATCAGGGAAAGATGGTCATTAGGGTGAATGGCGATCTGTAGTAGTTTTCACTTGGGATCTGTTCTGTCACTCGAGGAGATGTCTTGTTTGCGTTCAGTAAACCTCGACCGTGGATCTGGTTTTGACACTGGATGAAGTCTTGCGAGTTGAAGAGAGTTGGCTTCGCACGTGCGATCGAGGACACAGCGCAAGTATCGTTCAGCCTGGAAATCGTATCACAGATCTTCCAATGTTGGCGTACTCAGGGTCACGATTCGGTTGGCAAGAACTGGTTGCCGAGACTTTTAGTGCTTCCGAACATCCACTCACCCTCGAAGCCTCTCCCCGCTTTGGCTAGCGCTCGTTGCCAATCTTCGCGGGCCCTGGAAAGTCGGTTGCAAGCTGGCACGTTCCTGTTGCACCCACCTGACAGCCAGGATCCCAATAGTACAAGCGCATTAGCGCCCTACCACACAATCTCCACACAAAGGGGCTGCTCGGAACGCATTGCACCGACACTAGCGCCGAAGGTCTGCACAGCGCAAAGCGTCTCCTCTCCAAGCTTGGCATACACGTTTGATATGTAGCCGAGCGCCAATTTGCCCTTCGACTCCCAAGCGAGGGCTGCACTTCACTGCGGCTATCAGTTCAATTTTCGCCTGCACCCTGAATCGCACCCTTTCTTCCCGCTTTTGCGTACTCTAGCCGAGGCGAAAACGTGTGGCGCTAACCGACGTGCCTGTCCTTTTCCAGGTGTGGCCGATGCCCGAGAAGAAAGCGAGATATGGGGGTGGGGTGGCAGGCGATTGATGGCAGGAAACCGCTTCAGAGGAATTGCTGGTAGCAGAGTAGAGGGGATGTGGTAGAGATACAGTTCAGCGTAGCGGTGAGGAGGAGAAATCACCCGCCGGATCATGCTGGTCCTTCGACCTCGCTCACTTGCATGACAACCGATCTGGCATATGCTGTAGCACGCTTAAATACCTCGAGCGACTTCGTTGTTGTGAGGTCGAGCATCGACGTCGTCGGCAGAAGCGTATAAAGAGACCGTCTCTTCAGAACCTCAGCGAGTACATCGAAGTTCACCATCTCGCAAACCACCCGCACCGCACTCCCTGTCGTTCAACCGCCAACATGTTCGGCCGCACCTCCCTCCTCACCGCTCTCGCACTTCTCTCCCTCACCGCCAGCTCCGCGCTCGCCGCCACCCTCACGTGGGACTGCACGCGCGTCCCCAACATCTGCTCCAACGACTGCTACGCCATCCAATGCGCCTCCAAACCCACCACGCTCCACCGCGATTCCGCCAACGCCTCGACCAACCGTGCCGAGACGGCGTGCAAATCTCCCAACCGCTGCTCCGGCAACCCGTCCGATTCCAACTCTTGTGGTACGTTCTTCCTTCCACCTTCCCTCCTCATTCTATCCTGCTGTGTTACTAACGTAACTTGTCTGTTGTCCGGTGGAGTTTGTGTAGATGAGTATCCCTACGCATCGTCACAAGAAGGCGGTGCGGGAAGCGTAACCCGATGCGTTCCAAGCACCGAAAACAGTCGTCAGGGTGGAACGCTCTCTAGCTTCTACACCAACAACGGCATCGAAGACGGCGACGCCTACAATGTCGCTTTCGCTTCGACTAGTGGGTTGCAGTACTGCAGTGGTTCTTGCACTAACACGGGCAACCAATTGATTAAGAGGTACCCGGTGTTGGGTCCGCAGTACGTGCCCAGATCGTTCGTTACGGATGAAGGGCATGAATTGACCAGTAAGTATTCGCAGCGCAGTAAGAAAGTAGGGTCAGTGGGTGAAGATGACTGATCAAGAGACTTATTTGTTTGTGTCTGAGAACAGTGTTCGAGAGAGTCGATAGCCCAGGTTCATTGGACAGCGTGGTGGGAACACAGACTTGGTTGAGCCACGAGGAGCGACATGTTACTATCGTGCGAGCCGTCGCCTAAAGCGTCACTGTTCTTCTGGAGCGACTGCTTCCTCATGTCGTCTGTCGGGCTTCCATCTTTTACGAAGTGCGAACGTCACATCTCACATATCAAACAACACCCACTACACAGTCACACGAATCACACCACGGGGACAGATCACTTGGACCACATCACTTGAAACACATCACACACTCGAGACCGGAATAGTGAAGCAATGAAACGGGTTGGCTACAGAGATTGCATCGAAGGCTGGCTACTTCTTCATGTCTTCCATCGAGCTTCCATCCTTCACGAATTGCGAAGAGTCATCTCACACGTCACATAGATCACTCTAGCCGAAAAAGTGTAACAAAGAAGCGGGTATGCTGTGAAGATTTCGTTAACGACATGACAAACAGAAAGACCAAAGTGGAACTGAGTTCCTCGGACACATAGACAAAGATAAATACAACTGGTAACGCCCATGAACCTTGCTTCCCATTTACCAAGGTGGCAAACCGACCGTGGTACCATAGGTGCCACCGTCGACACCGATGATGGTAAGGATAGCGTTGAAGACACCAGCCATACCCTCACCGGCGATGAGACCGGCAGCGATGGCAAAGGCGAGCAAGTCGAAGCTCTGGGGTCGCTTGTTCTTCCAGAACAATGCGGTGGTGGCACCCATGCACATGGCAATAGGGTAGTAGGTCTGGGGAACGACGAAACCGAGACCGACTGCGTTCCAGTTAGGCACGTAAACGTGGTACTTGGCGGGAACGACCTTGTACTTGAGCACGACGGTGATGACCGAGATGATGGCGAAGCCGATAGCGGTCATACCGGACGAGAGCGAGACGGGAAGCTTCGGCGAGATGACGGCGACAGCGACGGCCTTCCAGGCGGCGACGGCGGGGGCGGCGAAGGGGCATTCCTCGGCGTCGGCGTTGGTGATGCATGGGTAAGCCTTGGTGAACAGCACGAACAGACCAGTCGAGACGAAGATCGACCAGAAGGAGCCGAAGATCTGCGCCCAGAACTGGTTGCGAGGCTTGGCACGGAGGAGGTGACCGGTCTTGAGATCGCCGACCATGTCGACGGCGTGCGAGGCGGCGGAGGAGGCGATGGATCCGGCGATGAGGTTCTCGAGCAGACCCGAGGCACCGGTCTTGCCCTGACCACGGAGCGCACCACCGACGATGAGCTGCGAGGCCTTGGCGACCGATCCGACAGGGTTGGTGTCAGTGGCACCCGAAGCCTGAACACCGACGAAGGAGAAGAGGAAGGCGAGGATGATAGCGAGGATGACGTTGCCCAAGTTCATGTGGAACTGGAGCGTGCAAACCAGGCAGGTGAAGACGATCGACAGAGCGAGACCACTGGTCCAGGCCCAGAGCGGAACCTGGTCCTTCTTCTCGCAAGGATCGGCGATGGCGTCCTCGTAGGTAGGAGGGTCCTTTCTGGCGATCTTGCAGTACAGCTCCTGAGCACCAGCTCGGACACCGCGGTAGATGGTGGGGCCGTTCATGCCGATCTCTGCAAAGGAGTAGGCGAGCATCATGAGCACACCGGGCCACAAACCCCAGTACCTGGGCGAAGCGTGATTCAGCGGCATGGTGTTGGGGTTGAAGCTCATGCTTGTGTAAGCCCAACGCAGCGGCTCTTGGGGATCCGCGGTTGCGCTAACACCGGTGTGTCGGCCCGCCGCCTGTCCCGTAGCGATGATGGCGGGACCGATCATGGCCCACATGAGGAAGCTTCCACCGAGGAACGAGAACGAGGCGTTCATACCAGACAGCATACCAGCACCGAGGAAGGCAGGGGTCCACTCGATGATCCAACCCCAGTTGTCGACGACGAGCGCCTTCTTCCATCCCCAGCTGTAGAGCCAGTAGAAGATGTGCCAGTCCATGAGGATACCGCTTGCGTACTGGTTAACGACGACGAAGCAGAAGGCAGCAGCGAACGAGAAGAGCAAAGCGCGGGACTGCTTCTTCGCAGTGATCTCTCCTCCCGGAGCGTGGAGCGATCGAACCGTGTAGGCGGTAGCCGTAGGCGAAGGGAAGATGAGCTTCTGCTTGAGAATGTAGAACTTCCTCAAGGGGATGGCGAAGAAGACACCGTAGTAAGCCGAAACAGCGGAGAAGGTCAACAGCCTACCGAAGTCCTTCAAGGGGTCGTGAAGCAGGTCGAGCTGGTACATGGCCGGAACGGCAGCCACGAACATTCCCGTCAACGAACCAGCGGCGGTAGCGGCGGTCTGGACGGTGCAGTTCTCCCTGGGACCGAAGAATCCACCACCGAGCTTCTCGGGCAGCGCCTTTTGCATGATCTTGATGATGGAATAACCGAGGATGGCGCCGAAGAGGGATGCGCCGAAAGTGAAACCGGTCTTGAGACCGAGGTATACGTTGGAAGCTGCGATGACGCAACCGAGGATGGTTCCGACGACGAGCGATCGGACGGTGAGCTGCGTCGTCTCTTCGGGGAAGTACTTGAGGTCGAACTGCTTTCCCGAGTGGAGGTCTTCGGGTTCGTAGTCCTCGTCGGCGGTGACGGCCTTCTTCTCGGCATCGTAGTAGCCGGTGACGGGGAGCTGGGTGTCGAGACCATCTTGGGACGAGAGGGGGGATTTCTTCTCATCGTCAGAGTGGGTGGTGGCGAGACCGTGCTGCTCCTGGTAGTGAGGGGTGTGGGTCTCGGTGATCTCGTTGGCTTCGTTGTGAAGCTGACCCCAGGTGGGGGTTGGTGCAGCCATGATGGAGTCTCGTTGCAACACTCGAGGGAGTGGCGTTGAGGAGAAGACGAGGGATGAAGGGATCTTGACGGGGGTGGTAGAATGGAAAGTCGGGTGAGCTACGAAGAAGGGTATTAATATGTTGTTCGCCACAACCTCTTGCCCACACCGTAGGTCGCAATCAGAACGGGAGGAGCGGAATGGCTTGATCCGAGACCGTATCGCACGATGGCCCACGCTCGCTCTACTTTGCGGGAACCAATCAGAACCGCATTGCACCGCGGTGCAAGGCACACGACGACCATAAAGCGTGGAGAGAGATACGCTATGCAGGGACAGCGAGCAAGGCCACCCGAGAGTCGATTGCGATTGGTCTACCGCCGACTGGGAAAGAGAACCACGGAGTGGGTCTCAACCTGCAATCTGTTTTGGTCTCGTGGCACATGCAATCGAGGCTTATCAGACGCTTGGTTCTGGGCAACCGAGCAGAGCGCACGCGGGGCGAGAAGGGGCGATTGACGACTCTGGCATCTGCGATTGGCTGTGGGTGGATCGCCAAGCGAGGTCTTCGATAAAAGATGCGCAGGGACAATGCGGAAGGTGTATGGATGCCAAGCTTCCGAAGCTGCAAGTAGGCACTGTGGTATAAGGCAGTCAAGCCTGGGTGGCAAAGGAGTACAACAGCAGAGCAAAGCGGAACACCGGTGCTGCCAAGCTGTCAAACTCGAGGAAGAGAGATTAAAAAAAGTTTGCTCTTTTTCGGGCAGAAGGCACTGGGACAGCAACCCAGAAATTCGAAACGGTTTTCGAGCATTCGCCGTCGAAGGCAACACTTCCTCGCCTCCCTTCTGTGTTCTGGCCAGTCCGCCGCTGTGGGTGGTAATTGCGTTGATAGTCCAGTCAGCAAGCCACACACACACATTCAGCCAGCAGTGCCATTCATTGTCATCGCAGACGCTGGGCAGGTCAGTCGCAGAGGGAGTGGAAGAGCGCTACAACGTTGAAAGAACCAGGTGGGACAGAGAAACCGCAGGTTGGAAGGCGGTAACGCTTTTTCTACGAGACACGGTTCTGAGAATTGCTCAGGAAACCTTCCGTCGGTGATGTTCGGTCAATCTGGTCGCGTTCCGGTCTCCGCTCCTCCCCGTGCGGTTGCTCCTACCACTCCCTTCAACTCCGTTGGAGTCTCTGCAATACGATCCGCTTGTACGCTTCATTGCCATCACCGGTTCTCATTGAAGTTCACTGGTTTCCAACTTCACTGATTCCATCTGTGCTTCCCATTACGGTGTCAACAGTGACGTATAGCGATAGCACATCGCGGAATAGGAAGCCAAGACATTCATGCACACACTGGCGCACATACAAGCGAGGTCGACCATGTTCGGTCCAATTCGAAATCGTCGCATGAATTCTTTTTCGTCCTTGACAGCGAATTCACGAATTGCTAGTTTTGAATTCTAGCAGGGAGAGGCTGGGAGAATTGAAAGTGGTGCGGGGGGGGTTAGGACCGCTGTTGCCACGGCATCGTAAGTCAGCTGCTGTTTCTGTTGGCTCTACAATCGGTCAAGCAAAGCGCGTCGCATACTATCTACACTTCTTGTGCTGACCATCCAAAACCAGATTTCGTTCCTGCATAAACCCGCCGATCAAGGTCGTCGTAGTCACATCGCGCACGATCACGATTGGTGGTTCATCGCGCGATGGTGTGTACGACGTGTGTTCGGAGGCAAGTGTTCCGCGATTCAACATGGGTTTCTGCACAGGGTGTGCATGACGGTTCCAGCCCTCTTTCTCTCTCGAGGGGCTCGGTGGCAGAGAGATGCGGGTTTTTGCCAAGAAATTTCAGGTCATGCAGAAACCGCGCCAACGAAAAACATATGCCATCGAAATTCTGTCGAAACCCGTTTGATTCCGCTGCTTCTTTCCCAAGCGGGAACGGACAAAAAAAAAAGAGCGGGGTTTAGAAAAAGCGCAACTTCCCTTCGGCAGGCTGTGAGCCGATGGTTGAGTTTGAAAACGGACTTTGAGAAGACCATTGTCTTCCTGATCGTGAGTGGAACCAAGTCATCTCCTTCAGTGTCATCAGCAGAGCGTCCATAACGATGAACAACTGTCGCGAAGGAGCAATACTGTATTGGTGAGGTGGCCCTGTGATCGTCAGTGAGGGTGTCAGCGAAAGGCGAGAAACAAGGTCATCAACGGCGAATTTTCCGAGGCTCTCTCCCGATTCCTTGTTTAAACAAGGTATCGAAAAGCAATGCCAAGCCGCAGTTGATACTATCGACCCTCGTGGTGGGATTTTCGTACGGAGCAGAGACTTCCGTTCTTTGATTTCCGCTCTCACACTGCTCTGAGGCCCCTGCGTGGGTTTTAGCGAGATTTCTTGGCGCATCAAAGAATTATCAGTCCAAATAAAAGGTTGGTGGAGATTCTTGTGGCAGTCAATTTCGCCTGTCGGATACCGCCAATGCTCTCGTCGACGGAGAGATAAAGCCACTGAGGGAAAAACGGAGATGTTCGCTCCGAAGAACGAAGCTGACAGGATCGGGCTCCTGCGTAAACGGGGGAGAAGGGGCAAGGTCGGATGCTCGGAAACTTGTTCGAAGCGTCGTGCGGACACTGGCTGAAGGTCATCAGATCGGGGCAGATCGCCTTTCGGTGGTGACCGAGATAGAGTGCTCCAGCGTTGTAGATTGCAGATGTCGACCTCTCAAGTTTCAAGATCGGGGTCATTGCCATGTCGTTGCTGTTCTGCGTTGCAAGATTGCCACGAGTCCGTCCAGCAGCAACTCTCGCCCAGAGACCGGACGCTCCAAGCGTTGCATCCACCGGTGCATCACATTACCATCGTACCTTCGTCACTCCTTCCCCAAACCCGTCTGCCCCGTACCGACCGTCTGAACCGAAAGCGCCCCCTCCCATCCCGACTATAATCTCCCCCTCCCCATCGGAAGTCATCCTTCCACCGCACACCACCCAGCTTTCCTTATCCTCGCCTCTTTCTTTTTTCTTTCCACATGACACCGTCGTACCTGAATCCAAGGATTGTGGGGTAACCCTCCTGTTGCCAAGAAACCGCTAATCGCATCTTATCCTTCCCACAGCCATTTTTATGCGATGAGCACGACCTATGAGCCAAAACCGATAGCGTGTGACGGAAGGCAAGCTTCCGATTGGCGATAAGCTTGCATTCTCCCTATCACCTCCTCCCATGGCGGAGTGTCGATTGTCGATTAGAGTCGATCGGATCAGCGAGCTCAGCGATCCCGATCTCAACGCCGATGTCCAACAGCGACGCCGAAACCACCATCTCCAACCTCCCCCGACTACCTCCAACTACACGATACCATCGCAATGACACACAAAACCATTTAAACGATACGATCACGATGAGAACTCCATTACACTGAAAACCCGTCTCCCCCGTCCCTCCGCTCAGAAGAACGCCACGGCAAAGTCCCCGCCCGCAATCAGATCCGTCCAGAAGACCGGCGTGCCCGTCACATCGCTCCTCCTCCACACCTCCCTCACCAGCTCCCTGCCGCTCGCGGGCCCCGCCTCCTCATGCCCTACCACGCGCATCGCCTGGTCGCACACCCTCCTGTCCGCCTCGTCCACCGCCACGCTCGCCGCCACGAACATCGGCAGGTTGAAGTTGCTGCACCCGACACTCCTGCAGTACGCCTCGCCCGCACTCGTCCACAGCTCCAGCATGCCCCTCAATAGGCCCCTCACCACGGGATGCAGTGCACCCACGCGGTAGATCAGCGTGTGGATGAGAATGATACATGCACTCTTGGTGAGCACAGCGCAGATCGCAGAACCCGTCGTTAAGGGGGTGTCGATCGTACACGATTCCGCACGCGTCTGGATGCGTCGTGCTCGCTCGTGCACCCACTGCGGTACGGGTGAACCGGAGGATCGCCTAGCGGTGTGCGAAAAGTCGCCTCCGTCGAAATCGTACCTCAACCGCGCGATGTCCGAGAGCGCGATCAACGTCACATCCGCCAAACCGAATGTCTGATCTTCCCCCCTGATCCCCTCCACACTCTCCCCCTCCTCGTGCTCCGTGCTGTACGTCGACATCGCAAGCTGCAGATGCGGCCTCGTCCCGCACGCAATCGCCGTCGTCACATCGCTCCAAACATACGTCCTGAACCCCAAATGCTCGTGACTCGTCAACTTGCCCAAATCCACCGGCGGGAAGCTTCCCAACAACGTCTCTATCAACCCCCTCATCCTCGCCGCCTCCTCAAAATAGCTCTGCATCCCTTCCTCCGCAAACGCATAGATCGCAATGTTCAACGCCGCCATGAGCAACGGGTTGACCCTCACGCATTCCGCCAGGAACCCCTTTTCGGTGAAACTCACGCCCATCGCACGCGTCGTCTTTGCGCAGTAGTCCGATACCGCCTGCTCCAACGACCTGACCGAAAGCTGCTTGAGCGTCTGCGCTTGGCCCACGAGCAGATCGTCCAGCGTAGCATGCGTCGTCGAGGCGCGCTTCAACCTCTCGGCGTTCGCAGGCGATAGCGCACTCAGCGGTTCCGACGACAAGCTGCCCGCCGGCGATCCGGACCAAATCGTATCCGGCGTGCCCGGGAAGGAAAAGTTCAAATTCGCCTTGACGCAGTCCGCGATCGAGGTACGATCCGCACGCAACGTGTTCGCCCACTGATGGATCGCTACCACATCCTTCGGCCACGTCAACCTCGCCCCACCCACATACCCCGCGGTAACCGCCGCAATCGACAGCCTCAGAGGCGTGTGTCGATCAACACTGTCCAGCAGGTACGGCACGAGCTGCCGAAACAGTGTCGAATTCTCGATACCGCGCACATCGCATCCCTGCACCCAACAGGTGATGAGCGTGCTGTAGTAGCCGATGAGACTCTCCATGACGAGCCGCGATTTGGCGGTGGCAGCGTGCGAGGATGCGTTGGCGTTGCTCGCCTCGGGCGAATGGTGACGCGAAGCCATAGGTGTGGACAGACTGGGCATGGGTTGAACCTGAACCAAGTCGGCATCGAGTGCTGCAAGCTGTGCTGGGTCGGGCTGCATCAGGCGATTCGCCACGGCACTGCACGACGCACAGAGGTGACGACCAGAGAAGAGACAGTCGCCGACGATCTCGCAAGCAACCGCCGACGGTTGCAGCGGTATCGTAGTGAGCGATTGTTGCTGTTGATGCAGATGCTGCGTGGTAGAACGGTCGTGCGGCCGCTGTCCTGTAGCTTGAGGTGTTTGCGATGAAGCCGTGATCATCGTCGACGGATGCACAAAGGGTGGATAGGACGATGATGTACCGCCTTTGCTCTCGGATTCGAGCGGCCAGGCTGCTGAGCTGGTAGCGAGACCGGCGAACTGCGCGAGGCTGTTGGCCATGTCGAGGCCTTGCGGATCGATGGAACCATGCGAGGTGCGATGAGTTTGGGCGCTTGGACCCACCGAAGAGAAAGATCCATGTTCAAGTGCAGCTGATCGTGGATCCACAATCCCGTTCACATCGGCATGAGAGCCGCCTTCGAGCTTGACGCGGTTGCGAATCTGATCGAGTTGAGCATCGGGCGACCCCCTGGTTCGCTTGTTCTTGGACGTCGACGCGGAACCTGGTTCAAAGACGACAGGAGGCCTTCGAAATCCTTCGCACTGGTAGCCTGCATTTCGACATCGCCAGCAGCCACCCGTCTCCTCGCAAAGGGTCTCGTCGCACTTCTTCTTGCGTTTTCGGCAGGTCAAACATCCTGAGCGGGATCGTTTGCCGGTCAAGGGGGCTGGCGGCTCTGCACTCAACGTGGCGTGTGTCGAGGTTTCGGCATGATGAGAGGTTGCGGTAGTTGCTCCTATGCCATTTCGGCCGTTGCTGATGTCGACAACGGTGGAAGACGCAGGCTGAGACGAGGAAGATATGCGCCGCACCGTGGCAATCGCATCTGCTGAGTTGCGCGCTGTGGGTATCGAGGGTGATCGTGAGCCTGGAGCAGGACTCGAGTCTGCCGACGGCATGCTGGATTGCTGGATCGGTTGCGAAATATCAGTGAGTAGCAGACGAGGGCGCACGCGAACCGAGCTGAGCAGCTACATGCCTGTCGCGTGCATGCGGCATGTATCCGAACGACAAGGATGTTGCTTTGCGTGCTGCGCTCCGTCAGCGTCTCGTCTTGCCAAAAGCAGAGCAGAGGAAGAAGGATACTGGCACGACTAGAAGGCCGGAGACGCCGAGCTGGGTCGTCAGATGTGAACGGCGCTTATCGTGCAGCTGTCGGACGAGCCGCCGTCGCCTTGCACTCGAATGACTATACCACTACACTACGGCGATTCGGCGCCGTGAAGAGTCTTCGGAGACCGTGTTCCGTGGCTTCCGGAGTGCTGAGTCCGAGAGACCCACACAGAACAGAGTTAGGAACTGGACGGTGGACGACCAACAAAGTGATGATATGGAATGAAACGTAAAGACACAGTATACAGGTGAGTGTGTGAGGAGCTTAACGAGAGAAACGCAAAACTCGTCGGATGTCGGGAGACATTCCGACCGTGCTCAGTTTTTGGCCGGTGAGCGAGCTTGTGCGCAGAAAAGGAAATGCTCTCGTTGTAGCTTTCCCACGCTTTGGCAGTCTTGGCAGCATCGCAGTGTTTGATTCCTCTCGACTCATTTCGAGGGTTTGCGGTCGCGGCCAAGACCATGTTCGCCGTGCGCGTATCAAAGTTGGCGGAGAGAGGCGCGCAACCGTCGGCGGTGGGCTCAAAAGTGACCGCAATCTCTCTGACTCGACCCGATTGCCGATGTGAACAGGCTTGATAAGGTCAGAGCATGCAACTCAAGTTCGAGCTATCTGTGCCTTCAATTACGCTGCGCTGCGCTTCGCTTTTCATTCCACGCAGAACGTCGCAGCGAACAGAAGAGAGTTCAACCGCCGCGTGACCTCTGCGCTGCATCTTCCCAGGGTCTGCTGCTGCTCTGCGGGGTTTCTCGTATGCTGGACCCTAGCCTTTGTCGGCAGACGCGATAAGCGCGGCTAGCGCGGCTACGCTTATTTCGAGCCGGCCACACGGACCACGCTTCTCTCTCGATGCTGGCGAGCAACAGGAATGCAGTTCATTCAAACGAATGTCGACCGCCGCAAGGGTACCAACGATAAGGTGACGGCTGAGGTCAAGCTGCTATCCTCTCCTTGGTGCGACCAACTGCATACCACACTGCTTCTACGACGCGATAAATACGCCACCATCGCCAGCCTTTCGTTCCGCCCCTCTCCCTCTTTCTCTCTCACTTGTTCCTACCATCTAGCAATCGAGTCAACCAAGATGACCATTTCAGACACACTGGAAATCGCCTCGCCCTCCGGCAAGACTCTTCGAGTCCCCACCGGCCTGTTCATCAACAACAAGTTCGTGCCCTCCGTCGACGGCGGCACGCTCGAAACGATCAACCCGGCCACCGGAGCCTCGCTCGGTCACGTCTCCTGCGCGTCCGCCTCGGACGTCGATCTCGCCGTCTCTGCCGCCCGTACCGCGTTCAACACCACCTGGGGTCGCAACTCTTCGCCCAGCCAGCGTGCCGCCTGTCTCTTCAAGCTCGCCTCGCTTCTCGAAGAGCACGCCGTCGAGCTGTCCGAACTCGAGTCGCTCGACAACGGCAAACCGCGATGGATTGCCGAGACGATGGATATCGCCGACACCGCGGGTTGTTTCCGGTACTACGCGGGGCTGGCTGATAAGATCGAAGGAAAGACGATCGAGCAGAAGGAAGGGGAGAAGCTGGCGTTTACCAAGTTGGAGCCGTTGGGAGTGTGTGGGCAGATCATTCCGTGGAACTATCCGATTGGGATGTTGGGATGGAAGGTGGCACCGGCGTTGGCTGCGGGTAACTGTATCGTGTTGAAGCCGGCGGAGCAGACACCTCTCAGTGCGCTGAGGATCGCAGAGTTGAGTGTCGAGGCAGGTCTTCCAGCAGGTGTGTTCAACGTCATCAACGGACTAGGACCCGTGGTGGGTGATGCCATCACCGGTCACATGGATATTGACAAGGTGGCATTCACAGGTTCAACTGCTATCGGTAAGAGAGTCATGGAGAGAGCCGCTCGTTCCAACCTGAAGAAGGTGACGCTCGAACTGGGCGGTAAATCCCCCGTCGTCGTGTTCGACGATGCCGATCTCGATCAAGCGGTCAACTGGGCTGCGTTGGGTATCCTCTTCAACCAGGGTCAGGATTGCACCGCCGGCTCTCGACTCTTCGTGCAAGAAGGAATCTACGACAAATTCTTGCCTAAGCTCGTCGCCGCTTTCAAAGCTCACGCCATCGGCGACCCGTTCTCGGATCAGACCTTCCAAGGTCCTCAAATCACACAACGTCATCAACAACGTATCCTCGATTACATCGAGTCGGGCAAATCCGAAGGTGCAAAACTCGAGATCGGCGGTGGCCCTTGGTCCGCTAGCGACGGCAAGGGAGATTTCGACAAGGGCTTCTTCGTCCAGCCGACCATCTTCTCAGGCTGCAAGAAGGGGATGAAGATCGTCGATGAGGAGATCTTCGGTCCGGTGCTGGCGGTAGCCAAGTTCAAGACGGAGGAGGAAGGCATAGCGTTGGCGAACGATACGAGCTATGGTTTGGGAGCAGGTGTGTTCAGTACCAACGCGAGCAGGTGTATGCGGGTGGCGAGTGCGATTCAGGCGGGTACGGTGTGGGTGAACAACTACGTCGTGGTGAGCAACGCTGTTCCCTTCGGTGGCTTCAAGGCGAGCGGCATCGGGAGGGAGTTGGGCGTAGACGCGATCAAGGAGTATACTCAGGTCAAGAGCATTCACTGGAACTACGGTGAGACGCTCGATTGGCCACTCACTGGTTAGAGAAGGCAATGCAGACATCTGGCAGAAGGCAAAAATGTCATTGGGTGTGCGAGTCAAAGTTGGGTCCAATCGATCATACCTGCTGGTCCGTAGCGTTGCTTCAACCACTCGTTTGCCTTTTTGAAGTGGCCGTTGCCCAAGAAGCCCCTGTGTGCGGATAGAGGCGATGGATGAGGCGATTTGAGGATGAGGATGTTCGGGTTTTTGTCCGTCACACCTGCCTCTGCTAGAGTCTTTGCAGCAGGTGCACCCCAAATGAGAAACACGACGCCTTTGCTTTGCCCTTCTGCTCCTCCCTTTTCTTTCCCCACTTCCTGTGTTTCCTTTACATCCTTCTCCTTCTGCTCAGCCTTTTTGAACATGCTCGCGATCCTACTTCCCCTCACCGCCTCCTTTTCGCTCCCACCCGCTTCGTCCGCGATCATCTTCAACACGTGTTTCGTCAACCCCTCCCACCCTTTACCATTATGACTATTCGCCTTACCCGCACTCACGGTCAAACAGCTGTTGAGCATCAACACGCCCTGCTTCGCCCACGCGTCCAGACATCCGTGGCTCGGAGGCTTGAAGTTGGGATACTCGTCGGATAGCTCCTTGTAGATGTTCTTGAGTGACGGTGGAACGCGGACGCCGTGAGGGACGCTGAAGGAGAGACCGCACGCCTGACCCGGTCCGTGGTAGGGATCTTGACCGACGACGACAATGCGCACGTGCTGCGGCGAGGGGACGAGTCGAGACCACGAGTAGATGAGCGAGCGCGGTGGGTAGGTCGTCAGGCCGGAGCGGTCTTGTGCGGAGAGAAAATTTTTGAGCGCGACGGAGAAGTACGGCTTGGACATCTCGGGGAGGAGGAGCGAGAACCAGCTGGGGGACATGCTTTGACGTTCGAGCCATAGCGGATCGGAGGCGAGGTCGGTGGGCGGTTGGAGTTTGGGTGTGGGAGCGGGAGGGTTGGATGTTTTGGAAGATGACGAGGGGAAGAGCGTTGCTTGTTTTAGGGTGGATCGCGGTGTTGAGGAGGTGGATGCGGTTGTAGTGGGAGCTGGTTGCGATAACGATGGTGGATCCGGCTGAGATGAGGCGTGGTTGGAAGCGGCTGATTCTGCTTCCTCGGCGGCAGCCAGGAGTGCAGCGTCGTCGAACTCTTGCTCCGAGGTATCGAACTCGTCCTCTTTGAGCGCAGTGGCTGTTTTGACGCGCTTGACAGTGGGCTCGCTAGGCGCACCGTCAGAAGCGAGCGTGTTCGCGTCTCTCTTGGTAAGCGTGGTTCGAGTGGTCATCTTGAGTTGCGTTTCTTGAGCCTTGCTCGACAGCAGATCCGGAATGAGGACGAGTGATGAACGAGTGGTTGCTCGAATGGAACCGGAGCGGATGGCTTGCAGGGCTAGGCTTCGGCCGAGAGCGCTGGATAAGCGCGTGCAGCTGGCGAGGAATGCGATGATGGCTACGAGCGAGGGTGGTACGGTGCCGCGTCTCCGGCGATGCTACTTGTCTTGCTGAGTGTGTATATGATGGTGTTCATGGCAGAGAAGAAGAAGGATTGCTGAGCCAATACGGCGCACGAACACGCCCCCAAACCTCCACACGCAGCTCCGGAAGCTACAGCAGCCAGTGAAAAAAGGACGTGCAATTTACGCGGCTGCCAACGCGCACTCTGATCCCTCTTCTTCGCGGCGACGCGCCTTTTTCTCTCCGCTGTGTCACTTTGATTATCACAGTCAACGCTAAGACCAACACTCTCTGGTCGTTGCGCAGCGCCTTTTTGATTTTAAAGGTCAAATTTCTCCGCCTTCTTTTTTCGACATCAATTATCAGTACTTGGCTTGTCTGTCCATCAGCCATTCTCTCATCCTGACCACACACCCTCCCCATCATGACGCTCACAACATCCACCGACGTACCTGCTCCCTCTTCCTCCCACTCACCTCAATACCTCATCTTCTTCAGCTCCGGTACTCCACCCTGGTGTCCCGACTGCGTCGACGCACAGCCCGCAGTGCAAAAGGTCTTCGGCGGCGACAACATTGATGGTCACATCGTCTTGGTAGGCGAGAGGTCGGAGTGGAAGACACCGGAGAACAGGTTTAGGAAGCAGTTCTCGATCAGGTGCATTCCCACCATCACAAAAGTCGTCGATGTAAGTACGATAGGAACAACGGAATACTGAGTTGGATTGCTGACCGTTCCGGGATTTCTTCATGTTTGTCAACGAGCAGGGAAAGGAAGTGGCTCGACTCGAAGACAGTGAATGCAAAGATGCCGATACTGTTGCTGCTTTCGTCAAGGCGTGAATAGCGATCACGATTCATCATTCAGACAACGCAATACAAGAGTACATCCAAACATCAATTATGCAAACGAGCGACTTAGCGAGAGAAGAGTATGTACAGCAGGTATATCAGACGATCGCAACAAGCGCCCGCTCGAATCACTTGAAGAAGCCACCAAAGCCACCTGGCTTGCCACCTTGGTTATGACCGCCGGGAGGTCCGTACGGATTGCCGCCGTATCCGCCGCCGTTGTTGTGGTGCTTGTTCTTGTCCATCTTCTCGTACACCATCTTTCCCACTTGTGCCAAGATCGCTCCACTCAACATGGACGAACCCGTTCCCATGTGGCCACCCGAAATCTTGTTCCCTGCGAAGCCCGCAGCTGCACCCATAGCCATTGTTCCGAGTCCTCGTTCGCCGTCGACGGGGTTGCCATGCTCGTCGTACTGTTGTGGACCCTGCTGCTGTTGCTGCTGGTGTTGCGGCTGGTTACCGTACGGCGAAGGTGACGACGAATTGCCGTATGGCGAGGGGGAGTAGTTAGCGTTCTGAGGTGGACCATAATTCGAGTTGTAGCCTTGCTGATTCGAATCATAGCCGGGAGCGCCGTTGTACGACGATTGAGGTCCCGCGGAGTAGGGCGACTGGTACCCGCCCGAGGATGATGACGACGAGAGCGGGTCACCCGGGTACGAAGATCGCTGTTCACCGCCATACGATGATTGGGGTCCCCCAGGATATGAAGACTGTGGTCCACCGGGGTACGAGGATTGGGGTCCTCCGGGGTAGGACGACTGGTCTGGAGCTGGTCCGCCTGGGTAGTACGACATTCTACTGTATGCGATGTGTGTTTAGTTCGTTGAAGCTTGGTGTGTTGCGATGCGAGATATCTGCTGAAGCGATGGGTGAGAACGAGAAAGGGAACGGTGTGGTGGGTGGACGGAAAGAACTCGAGTACTTAAGCTATCCGAAGAGCCTCAAGATGAGTTTGACTTGAAGCTGGACGTCGGGTTTCGTCACAGGGTTTGGTCAGACAATTTGAGCACGGCCCTTCACTCTGCTGCAATCATCATCAACACCCGAAAGGCAACGAACGTGCCAAGCTTTTGCCGCTCTCGCGCTCTCCTGGTCAAGACACGGGCCGCTGTCATTGCCGTCCACAGCCCTGGAGCCCTGGACCCGCAAGGCATGCACCGCACCTGCAAATGTGACCATCCTATCCATTCGCTGTAGGCACCGAGCTGTGTACCGACCAAGCATCCGAAAGCTTTCATCATGCACGGAGGATAATTTAGTGTCGTAACGTGCCGTCGGCGGATAGCTTGAGACCCTGAGTGGCGGCTGTGCTCGTCCAAGCATCGGCCTCTCTCGTGTTCTGGCTGCAGAGTGTGACATGCGCCTACCGCAAGACAAGGCAGGGCAGGGCTGTGTGTCCATCTCTAACCGGGCTGTGCCGAGTCTGTGATGGCCAGATCTCGAAGGCAAAATTGCGGGGCTGTGTGTGTGTGTGCATGTGTCCGCCGGCGCGAAAATGCCAGGGGAGAAAGCAACACTTTGCCAGCCTCGGCGTTTCCGAGCTGGAGGGCGAGGCGGTGCAGCGCCACCTGAAAGCACGATGATGACAGTTTCAGTCCCGGCTTGGCAGGGGACATTCATTCATTTTAGCTGACAAGATTGTGTTGACGAAAGGTGTAACATTCAGAAGAAATTCCGGCTTTATCGTTGGCTACTCTCCTTGGCGCTGCTGCATGTCCGGCTCTTGCGACCTTCGTTAAAAAGCGCCTGTGCACCTTCCACTGTCTCTAGTGCGCGCGTCGCTACCGTCGGCACACAAGACCAGATTTCTCTGGCGGGGCGACGCAGCGCTTTGCTCCCTGCTCTCAAGCCACCAAACTTGACTTTTGTGTTTGCTTTGTTCGGGTGGCTGCGACTCGAGACTCGGAAGGTCGAGCCCAAAGCAGAGCGACGCGCAGCAGACCAAAGCTTGATGTCACCGGCTCATGTCGTGTACCCTGCCTGTCGACCCTTGTGCAGCTGCACGGTATCAAGGCAGCCTTCGATGATGGACATGATGTACAGTATGCAAATCCTTGGAAAAAGGGGTGCCGGCCACTCCTTGGCAATGTCAAGCGGTCATGGCCGGAGAAACAGCTTACAGTGATGTAGGTCTAGCGAACAGTCTCGAGCCGGTCATTCGCTTCGACACCGTCCCACCTTTTTCATATCCGCGTCGGTTTCGAATTAGCACATGCAGCCGGAACTCGCGAGTGGCGCTTCCAGTTTGAGAGTTTGCGACATCCGAATGACATTGAGGTGGCTGTCTCTTGTCGACCCACAAAAAGCCAGATCGCGCAACCTACTGCACAGTACTGTATCTAGTTCTCTCGCCGCTGCTGGGGGCTACTGCGCTGAACGCGATCAAATACGGTAGCAAACATCTCATTGCCGCGACAGCCGACGTGACGTGCTGTCCTAAGCTCAGCCCACATCCGCTCATGAAGCCATGCACGCGCGCACGCACACAAGACGGATACGGTTGTCTAGCGAGGACGGTCAAGGACGGGAGGACGTGCCTATATCTCCAACCTTGCACGGCCGCATAGAGCGATTCACCACATCAAACCTGATCAAGAGCGGCGGGACCTTCACATGTCCTCTTTGCTCCTGACCCTCTGATTCCGTTTCTACCTCCCCGCAAGAGTCACAATCGATTCCGCGACCATCAACGGGAGCCATAGGACGGCACCTCCGGAACCGTCACGCGCTGTGCATCCGTCATCTCAGCAGGTCCGATGCAGTCAACCGTTCGGCTGAGTCACACCATCATCTGTGTCGCAGCTTGAAAACTTCGGAAAATGGGTGCCAAGGTGATATCAACGCTTCACGTTTTAGCCGCGATCGTGTCATGGATTGCGGCTGTCGTCCATTGCCTCGTCCATCCACTCAGCGTTCCTAGCATCACCATTTGCGTTGTCCTTGCCAGCATTGGTGGTGTCATTATAGCGCAGGAGTTCGCAAGCGTTCTCTCGATATGGTCTCGCTGTAAGCCTCGGTTGCTGAGCTCCTACCATGGCCGGGCGCTGTGCTTCTTCCTCGCAGCTGCTATCCTCTTTGATCGACTCGCCGACCTACCCTGCGACCTGTCCACTACGGCTTCGTCCCTTCCGACGTCTCCCGCAAAGTTCTCCATCTCTGCAGGAGACGCAGCTCACAACGTGCCTGCCGTGCCGCCTTCACAGCCATCCAAGGAAGGCTCCAGCAAGATCAAGCAGAAGGGACCTCCCGTCTTTGGCACAGCATTCTACCTCTGCCGTCCGCTCGCTCCCAAATGCACGCGCATCGACACTGTACCGGGGCAAGCAGCTGGCAGCGTGGCCTGGGTCAACATTCAGGTCAACAAGATAAGCCGTCTGCTGATGTTTGCCACTTGCGCCTCGACGCTGGCTGTATGTTTGGTCTATATCGTGCTGGCTTTGATGTACAGGTCGGGAAAAGTCGACCTGTCGCCTGGCATGGCTTGCGCAGGAGGCAGAGGTCGGGACGGCCCTTATTCTCTGGAGTTTCACCCCATGAAGCCTCCCGGCTTGAATCACGATCAGGTTGACAAAGGGGCAGGATCCCCTTCGTCCGCCTATCGTATCAACATGCACGGCAACGATCCTTCCTGCTGTCGTTGCATGCCTCCCGACCTGTATCAGGAGCAAAGACTGTCTGACGCGGTTGGAACGCCAGTCGACAATCATCGTGCGTCGGACGATACGAGCTTGGCACCTCCGCGGTCGTTGCGCAGAATCGAAAGCACTGGCACGGCTCGTCCCGTCGAGAGCGCCCTCGACCCAGCTCAGGGTGCAGCGAGCACACCGGACCAGATCTTTCGGAACGAGAGACTCGACCCGTCCTCTGTCTCGACACGAGCCGCTAGCGATACGCTTCCTCTCGGAAAGACCAAGAAGCTAGAGCGTGGCGGAGAGGTCAGTCCACACTCGGTCGAGGTCCAACGGCTCGACAAGTACGGATATGAAAACGGCTACAGCCGAAACGTCGATTATGCGTCCGGGTGCATTGTCCACTACCCGATCTTTTCGAACAAGAAGAAACCGAAGGCGACGCAGGTGGTTGCTGCGACTCAGACGTTTCCAACGCTATCTCCGCCCGACTTTTCGCGAAAATCATTTGGTAGCTACAGCGGATTGACGCCGAGGCAGTCGGGCAAGAGGGGAGCGAGCGATGCTTCCAAGTCGAACGAAACGAGGCGAGTAGCGGTGCAGCAGCGCCAGAAGAGCGAAGAGGCGGGGGACGAAGGAGCTGTGGACGCAAAGTTGCATGATGCAAAGACAGAAGCTGGGGTGGCATCGAGCGTCGAACAAACGACCCACCCGTCAAAAGGTAACGGGAACATCGTTGTCGCGCCCCACCTAGCTGGCCAATCTGCCCCAGCGCTCCTGTCTCCAAGTGGCATCGATCAACCATCTCCATTCCTCACCTCCAAATACCCAGCCAAACCCGCTCAAGCTCATTCAAACCCAACTCCCGACACTCATGACGATCGACGTCTCGGCACAGCCGACTCCTCGCGCTCGTTCGTCTCCACCTACAGCACCGCTCAACCCCACACGTTCACCTCACGTCCCGGTACAGCCACATCCACCAAATCCCACACCTCTTTACGTCTCATGCAGCGTCGCCGACGCGGACTGCTCGCCACGCTCGATCTGCACCTGGGAACGAGACTGAGCGGTATCAGTCAGGACGCCAGAGCAGGCAAGGGTGGTGCGGGGGAGAGAAGGTCGACGGACTCGGGGAGGTCGTGTAGCGCGGGTACATTTGGCGGTGGCGAGGGTGGGTCACCGGTTTCTACTCCGAAATGTGCATGAGCGGACGACAGGCGTGTTGATTATTTGTGAACGGTGATGAATGCTATTGAAACGATATCGTTGTACGAGAAAGAGGAAGAGGTTGTGCGGCTCTGTATGGGTGAATCGGGAAAGTCTGAGGGAAAATTCGCCGAGATATGCACGACGATCCCTAGTCTGACGTGAGCACTGGAGGTAAATGCTCGCACGGTTGCCGGCGTGAACCTATTTTTTGTCCTGCATATAAGTGATCTCGACACACGATTTTGAAAACTCTCTCACTGTGAACGACACATCGAAGGGAGGCAACAATGGCGGAGGAACTGGATGTAGCTGGGCTGACGTTGCATCCGACATCATCTGGAGGTGAACAGGTCAACGGCGTGCTTGGTACTGAAAGCGGCAGTGGTGCGACGTCGAAGCCGACTACGGGAGCGAAGCCTACGGGACCTATACCGATGAGCATGCCGTCCATCCTGCGAAACACTGGAACGCCATCATACCTTCTCAATCAACCTTCTTCGTCCTATCCACCTACCAATCCCACTCGTACACGTCGGAAAGAACCTTCTCTCGGGCGACGCAAACAACGACGATCCGAAAACCTTCGACTCCTAACCACTCCTTCTGCTCGACCTACACCGAAAGATTACAGATTACATTCGAATGCCATCAAGTCCACTTTTTCATCGGCTGCTGCGAAGAGCGTTCCGGTACCTTCGTCGAGCAAAGCTGGATTCAGCGAACCAAATTTTGATGCGTACAGCGCGAATCAGGGGTACTTTGGAACATCTCTGAAGGATGCACAGAGGACACTTCGGTCGTTCAAGGTTGATGATGAGATGATCAGGGAGGGTAAAGCGGGGGAGCTGGAGAGGTTTATCTGGTTGGTGGAGAGGGAGATCCGAACATGGAGTTGTGCCGACGTTTTCCTATTCAACACCACTACTTCCAACAAAACGGGAAGAGTTTTGCTCGACGACCAGTTCAACTTCCCACAATCCTCCGAGGATATCAACTTGGACGACGTCAAACCGGGCGGCTTGGTTGGTCAAGTGGTCGAATTCCAACGAACACCAAATGCACTCGTATGGCTGGTGGAAGATCCCTTCCTCCGCTTAGTGGTGCATTGTCTTTCGAGGGTGCTCAAGTGTCCAAGCTTTAGCAAAGACGATACGACCAGACCAGGATTACGCTTCACCTGGATCCTCAACCCAAACCCCATGGCTAGAAAGCGAGGAAGAAGAGGTAGGAGAGTCAGCGTGTCTAGCGATGCTCCCTCCACCACCACCACCACCGTCGCCGACAGAGTGATCGGGCTGAATGCTGGGATGGATACCCCTCCAACGACGGATTTCGACAGTCAGACGGAAAGCGAGGTCGAGACGGACACAGATGCTGAAGCAGACGGCTTGGCTGGATCGATGGTGTTGGTGCCCCCACCAGGGCAGGAGGTGGAGGAGGAGAGGAATGTGGATACGGATGAGGAGGAAGTAGAGATCTTGAGGAGGGTGAGGAGGTGGGCGATCGATAGCGGAAGGCAGCGGAGGAGAGAAGATGCACAGGTGGGGGAAGAGTCGGCTCAACAGGGGGATCCGGATCGGACGCTCATGGCTGCAGATGTGATTGATGAAGAGCAGGAGGAGGAGGAAGAGTTTGATGAAGAGGACGAGTATGGGGAGAGCAGCGATGACGGCGATGATGACGAGGTGCGGTCCTTGGATGATGCGTGACGGAGGCACTTTGCAATCGAACCTAGACAGATGTGGGGTCTCTGATCCACACCAGAACGACACACAGGCTCGCCTGTGCACTTGCGGATGAGTTGACCATTTCTCGAATGACATTCAGATCGCTGCCTGCAACACCAGCGCCACCCATCCTACTTCCGATTTCCTAGCTTACTTCTTCTTGGCAGTCTTCAATCTGATCGTCTCACCATCCACAAAGATCCCCTTGCCCTTGTACGGCTCTGGTTTCCTCCAACTCCTAATCTGACTGGCAAATAGACCCAACTGTTCCTTATCCGCTCCCTTGAGCACGATCCTATTCGGCTGCGGGATCTGCACCTGCACACCGTGCGGTACAGGCAGCAGTACGGGATGCGAGTAACCCAGCCTGATGTGCAACCTCATATTCGGACCCTGTTTCTCCGCTGCTTCCCTCGCTCGCTGTGCTCTCTCCACCTCGGCTTGCTTTGCAGCTTCGGAGAGGAAGAACGACTTGGTTCCGGCGAGAGCGATGTCGAGTTTGGAGCGACGAGGGAGCGGGTCAGGTTCGATGGAGGCGCGGTAACCTACGCCGACGAGTTTGAGCGAGACTGTGTGGCCTTCCGATACGCCGTGGAGGGCGTTGTTGAGGAGGGAGCGGGTGAGACCCCAGGTTCCGCGTTGACGCTTTTGAGAGTCGTCCTTGATGGAGAGGGTGATGCGGGAGGGGGAGGCGGTGGTGGGATCGTCAGAGGTGGTGTTGAGCAGGACGCACTCGTGGAGCGGGACGACGACTTCGCCCTTTGGACCGCTGACGAGGACGGATTTGGCGCGGCGGAGAGAGGGGAGCAGCGGTCGTGATGGGTTCGGGTGCGGCGGGAAGGGGAGGATTTGGATAGTGGTGGAGGTGGGCAGGTCGAGCGGTGCGCTGCCGACGTGAGAGTGTCGTACGGAGAGGTGGGATCGGAGGAGGGTGGAGGAGGCGATGCGGGAGGTGGAGGAGGCGGAAGAGGAAGGGGCGGATGATAGGAGGAGCCCTCCGAGTTGGCGTGTGATGCGAGATGTGGATGCCGAAGCTGTTGGTGCGACCATTTTGGCGAGTGTGTGGGAGGGGTGTAGGTACGAGATGGTGGTGAGCGTCGTCGTCGTCACCGTTGACATCGAAATGAGACTTTCTTCTCGGACAACTTTTCTCGCTTCGTGCCGACCATCACAAATGTCTTTCCATCCTGTCACATCGAGAGATCCAAGAGCAGATCGATTCCCGATGCGAGTTCCTCTTTAGATGTTACATCGATTCAGTACATCGCCTTTGTTTTTTTGAGCAGCGGTGCCGAAAATACAGTTTCAGAAAAAGCGCACGTGACCTCTTTGGTGCATGGAGTGATGCGAAATTCGCAATACAGACGCTTAGGAAATTCCAATTCAGCATCGCGGCACGGCAGCAGCCCAGCCACACGACGGCAGAAGCGCAGGCCCAAGAGCACGACGACTCTCGGACGTAGAGAAACTGCGAAAGCTTCCTCCGCCCCAAAGCAGTTGCAGCAGCAGCACCGAACAGCAACAGCAGCAGCCGACGGCGGAGTGTCTTGGCCATTCGATCCAATTCGCACTTTTCCCTCACCACCACCCTTTCTTCACCCATCCTCCCTTCAAGAAAGAATTCGTCAAGGTTGGTATCTTCGACACTCTCCAGAGCAAACACGTATAGACCATCGAGTAGTCGTAGCAGTAGCAGCAGCAGCCGAAACAAGGATCGGAATTGGTGTTCGAGGCAGGAATCGACACACCGAATGATCAGCAGACAGCATAACAGCATCACGACAGCTTCATGTGACAATGTCGACTTCCAAAACAGCATCGTTCGACTCAGCATAGATTATCGTCGTCTCGTCAGTTGTCGTTGCCTGGATTTGGCCGGTCTACTCTTGATACACAGCGAGATGACGACCTCGATGCAAGGATCGCATTCAGATAATATCAGCCGTATGGAGTAGAGATGGATATGGAATAGCGGAAGCAGCTCGGAGCGACACGATGAGCCCATTGCAGGAAGAGAGGTCACCGACCAGCGGCATGTTGGACATCCAGATCGCGGTACAGGGGTGCAGCGCGACATAGCATTGGACATGTGATGCCAGAGGGCCGTTGCGATGCTCTCACAACACGTCGCATCTGTCATCCTGCACTCCGCTCTCGGTGTTCCTTCGTTGCTGCACGCACGAGTCCGATACTTGGTCGGATAGAGTACAGCACGGAATTCGATGTTCAGGATAATCGCCCAGACATCAGAGGACAGCTGTAGAGGGGCATGGTCGCGCATTTGCATGGACCGGCATGCCTACAACATACCTGGATGCCCACTGCGACCACAGGTCCTGCCATCACCGATTTCGTCGCCCGCAGTCACACTCATGTCGCATTGCGACCTGCGCACAGCACCGCTCATGGCGCTCAACTGCACACCACCAACTGTACTCCGGATCGACCCACATTCACCTGCTAGGTGTCACATCCGCCTGTCACGTTGGAATGCTCGTCTCTCGCCATGGCGCTAGCGCATCTCGGTTGTGCTGTCTCACATCATCGACATTCGACCATCTCGATGCAAGCTTTCCATGTTGCTCGTCCTCGCCTCATCCCTGCTTGCCCGCTACTGCTACCATCCACTGCTACGACGATCTTTCGTCTGCACCCGATCCATCTTCGTTTCCCATTTCCGATTTACTGACTTTCTCCCAACCCCTCCCTATCCACCTCGAACAGATGGCTGAGCGTGTCACCCTCCGCAAGCGAAACCCCTACAACACCAAGTCGGCTCGCCGACAGATCATCAAGACACCCGGTGGACACCTCCGCTACCTGCACGTCCAGAAGCGCGGAACCGTCCCCAAGTGCGGTGACTGCCACTCCGACCTCAGCGGTATCAAGGCTCACCGACCTCGCGAGTTCGGCACCATCTCCAAGCGACAGAAGACCGTTTCGCGTGCCTACGGTGGTTCGCGATGCTCGTCGTGCGTTCGCACCCGTATCATCCGCGCCTTCTTGGTCGAGGAGGCAAAGATCGTCAAGAACGTCCTCAAGGCTCAGGCTAAGACCCAGAAGTAAACGAACACCGGAGAGATACTTGGGATGGTCGGAAGCTAGTCGCGAAAGAGAGGGAAGGTGCTGTGTTCTTCAGGCGTCATTGAAGGATCGGTTCGAACTCGAAATAGCGATGGGAAAGGCTTCTGATCATTTCACAAAACACACCCAAAATTTATCCGCCACAGCTGATCACCCCACACGGTGTAAGATGAAGCTGTAGTTGCATACACACACACATGACGCACACACACACACATACATTCAACCTTGTACCATTTGCCCCTTTCTTGTTCTCCACCTTTGGGTGTTGTTACGCTGTGCGGCTGGTGTTGAGAAGATGCCTCGGCTCGTGAGAGAAATTGGGAAGATCGGATCTAGATCGAAGCCGATAAGGAAAAGAGAGGTAAGATAGGTGTTGGAGGATGCTGTACCGAGGCACCGAGGTTTCCATGAGTCGATATGGGAGCCTCGTAGTACGCAGCTTGGGTTGAATCAACAGCAGAAGGTTGCCGAAGCGGTCGACGCTACCGTCCAACTCTCTACAGGTTACAACTAACCGCCGCTACTGGAACACACCCACGACTGACTCATGTCTTCGCAAAACCTGCCAAACCACATTCGAAAACGGATGACTCGTCCAATCAGATCCAGTCGATGCCAAAGAAATCGCTGTACCATGTGACGATCTACCAAAAAAAGTCTCCGAGAGAAGTATGACGTTTGTTGCCAGTTACACACACACACACGGTGCGCTCCGAAAAACCACGGAGAATTTAGGGATTTCGTTCACCTGCAGTAAGCCTCTGCTGAGGTTGTGGCGCTTTTTTCCCAACGATAGGATCACGTTTTTACCGGTGGCTTTGGGAGTCACGCTGCCCTACAGAATCCATGTGAGACCTTGCCGATCATATACGCCGATGTGCATTGTAGATATGGTGGTGACACTAATGGACTTGAACAAAGGTATGGTAGGTGGCGCCGGTACAGAGACTTTTCCAGCCCGTTGAATTTGATGTTCCTTAGAGTTTTTTTTTTTTTTTAAAAGAGGAGGCAAAAGGTCGCACTCCCGAAATGCAGGGTTCAAATCGGCAGCCTCGGGTCGGTTAGCTTCGGATTGACAAGTTGGACAGCTTTCTCGGCGTGTGGCGCCCAATGGAACCTGACTGGATTGGTGTGCATGCCGAGCAGCCTCTCCTGTCACGCACCGCAGTTCCGATGGTCCGTGTGTGTGTGCCAGAGCTGTCCCGAGTGGCACCGACCGTCGGATCTGGGACGTCTATATGAAGCGGTGGAAGCCTGTCCTCCTACCTGAGATCGAGCATACAAGCAAGAACACAAACACCACACCAACTCAACATCACAAGCAACGCCAGCAATCTCTATCATGCCCGTCGGTACTTCCCTCGCGCACGGCGTGCCACGCCTCGCCAGCAAACGAGTCCTCTCAACCATCCTCCTGACTCAAACACGTCAACACATCCTGGCGTCCTCTACAACATCCTGCTCCCTCCGCGCGTTCTCCACCTCGCCACCTCCCCTCCAATCGGCCGTCCAACCCAAAGACCGCCCCGATTCGCCGGCGCCATCCAGGCATCCTGCCGGCAGCTACCTCCTCTTCCATCCGATCTACTCTGAAAGCGATCTCGACAGCGTCCAAGTGGTACATCGCGAGAGCAAGACTTTCGGCGACAAGGTGGCGAGGGCGATGTGTACCGTGGCGAGGACGGTGTTCGATATGGCCACGCGGTATCCGGATCACAAGGGAAAGAAGTTCACGGCGATGAAGAGGGATGTGGAGAAGACGGTTGGGTTGCCCTCGCATCTCGCGAAGCAGGTGGAGAGGATGAAGGGCGAGACTAGCGAAAGAGAAGGTGCGGCAAGTGATGCAGCAGTACCGAGCGGAGACAAGGTGGTCAACAAGACCGGAGCAAGTCTCGCGGAACTTTCAAGAAGCGATGGAACCATGACCTTGCAAGAGATGCGCGCCAAGGGCCTATGCTTTGGACCGGACGGCTGGCTGAACCGCATGATCTTCCTCGAAAGCATCGCCGGAGTTCCCGGAATGGTCGCTGCCACTTGTCGACACCTCCAAAGCCTTCGACTCATGAGGCACGACAAAGGATGGATCCACACCATGCTCGAAGACGCAGAGAACGAACGCCAACACCTTCTGGTCGCGCTGCAGCTCGGCGGCGGCAAACCCGGCCTGATCACACGATCATTCGTCCTCCTCGCACAAGGTGTCTTTTACAACTTTTTCTTCATCTTCTACCTCCTCTCGCCGCGGGTCGCACATCGTTTCGTCGGCGTACTCGAAGAAGAAGCCGTGCTCACCTACTCGCTCATCCTCGAAGATCTCCGCGATGGAAGGTTGCCCGAGTGGGAGAATGTGGCTGCACCCGAGATCGCCAAGCAGTACTGGCAGCTGGGAGAGGGGGCGATGCTCGTCGACGTGATTCGTGCCATCCGAGCTGACGAAGCTACGCATCGACACATCAACCATACTTTTGCAGGGCTGGAGTCGGACGATCCGAATCCGTTTGCCCTGAGGGAGCCGCCGGCGAGGATGCGTGCCGAGACGTATGGCTTGGAGCGCGAGGAAGCGCTGGAATGGGCGAAAGGGAAGGACGCGGTGGATGCGGAGGACGGGAAAAAGGCGGCTGAAAAGACTGCTTGATGGAGCCGACCGGAAGAAAACATGTGTTGAACTTTGACCTCTGCCACCACTCTCTGGAAGCTTTTCCGATGCAATGTCGTTTGAGGTCTGATGGAAAGATTGAAGGAAGTGTTCGAGAGCTCCTAAGGAACGGAAATCCCCCTCGTCTGGAAACAACTGACTGCTTCGTTCACAAAGCAACCACCAGCCTCGGCGTACAAACGGCTGGGATCAACAGGGCTATGGGATCAACAGGGCTATGAGCAGGTGCTGTCATTCGTGTCCGCGTCCTTCAGCGTCGTGTGGAACCGCTCAACGTCGTGCTTCGGCGGGTATCCTGGGCTCCTGCTGTCGACGCTGGTGTCCACTCAGTGCAGTGCACGTTCATCGATCGCCGATGTCGAGAGATGGTTTGGCATAAGTTGACAAAACGTCGCGATCGACAGAAGAGCCTCTGACAGCGAATCGGACCGATTGACGTTTCCGCGATTTCCACGGATGAGGGAATTGACCCCAATCGAAATGAAGTGGGCGAACTCAAATTGAGCGTCAGAGTTTGCTTTGTTGAGCCGAGATTAAGGTTTGACTGCAGCGCAGGGCAAGCTTGGCGCCGCCGCAACTTCGTTCAAGTCGGAACGCGGCCGGTAAATGGCAGCTCCGGCAGTCGATGAGCCGGAACTAGGAGCAACCTCGACCTAAAATGGGCTTCAGCCGTCAAGCTCTGTCTCGCCGAAGTTTTATCCACCTTACATAGGCTGCCAGCATATCATATTCTCTGACTTGATTGACTTCCGTGATCGACTACATTTCAGAGTTCGAGATGTTGGAAGAATGTCTTCCCTATACGCTGGCTGACGGTAAAGCATGTCGAATCGATGTCCGGACCGACTCTGTGACTTTGAGATCTGGCTTTGACAAAAGCGCAAGTGTATGACCCGGCTCTACGACATCAATGGCTCGAGCTTATTCCCACTGTTTGAGAGTGTAGTAAGCGCATCGAAGCTCTCTTCAGCACCGCTCGTGATTTCAACCTGCCAATTGTCTGATCATCGCCTATGTAGTCGAAAGTTCTCGCCTTGAACAGGCTCGGCTTTCTTGTGCGATTCGCGTTTCCCTGCACCGAATAGGCTGGGGTCCTTGGACGCGTGCCTCGGACGACGCCGAGCTGCCAAGGCTGTTCCTGCCTACAGTGTTTTCGCTGCTGAGAAGCGCCTTCCTCCGAGATTTCCGGATTCTGTAATGCAAGGATGACGCCGAGCTGGTCATAGCTTTCGATTCAAACAGCTGGTTGTTTACGATACTGGAGAGCTTGGAGCTTCTGCCGTCCCTTATCGTACGAGTCCATCGAACTAAGGACGACATGGAACAGTCGCAGCATGTCGTGTGATGTCGCCACAAGGCAGGATTGCGAAGCGCTGTGCGCCAACACTCGGGATCTGGGGCACATCATATCCTTCGATGATGGCTTTGTAAAGGCGCTCCAAAGTTTGCTGCGTTCTGCTTCAGTGAGAGAAGAATTCGGTCAGAGATTCTGGTGGATCAAGGGCGAGAAAGGGCAACATCCGTGACGGACGGACTAAGGCGCTGCTGTTCCCTCATCCAAGTCATCATTAGAATCAACCGCAGCTGTCCGAGACAGAAACACTGTGTTGGGCTGTGTCTGATTGACGTGGTGTTGCGCCTGAGCTGAATTGCCTGTAGCCATCCGTCGCGAACAATCGAGGCGAAAAACCCGAGACGCCGCACTGGAAATTTGGCGACTCAGCCTGGCAGCACACTGCCCGTTCGCTTTTCCCTTTCCACTTGAGCGGCGCAAGAATTCGCGCTTCGTTCAGAATTCAAAGAGGAGCTACCCTGGCACACTTTAAACTCTCAAGCCTGGATCTCTGCTACAGTCGCAATCACAGTCACACCCAAAGTATGAGGAAACTGTCCCTTGAGAAGCATCAGAGTCCCGGTCGGGTTGTCCGAGGCTTGTGAGCGGCAAAGAAGTCAAAAGATCGAATACAGAGTATGAGCTTGAGCTTGCTCGCCGCGTACTTCGAGCAGAATTTCCCCTTTCTTTTGTTGATTTCGCACTCTCGTCTGTTCTCTGTATCGCGATCTCTTTTCAAGTCAGAGAGGGAAGCGATCTTCCGCTTGGTGATCTAACCGCGCAACCTTGCTAGGGCTACGCCGCCGAGAAGGGCTCGGCGCTCCTGCGTCGTTGAGAGGCACAAGCTTCGACGGTCTTGGTCTTCAGGCACAGCAGGGCGAGAGGCAGCGGAGACAAGCTCAATCTAATCCGCTTGCGGTGAGAGAACATCGTGCCCTGTCTGCTCCTAGTGGGGAAGCGCACGACTTCGACCTGTTGGTTGGAGACCTTGGATCCTGTTCGGTTGCTCCTTCGCGTACTGTTCGTAGACAGACTTCTGGGCTAGATGCAGCGCTCAGCGTGGATCTGCGCTTTTTCTGGGTTTTGGTATTTGAGGCGACGATATCGTTCGGAACGAGACGCTTGTCACCCTTCAAGCCACACTCCACATCTCGCATCCGAAGACCACAGCTTAGCCAGTGAACTCGATGCCACGCTCTCCTGCACCCTTTCCTTCATCGTGAAAGCAAGAAAGCAAGAAAGAGCAAAGAAAGGGGCGCGGCGCTTCCGAATCTAGTTTCCGGTTCGCTCTGGCTGATGGTTATTTCCATCGAGTGGCGCTTCGACAACAACGACAAGAGGGCGGACCGATATCTCTATCCAATCGAGTTCGCAGAGCAACGAGATCTCTCATGCCTCGAGCGTGAGGGTGCAGGGGCCAGGCAGTCTTCATCTGTAAAGACGCGATCAAGCCAGCTCGAAAGGGGGCGGGAGGAGGCTCTCGAGATTTAGCCGGGCCTCTCTATCCGACACGATCCCTGTTACCTCAGCCATCGCTGGTGTCACTCGCAGTTCCGCTTCGTCTAAACGGTACGGTACGCTGTAAGTTCTGATTGTTGCAATTAGTTCGCTTTGGTCGGTACATGCACCCCCGAATGCAACTCAGATCCTGGACCAGCCAACTTGTCAAGTGTGGCCGCTCCCCTTGCTTGCTTGCGTGTTGCCCTGCTCCTGTACCTCGCCTGCCAAGTTCACTCAGCAAGCTGACTCTTTCCGTCTCCTCTCTGCTCTTTCGTCGTAAGGAACGCCACAAAATTGCTGTCGGCGCCTCCGCTTTTCTCTTCGACGCAGAGAATCCAGCGCCAGTCCAGGCGCGCGGTCTCACCCTCGTTCCCTGACAAACAGCATCACCTCGACACCTGCGAAAGCTGCTCGGGTGGACCGGCAGTCTGTGATCGCATCCACAGTGTCGCGGAAAAGGACTGTGACAGACGATCCACAGAGTCTCTACAAGGCAATCGATCAGACGAGTGTCTGTCACAGACACAGACACAGCCGCGAGACGGAAGGCAAGGGCCTAGACTCTACCAGAATTCTCCTCTGTCTGCACGATCATCTTTGCCTCGCAAACGAGGCCATCCGACATCCGGCACTCGGCAGCATCGACTCGTTGTCCCGCTCAGGTATCTCGCGAGCGTTTCGGGCCTGACTTCTCGACCGGACTTGCCGAGTATCGAAGGCTCCCGTCTTCCGGCGACTTGAGCCTCACCCGACGGAACGCTTTCGTGGAGCAGCCGCCGATTGCTGACCAAGCGTTCATGCCAAACATGCCCAAGTCAGTCTCTGGCTATAAGGTGGATCTCATCGCGTCGCACTCTCCGTCGCCAGGCCCCTCTTCTCCAGCGGCACCGACTCTGCTCTCTTCATCGTCGCCATCAGTCACACCAAGCTCGGGCTTAGCTGCTATCGTCACCACAACCACCACCACCCATTCTCAGCATCCACGTCGGCTCCCTCGATCCTCTCTCCCTGCCCTCAAGCGTCCTTCTCCTCTTGCCCTTCCCACTACTCGGTCTCGTCCGCGTGCTCGGCAGGCGGAGTCTGGATCAAGCCAAATTACGCCACCGTCGCCAGCCACTCCGTACCATAGTCTCAAACGGTCGGATCACTACGACTGGAGTCCCATCTTACTCCTCACTCCGCCAAATTCCTCGCGCAGTAGCGAGCATAGGTCATCGTCTTCGCCGCACGGCGAGGCAGACTCGAGTACTCGCTTTCCCATTCCTTCTTTCTACTTCGACGACTGCCGCTGTGAACGGAGCCGGATCTGGCCCACCTCACCAACTCTTTCGACTTGCAGAGCAAAGAAGGCTTTGCAGCTTCAGCCTACCCCTTTGCCCTTGCTGACCTCCGCAAAAGAGCAAAATACATTCGATCGTTCAGCTCCGACCAGGTTGTCATCCGAAATGGTCTCGCACGATGCCTCACAGTTCCCTTCGCGGACGCCTCCGGAGTCCGCACATGGTGGAATGTCTCCTACAACACACAACATAGATAGCCCAGTAGCCACGAGTGAAGAATCGCACAAGATGAAGCCCCCTTCCAAGCCACGGGCGCTGACGCTCGGCAGCATCGATCGACCCGTCTTGCCTCCGCTCGTTGGCGGCACCTCTCCAAGTCACCTTGGTCCCATCCGTAGTTTTGCTTCCGCTTTTCGCAAGGGAACCGAGTACCGCAACAATCCCTACTTTATCTTCAACCCAGCTCGGAGGTCAAATGACTACTTCACCCTTCCTGTGTCTCCTTCGCGCATCGACACTAGAGCCTCTTCTCCTTTCCAGACACCAACGAGCTCCATCCGCTCCACGTCCAGCGAGTTCGAGATTGAAGACATCAGAATTTTGAGCAGGGCAACGAGCCACGCAAGCTTCGTACCACCCTCTTCTCGATCGGAACTGTCGTCGCTAGTTGTTCGTCCCATACTTCCATGCCTTGGCACCGCGATCGACAGCGAAGGATCAACAGAGGAGAGATCGAGAAGCTCGCGTTTGCCTTCATCTCATCTCGCTACACCCGACAACGCTCTCGGGCTCTTCCTGGAACCAACGCCCTTCCCATCGGAGCCCTTGCACCTCGAATTGGGATCGATCCAACCTCGTCGCCTGTCGCCTGGCACCGAGGCCGACTTTTACTTGGGTCAAGCCGGCGGCAGCGTCAACTTCCTTGACACAAGCGGAAGGAACAAGCAACACGTGCTGACACGTTCGCCAGCCTTCTTGTCCGATGCATCCTCCCGCGTTCCTTCGCTCTCCCCTAACAGCGACGACTCCCTGCACAAACTCTCCTTGGCTCGTCGTCACAACCTCAATGAACGAGGTGCGGAGACATCTCTCGTTCTGCCATCGCTCAAGACTGACTACGATGCTGGTGCACACCCTCTAGCCGATGTTTCGGCTGCTAGGGTACAAACAAAGTCCGGTCTCCCGCAAGACAGCTTCATCTACAAGATGCCGGTCCTCCGTGCTATGTCGCCCCTTGCGGAAAGCAGCAGCGACAGCGAAGACCCAGTGTCAGATGAGCCTCTCGCTGTCCCATCTTCTTTGACCAGTCCATCAGTCTTGGCGTCTTCGACGGAGAAGGAGCCGCGGGAACTGTCTGTTCCGCAGGAAGGACGTACCGGCGAGATCTTTGTCACCATGAAGTCGCTTCTTCCTCTCACAAGCAAGCAGAGTCGCAGCAGCACCATCGATCAGTAAGTCTCCCCCCGCGGAGAACAGTAGACGTTCACAACATCTCGGGGCTGACTGACAACACTCATTACCGCTTCGCACCCGACAGGCTCTTTTGCAAGCTCGAGTCGACCTCGCATAAGTGTTTCAGCGTTGTGTGAGTCTTCCGTTGTCTCCCGAAATGTACCCGCAAAACTCAAAGGACTAACACGATTTCGGCTCTCGCCTGGCTTTTTGTCATGCTCCATCAGCGATGGAAAATGGGCTTGCTATCGTCGAAACTGTAAGTGGTCGAGCCCTTGACACTTGACTCGTGCTGGTGTCTACCGATTTGCTGACACTTCTTTGTACGCATCGGTGTCGCCGCAGATCTCAAGGTAGATGTGTCCTTTCACTTTGAGGACGAACAAGGCCGGAGCCGAGACACAGTGGAAGGTGACCTCATCTGTCAAGCCGGCAGTCCGTCAGCTTTCGTCGTCGACCGCTTCGCGGTCCATCTGACCGCTCATGTCATCAATAGCGACGGACGAATCCAGAAAGGCCGTCAGGGTTTTGTCCCCCTGATCCAATTCGGACCTGCTCGCGAGAGAGGACCGCGAGAGGCTGTCCAGCCCGTCGAGCTGCGCAGCGGCGGTGGCATCAGCAAGGACGCCTCGGTCAACGAGCAAACCGCCACAAGGTCCGGCTCCGTAGCTGCTTTTCGAAGAGTGCAGATCCGCTCGGCCACGATGAACAACGGACAGCGCGGTGCAGCTAGCCAGCAATTCTATGCTCTCAAGTTGACGTTGCTGGCGTACCCGAAGCAGAGCGCTCTGACGGCAAGCGCCGGCGTGGAAGTGGCAAGCCTGACAAGCCACCCGATCACTGTCAGAGGCCGCTCCAAGGTGCACTACGCAGTGGCTCCTACCGCCACAGCGAACTCGGAAGCCCGCACCGTTGTGAACGCCGTCTCGCACATCAATGCTGCCATGCCCACGACCACTCGAATCCGCACGAAGCACAAAGGCTATACCCGCAGTGGCGGAGAATCAGCCGAACATCGACGCAGCAGGCGTCTGCAGTACGACGACGCGCCCATTGATGTGAACGAGGTTGCAGACATGATGCAGGACGCGGACGACGAGGGGGAAGCGCGAGATCTGCCCTATCCATACGTTGCCTCGCGAAGAATCAGCAAGGTGATGGACATTCGCAGCATCATCTGATGGCGAAGCTGCGCAGCGAGATCAATTCTTGGCACCGCATAATTCCTTCTCTTTCTTCGACAACAGCACGCATCAACGCCAGCCGCAGCAACGATTCCAAACAAGCTCGAGCTCATATCTCCACCCACCTACCGCCACGAGTCGGTATTCTTTTCGTCACCATGCAAATGTAATTTCCTGGGTCATCATGATCATCGATGCCGCGACGAGAGAGCCTAAATGACGTCGCAGTTCCAAGAAGACAAAGCTCTTGTCCCGACGCGCACTTTATTCCAGCAGATTATACTGCCTTCAACAGCAGTTCTATTCCAACTTCAAAGACGAATCGCACCCATTTTTGCTTACCATGCCGCGTGAGAAGTGGATGTGCGGCCTCTGAAACACAGTCGGATGGTGACAGTAGTAGGCGAGGGAGATGTCCAAAATGGTTGGTATTTCTGATGTGACGCTCCTAACAAAGCTGCACAGCGAAGCTTCTGTGGGGAAAGCGATTACTCGTAGACCCACGAGTCGACGGCACGGGTGTACTGGATGGTAGGGTTCTGCTCGCCGAACCAGAGGGCGATCTCGGCCTTTGCGCTCTCGACGCTGTCGGAGCCGTGGCAGACATTGCGGCCGACGTCGATGGCGAAGTCACCGCGGATGGTGCCGGGGGCAGAGTCGAGAGGGTTGGTGGCACCGAGGAGGACACGGCCGGTCTTGACGGCGTCCTTGCCCTCGAAGACGATGCAGACGACGGGACCGGAAGCCATGTACTTGATGAGGCCGGGGAAGAACTTCTTGCCCTTGAGGTCCTTGTAGTGCTTCTCGAGGTGCTCCTCGGAGGCGTGGACCATCTTGAGAGCGGCGATCTTGTAGCCGCGGTTCTCGAATCGCTTGATGATCTCTCCGACAATGCCGCGCTGCACGCCGTCGGGCTTGATCATGATGTAGGCTGCAAGGAGTTAAAGAGTGAGGGTGAGAGGAGGTCAGCCATCGGGACGACACAAGTCGAGAGGGCAGCAGATGAGGTGTGTCGAAGGTGAGAGGAACGTACTCTGTTCGGTAGCCATTGTGAAAGTGTTTGTCTGAGATGGACAAGTTGAGGATGAAGGTGGTGGTGTTGGAGAAGAGTGAAAGATGCGAGTGTTGTAGTACATCGAGATCACCAGCAGACAAAGCAGCACCAATTCCGTCAGGCTAAGCCGGCGCCGCATGTTGGTCTTTGCGCCTGTGCTTTCTTCCTTGGCATACACGCAGGAAGAAAGCTGTCCAAGCGGGCCGCTTTGTGACTTCTCGAGAAACCTACAGAAAAAAGAAAAAGAGGAAACAGAAAAAAAGGTGTGTGCTTCTCCTGGTCGGTGATCAATGCAGCGCAACTTTGACAGTTGCTTCTCGCCACACGAGGCGACATCTCGTACGAGTGGAAGATCTGCTCTCCGACCTTGACAGCTGAAGTTGTGGAGGAACCGCACTGCATGGACCCTTGATTCGGTTTGCTCCTCCTCCATCATCTTCACCCTTTCTTCCCTAACCCTCCACGACAGCAACAGGAAACGAGCTGGTGGCTCGGACCACGAGAACCTCAGCCATGTCGCTCTCCCTATACCCGACTCCCTCCTCATCCAAAACCGTCAACGGTCTACCTTTCTCCCTCGCTCAATCCTTCCGAGACCGCAACATCAATCTCCCCAACTTCACCCAACTCAAGACAAAGGAACTCCGCTCCGGCCACCGACAATCCGTTCGTGGCCTCGGGTGGTCCATCGATGGGCGGAAACTCGCTACCTGTGGAGCTGATCGGACCATCCGTATCTGGGTGCCCGAGCGATCCATCGACCATCGGGCGAGTACCGAACTTCGCGGACACGCCGACAGCGTCGATCAGCTCGTCTGGCATCCTCTGCAGCCCGACATCCTAGCCACCGCCAGCGCAGATAAGACGGTCAAGATCTGGGACACACGCATCAAGTCCGACTCGTCAGGTGCCGTCACCACGATCTCGACACCCGGATCCAACATCAACATCACCTACCATCCCACCGGTCACTACCTCGCCGTGGGAGATAAAACCGACACCGTCTCGATCATCGATACGCGTCTCGCAAAGATCACCCACACCGTATGCACCCGCCGACCCACTCCACCGGACGATTCTACCTCAACATCGACGACCCTGTTGAATAGTCACGATGAGATCAACGAACTCTCCTTCTCCTCCGACGGATCGCTCCTCCTCCTCTCTTCCGGATCCGGTTCGATCCACATCCACCACACCGACCGGTACGATCGCATCCACTCCCACCCGGCACACACGGCAAACGTCTTCTGCCTTCAACCCGACCCGCTCTCTCGTTTCATCGCCACCGCTTCCAGCGACTCGATGATCTCGCTCTGGCATGCTACCGAGTACTTTTCGGTAAAGATGATCACCAGCCTCGCGTTTCCAGCGAGAGCGATCGGATTCAGCTTCGATGGAGAGCTGTTGGCGAGCGGTGGCGAGGATCCGTTTATCAGTATCGATGCGACTTGTCCGAGTGTGATGGGCGAAGATCAGGTGGCCAAGATCGCGTTGGGAGGTGGGACGGGAGTGGGTGCGGGGAATACGATGATCAATTGTTTGGCTTGGCATCCGAGCAAATACGTGTTGGCGTATGCCGGGGATGAGGCGAATCCGAAGGACATAGGCACCGTCAGGGTGTTCAACTTGTAGAGACCCTCCTCTCTTCCATCACAATCACACTGTATTTGTACCACACCCACAACACTTGTCATTGACCAAACTTTATCATTTCACCACCGTCTACCTTTGCGCCTCGTGCGTTCAGAAGGTCAAGCTCTTGACCAACGCATCAGCGATCCTCACCGCCTCCGGCTTGTAGAACAGCTCTCCCACGTGGGGGAACGGCGTATCCCAGCCGCCAACTCGCATCACGGGAGCCTCGAGCTTCAAAAAGCAGTTCTTCTGAACCTCGGCAGCGATTTCAGCCCCCACCCCCGCCGTGACTGGTGCTTCGTGCACCACGACGCACCTTCCTGTCTTTGCCACCGACTGCACCACCGTCTCCCTATCCCAAGGCAGAATGGTGCGAAGGTCGATCACCTCTACGCTTGCGTCCCTGACCGAAGCGGGGAAGTGCTTCTCGATCGACTTGGGAGGGTTCTTGAGGATGTCCAGTGCTTCTACGCAGGCGTACAGCGGAGCACCCCACGAGATCAACGTCAGATCCTTGCCCCCCACCACCACTTCCGCATCACTTAGGGGAAGAGTGAAATCATCCAGTGGGACCTCCTCGACACTACTCCTGTACAGCATCTTGGGTTCCAAAAACACCACCGGATTATCATCCCTCACCGCTCCCGCCAACAATCCTTTCGCCTGGATCGGACTTCTCGGTACCACCACCTTCAGCCCAGGTACTCCCATGAAGAACTGCTCCACACTCTGTGAATGATACAACGCTCCATGTCCCACCCCCATACACGGTGCCCTGATCGTCAACTTCCCCACCCCAAATTGTCCCCCACTACGATAGTTGTACTTCGCAGCTTCGTTGACAATCTGATCAAAAGCTGGAAAGATATAATCCCCAAATTGGATCTCGGCGATAGCGGTGTGTCCCATATCAGCCAATCCAATCCCAAAACCGACGATACCTTGCTCGCAAAGTGGTGTGTTGAACACCCGTTCCCGTCCATACGTCTCCGCGAGTCCCATCGTGGATCGAAACACGCCGCCGAACGCTACATCCTCTCCAAAAACGAGGGATGTGGGGTCGGATGACAGGATGTGCGCTTGAGCATCGCGGATCGCCTACACGAAACAAAGCAAAGGAGGTCAGTATGCTCATCACAGCGAAATCCCACAGCACATTACCCCTTCGAACAACTGAGGAACTAGGATGTAATGGAACTAATAGCGAATCTATACAAGCTTGGAAACGGAACAGCAAAGCAAAACTACTGCTTGGCCTCCAAATCCCTCTTCCTACCCTCAAGCGTCAACGCCAGCTGCTGACCGCTAGCCTGACTCAGCACACCAGCCAACTGCTGACCGGGTGCGCTGAGCAGACCCACAATCTGCGACCTGAGCTGGTCCAGACTGCCGATCCTGCCCACGTCTCGGGTCTGAGGGACCTGGAGCAGCCTGTTGCCCTCGAGCACCGCCGCCAACGGCACCAACCTAGGGTTGGCCACCGCCGTCTCCGGGAACTTGGTCCCCGCAGCGGGCGCTCGAGGAGGTGCGTGGCCTAGCGCTCTGTCGACGACATTAAAGAGCGCACTGAGATACGCGGGGGTGAGATGTTCGCATGTCAGCAAGGCGATCGGACCGCTCAGAGCAGGCTGCAACGACTCCATGGTGGCGTTGTCATGCGACAGCTGTTTCGCCACCGCCTTGATCAGGCCGGCGCGCACAACGGTCAGCGAAGCCTTGGCCGTCTGACCCTCGGGCAGCTTGATGGCCGCAATGTCCGAACGCACTTTGGCGAGCTCGGCAACAGAGAGGTTGTTGTGCTGAAGCACAAGGACCATCTGGCTGTCTGTGAGCAAGCGCTGGTACTTTTGGTACAGGAACGACTTCTTGGCCGGGTACTTTCGCGCCACCTTGACTGCCGACGAGGTGGCGGTGGTTGGTGTGATGGGGGCAGCGGAAACGGAAGCTCGGGATGTGGTCGAAGTGGACATTCTACGCACCGTGTACATGTTCATCTTTTTGGTTTCTCTCTCGATGCTGTGTTCTCCGTCGACGAATTTGAGACCGGGGGTGGCGAGCGCCGACTTGGCGGTGCTGCGGAGCAGAGGGCTCTCGCTGACGGCAGGTGCCTCGGATGTGCTGGGAGGAGCCGTTTCGGCGACGGCGGCGGAACGGCTGGTGGTGGCAAAGCTGCGGAAGAAGGAGGAAGACGACTTGGCCTGAACGGCGGTGGGTCGGCGGCTGCTGAGGGTGCTGCGCGACGACGAGGCGAGAGGGTGTGCTGCGGTGTGGAACATGCGAGCGGGGTTCTCTGGATCGTTGCGTGGCTCGAGGCGGTGCTCGGAAGGCGACTCGTGGGCAGGTGGTGGGGTGTAGACGCCTCCCTTGAGCTCCATCTCGCGCGTCTGATCGACACCGTCCTCGAAGATCTCGTCGGCGACGCCCCACCCTTCGGTCGGGTCGACGGTCCTCTCGATGGGGCGGCTGAGCGCCTCATTGGTGAGGTGCTTGATCTCCTCCTCTGGCAGCTGGATTTCGAGCGCGCGGAAGTTTTCCTCGATACGCTCGGGCGTGACGCTCTTGCTGATGGGGATAATGTCTCTGCCGAGCGTCCAGGCGAGCAAGACCTGGGCGGGAGTAATGTTGTTCCTCTGGGCAACGTCGACGACGACGGGATCCTCGAGCGACTTGGCCACATTCTGACTGGAGCCAAAAGGCGAGTAGGCCTGGAGGGTGACGCCGTGGGCGTGAGCGTAGTTGCGAAGCTCCTCATTGTGAACGCCAAGGTTGACCTCGACTTGGTTGACGACGGGCTTGACGGTTGCCTCGTCAATGACCTCGCCGGTACGTCGGATGTTGAAGTTGCTGACGCCAATGTTGCGAACCTTGCCCTTCTTGACCATCTCCTCCATGACGCGGTAGGTGGCCATGAAGTCGCGAGAGAGGTCTTCGCTCTCGACGGGGTGACCGCCGGTGCTGCGGATCGAGGGAATCATGGAGCCCTTGGAGTTGAGGAAGGCTACTGGCCAGTGCATGAGGTACAAGTCGAGGTAGTCGGTGCCGAGGTCCTTGAGCGTATCATCGAGAGCCTTCTCGACGTGCTCGGGAGCGTGAAAGCTGTTCCAGAGCTTGCTAGTGAGCCAGAGTTGGTTTCGAGGCACACCAGCCTTCTTGATACCTGCAGCGACGGCATCCTCGTTACGGTATGCCCAAGCGCAGTCTGACAGGGTCAATTTGAAAAGGAGGAAGAAAGCCAAAAACGATGTCAGTTTCGGGTGAAACGGGCAGAAGCGGTGAACATCAAGCAGCGGCAAACGCCGGTTAAGATGACTTACCAATGTGACGGTAGCCAGTCTTGATGGCATGAGCAACAGCGGGAGTAGCCTGCTCCTTCTTCATCTTCCAGGTGCCGAACCCCAGCTTGGGGATCTCGGCACCATTGGCCAAGGTGAAATGGGCAGACCTTCGGGCAGCAGTTGCGTACATGATGCCGACTGGTTGTGAATGTGTTTATCAACGAGAAGGAGAGGGAGCTGCGACGTAGTCCGGCAGAAATCGATCACCGACGGTCAAGTCAAACAGGAAGAGGATGACGAGCGCGGTTTGTCCGAAGAGGGTTGTCGATGGAGAAGCTCAGGCTTGGGAAAGGCGGAATGAAGCCTGATTATGATGATGTCGGGAGAAGCGAGTCTTGATGGTGAACGGGAGAGAACAGAGAGAACAGCAGCTAAAGAGAGAGAAACGCAAAGTGAGAAGAGAGATGAGCAGGTACACGGCGGCAGACGGGAATGCCGACGAGAAGGGTTAGTGAGAGGTCGTAAGGCGGAGGAGGAGGCGAGGCGGGGTCGAGTTGAGGCGATCTGCAAGGAGGAAGAGTGAGCAGAAGAGCAGTGAGTGACTGCAGAAAAGAGGCTCGAGGGCAGAGTCGGTTCGGGGTTGAAGGTTGGAGCGGGTCGATAGATTAGCAAGGTCGAAAGCTGCGGCGAGAGCGCTGGGAGAGTGTGTGATGGTAGCGCGGCGTAAGCTTAGAGTCACCCAGTAGCCGAAGTGTGTGGTGTGGGTGGTCTCGAGACCCAGAGGCAAAAGAAAGATAGAAGAGCACAAAGCCGGCAGCAGAGCACAGTATTTGCGAAACACCCACACGCCATATCCAGATCCTTTGGGAGGATACGCTGCCGTCTCGTGAGAGAAAAAGTGACTGAGGAGTGTCAGAAAAAAAATTGTTACTTTGAATTTAGTGTCTGCGCATTGGAAGCGGCGTTTCCTTACGTGACCCTGAATGCGAGATGGATCGCCATTTTGACTGGCTTGGAGACGCGCTACAGAGGACGAATTGGCAATAGCAGCTCGAGTGTGTCTTTCTTGCACGCCACAGCCTAGAAAGAGGTGCACGGAACCCGACACCAGAACCACTTTCGATGGTCAGTTGCTGCCAATGACGCCCTCGCTTCTACCTCGAAACACGACCATTTTCACTCCGCTCAACGATGACGGTTTTCGGAACCCTTGCAAACAGAATATGCGTTCGCCCATCAGCCTCAGGCCCAGCTTCGGGGTATCAAAGCCCCTCGAGACGGCAGACAATCTATCGTTGTCAACCTATCATTGTGCCGATCGAGATACTTTTACAGAGGAATAAAAGGTTGAGATACGGTCATTTTGCAAGTGCGGGCTTCTTTTTTCGCGTGAGTGCAGCTGTTGCAGGCGACTTGCGGGGTCAAAGCAAGAGGGCGAGCTTGCAGCGGCCAGTGATTTGCCGAGAGAGTCAAGAGACACGATCAAGGTGCAGCGGTCTTCCGCTTGCATATGTACCACCAAGATGCCGGCCAATTGGGCCCGAGCCATCGAAAGCAAACCACACTGCGCTTGAGCCATCCCACTTCACGACCAGCTTTTGACCTGCTTTGACGCTGCAATCCCACATTCCGAATCGCCCGCGATAACTGTTTCGCAGCCGTTGCAGAATGCAGTCACTGCTGGATAGTGGGTGTGCGTGTGGTTGAGGCATGCACGACAGAGACGGGACTCAACTAGAACATGGTGGGGGCATGACCATGCACAAGCTGGATGGGCTCGCCGAACCAAACTCCACGCTCTGAACCGGGCGCACGGGTCAAGTGCTGCGAATTTCCAGCTCTGGCCTCAGACGAGCGCCTTTCAAGACGCCGAGATCCCCTTCACAGACGTCGGCGAATTGCGTTACGATCCGACGACCGCACTTGCCAAGTCGCTTATCGGCATCGCTTCTGGATCTGCATCGCCGTATGCTGGCCTTACAGTATCACAGACAAGCGGGGCAAGGCGAAGTTGAGGAAGCCGGACTGATCTCGCTCCGTGTTTTGTGATGAATCGGGTCCTGAATCTCAGATCGGGTCTCTGTGGCCTTGATTTTGCAGCCGTTTCTACTTTGCGGAGTAAGTGGAACAAAAATGTGGGGAGAAGCGGGGCAAGAAGCGGACTCAGACGTGGCAAGGCGCGAGGAGCGACACTCAACGCCCCCTCGCCGCCAAACCCGTCAAACCCTCATTGCGACATCAAGCTTGCACTCGAACACTCCCCCGCATCCCCCTCTATCTCTGCACTTTCGCATTCCAGTACTTGATCTGCTTCGGGTGGATCCTGCACGTCTTGTAGTGGATCGCATCCATGTCTTGCCCAAACCTACGGCGGGACTGATATCCGATGGACCCTGCCGACGTTCGTTGTAACTTGGCTGGAAACCGCGTCCACCGTCATGTCCGAAGGCTCGTTGCTGAGGCCCATCATCTCGACACTGACTGTGGATTGGGGTGGGAGTGCCTGCGATTGCACACCTGATGAGAAATATCCGATGCTAGAGTCTGCTTGCCACTGGCACAGAGACGAGGAGCGGATCGGCCGATCCGATAGCGCGCGTCGCCAGGGTTCGTCATCCATTCCCGACCAATACCTCCAATCTGCCGATACGTAGAGATGCAGCCAGTGGCTTCTTCATGATAGCATGGAAGGCGAGCGCTCGCCCCTCTGAACAACAGCTCAATTTGCGGGGCGCCGTCGGCCTTTTCCGTGATGAGCTTGCAACCCGAATTTCGGGGTAGCGTCGCTGATAAAGCTGGGAGGACCTCGGACCTCATCCCCATCGAATGAAGTCTATGCTGTGCAGTATGTAACCTTCTACCTCAGGGGCTCTTTGCTGAGACTGGATCACAATGTAGCTCCAGCAGCATGCAACTCGGTGCACCTTTGCTATCTCGAAGTTTGACAAGTTTGCAGTGAATAAATAGAGGTCTTCGTTCCGTTGCTCTGCTACCGTCATGACGACGCATCCTTCCACACTCTAATCCACGTACTCGCCATGCGTCTTGCTCTATCCCAGCTGCTTCCCTTTCTCCTGGCCTCTAGCGTGCTCGCCGTAAGTATTTGCACTGATCGGATCCCCTCTTCATTCAGCATTGCTGACCGCCAAAACCTCTGGCTTGATTTTGATCTTCTCAATAGGGACGGGTGCCTGACGAACGAGCTCGTCGCCACCAAGTCTCGCGTCGTGATGGTGCTGCGGACGATGGCCGCGCCGATTGCACGCAGAATATGGTCTCTGATTTCTGGTCCAACGGCAAACCACCCGGAGCCACCGCCGTGGTCTGTTACAAGCACGGCTACCGCTACAAGGTCTCCGACTTTTCGGTATTGCATTACAGGTTCTTTGCCAGCCGAACCTGTCACTCGTACGCCGACTTTTTCGGTCCCAACAACATCCCGTAAGTTGCGAATCCATTGGCGCTTGCTGTCTCGAGTTTCACTTCACTTACTCACTCTCATTGTTTTGGGGGGACCTCCAGGTATGACTGCTTCTATCTTATCGGAGCGAACACTTTTGAGCCTCGTGACGATGCTGGATATGACAATCTGGCGATTATGAAGGATGACAGCAAGTGCACTTGGGCAGACAGAAAATTGACCTGTTTGGCTTGAGACCTCTTACTTGGAAGCCGAGCGCATGAGCTTTTGTCATATGAGTAGCCTAGATACCGTCTTCTGTCCATAGCGTTTGCTCTCGTGCATTGCCAGCATCTCGTAGTTCCGAAACAAAAAAATCTCCCGAATGCCGTCCTGCTAGGCTTGAATGAGATCATCATTTCACTCGCTCTCGGTCGTGAAGAAGCATTGTCAATGTGTTGAACCGCCTGTCTTCGGCTGACACACCATGCGATCGGATTACAGAGCAGCGAAAAGGATGGCCAGCTGATGGAAGCTGCAAAATGAAGCGATGCACGTCGTCACCATTTCGTTCAAACCCTTCTCGTTCTCTGCATGACGGTGCGTCTGGGATTCTCGGCGGCGGAAATCTTGTTGGTCCTCCCTCGATCGACATCAACGAAGATCGATAATGTGACAGGTACACGTCGTTCTAGGATGCTGGATTTGATGAGCAGATTCTCATCTGCAAGCCTCAGAGCGAGGCTCTCGAGACCGCAGCTGAAACGTATGTCTCGGGAGACGTATTGGGAGGAGTAGGTTTTCCTTGGTTTTGTCTCACATACGGGTCCGATCCTCGTTTTTCTTCATCATCATCATCTGGTCTCGTCTTTTACTGTACGTCGCCCACTCTTGCAGCGATATGAAGCAGACAGGGCTTTGGCGCCACCGGGCTGCGTGTGGGAAATCAAAATCTTTCACTCTTCGCTGACGGCTCAGTCTGATGCCAGCGTTCACCCGCAGATACCAGTCGTGCATCCTATGGTTATCTCGGTCTGTACTGTATCTTTGCTCGATCCGGCAATCACCAAATGAGATGGGTGTTTATCGACGCCAAGGATGAAGTCGGTCTTCAGCCCGCCTCCAATTTCGTCAGCGGAGGATTTTGTCCGCTACTTGGCTGGAAGCTGAGCTCTGTGACCGAATGCTCTGGGGCAGTGTCTTAGGTGGGGGGAAACAACAACCTCTTCTTGGCACATCGCACTGCTTTGTTGGCGAGGACAATGCTCGTCGTCGGAAAGCGTTCTTGGCAGGTGAGGCAATCCGACGATGAGAAGGGCTGACCATTGATCGCCTCACAACATGTCGGCCCTCGTAAGCCTATAAAGTGTCCGCCTTCCCCTCGCCTTCCTTCTCCTCACCACCAACGCCAGCCCAACACAGTCAAATCACTTTCGAGACATCTTCGCAACATGAAGTTCTCCATCCTCACCCTCCTCCCCGCCATCCTGCTCGCCAGCAACACCTTCGCTGTAAGTCTGCCTCACCTTTTCGCCGCTTTGAACCTCTTCCACAAACCTCTTACCTTGTCGAAACTCTCCCCTCCTCCTTTCCATGCCTTGCAGACTCGTGTCACCTCCCACCACGCCCCTTCGCGTCGGGACAACCGAACCACATGCACCCAAGAGATGGTCTCCGACTTTTGGGCCTACTCCAAACCCCCCCACGCATCAGCCGTCGTCTGCTATCGATCCGACTCTGACCGTGTAATCCGCGACACTTCTGCCGATCACTACAAGTATATCGCCAGCCGGTATTGCACTGAGTTTTCGTTCTTGCAGGATTCAGATGTCGAGTAAGTCCTTTCCCCCTTCCCTGCATGAAAGAAGAACAAATTTGCTGATCTTTTGGTGGGGAAACAGGTACGATTGCTTCTACTTGATCGGTGCTAATACGTTCGAGGCTAAGGACGACGCTGGTTACGATAACTTGGCGATCCTGAGCGCTCCTGGAAAGTGTACTTGGAGCAACAAGGTGCTGGACTGCAAAGCATAGACCGCAATCTCGGTAGATCCTAGGTCTTTGGTTTCGAAATAGAAGATCGTCTGCGAACCACATCGTGTCGAGTTCAGAACCAGGAGATTGTGCTCTGCACCGTCGCCCAAATTGTGAAATTGTGATGCACGACAGTGTGTGTATACCCTCGAAGGCCTCTCGGAGGGGGAAACGAATGAGCAACGGTGAGGGTAGAGTCACTTTCGGGGGCAGTTTCGAGAGGTGGTCAACAGCACAGACCTCCTGGTTCGCCTTGCAATCCTTTCAGACCATCACCGAAAACAATGCTGCAGGCGATTGTGCTTCGATGTCAATAGCAGAGACCGCTCATTGAGCGACACGGATTCCTCTTATGGAACCGCCGGACTCTGGTTCATCTACGATTTCATCGTGTTCCCCCTCGGACTTTTCTCTGGCACTACCATCAGCATCGTCATCAAGAAGCCCACTTTGCTCAACATCGCCGAACGTGAACAGTTTCCCTCACACCTAGGATCCTGCCAGGGGAATGTATTCGTGTATCCGGAGACGAAAGGGGCTCTCTACGAGGCCAATGGGGAAACTCGTTCCGCACAACAAGCTGGATGTTTGCTGATGAAGCCGACGCACGCACACTGTCAATCCTTCAAAATGCCAATATCCTCAACACCACCGGAAACCACACAATGCCGATGCATGAAGGTGCAGCCAACAATACCCGTGAAATGCAAAATCCCATTGATGCAGAGCAAATAAAGTTCTACGGATATGCACGATAACAATGACAGTGCAAGGCGCTTTTTACAGGAATTCCCTTTTGGACAGATTGACGTATCGTCCATTGTCAAGATTCGTTTGGGCGTCTAGTTCGAAGCCTTTTCACTGAGCGCACTCTCCTCGTCGCTCCTGGACAGGTCGCTGGCATCGCTGGCGTCGCTGTCCTTGACCCTGCCCAAGGCAGTCTTGGGATCGGTGATACCTTCGGTGCCATCGCCAATCTCGCCCTGCCAGCCGTTGTCGACCAGATACTGAAGCCAGGCACGATCCTCTTCGGCCAGATCAAACTTGGTCGGTTCGGGAATGCAAAAGTAGACGAGTACGATACCAATGACACCCAAGATGGCAGAGATGATGAACACCCATCGTTTGCCAAGGTTCTGTTGGATCGGGATGAATGCCTGGGTGCCGACTGCGGCACCTGTCTTTCCTACCGCAGCGGAGATTCCATAGAACGTTCCTCGAAGGGCCGACGGATACACCTCTGCGGAGGTTAAACCAATGTTGTTGCCTGCTGAAAAATTGCCGGAAGCAGCGAGCAGTCCAAAGAGGACGACAAGAGAAGCAGCGGACGAGGTGACCTTGTCGTAAGCGCATCCGATGATGAGACCAAGGACCAAGAAGCCCGACAACCCGATCATGAAGCTGACTCGGCTGCCGAGCTTGGGCAGCAACAGAACGCCGATAAGAGTACCAGGAAGCCCAAGGAATGAGAGGAGGAACTGCCACTCGGCTACCTTGAGCAGGGTAGGGTGCTTGATGACGGTGCTGATGATGGTACCAGAGAACACGCCAAGGGGGAACACTACAAAATCGTAGATGAACCATACGCCAGCCGTGCCCAAAAGCCTCTTCCAGTACTTCCTGAGTGCCAGTTTGTAGGGGACCTGTTTGCGCATGGCAGTTTTACGGTAGAGGGACGAGTTGAGAACGAGCATGCGGAAGTAGAAGATGATGAGCGGGAAGAGCGCACCGAAACCAAAGACGACACGCCAGATGATGCCGAGATCCCTGAAACCGGCGGCGTCCTTGGTATCGTGATAGCCAGTGATCTTGAGGACGATCATGAAGAAGCCAAGCGAAAGAAGAGTGCCGAGACCGAGGACAAAGTTGGTCACGAGGATGAAGACCTGCGAACGGTGTTTCTTTCCGAGCCTCTCATTCGCAGCCTCGGTGGCGGAAGTGGAAGAGGCAGGGTACTCTCCTCCGACACCGACACCAACGCAGCCACGAGCGATCGTGAGCCACCAGAACATGTTTTCGGGCTTGCCGTCGACAGGATAAGCAGCAGTGGCGAAAATAGCGCCAATAACGAGGAGAGCGGTGGTGAGAGTGACGGCTGACTTGCGTCCGACTCGATCGCAGATAAGACCAACGGCAATCTGACCGATGATGGCGCCGACGAGCGAAGAGTTGGAGATGCGGGTCGAGATGTCCGAGGTGTAGACTTTGCTGCCGTAGCGAGTCTTAAAGACGACGTTGGTCATGGTCATCAACGAGTTCTGGTAGCCGTCGGACAGCAAGGCGCAACCAGCTGCCAGGATGAGCAGCTTCGAGTTGTTGCTGCGAGGTTTAACGACCACATCGTTCGTGGCGGCAGCGACGACCTGGCTGTCATCAGCGTTAGGGGTCGACGGGTCGGTCTTGCTCTTGATCAAGTCGTCCGAGTTGGCGGTGGTCGAACGGCCAGTGGCCGCCAAGGTTGGTACCTCCATGCTGCAGGGTGAAGACGGCTTGGTGAGTGTAGTGCGATGGTGGAAGTAACAGGGTCGATTTGGGCGAAGCCTACAGGGGTCTTATATGAAAGAGGTTCAGCGATTCTTGGGACCCCTCTGCGTATGACCGCTACTGCATGTCTGCTTCGCAAGTGGGCTTAGCCGTCCACCTTGTGCAATAGTCAGGAGCAGAAATCACTCGCCCGACGACCTGCTTCGGTTCAAGGTTTGGCCAGCCGACGGTACTACCCTCTGGACCGCTCGGCATCTCTGGGCGGAGAGGAATCACGCTAAGCGAGGATTCATCGAACCCTCTAAGCGAAGTTGAGTTTTTTTGGCGTTGCCGTGTGCGTGTGTGCACTGGACAAATTCGAGCTGTCGAGTTTGGCACGTGTGGCCAACCGCATCGGCACACCAAGTACACGTTCCTTAACCTCACGATTAAAAAATCCCCCCTACACGACTTTGCTTTTCATCATTATCTTGAGTTGGAGGGGCCAGCTTCCTGGAGGTGGCCGGCGAAAGAAGCAACGTTTCAAGATGAAGAGCTCGGTGAAAAGTCGGTTCGGTCAACTTTGGTACTCGTAAAAGTGTCAGGTTGGGCGGTGATGACAACGTGTTCCAACGGGATGCTTTCACCCGTGCGGTCCAGCTTGCAAAAGTACAGGCAGTTTGCAGAAGTAGAGGGGTGCAGAGGTATCGCAGGGATGCGGATAGTTAATACAGAAATGCAGTGGTGGTATAGGGATGCGGTGGTGGAAGGGGCCCAGGGTCGACAGATGGAGAGCAAGACTGTTTCGGCACGATCGGAGTGTAAAAACACCGGTCGACCCGGCGGCAGACTTTGCCACCAGACGGTAGTACCGAAGCATCTCGCCGCGGAAATTTCAAGGCGTCTATACACGTGCGCGTTGAACTTCGTCCACCTCTCATCCCTACCTACCGCACTGTGTTGACCGTCCTGACCGACCACACTTGTCATTAAGGTACGCGAGCTTCTACTCTCCACCGAAACACGACCGTGGTTGCATATCCTGTAGTATCAACGTGGCGAACTTCGGTACCGTCTGCGTGGTCGACGACATTGAGGCAAAACGTGCACGGCCGCTCAATCTGGGCCAAGTGTGCCACGATGAGCGAAAATAAGAGTAATAAGCAGATTGAGCTTGAAGTCAAGTGTAAACATGCAAGTACAGGAGCACTTTGAGCCTATTAGACTTCATTTGGTTGCGGCGATGCGCGCCCTCAACCTCGCCTCGAGCTTCTCCATCATCTGTGCCAGTCCTTCATCTTCTCCAGCTACACCACCTCCAACACCTCCCGACGCCGTCATCGGCTTGCGTTCGGGCAGGTGCAGATCCTCATAGTATACCGCCTTGCGCGTGTGTCCCATCCTCCACAGCTTGAAAGTCTTGAGCATCTCCTTCATCTCTTGCGTCACCGGCGAGTCAGCCGACGTAGAGGCAAGCGCGCGCAGTCGAGCTTCGCGCACAGCTCGGATCCAGTTGACCTGACCACGAGGCAGGTAATCGTTCGAGTAAGGCACCTCGCTGAACCGGATCTCCTTCATCTCCTTCTGTCCTACGCACGGTACAGTGGCTAGCTTGGTCGGTTGTGGCGATGTCGCCGGCCACATCCAGTTGTACAGTCGGCTGAGCACTCCAGGAGCCGCTGATGCGTTGCTTACCGCGCTCGCACCACTGACGGGGCAGACGGCATCCCACGACTTGACAGGTACCTGTGCAGTCGCAAAGGGACAGCCGGGCTGTGTGCGCAGAGGCACGTCGAGGAACGCATCCAATGTCCTGATCAGAAGCGAGTGATCGCCCGACACACCGTCAAAATCATCCACACCCCAGCCGTGGAATCCCTGAGCATGCGACATCCATACATCCTTCTGGATCTTTTCTTCCTTGAGCGTATCGAAAAAGTGACGGAATGCGGCCTTCAAAGCGATGTGGCCCTGCTTGAGCGTGTCGGCTGCCTGCTGCTCTTGACCTTGCAACAACAACGTCTGGCATTGAGCGATGCAACGGTAGAGCTCCAGCGAAATGCGCTCCATTTCGTAAAACACAAAGGCGTTATATCGCTCTGCATTGATTACCGACTGCTGAGGCATGTGTCGCATGTTGGAGTACGCCAGTTCGAGATCACTGCCATGTGGAATCACGTTGACCAGCGTCATGGAGAACAGGCATCCACCGCTAGACTCGATCCCGTAAAAGTCGTTGAGCCATCGGAACGGGGCCTGGATGGATTCTGGGAAAGCTACGGACTTTTCGTCTTGCGCCATAGCGACCACGGGAAGGGTTCCCCATCGGTAAAGGTGGATGAGGTAGGCTGTACATGCCAAGAAGCCGAGTCTTGCATTGACCCCGAGTGCTGGTAGAGTGGCCTTAACTTGTTGCACGTCGATCGAAGCCAAGGATCGTTCAAGCCAGAGGCGATTGTCGTCGATCCTTTGTCTGAGCTCGGCGTTCGTATAGTTGGGACGAAGCTGTGGCGAGACAAAGCGTGGTGGTGCCTGCTTTGCGATATCGTCGTATGCATGAAGACACACCGGCCACGAGTCGCGGTATGTTGGTTTTGGTGGCCAACTACCGCCTCCTTCTGTGCGGATCATGTCATCGAGCGCGGATGTTAGACAGCCTGACAGCGCGGTCGAAACTTTGGGTGCTAGGTCCGCAGCAGAGTCCAGTGGTTCGTCGAGAACCGAGGTGGCTGAGGAAGAGAGGTACGAGCTGCTGTGTGTTCGGTAGTCGGGCGTCTCGAGCGCTGCCAAGGAGGAAGCGGAGGAGCTGCGACTGCTGGATGCGAGGGAACGAGACATGCTTGCAAGCTATGTCTGCTGTATGAGCGAATGACAAGAGTGCAAAGCGTGCTGATCGATAGAGCTTGTGATGTGTGTATCAGGCTGGTGGTGGTAGTGACTGCTGTGCGATGCTGGATGCGGTGCTCGATGCGAGGCTGAAGGAATACTGATTGCGCTGCGAATGCTGTGAGAGACGGGAACCGAAAGGATGATGGTGGATCCATAAAGAGAGAGAGAGAAAGAGAAGGGTGGGATGCAGGGGTGATGAAAGGATGACGGACAATGCTGATGAGGCAATAAGTATGCAAAGGGGCCGCTGTCAAGTAGCCGAGAGCGCAGGGCAGAGCGAGACACCAGTAACACTGCGGTACACTGTGGTGCAGAGGCGTCATCGGCTTTGCCGAATCCACGCAGTGCCGTGGTTTGCACCACAGGATCGGTCGTCCCGGCAGAAAACAAGAACCACTCCTCTGAACCTTCCATGACTTAGCTCACCCTTCCGAACCCATGCTCGAGCTCTGGCCGCCCACCTTGACATGCAAGCGTATAAGCTAGAGCGTGAGTGTGATACTGTAGCTATCCCACAGTGAAGCGCGGCGTCGGCGTTGCGCAAAACTTAATTTGGCGAGGACGCCGCACCGCAGAGCTACAGAAGAGCGACAGTCGCAAACGAGTTCGCTACTACCTGTAGCTACCGATAGTGCTACACGTCGTGGCGAAAGTCGAGCGTACAACGAGATATGTCGTCGCTCTCTCACACTGCCGCTTTGAGCTCGGAAAGGGTTAAGCCGTCATCGGCACCCGAAGTCGAGAGTCGCATGCCGCGCAGATCAACGCCAGGCACCCGTCAAACCCGATTTTTTCGTAAATTTTCTTTCGTTTATCTCGCCCGTTCGACTGACTCGGCGGCTTGTTTGGCGGATCGTGGTCGGAAAACGAATTTCCGAGCGTGCAGATCGTCATGCTTCTCTTTGCTCCTGTGTTTTTCTCTCTCAAAAAAGTCTACGCTCCAACGGCTATTTACGCTCCACTTGGTGCGGTCACGCGTGGCTTGAACGATAAGGGCGGCTATTTGCACAAGGGCTTTGCGTGGGCCAGCTCGCCTTGCTCCTGTTTGCTGCGAGTCAAATAGCCGTCGAAGGCGTCGTCCAGCATTGCACTGGCTGGACTGCGATGATGGTGAAGCAAAGCAGATCGGAAAAATGAAGCTTGATTGAGTAGAGTCGCCCCCGTTGCTGTACGATGGCTACGTCGTTTTTGAATTCCTCGACCGTTCGAGCCTGGCCTCTATTTTTTGCGCAACTCCCAAGCGAGACACAAATTGGCGATTCTCGCCTCAACCTCGCAAACTGCGGAATCCCTAAACAGTGGACTCCCGGCGTCGATCCGCTTCTTTCACGTGTTGCGCCGTCGGCGCGTGAGCGTATCGAGCATGCGCTTATCAGGGGCATCAAACATCATTACTATACTCGGCACACGACCGGCAAAGACTCACGCGGAGGGGAATTCATTAACTGATCAGAATCGGCGGAAGAGCGAGGTATCAAGGGACGCGATTCTTCCCAAATCACAGTCTCAGTGATGAAGGCTGCTACTTGCCCGTGCGATGGTCTCGTCGTGGTGAATGTCGCTTCGACCACAGTGCAAAGTGCAGAATTAGCTCGATCGATGGATCAGCTTGCTTAACGGTCGGAGCCACCGACAGTAACCGAGTGGCATGCTTTCCGAGACGCTGCAAAGACATCTATCGTAAAGCCACAATGAAGATGGGGGCCGTCAAAACAACTACACTCATGACCCTGCGTCTGAGGATGTCGGAAGGTTGCCGTCCGCCGATATACTTTCGCCACAAGCCAAGTTCTTGGAGATGTCAATTTTCGCTGTCCCTTCCGAGAGACGATGTATTGTCGTTTGCGTGCCTGTTACTGTTGATCTGGTCTGCTGTGAGAGTCATGTGTTGAATTCGGCTGCCAAAGATCGTCTGGTCACCAGACAATGCAGGGTCCAACCGAGAATCGCGCTAAGATATCGTGTAGCTGTCTACTTTGTCGACGGCTCGTTCGGCCCTCGATTGAGTCCATAGTCATTCGCAGATTGATCCTGAGCCTTCACACACGAGCTGCATGCCTTTCTCTTTGCTCTTGAAGGACTGCTTCTCGAACGATAGAGCCAGCCTCGCTAGCTTCATATCGTGACCTGACGTCAGCTCGATCTGCTACATCGCCGCCAACAGGTCGTGCGAATCCGATTCTCGTGATGAGATCTGTCCAGTATGGAGGAGTTAGGGTCCCTACTACCGGGCTCGACGAAGAGAGCAACGAGATCAGCCGACGATGATCGCCTTTCGCCGTTGATTCCTGGAGCATGATCGAAGAGGTCGAGAAATCGGCGAAGCAGGGATATGGTTTAACATGATTCCCTTTCTTCGGTGTTGCGTCAAGGAAATGTGGAGTGGTCGCGCGGACGCGGACGCGTAAATGACACAAAGGGTTGGTGCGGTGATTTCTTTGGTCAGAGACTGGGCTTGCAGATCACGACTTTTTCTACTTTCATACAGTCACACAAGGCACCTTCTCTAGAGTCACAAGCCCACCCACACACGCTCGCGCTTCTCAACGGCAAGCTTATTTTTGCCTTTTCTTTGGCTGAGCTGCGGCGGTAGACAGCAACTCGAGCTATTGTTCATTTCGGTCGCCAAACAAAATCGCAGAATCAATCTGCTTTCATCCAACAACAGTCGCCACCTAACGGCAACGGGCCGACGCTGCTGTCGAGCGCATCACGATCACATTCAAAGGCTGCGACGCAGCCATATCGACTCGGAGCAGCGACGATTGCGGTCGCTGTCGGCATTCAGGACCGCCATCGATATCCGCCACGACTCTCTTTAGGATCAAGCCTTCTGTCAATACTGGTTCGTTCCGCACAAAGGGGTCTAGCCATCCTGTTTCCCATTCCCCTTCCGCTTCCGCGCGGAGCCGTCTCCTGGCGACTCTCGTAACCGCACCGACTGGCCAGCGGCTCGTCTCGGGAATCGCATCATCGTCCTCAACGCCAACTAGGCTTTGTTTCTGGTCCGCATTCTCCTTTGTTTCCTCGATGCGGTGATCAGTTTTGCCACGCAGCTCCTGATCTATATAATCGTCGCTCCCGGTTGAGCTTTGTAGCAGCATCTTGGCCGTCATGCTGCTCTCGCTCTGTTGATGAGCTCCGTATCCACACAAGCTGGCGGCCAAACGGCTCGCCCAGCGCCGCCGCCGCTTCCCGATAACCTGCAACAACTGCTCGATCGAGTGCGCATCAGTCAAGCCGACGTCAATCTCTTTTCCGACTTGCTCCAAGCCGCTTGCAGCCATCTCGATTCGGGCAAGGCGAAGCAATCGCACATCTTTTGCTCGATAGCCAGACCATGTGATTTCGAGCTTGAAAGCTGCATGCTCCGCGTCTTCAGCTTTCGGAACAAGGACAACATTGATCGATGGAAGGCCCGCGTCACCTCTGCCATCTACTCAAACTGCCTCGAATGCTACAAGGGCTTCCTCAGGGCAAAGGACCATCTTCGCGCCGTCTACCTCTCCTCCTTTCCCACAGACAAGCTCGATGCCTTCTTTGCCTACCTCGACTCGGTCGAAGAGCAGCTCGCTCTTGACGTCGTCGAAAAGGCCAGAACCGCCTCCGATGGTGTCCCCCTAGCCAAGCTCGCGCGCGCCGAAGTTTACGCTGTTCTCACCCTGGTTGCCTCGCCCACAGCGACCAAGCTCAACGATGTCGTCAAGTCCGTATGGAAGAGCGATCAGCTCAGCAATCTTCAGGAATTGCCCGCTGGTCTGCTCACCCTCTGCATCGACGAGAGCGCTCTGATTCGGTCCTTCGCTGCTAGGCCTATGCTCTTCCTCAAACCGCTTGCTCCAGACATGGCTTCGCTAGGCATCTTTGCTCAGGCTCTGCGCCGCGTTCAAAAGCGTTTCTCGGAAGATGGAGCCGAGGCAGACTGGTCGCTCCTCTCCATCTTGCTCAACGCCGCTCCTCCTCTCGCCGCCCCGCTCACCCCCGCAATCCTCAGCCATGTCCATGACCGGCACGACCGTTTTGGCGACGTCCTTAAGGCCTATGCCACGCTTCTCAAGCTGCGAGGTCCTGCCATGTGGAGTGGCGACGACACAGCCTCTGTGTCTGCTGCCGATAAGGACGACGAGTATGCTACCGTCATTCTTTCCGGCATCCTCGACAATCCGTTCTTCATCCGACCGCTCTTTGAATCGCCACAGTCCGTCGCCAATCCGCGCGAAAGGGCTCTCTTCTTCGGCTGGATGCGACCCCACCTCGACACCCTCCAGTCGCACGGCGGTAAGCTCTTCAGCGAAGCAATCAAACGCATCGCCAACTTCCTCTTCGAACGCATGCAGCAAGGCCATGTCCCTGCCGAGTGCCGCGCTGTCGCGTTCACCGAGGCCATTGATCTCGTCCTGAACCACTCGGACGAGGCCAATAGTAGGCAGGTCGTCGACCTCTATGCCTCTCCCATCTCCCGCATCGCCCTCGCCGACGACAACAAGTCAGACCAATCCACGCGTAGTGCTGCTCGCGACCTCATCGCCCAGGCCTTCGCCAGAGACGCCCAGACGCTCATGCGCGCTCTCTTCAAACTTTCGACCATATCCAGCAGCAACAACGCCAAGTGGAAGGAGCGGGCGCGAGCCCTGCGCGACAAAAAGTCGGTTGCGTCGGCCGAAGCTTGCTACCAAGAGTTTGCGCGCCAAGACTACCCCATCGTCGAGATCTGCACAATGCTTTGGAAGGAGGTCTATAATGTGACGCTCACAGGCACCTCCCGTCATGGTGTCAGCATCCTTCTTGGCGCTGTCGCCCGCATCGCCGTCTGTATGCCACCCTCCCTGCAGACCCACACTCTCAAGCCACCGTCCACTGGGACCAATGCTGCCTATGAGGCCTACGTCACGCGAGTCAGGCAGTCGACAGCATCCATCCTGACTGCTTTCCGAGCAATGCGACGCCCTGACTTTGGCGAGCGCCTAGCCGATTTCGGCGAGCTCGCTCGTGAAGACGAGGTTCAGCAGCTTTGCACTGGAGATGCCTACAGCCTCCTGCTTGTCAACCTTTGCCCCGATCCGGACGTCTATCGTCCAGCACAGAACCTGCTCCGTCAAGCTTTCAGCACCGTCGAGAGTCGTGCAGACTGCTTCCGCATCTTGTTTCAAATCAACCACGCTTCGTCGCTTCGTGCGCTCGCCGACTACTTGGAGCAATTCATCAGGGTTACTGGCCGATTCGTCGAGGCCAATGAGCTCGCCAAATGGATGGTCCGAAGCTTCGCCGACATTGTCAACGTGCTCGCTGGCAGCACCGATGGCCTCTTGCGACCTGGCACCTCATGGACGCTCATCGAGGACCGCTCAACGCTGCAGGCTGTAGCTCTCAAAGCGCCCATCATCTGGCGCCTCATGTGCGAGAGCGTAGCTTCTATCTTCAGGCGCACTCCCTCATGGTCCACCTTGCTGGCCCGCGAAGAGATGGTCGCTTGGTTCCGAGACGTGACCATCTTTGCTTCCGAGATGGTCGATGCCCTCGCCGTCTTCCGCAACGTCGTACGCCAAGCTACCGAGGCTCCCGCTCGATGGTCGGGCAAGACCTCCGGCGATGCCGACATGGATGGCTTGGAATCAGCCGAGGACGAGATGATGGTGCATGCACTGGCTCTGCCCGTCGAGTGTGCCACCAGTTGGCTGCGCATGAACGATGAAGACATCCTCCGCGAGACTCACTCCTTCATCCTCAAAGCGCTCGACCAATTCGGCGTCGAGCACGATCTGCCGGCCAAATCCAAGAAGAAGATGCTTGACTTCATCAACGAGCAGATGGAGATCAAGGATGCGGCTTCGCGACACACGCTGCTTTCGCTCGACGAGCTTGCAGATCTCAAGGTACGTCTCGATCCCAACGCTGGCATCATCGAGATCAGCGATGAAGATGACGACACCGCAAGTGCTGCTTCGGACACCAAGGTGACCCAGTCTACATCCGCAACGCACGTATCTGCTCCACCGGGTACATCTCCGGCTGCCAAGGCGTCCTCTTCGACGTCCGCCGGATCCGCTCGATCTAAGCCAGAATCAGACAACTCGCATTGGTGGGCCGGTGTCGGTAATTTTTCAAAGCTTACCAGCAGTCAGGAGCGACGCAAGAATAAGTTGAAACAGTCGAAACTCAGCTTCGCCAAAGTGGATCCCAGCGACATCATCGACGTTGACAAGGACGATTCCTCGACCCCGACATCCAAGAAGCCCATCACGCATGATTTCACGCGACCGAAAGCCGCACCAGCCTCTGCCCCTTCCGCGCCCATCAACGCCTATCGAGGGGCTGCTGCGCGAGGCGTCTACTCTTCGGCCAGCGCTTCGTCGGCGACATCCCGTGGCAGCGTTCCCAAGTCAAGCACAAGCACAGGCAAGATGGCCCAGCTACGTCAGGAGCTGGGTGGCGCAAGCCGCTCATGGAAGCAGCATCAGCAGAATAGTCACGCACGGTCCGGTGACGCGCGTTGGGGTCGCAATCACGAAGACGATGTCACGGTCAAAGCACCTGCTGCCGTGAGCAGCGTCACCGGCGCCCTCATCAACAAGATGCCTGCACCGACCACCGAAGCGGCAAAGGCAGCAGCGGCTCGAAAAGCAGCCGGAGCTGAAAGCGATTCCACCGCCTCGTCCTCTTCTTCCTCCGAGTCGAGTGACGAGGAGAGTGAGGCCAAAGGGCTGGCTGCGCTTCGTGCCAAAGTGGATGGGCCACGCGTGCCAAAAGTGACCCAGCCGCAACGACGACAGATCGTGGTCAAGGAGGATTATCACATGGAGCGTGCTCGTCGCGAGCGTGCGGATGCTGAGCGCAAGCGCATCCTGCGCAGCCCTCCCGACTTTTCTGCTTTGCATCGAAGCATCCTGACCTGGGACTATTCCCACGACGCCAACCGTCCTCCCGCTCTTGCCGGCAAAGATCCTGAGTATCGACGCATCCAGCCTCACTTTGGCAATGCGAACGACTACGGTTCTGTGTTTGGCCCGCTCCTATTGCTCGAATGCTGGGCGCAGTTCCGCCAAGCCAAAGAGGAAGCCGAGACATCCAAGGCGCCCACCGTCCCGCTCGAGGTGGCCGGAAGGTCAACCGTGGACGCCTTCGTCGATGTCAACGTCACGATCCCGCCGGACATGCTTCCGCCTACCGAGTTTTTCAACGACACCGAGATCGTGCGTCTCAAGGAAAGAGTACCCGCCATCTCTGATAAGCAGCCCAGGATCATCTTGGCCAAAGTCGAAGCTTTCAAGCGTCACCCACAAGGCCATCAACTGACGCTGCGGTGCTGCCTGTCTCAGGACCGTCAAGGAGTCAGCACCGCGCTGGTGAACCGGTCCAAATGGGAACTCAAGAAACTCTTTTCGCTGACGACCCTTCACCGAGAATTTGCAGCGCTAATGGCAGCGCCGTATTTCGATCTGTTCGCCGACATTATCCGCGCGCGTGTCGCTTCGAAGGTGACGCTCTCTGGCGATGAGGTCAAGAAGGCCATGCAAGGCTACCAAGTCAATGAGCCGCAAGCTCGCGCTATCCTGGGATCTTTGGCAACCGAGGGCTTCTCGCTCATCCAAGGTCCTCCAGGTACCGGTAAGACCAAGACCATCTGCGCCCTGATTGGGGCGTTTGTGTCGAGTCGCAAAGGTCCTTCGACATCTGTACAAGCCGGACAGAACCAAGGCAAAGTCGGGGCGACCAAGAAGATCTTGCTCTGCGCCCCGAGTAATGCTGCCATCGATGAGGTTGCCAAGCGAGCGAGGGCTGGGATACGTCTTGCCGATGGCAGAACTATCCATCCCAAGGTCGTGCGTGTCGGCAGAGACGAGACCATGAACGTGAGCGTCAAGGACATCTCGCTCGAGTTTCTCATCGATCAGCGGCTAGAAGGGGGCACTGCTTTCGACACCAACCGCAACGGAGGCAACACTGCCGACCCCAGTGCGTTGCATGCCGAGATCCACAACCTCAAGATGCAACGAGAGCAGAAGCAGACAGAGCTCTCGCAAGCGCGAGCTGGTGGTGGCCAAGCTCTTGTCGCGCAGCTGGAGGCCGAGATCCGAAACTTGTCGGCCAAGAGGCTCGGCGTCATGTCCAGGCTGGACGAGGCCAAGGACAAGCAGCAGAGTCAGCATCGGCAGCGAGAAGCAGACCGTCGACGGGCTAGGATGGAGATTCTAAATGATGCCGACGTCATTTGTACCACGCTCTCAGGAGCTGGCCACGAGATGCTGAGCGGCGTCACTTTCGACTTTGAAACAGTCGTCATAGACGAAGCCGCTCAGGCCGTCGAGCTCAGCACACTCATCCCGCTGCGATACGGCTGCAAACAATGCATCATGGTCGGAGATCCCAACCAGCTCCCACCGACCGTCATCTCGCAAGAAGCAGACAAACTTGGCTATTCGCAATCGCTTTTCGTCCGGATGTTCGAACGCTCGCCGCAAGCCGTGCATCTGCTCAGCATCCAGTATCGAATGCATCCAGAGATTTCAGTTTTCCCGTCCAAGGCCTTTTACGACTCGAAGCTGCAGGACGGACCTGGTATGGCGGAGCTGACGCGCCAGCCGTGGCACAAATACGAGCTCACGCGTCCGTTCAAATTCCTTTCCATCAAGGCACAGGAGTCGCCCGGCCGGATGCATTCAATCATCAACAGGGAGGAGGCTAATGTGGCGCTTGCGCTCTACGAGCGCCTGCGCATTGACAACCCGAACGAGAACTTCGACTACCGTATCGGTGTGGTGACCATGTACAAAGCCCAGGTGTTTGAGCTGAAGCGGACCTTTCAGCAGCGCTATGGTCTCGACATCGTCGAAAGGATCGACTTCAATACCGTCGATGGCTTCCAGGGCCAGGAGAAGGACATCATCATCCTCAGCTGTGTCCGATCCGCCTCGGAGCCGCGCAGCATCGGTTTCCTGAGTGACCGACGACGTCTCAATGTCGCTGTGACGCGTGCCAAGAGCAACCTATTCGTTATTGGCAACGCCGAGCATCTCCGTCGGGGCGATCCCATCTGGGACAGGTTGGTCACCACGGCCGAGCAACAGGGAGCGGTCCAGTCCGTCACCGTTGCGCTGCTGCAGAAAGGCGATCGTACCTTGGCCAAAACCCACGCTGGCATCGAGCAAAAGCGGAGCTCCGTCGCCGTGGCCGGGGCTGGGCATGCCTCTCAGCCGAAGCCTGCGCACCCTCCCGGACCACCTCCTACCAGGCCACCTCCGATGACATCGCCGGCGCCGACGACGTACGCGTCTCCTCCTGTCGGCCCGGTGACCCCATCTGCACGTAGACCCATGCAGAATCCTAACGGTGAAATGACTGGCAGAGCTGCAGGCGAAGACAAGAAGCGCAAGGCTATCGTCGTGGACGATCCCAAGATGATGCCGAAGAAGCCTCGCGTATCTGACGAGAATCTCGGCCCCGGCAAAGCGCGGACCGCAGCGCCGTTGCCTCCCAAACCGGGTAGTGGCGGCAGTCTCGCCAATCATCGAGCGAACGCAAGTCCCAAGACCAACGGAAGTGCGCCTATGCGAGCGCCTCGATCCGCTGGGACAGCGAGCGAGCTTCCAGCAGGCAAACCTCGCGTCCCTCATCATCAGAGTCCGCAAGGCGTGCCGCCGGGCATTCAGAGAAAGCCAGTAACTCCAACAGGCGTCAGTCCTCGAGAAAGTGTGCCAATCGGCGTGCCAAACCGGGACCGAACAGGCAACGGCAGCCCGAGAGGACTAGCGGCTCTGCCTCGTCGGCCTGCAAGCCCTCCCAAGCCGTCGAATGCCGCACTCAATGCGTTGTTCGTTAAGAAGCGCAAGTAGTCGGCGATGATCAACCCAGTCCGGCAAGCTTGCTCGGGCGCCTCAAGCTTGAGCGTCAAAGCTCTTAGCCTTCTACGGTCTCATTGACCACAACACTGCATCCAGCATTCAGCATCGAACCAAGCCATTTGTATTTATAGTATCTTCATCATTCAATAATGCCAACGCATGAGCATTCGATCATGGCCGACCGCGAAGAACAGTTGCAGGTTTCTAGGGAGAGGAAACGCTGGTCTGGTCATCGTCTGAAAGTTTCATCTGTTCTATCACGAACGTGAGGGCACGACGTTCGCAATGATGATATCACAGTAGAGCGAGGGTGAGGAAGTCAGACGTCGGAGCGGCCGACGAGCAGCCTAACAGAGCCGAATTGTGGTGCCGCGCCAATTCCGCGGCGCAATTGTGACCTCGCACCAATTTTGTCGTGTTCGTGCACACCACCATCACCATCATCGTCATCATTGTCACACACACACACACACACACACACACACGCACACTGTCTCTCTCTTCGGCACTCATACGGACGTCTTGCAGCTTCAGGCTGGACTCCCGTGGCGATGGCAGACAAGCCGAGAGGCTTGCAGGTGGCAGCGTATCGGTACAACTGCCAACCGTGCAAGCAACGTAAGACCAAGTGCGACCGCGTCAAACCGTGCGCAAGTTGCCATTTGAGAGGCACGCAGGACAAGTGCTATGCGGAAGAACATGATGTTGCGACTTCGCCGACGAGTTCGGCTACGAGGGCGGCGAGGCCACACAAGAAGGCGAGGTTCAGCGAAGCGGATGCAATCGCCGGTAGTACTTCCAGACTGCCATTCCACACACCCTCGCCGCAGAAAGCATCACCCTCGGGGCCAGCAGCGATGACACCAGTAGCTTCGACCTCCTCGTTGGCACAGGAAAGGACGAGTGCGATCCAAGATCATATCGCTTTGCTTCGCAGCACGATCGACCAGTTGGAAGCATCCATTCTTCCAGGTTCCGGAAGCGGCAAGCATCCCTCATCTCACTACAACGATATGGAACCGACTTCGGATCTTGTCTTGACTACAGAACCTCGAGTCGTATGGGCAGACGTGGCGCATCTCTTCCCGCCCAAGCGCGACGTCGAAAGGATCTTGGAATACTTTCTGAACGAGATGGTCTACATCATGATCCCGGTCCAAGGGAAGCAGTTCTGGCGAGCGTGGCTTCGACTCAGCCAGCCCAGCGCTCGAGGCTCGCCCGCATGGCGTGATCGGGACCATGATGTCGAGCCCGAGCCGCCAGGCATCTCACGATCGATGGTAGCAAGCTTGCTCATGTGTCTTGCATCCACCTCTTTCTTGATACCGCAAGCAAGGGAGCACGAGCTCGAGCTGACCTTTGGCATGGCCGAGCAACGCGACCACTGGATCACATGCGCTCTGGCGCTCGCTCGATGCGGTATCAGCTTCCACAGGATTGGGACAGCTGACCAACAGCAGCAGCCGTTGATGCACTATGTCGACTCTACTCTCGACACTTCCTTGGACAGGTTCGGCTTCGATACGCTCGCCTGCCGAGTCTTTTCCTTGATCGGAATGAGCGAGATGGCATACCAAGTCAACGGCGAATGCCTGCGTCGAGCGGTCCGCATCAATCTCTTCGACGAGACCTCACCCAAAGCTGCCGAACTGTTTACGGTCGACGACGACGAGCTGACGGACGAGGAAATCCTGCACATGAGAAGGAGGATCGGCATCCAGGCAGTGGTCACGGAGAGATGGACCTGTCTCTACACGGGCCGACAGCCCATGATCGACGAAGACGCAGAGACACTGCCCACGCCGGCGGCTAGCGAATGGTCCGAGATCGAAGATCTTACGCTGCTCTTCTCTCGTTTCGTGTCCAAGCTCCGAAGACTTCCAGCACAACTCGCCAGCCTGACGTCGCGCAAGCCTGGCGATTGGTCGTCTCAACGTGCACGCGACCAAGAAGCGGTCCAGCTTATTCTTGACATCGATCGCGGCCTATGCTCGGTCTACGATCCATCGCTCCCACGCGCCTCCACCGGCGGACGATCCTCCTCGCAGATCCTCGCCGAACTGCCTGAGATACTGGAGCGCAACCAACACCTGTCGATGAGCGATGCACAGCTCAACCAGATGCATCGCGACTTTGCCAATGCGCTCATCATGACCTCCTCGTGGTTGTCGTTGCGTTGCCTGGTGACGAGCAATCTGATGTTCGTACCGTGGGTCAGCGATGTTGCTTCGCGGTACTGTGCGTTGAATCTGGCGAGGAGGTTGATCGAGTTGTTGCCGAGTATTTGGATGATGACCAGCTCGCCCTACGTGCCGTTCAGCTCGAGCTGGATCAGTCGACATCTGTTCTTGGCGTGCACCGTGCTGAGTGTTCCCATCCTCGGACAGGAATCGGCAAGCGCATCGTCTACGCAGGCATACGTGGATAAGCAAGGATCATCGCACGAAGACGGCGCTCGGACAGGCGAGTCTGCTGGCGATGCAACATCAAGCGATAGACCAAGCGACTTTGCACCATCCCGGATGCAAAGCAAGCAGATCTTTTCCAAACTCTCGTCCAAAATCCTCGACGGCAACAGCACCTCGAAACGACTTCCCGCATCCTCGTCCGTCGATCTCGACTGGTTCTCCGGAAAACTGGTCGAGATCGCATCGCTCTTCAGCAAGCTTGCCGAACGCGGCGATCAGACGGCAGGTGTCAATACGAAGCTCATCGATATGTTGCTCAATGGTCGAGCCGAGCTGCGCGATCGGGTGCTGCTTAAATGTGGTCAGAAGCAGAATCGCGCTCTGAACATGCAGCTGGTCAACGGTGGTATGGGGCGAGACGGTGGTGGTAGTGGTAGTATGGGTAGGATTGAGAGTCAGAGGGATTTGACGACGTTTGTGAGTGCAGCGAGTGCGGGAAAGAGTTCTCCGAGCAGCACGGGGACTAGTCCTGCGGTCAATGCTGGTGCTGGATCGCCGTCAAACAGCCGCAGCGGAGGTGTGGGTGGTGCTGCTACAGAATCTGGGTATGGCAGAACGAGCAAACCGGGTAGATCAAATGCGAGAAAGGATTTTTTGACGACAAACACTCGGGAACAACTGGCTTCCGAGACCCACAGAGTCCAATCCCCCAGCCTTCACGATCTAGCCAATGCAGTGGATACCTTTACCAGCAGCAACCACACCACCACCCACGCTTCGTCCACCGTCAACACTCCACCTTTACCCTCCTTCTCACCCCACCCTTCATACCTCCATCACCAACAGCATAGCACCAACAGCAATACAGCGACATCAGCAGGAGGAGGAGGGATCGGATGGGATTGGGATAAGACCTTCTTCCCTTCTCCCACTCCGGGCAATGGCGCGGCGTCGATCAGTGGCAATTCGTCGTCAGGAGGAGGGGACGTTCTGGCCAACGTTCCGCTGCTGTTGGACACGCAGGATTGGTTGGCTATTCTGGATGGGGTTGATATCCCGCTCTAGCCCGTGTGGAAATGGTAGATGCATGTGGAGATCGTGGATGGTGCAAATGCGAGATGCGCTTCTCTCGCCATTGAGCTTTCGCTGTGCATGTGTGCGTTTTCGAGTTTTGTGCTTCAGATCGGCTTGAGCATCATTGCGATAGTGAGCAGGGAAAGGCGACACGACCACGACTTTGCGCGTTCCAAAAGACACATGCACGCCGCCCAAAAGACAGCTCACTCGTTCAAAAGCACTCGACCGGAACACAACCCGCGCTGCTTCCGAACTTCAACTTACTGCAGTCCCATGATGGAAGAAGTCTATCTACATGACGTCCCGGCAGGGCTTCAAAGCGGTGGGATGAAATCCGAGATCCTATCCCTCGCGTTCTGAGCGATACACTCTGCGATCCAAGTGATACTCCTGATCTCCTGCTCCTTCAACTTCAACCAGGCGTAAAACACGCCGAACTGGAACTGCGTGATGGTGAGGATGCGGTTGAGCTGGACCTCGAGCTTGAACATCTTGTCTTCCAACATGTCTGCGTTCGCCTCTCCTCCTCCCGAAGAGGATGGGTTGCCACCTGCGGAGGACGCGGACGAGTCGAAGAAGGAGCGGTACTCGGGGACGTTGTCGCACACGGCTTTGACCTGATCCAGCTCGTCGGCTTTGGCGAGGACATTGTTCCCGGCGGGGAAGAGTCGGCCGATGTTGGGGAAGAGGCGCGCACGGTCCTCTTTGGAGAGGGATGTGCCGAACGAGTTGATGGTGATGTTGATGGTTCTGCGATCCGCTTCGAAGCTGAGCAGTTCTGTCATAGTTTGGCTGGTGGTACCTCCGAGACTCTGGCAGAATTGATAAAAGTCTTCCAGGTAGGCCTTGTACAGGGTATTTCTGATGATCTCGATGTTGAGGTCGTCGAGATCGGAGGCAGAGATGCAATCCCTAAAGTAAGGAGCTAGTGGGGTTTCGACGAGGACAGAGTTGTAGAGCTCTTCGACGGTAGATGCGACGCACAGGGCGGGCATCGTATCAAAGACACCAAGTGGATGGCAGCGTTCCAATAGCTCGTGCGTGTCCCTCTCATGGAGTGTGCCGGTGATGAGTAGGATGACATTGTCGATCATGTAGGCGTAGGTCATGTAGTCCAAGAACTTGCTCAAAGGTTGAGTTGCATTGGTGCGCAGATATTCAAACTCTGCCACGAGCTTACGCGTGGCCTTCTCGGCGATGGTGGAAGTGGAGATGGGGCTCGGCTCGTTTTGGAGAAAGTTGCCGTAGTCGGTGGCCTGAAGCTGCATCTTGAAGTCGTCGAGGGTCTCGCATTGTGTCAAGGACTGGTAGTGATTGGCGGTGAGGAGCGATGTGCGGTAGCCACGGACGACACCCTCGAGGAAGCCGTGGTCGACGTTGAATGAGATCATCTCCATGATGGGCAAATGGTTGTGTGTGGTCTCGACTGGATGTCAGACCAACGAATCGGAGGATACGACAGAAGGAAGCGGCTGCGCTAAGATTTTACAGATGAATCTTGCTGATTCGACGTTGGCCGATGGTGGCGGACTGCTGGCGTGATTGTAACACGATGTTGTGCGAACGACGCAGAGTGTGTGCAGTGTAATCGGGTTTGCCAACGCTCGCGAGATTGAGAGGAGTTACGGGTGACCCGAGCAACGGTGAGATGGATGATGTGACGATGCAGAAGATGCCAAAGTGAGCTTGCTCTGTTGCTTCCGCTGCTCCTGCTGTTTGCTGCTGACTTGAAATAATGGGCTGCGATTTTTGTGGTCCAGGCGCAGTCAGAAGTGCGTGTGTGGCATCGACGCAGGGGCCTTGCCATCCGCCGAACTACCGTATCACTTGCAGATGAAAGGGTCTAACACATTTTTAATTTTACACAACCTCAGTTCTTCAACTAACTTTCCAATGCATCTTGCATTCTGGCGCACACACTGACCGAAGCCCACAATCGGCTCAAAGTGAGGATCCTGCATTGTAGATCGGGTCTGTATTTCCGGCTACCATTGCGGGGCTGTCTACGATCGTGTTGGGCACCCCTAAGCAGACAAGTTGGCATCCTCGGCAACGATCCCCTCCTCAGGCCACAGCCATCCAAACTTGTCGGGCTGGTCACCGCACTGGTACGATGTCAGCTCGTCGAACAGTCTTCGCGCGCATTCGCCCGCCGTCTGGCCATCGCCAAAGTCGATGCGCTTCACCTCATTGTCCGACGGGAAGGTGTATTTGGGTCCATCGCGAGACAGCTTGTCGTGCACCAGCTGCGGCTTGTGCGAGTTGTACGACATGGATCGTACGGGTGTGATACCGGCTGCGGTGCCGGCGGCCATGAACTCGACGAACTTGTTCTGCTTGAGCTCGTCGAATGCTACCTGGCGCAGATCCACCTTCCAGCCGCACAGCTTGTCGGCAATGTCGACAACGCTGATCTTGGTGACCGAACGCAGAATTGAGGTGCTGTCAGGAACGACCAACGTCACCTGCTCGCCATCCTTCTGCACAGCGAGTGCATTCGACGTCGAGAACTCGTCCACGTACGTGTGCGATGCAGAATCCAGGTGAAGCGTGATGGGGTATCCTTGCTTCTTGGCTGCTGCAGTGGGTGCAAAGACGGGTGCGTAGTTGCCGCCAAGCTTAGTGTGACCGGTACCCATGGGTGCGGTGCGGTCAAAAGTGTCGAGCACAAATCCGTCTACCGCGGGAATGTCGGCGCCGCTTCCGTACAGCGAGCCAACCGGCGTCACCCACACCAGGAAAGTGAACTCGTCTGGGCTACCCAACATGAGCATCGGTCCGGTCGCCAGCAAGAGAGGTCGGATGTAGAGAGCACCGCCCGACGCATTCTTCTTGTAAGGTGGAACGTATTCGAGGTTGAGCGCAACAGCCACCTTGATGGCTTGCAAGAAGAGCTCCTCGGGCAATTCAGGCATGGATGCCATTCGAGCGCTCAGGTTCATACGCGCCCAGTTCTCCTGCGGTCGGAACACGCGCACCGAGCCGCTCGCCGTGCGGAATGCCTTGATGCCTTCGAAAGCTTGCTGTCCATAGTTGAGACATGGCGCAGCCGCATGCACGTTCAGATGGCTGTCCTTGGAGACCTCGAGTGCGCCCCATTGGCCATTCTTGTAGGTGACACGGACCAGACCGTTGACGTCGCGCTCCTTGAAGCCGAGCTTCTCCCAGTCGATGGACGTGGAAGGGTTGGTGGCGATGCGACCGTTTGAGGATGTCGACATGTTTGCAGACGTTTGGAGGGATGACTGAGGAAGAAAGGGAAGGACTGAGCCGCAAGTCAATGAGTGACAAGAATGCTAGCACGGTAGCACTTTTTCGGAGCGGCTTTCCGTCCAGAATTGGCCGGAACAAAGCCCGGTGGGAGCTCTTGCGTCCAACTGCGAATCTGGCCCACATGACTCGGCCATTCCGGTTCAAGGCAAGACATTATCATTTCTCCATTTGGATTTGAGAGCGATGTAACAACAACACACTGTCAGATCGCAATTAGCAGCGCTTGGACCAACTCGGGCCGAGTCTTCTTGTCCTCCCTCCACCATCCTTTGCACTCGAAGCTTGTCGTCGCCTTGGTGACCGCCGCTGCCGGATGCAATGCCCACTTCACCAGCAGCTGCTCTGGCAGATCTCTTCTCCAAGGCACGCCTCACGCTCCAGCTCCCTTCGTCATCCCCGGCTGCTTCGAGATCGGTCGCCTTCTTCGACGAGGTGCTCAATGTGCAAGCCATCTTGACATTGCCATCAGACCCGCTCCTCCCTATCGCATCCGCGTCCACGTCGGCCCACGCTTCGCCTCATCCGATACCCTTGCCTTTGCCCGCATTGCCATCCTCTACGTCGTTAGCTCAGCAGAGCATCTCGCCGTATCTCACCGCCCTCCTCGCCTGCCTTCACGTCAACCTTGTCAGCGACTACGTCCCCAACCAGCCCTCTCCTTCCACGCATACCTCAAAGTCAACAAATCCCTACGAGCCGCTCGCTACCGTACAATCTCGCTTCGAGCACCTCCAACTCTTACCTTCCCACAATCCTCATCCAGATCCGGCTCAACCGCAGCATGCCGCCGTCCGTGCCTTCTCCAACGCCTGGGCAGGCAATCAGCCACCAAAACCTCATCGTACGCTCAAGGATTCTTCCAACACCCAAGGCTCTATGTCCTCCAGCTTCTCCCACAAAGCCCACCTGACGCACGATGGGCAACACTGGAGCGTCCACTGGCATTGTCGCGTTCCGGTCAACTACATCGCTACGCCCTTCCTACCCTCCCTCTCCATCACTGCCGCGCTGACGCTTCGTCTGGACCAAGCCTTGCTGCAACATCTCATCCCCGTCTCCTCTACTCCACCTTTCGCTCGTTCAGGCTTCGCGCATTCTCTCCTGTCTCCTCTCCACGAAGGCCCCGTCTATCCCGACGAGTCTCCGCTTCAAAGTCAAGCACGAGCAAATGCGGCATCTGCCTTGGGCCTCGACGGTCCCAACGGTCTCGGCTCGTTCCTCGCTCACCTTCCCAAGGATGTCGTCGGCGGAAACAACGCTGTTGTGACACCTCGCTCGGGCGCAAGGGCTCTTGGCGCTATACACGAGCGTAGAAACGATGCCCTGGCTGCGGATCCTGCTCTCAACAGACCCATCTCCAAACCAGACGTCAATGGTGATCTCGCTGCCTTAACCTCTAGACCCACATCCATCCCACATTTCGCACAGTCCTCCGCGCAGGCTGAGTCAGGCCAATCGTCGCCTGGCTTGCAGATCTACAAACGCAGCACCAGAAAGCTTTTGCCCCTCAAGACAGGTCTCAATGTGCGCATGCGTACTCTGGCCACCAAGCACGATCCCCACGTCCATCGTCGCGCCTCTCCGCATCCAGCTCTCTCGCAGCTCGACACCACTCGACTTGTGCTCAGCGTCGAGCTCGAGAATCCGTTCGAATCCGACGCTGCATTCACTGTCAACGACATTCAAATAAAGATTGCCAGTAGTCAGACAGATCCGCATGACTCCTACAACATTGTCGCCAAGCCGCTCCAGCCAATGGCTTCCATATTGCCGATTCAGCTCTCCCGCGCAAGTCAGCACAACTTGCTCTTCTACGTGTCGGTTGAGGCTGGCCATGCTCAGTGCAGTAGCAAGGCCGCTCTCGATCAACGTCTAGCCGGACCAAGGAATGTCACCATCACTGTATCGGGCCAGCCTCAGGGCGACAAGGAGCAAATGGCCGACTTCGACTCTCAGTGGAACTGTGCTCTTGACCTCACTCCCATCTTGTCCGATGCTGCTAAGAGGAACCTCATTGGAAGCCAGCCATCCACAAGCAGGCTGTCACAGCAGCCACTCGCAGGACCCGTAGCTGGCAACTCGCAGTATTCAGCATCGGCGCTGAGGACCGCAACTCATGATCGAATTCGCTCTAGCTATACCTCTGTAGCACCGCCAAGGACTGACCACGCGGAAGACGCTCGCACGCCTAGACCTGGGCAGTTGGGGATGGGCTTCCCTCCACCGCTACGTTCGAGCTCAGCAAGACAGTTCTCTACTGCGACGGCGGCGACTGCGGTACAGCATCCAGCGATCGAGTCCCAATCAACCTTGCAGGAACCAACGACTTTCTTGCAGAAGGCCAGATCAAGAGCCGCAGCGCGCAACGCTACTGCGCAAATGCACACGTCGGATCACCTTTCCGGTGTCAGCGTCAAGCCCTGGATGTCACAGTCCGTCGCAAGCAGAGAGCTGTCAGAAGGAGGCCTCGTGGTGCTCTCCGACATTCGACATGCTGGCGTCACCGCCACCGGCCGCGCAGATCCACTCGAGGGCCATCTCAACTTTGAATCCACTCTGGGCGACGACGGACTTGCTCGTCCCTCTGTTTCGACCGGTGCCAAGACGTTGCACCCAACCTCAGTCGCTACATCGGCGTTCGACGACAGAGCAGCGCGCTTCCAGACCGGCGACACCGTGCTCATCGATCTAACCATCCTCCATAGAAGCAGTCCTTCGGGCATCGCTCACACCGCCGATACCATCACAGATATCGCCCTTTCCTGGGCAAATCCAACCGACAAGATGGCACCAAGCAAAGCACTCAACCGCGACTCAGTCGATGCCGCCACAGACGTCAGCAGAGCCAGACTGATCGACGCCGATTCGGCGCGTCACAAGTCATCCTCGCTTCTCTCCCAGGCTGAATCCCTGAACGGCCTCGTTCCGATTCAGGGAAACCTTGCTCTCCAGGAGCCGCTTTTGGTTGGTCAGAGTACGTCCGTGGCGCTTGCCCTCCGTTGCTTGTCGCCCGGATTCCACGCCATCCCGTCGTTGCAGATGCAGTTCCAGTGCGCATCGGGAGAACAGGGGAAGGTCTTGCTCGAGGGTCTAGGTCGGGTTCATGTCAGCCCCGCTGCTGTCTTGTAAACTTTTGCACTCTCTTGATTGCCAACTCTCAACCACGTCACGCAAGCACACACCCGTCGTCTGTGATTACCCAGTGAAAACGCGCCTGTGATTGCCTTTGAGTTGCGAATGAAACGCGGAAAGCGATCAGCACACCTGACTGAGCGTCTCAATCAGCTGCTCCACCACCTCCCTCTCCACGCCCAACGCCTCCGCCCCCGATCTGGGTCCAGCCACGACGCGATCCCTCTGTGCGCGATCCAGTCTGCCATCGACAAACATCTGCAGCACGTCGGCATCGAGGAACCCGGCGGGAGGCTGTACCCTGTGATCCGTCCTCAGCGTGCGCCAGTCCTCGTGCTTGATATCGCCGACTACGCCTGCCGACCCTGCAGCGGTGTCAGACTCGACGAGCGAGAGAATGTTGCGTTCGACCTTGGCCAGCAGACGCGCCTCGTCGTCTCGAACGAGAGCGATGACGCCGATCGCACCCGCCGCGGTGCAGAACAGCAGTCTCGGCCTCACCGCTGCCTTCGAGCCCGGATCGGGGACGAGCGATGTTCGGCGGAACTTGTTGATCATATCCCCGTAGTGCCAGACGGCGTTGCGTTGCATCACGTGTTGGTACTGATCGACCTCGGCTGGGTTTCGCGTGGTTCGTGGGTCGACAGCGCTGATCGCTCGTTCGGTATCGCGCTCCCTCGCACGACGGATCCGAGTCTTGTCCTCCTCACTTATCGGAACCCTCTGCGTCGTGTAAATGTTGAAGCTGACGTCGGCACCGATGTACGTCTGCGTCTCTTCGTCCAGCAGCTCCGTCGCGCTCGTCCAGAAAGGATCGCAGTCCCTGGCGATCTCGGTGACCCTGGCTGTGTACGGGTGCACATGCAGCACATTCATCGATCTCAGCGCGTCGCCCACCACGATGCGGTCCGGCTCGATGGCAGAGAGATTGCAAGCGACAAACGAGCTCGCCCAGCTTCCGCGCTGTCGCACCATGATGCGAGGCGCCGCCACGTTGCTCGGACGCGGGTCGACGATGCTGTAGATCTTGACCTCCGAATTGACCGCAGCAGCGAGCCGATGGTTTATCGGTTGCAGGTTGTACACGTTGCCGTTCTCGGCATGCTCGAACAGCTGGCGAAGTCGGCCGCGCTCTTCCTTGGTGCGAGACGAACCGGTGGAAACGTCGAACCCTACGAGGCGGCCGCGCGTTGTCTCGCTCGACTGTTCGGAGACGTAGCCCGTTCCGACCACAAGCAGCTCGTGACCTTGCGATTTCAACAGGGTGATACAATTTGGTCGCTCGTCCGGCTCCAGCCGGATCTCGTCCAGCAGCTCAAACGTGACGTGGTCGAGGATCCGCAAAGCTCCCCGTGGGCGCTCGACTTTGGACGCGGTACCTCGAGGCAGGAAGGTCCAGGTACAGACGGCGAAGACCTTTCGATTGGCCCATTGAGCGATGGCAAGCGGCTGTTCCAAGCCCAGAGGGAACGTGCGGATGTCGCGCTGCCTGAGTGCGCCGATGGCAGCCAGCTCGATCGAGTCGGACAAGGCGAATGCAGCAAACACTTGACCGGGACCAGCGCTCAACGGAGTGACGCTGCGCTGATCTTTGTACTTGAGTGCGTTGTACGAGAATCGTTTCGAGTCGGCGTAGACCAGCGTCGGGCGACTGCCGGAGACAGCAACCACACGAGCACCGGCCGAGGTCTCGACGGCATCAAGCTTGAGCGCCTGTGTGCCCAACGACACTGTCTTGGCATCAGCAAGGCCAACAGTGCTGGTGTAGCTGTCGCCCGTCGGGAGGCTCATACTGTACGAGACCAGACTGCCGTCTCCCAACCCAACGAGCAGGTGCGGAGTGAGAGAGTCTCGATTACCCAACGAGGCTTTTGGCTGGCCATGCGGACCAGCTTCCGGCTGGCTGCTTGCGAACTGATGCAGCAGGATGGAGCGAGGCACCGCCGAGAGTCTTTGCTGCACCACAGAGGACTGACCGACGGCGGCAAGGTCAGGCAGCGAGAAGATCTGGACCGTTCTGGTTTGCCAGAAGCCGCAAGCCACAAAGCGAGCCGCTTCGCCTGCGACCAACGAGCTGACGTCCAGACACGATACTTCATGGTCCAATTGGACTTTTCTAAGTTCGGTCAGCGCACCGGCTTCTACGGAGAGGTGCAGCAAGCTCTTGTCGCTCAGCGCAACGACCGATTGACCGGTCGAGTTAACACTGGCGGCCGTCACCTCGAGTCCTGTGGGAGGCACCCACTGGGACCGAATCGATACGTTCTCTCCTTCGAGGCTGAAAAGCGAGACTTCCTTGCGAGCAGCGCGAAGCAATAGCGGACCCGTGCCTTGGCCCAGCACACTTGAAGCTGCAAGTGTTGGTTGCGACACGTCGATGCCAGCAGCAGCAAGTCGGTCGGTGGCGTCGGCGAGTTGTCCGTTTGCATCGAAGTGAAAGTAGGCAGTCGAAGTGGCGAACCCGACAAGCAGGCCAATGGATTGCTTAGCCGCTATGCCGTCTCCACCGTGAACAGGCCATACTTGTTGAGCGTTGGGAATAGGCAGCGACGAAACTTCCTGCACCGAGGCACCGCTGCGCGCTTCTCGAATACTACCAGTAGGACCAGCACCGCTGCATGTGACGATCCTGGCTTGCGCGCCGGATGAAGAGGTCGGATCTCCACCGGCACCGTCGTCGACCACGAAATCGACCACAGGTCCAAGATTGTGCCACGTGTCGAGGAGAGCGAGGGATCCGCCGGTGGGAAGCTCGGAGCTGTCGCGAGACGTGCCGACGGTGTGGGACGACCTTCTCCTTCTGGCTTGTGTGGGCGATGATGGCGGGGTCAGCAGCTGTTCGCCCAAAGAAGCTGGGGTACTCTGCGATGCGTTCTGTTCAAGAATATTGTAGAGGCAGCTGTCGCCCGTGGCACTGCCGACGCAGACAAGCCCTTGACCGAGGTAGGAAAGGGCTTGAGGCCCTGCAGGCTGAGATGCGGTGCCAAGCGTCTCGACTCTCATCGATCTGGGCTGGGAGGGGTAAGAGGCGACCTCTTGGGTATCTTGATGCATCGAGAGGCGGAGCACGTTGAGCGCGCCAGAACTGCAAGCAAAGAGCACGGAAAACTTGTCCGGGCCTGCGGACGAAGAGCGATCTGCATCATTCAGGTCAACGACCGAGATCACCTGGACAGGGTGGGGAAGGCCGACGCGAAGAAGCTTTGGACGCGACGGCGTTGAGGAGGCAGACTTGGTGGGTGAATCTGCACCGGCGGCAGACACATTGACGGAAGAGCGTCGACGTTTGCCGTTCTCGTTGGATGGGGTGGAGGTGGTGGCGACGTTGGCGGCTGCTTGGGTGTTTGCTGCGGAAGATCGCCTGCGGGTTTCGGCGATGCTACCTTGGCTCGCTTTGCGTCTTTTGCCTTTCGTATCCGCAGGATCTGATGCGGTGGTGGCATCGTCATTGTTGCTACTGGTGGAAGCGGGAGGATTCGAGGGCGGTGGCACGTAGAGGATGCTCGTTTCGGAAAAGACGAGAACGCCAGCGCCAACATGAGCAGGAAGAGCATGTACGTAGTGAGCGCCAAGAGCATCGGCCGTGGGCAGCGGTACATGGCATTGAGCAAGGTCCGACTTTGCGCGGACCTCCTCCCTGTTGCGCAGATCGTTGAGAGTGAGTTTTGCGCCCATGGCTGCAGGACCGTGCTGTTTGCGTGAAGCGGCTTTGTCGTCCTTTTTGGCGGTCTTGAGGTCGCGGCTGGCCTGTGTGGCGGCAGAGGACGACTGTGGGTGGAAGCGCTTGTCGGCGTCCTCCTCGGTATCTTGGCTTTCGTTGCGGCGAGGAGGTCTGCGTGGAGGACCCCAGGGCATGGGCGACAGCTCTTGGCTGCTGACGTCGACGGAATGGAAAGACAGCACGGGAAGGCACAGCTCGCCGAGGCCGGGTATCTCGCTGGGAACACTGGATTGAGAGAGCAGCGCGACGGCCGGAACTGAGGAAGGAGAGCTAGGGCTGAGAAGAGCACACGAGAGCAGATTGGGATGCGGTAGTCGCACGCTGAAGGATTGTGAGAAGTGTGCGCCGCGGCTGAGCGAGTTGGTGTGCGAGATGTCTTGCATGTCCTGGTCTGCGTCGTCATATGCACGCGAGCGCGATGAGCTAGCAGGGTCGGCGAGGGGGATGACCCTAGCGACGCCTCTGTAGACGTGACTCAGAGCGATCCTCTGACCGATTGAAGGCGTGCCAGGCGACAAGGGCTCACACCACACGCCAAGTGCGGACTCTGCCGGAGAGCGGGCAACTTCGTCGAGAGCCAGTGTAGCGATGGTTTGGATGTTGGTCTCGCCATTGTCAGGATCGATCGAGGCAGTCAGACTGATCAGCTTGGACTGGTAGTGGTCTGTGAGGAGGAGGAGCGATTGCTTTTGTGATGTGGCATTCGAGCTAGGTTCGGTGACGGCTTGAGCGGCGAGGATGCGACCATTGACCGTGATGGTCTGAACGGTTTCGAGCAGTCCTGCCGAGGATGCGGTGCTTCCGGCGTCGGTAGCGAGCGAGAGGAACTCGATGCAAGATTGTTTGACCAGCGCCAGACATGGTCCCGTCGGCAGGAATGTTGGCAAGGCGAGTGTCTGGATGATGGCCGAGGCCTCGTAGGCGTGCGCGACATATAGCATCCCGGTAGATGCTTTCTGTGTGCGAAGACGACGACGACGAGGCGGATGGGAAGAAGGAGAAAGAGGAGGAGGACGAGCAGACGATCATGTAGGATCGGGCGGCACTTGGGAAGCTGAGCTGATCTGTGCGTAAATGGTGCGCGCGTCTGCGGTTGAGAATTTTCTTGCGGCCTCAGCTAAGTTAGTCTGCCACACTGTTCCACCTTTTCTCCACTTTCTCCGGTTGACTGTCGCCTGATCGCACATTCTAGAAATGGCGCTCTAATGAGGCATCAGATCGGGCTGCGAATCATTCGAGGAAAGGAAGGCGGACCTGCTCCTTCATCTCGAAGCTGTGCTGTCAGTCAACGAAAACACAGTGGCCAAACGGACGACATATGCTGTACAAAGAATCTTCGCAGTTTGACTCGATTGTTCCACTGTCCAAGAACCAAATATTAATAAATGCAGCCTGGAATTGTGGCACCAAAATCCTTGGCAAAATGTTGTCGTTCATGGCTTTGAGAGGCCAGCGGACTCCGTGACATGAGGAATCGTAAGCCGTGCTCTACATTCGCAACAGCGTTGGACGTCAAGGCCAACGGGACTGGGCCGGCAAAACTTGATTGCCGATGGCCGGAACGGAAAGCTCTCTCGGCTATGCACGTTGCTGGCTGTGCCTCTCTGCAACGACAAAGCTCACGTCCGGGGCAGCAGAGACAGTTGCACGGGTCTTATGGCGGCGAGCGTTTCATTCGAGTCGTCTACGTGCATTTCTGCGTGCTGAGGTCTTGTGACAGGATTCAGGCTTTATTAATAGCACATACACGCAAAAGAGGCGGAACAACTAAGCTTGAGTTTGACTGGAGGCTTAGGGTTTGGTCAGGCAGGCAACGATGGCAACTTGATGCCTACGCGGTGGGCACCGCTGGGAAATAGAATGCAGACGGTGCTACAGCTCAACCACAGTACGCTTCCATGCAGGGCATTTGAAACACCGCCCATCTTTTTTTTTTTGACAGCCGAGCCAGGCGCTTTTGTGCATGGTGGTCTGTGTGGGGTAACCACGGGCGAAAGGATGCCGAGCATCTGACGCTTGCCTCCCTCGCTCGCTTCCCGACAAGCTTAAAAACGATCGTGCGCACGGGCTTTTTCGCCGGAGCAACAGGCTCGCTCGGCACATCCTTTGCCGTTGTCCTTCATCAATGTAAGCGCGTGGGTCGGCACGGGCGTGTTGCCATGTGACAGATGTCGTGCGACGGTCTCTTGAACTGGGGCAACATTGTCTTGGCTCGCTTGACAAGAACTATTTAGGGTCAGCGGCTCTCTCGAGGACATCTAGATCCCGTCCTTCTCCCGCCCAAACCAACCACGCCCACACCAACCGCATCAGATTTCTCGGCACGCTCCTTCTCCAAACATGGTGCAAGATCCTCGCGAGACCCAGCTGGAGCTGGCGCCCAAGAACCGCGTCGCCATCTTCTACGAGAACGGTGGACCGGACAAGATCTCGATCAAGGACATCGACAATGTCAAGCAATCCGAGCTCAATCCCGGCGAGGTGCTTGTTCGGGTAAGTTCACACGGATCGATCGGCTAGTCATGCTGCCGGATTTGATCGAGCTTGCTTTTAGCAACCGAGCTCGAGTTGAGAGTTTGAGTTGTGGCATCGTAGACTAACCCTGAGCTAAATCCCTGTTGTCCTGCAGGTCCTCTTCACGGGTGTCTGCCACTCGGACCTGCACGCACTTCAGGGCGACTGGCCCTTCCCACCCAAACTGCCCCTCATCGGCGGACACGAAGGAGCCGGAATCGTCGTCGCTCTCGGACAGGGTGCTTCCGAGTACGTCCAGGTCGGCGATCGCGTCGGCATCAAATGGATCGCCGACGCCTGCCTCAATTGCGAATACTGTCGATTGTCGCACGAGATCAACTGCCCGCAGTACAAGCCCAGCGGATGTAAGTCGATAACCATAGGCCCGCCAGTCAGACCAGTTGCAAGATATACTGACACCGTGGCTCGTGATCCTATCAAACACATACAGATGCGGTCGATGGAACCTTCCAACAATACGTCCGACACACCGCCCGTTACCTGACCAAGATCCCCGATGGATTGGAGCTCTCCCAAGCTGCTTCGATCCTCTGTGCTGGAGTGACGATCTATCGCGCGCTCAAAGAGGCATCCTTGCAACCCGGTAACTGGGTGGTCATTCCCGGATCCGGTGGTGGACTGGGTCACCTCGGCGTCCAGTACGCTCGCAACGCCGGTCTACGCGTAATTGGAATCGACACAGGCTCCGAAAAGCAAACCATGTCGCAGCAACTAGGCTGCGAAGTATTCATCGATTTCAAGACCACCTCGGACGTCGCCACCGCCATCAAAGACGCTACGGGAGGCATCGGCGCCCACGCCGCCGTCGTAGCAGCCGCCAGCCCCGCAGCCTACGAACTCGCCCTCGACTACATCAGACCCAGAGGCACACTAGTCATCGTTGGAATGCCCAACTCCATCCTACCTGTGTCCATCTTCAAGACAGTACTCATGACGCACAAGATCGTAGGCTCCGCCGTCGGCAACAGACAGGATGCGGTGGAAGCACTCGAAATCGCAGCACGAGGTATGGTCAAGGTCCACTTCACTCTCAAGGGTTTGAGCGACCTTCCCAGCGTGTTTGAGGATATGATCCAGGGCAGGATCGCTGGGAGGATCGTGTTGGATGTTGATAAGTGATGCACCAGATCTTTTGGTGTGACTTTTTGTCTTTTTGCAATCGCGGTACGAGCTTTCCGGCGTTTTGACTTGTGTGTGTGACGATGACCGACGTATATGCGCGGATTCGGTCCAGAATAGCAACCCGGATCACAAAATCGACTCTCCGAGCCCCGAATTCGATCGAGATTCCGTTATCACATGATCGGCGAGAGGTCAACTCCATCTCTAAATGTACAGCGGTCTAGCGCCCGAACGAAGCTGATCGCGGAGACACTTAACGGAAAGATCGATTTGAGGTCACGCTACAGATCAGAAAGGGATCATCTTCTTTGTTAAACAGTACATTTCAGGTGACAAAATTGGCCGACGCGGATGGCGAAAAAGAGAGAGCAAAAACAGAAAATACATACAAGCTTGTGTCGACGATGGCGACGAGACGGCCCTCTATTCGGCGCGCCTCAGATGAGCCCTCTCGAGCACCTCTCGGAAATCCTTTGGACCGGTGTACGTCTTCCTAGCGAAGACGAACCAGTTGATGGTGGCCAACAAGGTTGTGGTGCCGACTACAACGACAGAGTAGTTCATGAGCGAGCCCGAAGTGACGGGAATGTACGAGGGCATCAAAAACAGCACCGTGGTGACAGCAATGTAGCACAGCGCAGCTGTATTGACCAGCGGACCGAAGACGGGGCCCAAGGTGTACTTGATGTCGGTGGGGATGGTAATCTCGTCGTCGTCGTCGTCGTTTTCCGAGGGACTGAAGATGCGCCTCCTACCTCGGAAGAGCATGCCGGCGATGGGTACGATGTAGGAAAGCTGCAGGAGCACCACCGAGGCGCTGACGATGGCCTGTACCGCAATCACGGAGCCAAAGAGGATGAGGCCAAAGACGGTGTACCAAAAGCAGCAGAAGAGCACTGCGTAGACAGGCACCTCGAGCTTTGGCGAAACGTAGGCCAGCTTGTTCTTGAAGGGCAGACAGCCGTCGTTGGCGTAGGCTTGGACCATGCGGCTGGCAGTGATCATGAGCGCCGGACCGGCAAAGGCGATGGTGCCAAAGAAGATGAGATTCAAGACAAGCGTGGCAGCCTTGTTCCTGGTAGCTTGGAGGATAGCTTCGACGATTCCTGCGGCGCCGGCTTGGATGACGCTCTCCATGTCGTTGATTCCAGCGAGGACAGCGATGAGGACCAAAAAAGCGGAGAAGCCTCCGATGAGACAGGACAAGATCATGGCTTTGGGAGCATTGATGTGAGGACGGTCGATCTCATCGATGACGTGAGAAGCACCATCGCATCCTACCAAGCAGTACTGCGCCGAGATAAGTCCTATCCCCCACGCAATTGCGTCGGGCCAGCCGGTCAGGTTGACGAAGTCGGTGAAGATGAAGCTGGCGGAGGACATGTGACCCTGTGACGATGGAACGGCGAGACAGACGACAAAGACGACGATAGCGCCAGTGATAGACCAGAGGAGAGCGGCTTGGTTCATCTTGTTGAGGATGACGGCGCCCCAGATGTTGACGATGCCGCAGTAGATGGTGATGGCCATGTAGATGCAAAAGATCTTCCAAGGGCTTGGGATAAAGTCAGGTCTGTACATGGTGACCATTCCGACGATGGAAGAACCTGCGTAGAGAGGTGCGCTTGAGGCGAGTGCGATCCAGCCGGTGGTGCCGAGCCAGCCGGCAAAGTAGGCGACAGGAGCACGACAAGACTTGGGGGCCATGGCGTAGGCCCAATGGTACTGACCGCCGATGGAGGGAAAGACATGGCAAAGTTCTGCGAGCGAAAGGGCGATGGTGGTAGCGCAAAGGGTGCCGACGAGGAGGCCCCAGACGACACCTACGGGGCCCCCTGCACCGAGAGCAAGGTTGATGGAGGCGCAAGCGGCGGTCCAAGAGTTGAGAATAGCAAAGGAAAGACCAATGAGGGCAAGCGTGCTGAAATGCTTACGTGGCACGACTTGCTCCGCCTGTTGACCATGTTCAAGCGTGTGGGAAGTAGGATAGTCTAGGCCGCCGGACGCGGATTCGGACTTGGGCATGTAGTCGTATACCTCTGCTTGCTTTTGTCCCATACTTGGAGCAGGGAATGTGGCTGCGGGGAAGGAAGCAAGAAGGTGGGATTAGATAAGTTGCGGCGAATGGTATAAACCAAGTTCGAGAAAGGGGTGCGGTGCTTTGCGCAGGAACAATGGTCGAAAATGACGGTGACAGGATCGACGTTGATTTGAGACAGGACAGCGGGTGGGCCGGAAAGCGATGCGATCAACAGCCAAGCTTTGGCCCAGCTTGGAAAGCGATTAGGTTAGGGTTTGGAGTGGGGATGATATGAAGCTGGACATGACGAAACCGAGAGGAGGCCGAGCTATATGTGATTTGAGCGTGCCATGCAAGGTGAGCGGACTCAGCAGGATTGGTGTGTCGAGGCTGCGGAACCAATGAGAAGCAGCGACGTGAAGCGCAACATGATGGATGTGGGGAAGCAGATTCAACAGCAGCAGCTCCCGCAGCGGCGAGACCAGAGAGCACAGGGTGATGCTGTGTGATTGATTAGAGTCGAGTATGCCATGTGGGCACAAGTTATCGTGCAGCGGCAGCCGCGCAAAGTGATAGCTTAACGAGCATTTCAATTTGAGCCAAGCGCGGATCGAGCCGAGCCTCTGCTTGACGAGCCAAAATCGCGCTCGTGCCAAGCTGTATGGCTGAACAGACTATACACAGCAGAAAGCTTTAAAGTCGCACTCGGCAGCGGGGAGAGCGACGAGTGCAGAGAAGACGCAGTGAGCAGGGTGCGCTTGCATCAATCACTCGCTCTCTGAATCTTATCTTGAATCCAGAGTATTGTATCGCAACGGGGTTGCATTTCCGAGCGATTTCAGCTCCGGACTGACTCTGGAGCTCAAGAGTGGCAGTAGGCCTGAGCAGACCAGATTCGAGCAGCACAACTCTAGCCGCGCTTGGCGCCGCGCCCAACTCGCATCCAGTGTTTTCGGGCAGGCTGAAAACAAGTACTCGGCCGCCATTCGGCCGCTATCCGCGCTACCCCAGGCCTGCTGCCGACTGGACATGCCGATAAGAGAGCACCACGCCTCTTTGACAGAGAGACTGCTCGCTACCAGCACAGTAGAGTCGTACCTGCAAATTGAACGTGTCGGCAAAGCTGCTCCGTTGATACGGTCGGCTGATATTCAACTACCACTGCCGTCTTTGCTCGTTTCGACATCACGGATATCTCGGCAGATGGCTCCTTGTCGCCGCTTGAGCTCTCTCTACTTTCGGTCACGGGGGAAAACACGGATGAGATTAGCTGGCAGTGCGATAAAGTTACTAATACAGAACAGCATGTCGGAGCTGTAGATGCGAGTGTGCCAATGATATGCAGGGTTGCGAACGACAAGAGAGAACGATCAGAATGCAGTGTTGAAAGCCATGACTGATGCAAGTGAGATGGAATGAGAGAAAGAGAAAGAGAGAGAGACGCAAGCAGGGCATGCGAGACGCTGCATATCCTCGCGACCGTCGACCACAATGACAAGCATCGGGCTGACGAGCACGTCGATATCAGCTGGAAAAAAGGGAACAAAAGGAAATCCGGGAAAGGCCAAATGAGAAAAGTAAAGGCATGAAACGGCCTAGCTCGGACGGCCGCACCAATCAAAAGCATCCAGTCCTAGGAGTCCTTGGGGGGACTGTGATGCTTTTAACTCATGCGGCCTGAGTGTAAAAGGGTTGGGCGGTGATGAAGATCAAAGGTTAGAAAAGGGGATGGCAGCGAAGAAGAAAAGGGGAAAAAAGACGAGGAAGGTGCCAAGGGTATGTGGATAGAGGGCGAACCGGGATGAAAAGAGCATCGCATGGGTATTGCAAGAACAGAGGTCCGACCCCCCCTGTTACTCCATCTCCCATCCCGGTTCAGGTATAAGACGTTCGCCTAGAGTGTGTTGTTTGATGTTGTTTAGGGATCGTGGATAGCGTTGAGCGTGGGCACTCGCAGTAAGTTTGCCTTGCCGTGCCTAGCAGCGTGGGTCATTGGAATCACAAAGGGAGGATAAGGAAAGAGAGGGGGCTGCTAGGCACAGCAGCGACGACGGCCAGCCATCGAGGAGTGGACATGTTTACGGAACGGAAACGGGAACGGAAATTTCGGACTGGTTGGATCACGAGCAGGATTCGACTCGGCGATGCCCTCGAGCATGGCTCTACTGGAAGTTGTCAAAGTCAATCTCGGCCTGACGACGTTCAGGCTTGGCATCCGAAACCAACCACGGCTTGGTGATGTAGTTCCGGATGCTGTCAGGCAGCACGACGACGGCGTTGAGACCAGCCTTGGAGCCGAACTTGTCCCAGCCAGCACCGCCGGGCTTGAGCCAATTGATGGCTGCATTCACGGCAGCACCCGAAGAGCCACCAGCGAGGATACCTTCGTCCTTGATAAGATGACGCGCATAGACGAAGCTCTGTTCGTCCTCGGTCTTGAACCACTCGTCAATGACCTTCTTGTTGAGCGTGTTGGGGTCGAAATCGTAGCCGATCCCCTCGACCTTGTACGAGCCATCGCTGCCCTCGGGAAGAGCGTTGAGCGTAGCTGGCAGTGCAAGGTCGGATCCGATGGGGTCGACACCAAGCACAAAGCAGTCCGGATTGTGATCGGCGCGCTTGAGGCGCGAAGCGATGCCGCTGATGGTACCGCCCGTGCCGACGCCGGCGACGAAGACGTCAACCTTGTCAGAAAAGGTCTGGACGGAGCCGTTGGGCTCGTCAGCGCCGCGGTTGGAGTCGGGAGTGAGGGGACGGGCGTTGGCTGAGGCGTCGAAGGGCTCCTCCTTGGTATTGTTGAGCGAGAGAGCGCCCATACCGTGGAGGAGGGAGGTGGAGGAAGGTGGGGCCGGACCGGCCTTGATGGCCTCGATGATCTCCTCAGCAGTGGCCCAATGGGCGGTGGGGTTGTTGAGGTTGTTGTACTGATCAAGGATAACGGCGTCAGGCATGGACTTGGCGAGACGACGGGCGACCATGATGTTGGAACGAGGATCGTCGTGAGCGGCCTCGGTGGGCGTGCGGATGACTTCGGCACCCAGCGCACGAAGCGTGTTGACCTTTTCGGCCGACATCTTCTCGGGAAGGACGATGATACAGCGGTAGCCTCGGATGGCGCAGGCAAGGGCAAGACCGATGCCCGTGTTGCCGCTGGTGGGCTCGATGACGACCGACTTGCCAGGGATGAGGGTGCCATCCTGTTCGGCCTGGAGGAGCATGCGACGGGCAATGCGGTCCTTGACGCTGCCGCCAGCGTTGAAGTACTCGCACTTGACGAGGACGTTGCACTTGATGCCCTCTGCGTGTGGGATCCGGTTCAGTTGAATGAGCGGCGTCTCACCCACAGCGGAGAGGGCGTCTGGCAGTATAGCTTGAGGCCTCATGGTGATGAAGAGATGATCAATAAGTCGAATAGTGTGCTAGGGTACTAGGTGAGAAAGAGAGTTGGAAGGAGAGGGAGAGACGGTGAGGAGGGGGAGAAGTTGGGCCTGACCTTCGATCTGTTGGAGAAACGAAAGAATCAGGTGAAGTGCCGGTTCGCGCCTAAAGAAGGAGCCAACGCCAAAGCAAGCAAAGGTCGATTTCGAGGATTGAAATGATGGTGGTGGTGGAAGGGAGAGAACGAGGAAAGCCAACGTGCCAAGACCATCGGGTGACAGTCAAATGACCTCGTTGCGCCAAATTATCTGTCTTGCCGCTGCGCTGCTGTGGTGTCAGGACCCGAAAAAAACCAATAATTCGGGTCAGAGCTGCAAAACTAAGCCATCCCGTCACGCACATCACGAATGGTGTGCCACGGCCCTTCTTTTTGCGCTAGTTGACTCAAATTATTGAGTCGGCACGCGCAGGCAACAAAACACAGCCAACCACAATTTTTTTCCACCTTGAGCTGGCAATATTCATTTGTTTTTGGCACCAAATTTGCTCTCACTTCGAGCCTCGGATCGTCGGACACGACGGCTTAGAAGGCCACGAAACGGTTTGCGCAAGGCGGGTCGAATTGTGTAGCTTCCAGCTCGCTTTTGCCTGTCCTACAACCATCGGCCCCGAGGACTCACGACATGTTGATCGCTTCGCTTTCTCCAATTGCTGCTTAGAGATGCAGGAGCTACGAATGTTTTAACAGCACGGAAACGGTCACTTTGAGAGAACCAACTTAGAATTCAAGACACATCAAGAGGACAACGATGCGGTCGAGAGTCGAGCTCAGCTGCGGACTGCTGTGAGACGAAGAAAGCACGAGCAAAACGTGGGTACATCTGGTGGCATCGGGCTTGAGAGAATCGCCGATTGGCGTCGAGTCGCTGCACGACGACGTCAATATGGGATCGGCGATGTTTTCCGACGCGCCTCATTCCGACCAGAGATGCGCGCATTGGAACGGCTCGCTTGGCTCCAGAGCCAGATTTTCTCTCGCCGCTTTCTTCTCTGAATCCCTGAACGAGCACCATGGACCCCCATTGGACCCTGTTGTGCCGCTTATCCCAGGCTAAGTTAATGCGGTCGCATAGACAATGAAGATCCTTAGTCGACTGACCGTGTAGCAAGAACAAAGCCAGAGCTGCTGGACTGCCAGATCAGCTGATGTGCTGAGCGGCTCAGAGGTGCCGTAGCCTGCCAGCCTGCGTTCTCGAGCGATCTGCTTCAGGCAGATTGCATGCATTGAGTTGATGCAAGCTGACGGAGGCCTGGATCGCGCCAACCTGACTTCTGCGACCCTCTGCGCCTCGAAATTCCACACAGAACCAGCCAGGCAGAAAAGACACAACACAACCGGAGCGCGCGCCACGAAACTGCGCTCTGCTGCCTTGTCGAAATTCGAATATCGCGCATGATTCCGACTGCATGTTTTCCAAGCTTGGGCATGAGCGTGTTGCATGGCACAGGAACATCAGACAGGAGCGGACCGCAACAGCAACCGCAACAACAGCAACAGCACCGGAGGCATTTGCCGTCGATCCTCGTGTGACTACAGCGTATCGAGACTATTGGCTCCCCGTCACTGCTTTCTCCTCTTCACCTTCCACTCGCCTCTATACGCACATCAACACGCCTCAGTCAGGGCTGGCAGACAGGGCACAAGAGACCGCATTGCGATCCAGTTCTCTTGCCACAATCGGGATCGCCAGGACTGACTTTGCCTGCTTCGGTCCTTCCGACGTGGACAGTGTTAGCAACCGACAAGAGAGCACCACACTCTTGGCCCTGCTCCGAGTCGCTCGCCATGCTCAGCCTCTGATGCCATCTTATCGGTCCCTATCCTAATCACTCCAACAACCTCCATCGCTTCGCCGCCGCCGTCGCCGCCGCCGCCGCTGTCGTGTGAGGAGGCGGCACCCCTACGCCCAACATGGCCGACGCCAACGAGAGACAGATCAACTCCAGCTTCCAAGGCTTGGTCTCCACCTGCGTCATCTTTGCCGTCGTCGGTGGCATATCAGCGACCACTTACGAGTCGCTCCGTCAGCTACGACGTCTTCCCAGAACACGATTCACCAAATTCTGGCGCAAAGATGCCCAGCGTCGACATCCTCCAGGCGGCGTGCAGGACACTCCTGCGCACATTCGAGATGGCGATACGTGCGAGGATTGGGAGATGGGTCACTTCTACCTCTCTCGAGTCTTTCACGCAACCACTCCATCCCCAATGCTACCACGGTGGCCCTTCGCCTGGGTAAAACGCGCCATCTACTTCACCGACGAGTGGTACGCCGACCACACCGGCATGGATACCGTCGTCTACGTCCGCTTCCTCCGCGCCTGTCTCTGGTGGGTTCTCCTCCAGGCCTTGACCACCGCGCCCATCCTCCTCTCGATCCACATTACTTTCAGTCGTGGTGTCAGCACCACCGACATGCAGCGCGCCTCCCTTTCCTACCTCGTCAGCACCCCTGCACCAGACTGCAAGGAAAATGATCGCGCAAAGTGCCCCACCGTGCCCAACGAGAAGGGCAGGTCGCTCCTCTGGATCCATCTTGTGCTCCTCTGGTACCTCAGCATCACTTGGGTCCTCGCTCTCTGGTGGATCGGCACAGGCTCGCTCCGAGTCCGCAAAGCGCAAATCGCAAAGACGCGAAACAAGGTCATTCAGGCCAAAGCGGATGCTCGCAGCGCTCCCGCCAACAACACCACAACCACCGCAAATGGTGTAGGTCCCTTGCATCGAGATGCTTCGGCCAACCTCACCACTGCTCATGGCCTGTCGATGGACAACAGCGACGGCTGGCGTCAGAGAACCCTCATGGTCATGAACCTCCCTGCTACCATGCGCGACGAAGCCAGCATCCGTCGCTACTTTGAAGAGTTCCTCCGCCCCGACGATGCTGACTCTCTCTCCGACGATGGCCACAGCGATGACGGAGCTCACCCTTTCTCCCGCAACCAGGATGCACAGAACGCCTCAGGCTCCGATTCCGACCATCGGTCGGCCTCAGCCGAGCACCGTGCAACACCTGCCGTCTTCTCGGCTCACAGCGATGGTCCCAACGGTCCAGAGCCCGACTTGCATCCTGACCGACATCTCAAGAGCCCTATCCAGACTGTCGTGCTTGTGCGCAAGATGAACGAGCTTGCTTCCATGCTCTCTCGTCGCCAAGAGGTGCTCACTCAACTCGAAGCAGCGCACGTTAAGCTCGCACAAGAAGTGCTCGTCACCGTCGGTCGCCGCACTTTGAAGATGCGCAAGGAGGAACGCCTCAAGGCCCAAGAGGGCTCGCATCCAAGCAAAGAGCACCGGTCGCAACCCCGTTCCTTCTTCAAACGAGTCTTTCGCTTGCGCAGACAGTCCAAGCAGGCTCAAGCCACCAACGACTCCAACTCGGGCAACACAACTCCCTCCGAAACCCTCGATCCAGACATCGAGAAACTCGGCCCGTCACAGCACACGGCAGGAAAGGCGCTCGAGGAAGAACTTGCGCGCAGACTCGCACGCTTCTCACCCACCAATCGCGGAACGCACACCAAGCAGACCCAGACGATTCAGCACAATGACAGCAGCAACGAGAACGAGATTGGTGAGACCGTCTGGGAGGCGCTCAACGAGCTTCCACGAGAGCTGCTCGATCCTTTCCAACCAGCAACTCGGCTCTCGGCACTCTTTCGCGGTCAGACCGTGCCAACCATCGACTACCTCCTTACCAAGCTCAACCTGCTCACCGCGCTCGTCACAGAGATGCGATCCAGACCGCCGACCAGCTACGAGCCCACCTCGACCGCCTTTGTCACCTTCCGTGACCCGCGTCAGGCGCGCATGGTTTGGCGCGAGCTCAAGGACCAGATCGTCGTCAAGGTCCGTCTGGCACCCGAGGTCAAGGATCTCGATTGGGACCGTCTCATGAAGACCTCCTTCACCGTCGACGTCGTTCGTGGCTTTGGCGTCAGCGTTGTCACCTGGGGCTTCACCATTTTTTGGGTCATCATCATCAACGCCATCGTTTTGGGTATCTTTAGCGTCGACAAGCTCAAGCAGATTCCAGGGCTCGGCAACTTCTTCGACAACAATCCCAAGCTCACCGGATTCGTCACCATCACCTTGCCACCTCTGCTCGTCTCGCTCGCGTCCATGTCGGTGCCCGAGCTCATCTTCCAGGTCAGCAAGCGCGCCCAGGGCTTTGTCACCTTCAGCGCACTCTACGACATGTGCCTTGCTCGCTACTGGAAGTTTGTCATCTGCAACGTCGTCATCTTTTTCAGCGTCGGCTCGGCCGTCATTGTCACTGTGCTCACCAAGGTCGGCAACACGGGCTCTATCCTCAGCACCGTCGCAAGTGCTTTTCCCTCTGCTGCTCCGTTCTTCGTCTCATACTTGATCCTTCAGCTCGGGTTGCAATCCGGCTTCGAGCACATGGGCTTCATGATTGCGTTGCTTCAACACATGGGTGCGAGGAAAGCGGCCACACCTCGCATTCGCGCCATCAAGACGCTGCCACGCAATTTCAACCGATACTATTGGCTGCCGCTGCACATCAACATCATGGCCATCGTGTTCATCTTTGCGCTGCTCAATCCGCTCGTCATCCCCTTTGCCCTGGTTTACCTCGCCCTCGCCCTCGTCATCTTCAAGAAGAACTTCGCCTACCACTACTACCGACGTTTCAACGAGATGGAAGGCGTCGTCTACTTTGTCAGGCTGTTACGCTACAGCCTCGACGCCATCGTAGTCATGCAGGCCGTTCTGCTCATCTTCTTCTCCGTGCTCAAGAAGCAGCCCGTCTACATTGGCATGTCGGCGGTGCTCATTCCTCTGACCGTCATCACCAAGATCATTGCCACACGACTATGGAGATCGCAGTGCAGAGCTCTGGACGACGAAGAGGCTGAAGCGCTGTGCGGCATCGACTCGCGCCCACTCTGGCAAAAGATGCAGAGGGATGACTTGGGCCCAAGTACGGCCGAAGAAGGCAGCGACAGCCGTGCCCCGCTCGATGCGCTCGCCTCTGGACGTTACCCCTCTGTAGTACCTCCGCCACCGACCGAGTCTGCCTTCCAGCGTGTCTGGCAACGCCTTCACGACTCGTTCAACGCCAACGGTCTCGACGGACAGAGCTATCTCGCGACAGCTCACGCAAAAGGCAAAGCACCTGCAGGTCCAGTCGGTGCCGGCGCTCGAGGCATTGCAAGGACACCCCGCTACATTGTCAAGGAGACCGCCAAACACGCCTTTCACTTTCGCCATGCAGCCAAGAACTCGCTCGGGATGAACGTCCTCGTCGAGTCGCCCCGCGCGAGCCGCGATCGCCCTTCGACCGAACGCAGGCGACCCGTCTCGGGTCTGCCACCGACGAGCCAGCTTCACCTTCACTCTTTCCGAAATTCGCAGGACGAGCCCGCCGACGTCGCCGCCGGCGCCGAGCACACGGATGGCGAAGTGCCAAACGATCCCGCCGCCGCGCTCCGGAGCGGCAAGTCGACGATACGAAAGGCGAAAGGCGACCACGTCGTTCACCGCCGTCGGGGCAGTTCGAGAAGTGAGGACCGTCCCTTCCTCTCGGCGTTCGATGCCGTATCTGCACATGCTCCTCTGCCGAGCGAGCACGATTATGACCTGAGCTTTGAGGACGGTGACGCGCCCTTCTTGGAGCACGACGATCAAGGTCATCTGCTTCGTCAGTCCAGTCGCCAATCGAGACGAGCGGCCAGCCGCAATTACGGCACCCTCCGACGGAAGACGAGCCAGCTGGCCACCGTTGCCGACGAGGAGCTTCCGCAGAGTGCAGACAGCTACGCATCAGGCGGACATGCCGAAGATGCCACTAGCAGCGACCCTCTTTACCAACGTGCATCACGTCCGACGGAGCAGGCCACTGTCAACGTGAACCAGACCTGGGGCAGGTCGATCCAGCACTCTTCCTACGAAGACTACGACGATTCGCTCAAGGGTCGTGAGCTGGTGCGGCCGCATCCACCAGTTCGGTGGGACGATACACCCAACAACACGGCACGCTACAACAACCCCTTCTACATTCAGGAGATGGACGAGTTTCTCTGGCTGCCACGCAACCCCTTGGCGCCGGTGGACCTCTTTGATACGATCGAGTGGTATGGGCCGGCGCTCGTCAGCTCTCAAGGTGGTGGAGGCATCGTTGGCGAGTGGGACGACGAGCAGGACGACGGCGAGTTTGACACCGAAGACGAGGAGAAGCACGCTCTGCACCATGATGAGATTCCTTTTGGCGGCGAGGCGGCTACGCTTGCCCGATCAAAGACTCTGATGCTTGAGGGCGACGAAGAGATCCTGCTTCCCGATCGACTTGCTCGTCACCTCGAGGAAACGCAAGATGCGGAGCAAACTGTGGACCCTGCCGCCAGCATCCCCAAGAACATGATGGAGGACTACAAGCGTGCTCTGGGTCGCACGAATCGAGCAGGATCCAGAGCGAGCGATTCGCAAGCATCACCGACGCGATCGAGTCTCTTCCGACGCGGCAGCAACGTCTCGTCGCCTTCTGCTCAGAACTTTGCAGGAGGAGCTTCGTTGCTGCAGATTCCTTCGCATGGATCGTTCCGCAGTTCGGATGGGATCCAGCCGCCGGCAAGTCCGACGCAGATGCGCATGTCTCCTCGACCAGGTACGGGCGACTCGGTGCCTCTGCCCAGCGTCGCCGAGGGTAACGTGGTGGTTCCACACCGTAGCTCGAGCCGTCGCAAGCGCAACAAGGGTCCAGCAGACGAGGGTGATGAAGAGGTCCTCGAAGGTGCGGATGCCGATCGGACGACGGATCTGACGCCCACCAAGCGACGCGAAATTAACGCGATGTCCGCGAACCGCAACGTCTCGCGCCGAACGTACCGACGAGATGCGTCGGGCGCCATGAGTCGAGCCAGCGGCTTCTCGGGAGGCACGACGCAAAGGACGGTGACGCTTCAGGCAGCGTTGCGTGCAGAAGCGCTGGAGGAAGAGAGGCGACTTACGCTCAAGCAGAGGCTGGCGGCTGCCAAGGGACGCAAGAAGCGCGAAGCGTCGCGCGACGTTTCCGGTGGACATCTCGACGGGCTGGGAGAGACCGACGCCGACGGCATCGACGACGGCGAGGATGAAGAGGGAGGCGGAACGACGACGCGACGAGGAGCAAGCAAGAGCAGCATCATGGCGCGCTACGAGGCGCAGCACCGACGACGCGAAGCCCATGCGAGCGAGTTTGGCGAGATGTCGACGCCTCGCAAGGATGGCGAGATGCGCCGCGACATTTCGCAGGGGTCGCAGCTGGCGGATATGTCGCAGGGTCAGCTGGACAGGAGCGCGAGCGGTGCAAGTGCGTTTGGACGAGGACGCTTCCGATCCGCTGCGCTGGGCGTGTTGAGTCTATCGCGATCGCCTAGGGTGGGTGGTCAGGATGGAACGCCGGTCATCATCTCTTCGATGCCGATGCAAGAGCTTCGTGGTGCTCATCGGCCGACCACGGGTGGTGCCAGCATTCACGGTAGCCCGAGCAAGCCGATCGCCACCACCAACGCGACAGAAGCTCAAGAGAGACAGCAGCCAGTGCAGGGTTCCCAGGCGGTGCAGACATGTGCGACAGAGCTCGCTCTGCCCGCCGAAGCAAGCCGCAGTTCTGCGCTGGACAAGAGCGTAGAGGTACCGCTGGATCCGGCGGATGGAGGACCAAGCAAATGATGGACCGATAGAATGATTTTGACAGCTGAAGCATGATACCCAAAATGCCCGCACACGGCTTCATCGTACGAACAAAGAATGCAATGCAATATGAACATGAATGGCTCGGAAATCGGTGCTGGAGTGTGCTGCGGAACAAACATCTGAACGGGGATTGGAGCATGTGGCGAGCTCGGAGACATTTTGGAGTGTGGCGGACAAGTCCACGGAGGAGAGGCGAGTGTTGCTCGGGATCGGATTCCGGAGTGACGTGGCTTATGATCAGGAGGAGATAGATGCAGGGGAGCGGAAAAATTGACCGACCAAAAGGTTCTGAGAAGACTTGTTCTTGGCGTTGGGTCGCATGGATTCAGTAGGTGAGAATCTCCGCGGAAGAAGAACGATACGCGCGCCTCCGTTGTGCCGATGCAGGGATTCTCAACGCGAGTTTCTTGTACTTCAAAGGAAGAGCATGAGCAGGGATAGTCAAGGGTCGTTGCACGCGACGGCGATGTGATCTTTTGGAAAAATGACTCCCATTGGTCAGTCAACGACTGTAGCACATTTTCCGTCGGATTTCCTTTCACACTGCCGAGCAACTGTACATCTGCTGGCTCGGCAAGGGGGAGGCTAAGCTACTAGGGCACTGCATGCAGTAAGTGCAAGAGGGTGGTAACCTCGGCCCTGAGCTTTCTATCCCGTCGCAGCCTTCGTTCATTGGCAGCATTGTTGCTTGTACGGTTGATGAGCAAAGGGAAGGTAGATTTTCAAGGTACAGTTAGCTAGTGGTGCCTTGACGACGTGGCAGCACAGACAGAAGATTGGATATGGGTGACTGCACCGTTCGCACTCCACGGTGTTGAATCTCGGCGCCGGAGCGAGATGTCGGGATTCGATCTAGTCGACAGGACAATAGCCGTCAAGTGCTTACGCCGAGCGCTCCGTGACCGAACCGTTTTCATTTCAAAGCGGAATCCACGGAAATGAACGGCGCCGTGTTTGGAGGCATGTCGCGGTGACGCTTGCTCCGCGGAGAAAACTTGGGCGCGGGCCGAAAGCGGTTTGAGACGCATGAGCCGAAAAAGGAAGAAGCAAGATGCAGCGCGACCGACGACCGTACACTGCATTGCGTGCGTGTTGATCACCAACGTTTGAAATTCGAACTATTTAATCATCCCACCGCGCCTGTCTCGTGGATTTCCTTGGGAAGCGGGTGAGGCACAATAGCCGTGTTTTGCGTGTGTGACGAGAGGAAAATGATTCGATTATGGAGGATCCGAGAGCCCAAAGAAACGAGGCAAAAACAGTTTTGCCGATGCAGCGCATCCATTCAATTTCGCGTGTGTGTTGTGAAGAATTGACTGCCATTGGCGACGATCGATTTGCTCTTCACACCGGCTTCAGGGGTGCGCCATCTCCGAGGAGGAGCTCTCTGTAGCTACTCCTGCTCGGAACACCAAGCCGAACTGCTCAGTTGTACAACACTCGGCACCGTGGACATGCCTTTTTTGATTCAGGCCCGACCGATACAGTCACAGAGCCATGTTGATGGCGTAACCCGTAAGCGCGTTTCGTTTCAAACTCCGCACCCTTGACATTGCGCACAATACTGTACGGCGCAGGAGCGTACAACAGAGTGTTGCTTAGGTTGAGCGACTCTTCTCCGTTCTTCCTCCCAGGAGTATATAGTTCCGACCCCCTTCCCTCTTCTTGCCGATCGAAGCTTGTGTTCGCTACCTACCACCATCCTCGAACTGCCCCTTCCTCGCTGCCCTTTCGACTGCCCACCATGGCTGCAATGGGTCCGACCGGGCTCGGCAATGCCAACGGCACCGACAGCTACATTGCCTCTCACCAACCTACCAATCGCGATGAAACCGCCCCTCACACCACCGCCAACTCGGAAACCCCATCCGCCGAAGACTCGTCCGACCGCCATGTCGACGTCGCTTCCGCAGAAAGACAGTTTAACGAGCTCGCTCGTCAGCTCTCTTCCAACCAAGGAAAGGATTCCGATCTAGAGAAGCACCAGCCCTTCGATCTCAAGGAGTGGCTCTCGGGTACCATGGACCAGGCTGACCAGATGGGCAACAAACGAAAGAAGCTCGGCGTATCCTGGTCCGACCTCCAAGTCATCGGTACCGCGTCTCGTGATCTCAACGTACCAACCATCCCATCCATGGCCTTGTTCGAAGTCATCGGTCCCATCTTTAGCATCCTCAAGATCTTCGGCATCGATCCCGCCAAGAGCAAAACCCGAGATCTCTTGCAAAACTTCAACGGCTGCGCAAAACCTGGCGAAATGGTCCTCGTCATCGGTAGACCCAACTCTGGCTGCTCCACTTTCCTCAAGACCATCGCCAACAAACGCAACGGCTTCATCGACACCAAAGGTGATGTCCACTACGGTGGCATCCCCGCCAAGGAAATGGGCAAAAGGTATCTCGGCGAAGTCGTCTACTCGGAGGAAGATGATCAACACCACGCAACCTTGACCGTTGCCAGGACCATCGACTTTGCTCTGCGTCTCAAGGCGCACGCCAAGATGCTCCCCGATCACACAAAGCAGTCCTACCGCAAGATGATCAGAGACACCTTCCTCAAGATGGTGAACATCGAACACACAAAGCACACCCTCGTCGGAAGCGCCACCGTACGAGGTGTATCTGGTGGTGAGCGTAAGCGTGTCTCCATCCTCGAAGGCTTGGCTTCCGGTGCCAGTGTCTTTTCTTGGGACAACTCCACTCGTGGTTTGGACGCAAGTACCGCTCTCGACTACGTCAAGAGCATGCGTGTCTTGACCGATCTCTTGGAAGCCACCATGTTTGTCTCGCTCTACCAGGCCTCCGAAGGTATCTGGGAGCAGTTCGACAAGGTCTTGGTCATCGAGGAAGGTAGGTGTGTATACTTTGGTCCTAGGACTGAAGCAAGGCAGTACTTTATCAACCTCGGTTTCGCAGACCGTCCTCGTCAGACCTCGGCCGATTACATCACCGGTTGCACCGACAAGTACGAACGCATCTTCCAGGAGGGTCGCGACGAGAACAGCGTACCCAGCACCCCGGAGGCTCTTGAGGAAGCCTACCGCAAGTCTCGATTCTACACCGCCGCCATCGAAGAGCGCGAGGCTTTCGACAAGACCGCCACCTCGGACGCCCAGGCAACCCAGGACTTCAAGCAGGCCGTCGTCGAATCCAAGCATCGAGGCGTACGAACCAAGTCGCAGTACACGGTCTCGTACGCATCCCAGGTCAAGGCGCTCTGGTTGCGCCAGATGCAGATGATCCTCGGTGACAAGTTCGACATTTTCATGTCCTACGTCACCGCCATCGTCATCGCCGTCTTGACCGGAGGTATCTTCTTCAACCTGCCTACCACCTCGGCGGGTGTCTTCACCAGAGGTGGTTGTCTCTTCATCCTCCTGCTCTTCAACTCGCTCACCGCTTTCGCAGAGCTGCCTACGCAGATGATGGGAAGGCCCATCTTGGCTAGGCAGACCAGCTTTGCTTTCTACCGTCCCTCGGCGTTGACGTTGGCGCAGCTGTTGGCCGATCTGCCCTTCGGTGTCCCGCGTGCAACGCTGTTCGTCATCATCCTCTACTTTATGGCTGGACTGGAACGAAGCGCAGGCGCCTTCTTCATCGCCTGGATCATCGTGCTGATCGCCTACTACGCCTTCCGTGCGCTGTTCGGCTTCTTTGGTGCCATCACCACCAACTTTTACTCGGCTGCCAGATTGGCTGCCATCGTCATGTCGATGCTGGTCCTCTGGGCAGGATACGTTATCCCTCAGGCTGCCATGCGAAGGTGGCTCTTCTGGATCTCGTACATCAACCCCGTGTTTTACGCTTTCGAGGCTCTGATGATTAACGAATTCAAGAGGATCACGTTTACATGCGAAGGTGCCCAGATCATCCCTTCGGGACCTACCTACCCGACGCAGTTGACCGACAACCAGATCTGCACGCTGGCAGGCGCCACGCCCGGAACCAACCAGATCCCCGGTATCGACTACCTGACCGCTAGCTTTGGATACCAGGCGAGCCACCTCGGGCGCAACATCGGCATCCTGATCGCCTTCCTGGTCGGATTTGTCGTTATCACCGCGATCGTTGTCGAATCGATGGACCAGGGAGCCTTTGCTTCCGCCATGGTTGTCAAGAAACCGCCCAACGCCGAGGAGAAGAAGCTCAACCAGATGCTGCAGGATCGCAAGTCCGGCGCCACTGAAAAGACCGAAGCCAAACTGGAGGTGTACGGTCAGGCTTTCACGTGGTCCAACCTGGAGTACACTGTACCCGTTCAAGGTGGACACCGCAAGCTGCTCGACAAGGTGTACGGATACGTCAAGCCCGGACAGATGACGGCGCTGATGGGATCGAGTGGTGCGGGCAAAACGACGCTGCTGGATGTGCTGGCTGACCGAAAGACGATCGGTGTGATTGCCGGTGACAGGTTGATCGAAGGCAAGCCCATCGATGTTTCGTTCCAGAGGCAGTGCGGTTATGCGGAGCAGCAGGACATCCACGAGCCTATGTGCAGCGTTCGCGAAGCTCTGCGCTTCTCTGCCTACCTCCGACAGAGCCACGACATCCCGCAATCCGAAAAGGACCAGTACGTCGAGGACATTATCGAGCTGCTGGAGCTGTCCGACATTGCCGACGCCATCATCGGCTACCCTGGATTTGGTTTGGGCGTCGGCGACCGCAAGAGGGTCACGATCGGTGTCGAACTCGCGGCCAAACCATCGATGCTGTTGTTCTTGGACGAACCCACCTCGGGACTGGACGGTCAATCGGCGTTTACCATCTGCCGACTGCTTCGCAAGCTCGCCGACAACGGTCAGACGATCCTTTGCACCATCCACCAGCCCTCGGCTCTGCTGTTCGAGACGTTTGATCGATTGCTGCTGCTGGAGCGCGGTGGAAAGACAGTCTACTCGGGACCGATTGGTAAGGATGGAAAGCACGTTATCGACTACTTCGCTGCTCGCGGAGCACAGTGCCCGCCAGGAGTGAACCCGGCCGAGTTCATGCTGGATGCAATTGGAGCGGGTAGTCAGCCTCGTGTGGGCGACCGTGACTGGGCCGATTGGTACTTGGAATCCGACGATCACCAGGACAACCTGCGCATGATCGAGCAGATCAACAGCGAAGGAGCCGCCAAACCCAAGGCGGAGCAACGTCAGACGGAATACGCCGCACCCTGGACCTACCAGTTCAAGGTGGTGCTCAAGAGGACCATGCTGAGCACGTGGAGGCAGCCGGCTTACCAGTACACTCGATTCTTCCAACACCTTGCTTTCGCTCTGTTGACCGGATTGCTGTTCTTGCAGCTGGGCAACAACGTGGCTTCGTTGCAGTACCGACTGTTCGTGATCTTCATGCTGGCCATTATCCCTGCGATCATCATGGCGCAGATCATGCCGTTCTGGATCATGTCGAGGTCGATCTGGATCCGCGAAGAGACGTCCAAGACGTTTGCAGGAACCGTGTTCGCCGCCACGCAACTCATCTCGGAGGTGCCATACGCGTTGGTGTGCGGAACGGTGTTCTTCGTGCTGATCTACTACCTCGCTGGTTTCAACTCTGACTCGAGCCGAGCCGGGTACTTCTGGATCATGACGTTCCTGCTCGAGATGTTTGCGATCTCGATCGGAACGATGGTGGCCTCCTTCTCCAAGTCGGCCTACTTTGCGTCGTTGTTCGTGCCGTTCCTCACGATCGTGCTCAACCTGACGTGCGGTATCCTGTCGCCGCCGCAGAGCATGTCGAGTTCGCTGTACAGCAAGTTCCTGTACAACGTCAACCCGATCCGCTTTACGATTTCGCCGCTGATCGCCAACGAGCTGTCGGGCTTGACGATCGAGTGCGCGAACAACGAGTTCTCCAGGTTCTCGCCACCCGCGGGTCAGACGTGCGAAGCCTGGGCCGGTCCGTACATCGCCCAGGCGGGCGGATACCTGGCCAACCCGCAGGCGATGGCGGATTGCATGTACTGCACCTACCGAAGCGGCGAGGAGTTCTACAGGGCATTCGGCATCACCTTCGGCGAGAGAGGTAGGGATGCAGGTATCCTGGTTGCCTTTGTGGTTTTCAACTGCATGGCTACGATCCTGTTCACCAAGATCTTCCACTTCAGCAACCGTTAAAGTGCAAGTCAGTCTTTGTTTAATATAGATTCCACTACTGCTCTTTTCTAGAATTGCAGATGCGAGTTTACGCTCAAGCAAGTTGTGTGATATGGTGTTGTTGTGTTCAAAGCGATGCTGAGTTTTCGGGTGAGGAGCGTGGGAAATCCGCGTGTGACTCGGAAAGAGTTCCGAGATGGTGTGAGTCTGTTTCTGAGAAATCACATTTGGCGCACGGCCACGCATGCAGCTCAGTTTTGCATGCAGTCCACTCTCGCCCTCGCTCGCTTTGTCTATCTTGCCGTCTCACCTCGACCTCACTGTCGTGTCAAAATGTCTTACACACCATCAGCGCTCAGCGCAACGCAAACAGCCACCGAAGCAGCGACCAAATTCTCCACCGGTCTGTCGCACAAACTCTCTGGCAACACCGCCTTCTCTTCGGGCGACATCACCGGTGCGCTGTCACACTACCATCATGCCATCCTCTACTTTTCCGGGCTCGAGCATCGATCTGTGCTCGGACTTGTCGGTGAGAATTCCGGCCAACACGGGAAACCAGAAGATCTTTCTTCCGACGAGGAAGACGCTGACCAAAAACCAGATGTATTCGCGAAAAGTCAAAAGGAATTGTCGTTGGTATACAGCAACATGGCAGCATGCTACCTGAAGCAGCAAAAGTGGGATAGGGCGGTGGAGAGCGCGGAAAAGGCGTTGAAGAGCGACTCAGGAAATGTAAAGGCGAGGTTTAGGAAGGGTAAGGCGTTGAGGGGCAGGGGCGATGTGTATGCTGCGCAGAGGTGGGGGAAAGAATGTGTGGACAAGCTGAAGGGCAAGGAGGGCGTGGTAGAGTTTGAGAGGGAGTTGAGGGAGGTGGAAGCGGTGATCGAGGAGAAGGAGAAAGCGGACAGGGGGAAGTGGAAGGGGTTCTTGGATAAGAATCCCAAGGTATTGGAGGTGGAAAGCGGGCAGGAGGCGGGTGCGAGGGTTGACAAGGGAAAGCAGAAAGCGGTGGACCAGACGATGTCAGAGTAGAAAGGAGTACTTGACCACGAGGCGCTCCAGACGAAATCATACCAGCAAGCACGGCCATACTAACACTCAGACCTCGCATTCATTCACCGCATCGTCACGACCAGCATGCAGTTCTCCTCGAAATGACAATCGTACGCTAGTCAGTATGTCTGTAAAACGGAAGAGGATGTGCAAAGAAGGGTCCAACGATCCTGAATGGTGTCTGCCGAGATCCGAGTCGAATTTTTCCCCAAAGAGTGGAGGCGACATCCGACGCAGCAACCACGTCTAAGACTTCCCAGCTCTTTACCTCGACCCAGCGTTCAAACGGCAGCAGCATCGGCATCCACTTCCGGCACCCAGACACAAAGAGTTCGATTCAGAGGCGCGAAGAAAGGATGGCTAAAAAGCGATCTGCACCAACCGCAGCGGCGCAAGGGGCCAGTCCGCGCGCTTCCAAGACGAGCAAGAGTGAGATTGACGATATCTTCGGCGGTAGCAGCTCTTCCTCTGCACCAGCTGGTACGGCGGACACACGAAAGGAATCGAGACCTAGCAAGAAACAGCGCACTGCCACGGATGACGCTGAGAAACCCTCCACAAAACGCGAGCCCTCCTCCTCATCGAGCACGAAACCGCAAAAGAAGTCGAGACCGGTTCAGGTCGTCACAGATACCTCTTCCTCTTCCACCGCTACTACCACCACCGCGAAACCAAAAAAGACTGCTCCAGCGAAGAATGCGGACATAGATTCGTTCACAGACAGCCGTGGCATCTCCGGCGATCGCAAACGCACCGAAGAGGGTTACAAGATCTACACGGTTGCAGAGCTCGGGTTGAGAGAAGACGATGAGGGCGGGGATACGCCAGATTGCCCGTTCGATTGTCAGTGCTGTAAGTACAACTCTCGAGACTGGGCCCAGAGAGACATCGAGATCGATTACTAACGGATCTGCGTCTTGAACAACGTCCATACAGGTTTCTGAACCGAAACGGTCGAGCCGTCAAGATCAAACATGGCTTTAGATGCGACAGAATGCTACCGACGAATGGTCGATGAGCACATCTGCAACTGCCGCTGAGGCTACCCATTGATCGAAAGAAAGAAAAGGTGTGTTTCGCAAATGTGATGAGGGTTGAGATTCTGAGCGTGGGCCATGTGTGCAACTCTGAGTGACGCAGCTCAAAGGACGCCGCTTCTCGATCGGACCACTCTCAGACCGCTATTCAAGGCACGGTGACCGTGTGACATTCCTCCACCAGGCAAACATGGACTCATTGATAGCAAAACGCTTTTGTACACGCAAGGCTCTTCGCCAACGTCAACGTCTGATTGCAGATTGCAGCAGTTTTACCTTCACTTGCCCGCCTCCTCCTCGTCTTTTCCCTCTCCACCCTCCGTCGCCGCCCTACCGATCCCCATCCCCACTCTAACCAAAGTTTCTATCGCCGCTTTGCCATTATCCAGCAGATCTTGATCCCACCTCACCCTGCCCCTCTCAAACACCAGCACGATCGTACTGCCCCCAAACTTAAAGTACCCAAACTCATCGCCCCTCCTGACCTCGCTCCCTTCCTCTACTGTCAACACCGTCGAGCCTACCATCATCGCTCCGATGCACACCGCGTAGAATCTGCCAAACTCTTTACTGTCGAAGGGCACGACCACGCGGATGTTTTCGCCGTACACGTCGATCGCCGAACGGATGGCCATGGGGTTGACCGTGTAGTACTGACCAGTGATCCACGTGGGTTTACCTACGGTGGCGTCGGCGGGACAGTGGAAGCGGTGGTAGTCCTGGGGTGCCAGCCGAAAAATGGCCAGCGCACCGCCGTTCTGGTAAGCGTCAAGGTTGGAGGGAGCTGCATCGCCGAGCAAGCGTTTGATGCTGAAGCCGCGGCCTTTGATCCACACCTTCATCGCTTCGTCCACCGTCTCGAACGCCATCATCCTGCAGTCCGCGCCGCTGACCAACCTCCCCGCATTCGCCGGTTCCTCATTCGGTCTCGCTCCCACCTTCAACTTGCGATAGAAAAATTCGTTGAACGTCTTGAAAGTATCCAACGGATCCCTGATCTCCTCCACGTTCAGATTGTGGAACGCCACAAACCCAGCGATCTCCCTCACACTCGACGCGCTATCAAACTTCCTTCCTTGCTTGACACTCATGTTGCGGAGCATCTTCCTCACCCTCGCACCCTCCATCCTCGACCTCGCTCCCTTGTACAGCAGCCGGATGCCCAATCGCACGTACACCTGCATCTTTTCCTCCATCAGCTCGCCCGAAGTGCGATCCTGGACGATGATGTTGGCGCTGTTGGCGCCGAGCGAGTAGTCGCCCTGGGAGATCTTGTTGACGACTTTGGTGTACCACTTGCGGTGCGCTTGCGAGGCGGTGACGTAGTTGCGTACGGTGAGCGATTCGACCCGCCGCCAGTCCTGCGAGGCGCACACGGCGAGGTGCGTGATGATGTCCATCTCACCCTTTGAGGACAGGCGCGGGAGGTGGCAGAGTGGGCATGATTGCAGGCGCACGACGCGTTCGGGTGTCGATGCATCAAAATACGAGGAGGAGGAAGATGCGATATTGATCTGGGGTGGGGTAGGGGAGGTCGAGAGGTGGCCGGAGCTCGAGGTGCTGGTGGCGTGCAGGTGTGTCGAGGGTTGGCTTCCGTTGGCTGCGTGGGACGAAGAGTCGGTCGACGAGGTCATAGAGACGGTGGAAAAGTCGCGGTCGAGGGATCGCAGCATGCCGCTCGCTCCTGCTACATCGCCATCGCCGCCATTCGCAGCCGCCTCTGGAGCGACCAGGTCTTCGGCTCCAACGACGGCTGCGGGTGCATCAGCTCCACTGAAGTCCATATCCTGATTCACATCGCTCCCGACATCACCTACCCCACCCAACAACGACGGGGTCTGCGTGCCGCTGTTGAAGCTCGATTGGCGCCCCTCCTTTCTTTTCAAATCCCACGGCTTTTGCACCTCTGCCTCCAACGCCACAATGGTCTCATCGAAAGTCAATTCGTCCTCTTCCGGATTCTTGTCGACCGCCAAGAAAAAGCTGTCGAGCGTCTTTGTGCTGAGCGTGCTTCCAAGGCTATCGAGCATGCTCGAGAGCTCGAGGCGCGAGAGGGCGCCGCTGTCGTTGGTGTCAAACTGCTGGGCGAGTTGCTTCCAGAACTTTTGGCGGAGTGCGTCGTAGGGCGTAAACTTGGCTTGGATGGTGAGCGTGGGTCGTTTGCTTTTGAACTTGGCCTCTTCGTCCTTTTCTACTCGCGACAGCGGCAGGACGAACTCCTTCATAGAGTTCGCAAACCCTTCATCCTCGATCTTGTACAGTCCCGTCTCGGCATCCGGTTTGGGCGCGGCATCCACCAGATCAGCAATCGAGATGTAGGCACCACCCACATAGTCGTTGGACGACATTCGGTCCCAGTCGTAGATCATGAACTTGGTCTGGAAGTTGGTCTCGTGTCGACGAACGTGGAAGAGCAGCTTCTCGTTCCACGTCGGATTGAGCGTATGGCGGGCGACGCGCGTTCGGAAGATCTTTTGGCCAAAGCTGATGATGGCAAAGGGATCCATGTCGAACCCGGTGCGTGTCATGTTGGACCATCGGGGCAGTTCCGCAGCGCCCTTGACTTCCATCATGACGATGCCGATGATGTCCATGCCCATACCAGCTTTGAATGCGTACTCGCCTCGTTTGCGCCGATTGTTGCGGCGGGCACGTCGACGATCGCCGCCATCACCCCGGCGTTGAGTGCGACGAGGAGCTGCTGGTTCGGAGGGTACACCCGATCCATCGACGGCGGAAGGGGGCAGGGCGGCACTGGATTTGAGACGTCTTACACCGGGCAGACGCCGTCTTGTGCGCGGCTTCGAACCTGTGGCTGAAGCGGACTCTATAGGGGTTGCTGCGTGAGAAGCGTCGAGATCGTAAGCAGCTCCAGCATCGAGAGGAGTAGCAGCGCCCGACGCTGAGGCGGATTTGGGGATCTTGTTGCGAGAAAACATGCGCCGGTACTTGCCGGGTGCTGATTGGGACGCTGGTGGTGGGGTTAGAAGCGTCGCTGGCTGCGAGGTTTGGGAGTCAGGGGCTGCTCCACCAGCAATGGTGTGGTAATGCTGATCGTAGACGGCTTCGTCGTCCGTCTCGAATTCTAGACCGTCGTTGAGATCGCTGGGACCGCCATCGGATACATCCAGAAGGTCATCGTCCTCTTCTTCGTCCTCTTCATCATCGTCTTCGTCATCATCGTCATCGTCGTCGTCGTCATCTTCATCTTCATCGTCATCCGTATCGCTGCTGAGACCATCGTCGACAAATGCTTCCGTGGCTCCCGTAGTGCCGACTGATTGAGAGGCAGGAATGGCACGGACCGCAGCGCCTTGCGTGCCGAGCGCGGCCAAGACGAGTCGATTGTAGAGCTCGTCGACGGTCCATGATTGGGGACCGGCAGATGCAGCAGCATCGATCGGAACAAAGCCTACTTTGACCTGCAGCTCTCCGCTGATCTTTGCGCTGGGGTGGGACGATTCGACGGGCAGCCAGAGCGACTGGGCTTTGGACCATTCAGCGAGGCCATCCCTACACCATGAGCTGACGGGAAGCGAACACTCGCCCATGTAATCGTTGCCTGAGAAACGATCCTTATCCCAGATGACGAACTCGAGTGAAGAGACCATACCGTTGCTTGCGTCGAGCTGTATGGATCCACGCGGCGGTTTTGTGGCGTCCTGGAGCGATGCGGTCGAGTTGGAGAGCGGGTCGGTGGGTGGACGCGCTCGTCGACGGAGAAGCATGGGCCGCGGCATCTGTCTGCCGACCACTCGAGCACCTGCCGCGCCCAGCTTGACGGGAGCGACGAGGATCCTGGAGGCAGCGCCCGAGATCTTTTTGGTCGAGGCGGATCGAAGACCGAGACGAGGACGAGATTTGGCGGTGGCGGAAGATGTTGCAGCTGCGGCAGCCGCCTCTGGTGAGAGCGAGCTTGATTCGGCATCGGTCTGAGAGGCATCGGTGATGGCTTGGCGGATGGCAGCACGCACCGCCTTTGAATCGATATCCTGACTGGCTACCGCAGCAAAGTGAGGTCCGAACCAGTCTGGGACGACGGGGAACTCGAACGTGGCTTCGTCTGGCCTCCATACGGGGTCGAGCGTCTTTGGCTTGACGGCAGTGTGGGTGGGCGGTGCAGCTGCATGGTGAGAGGCGGCGGTGGAGCCTGGCAAGCTGATGGTGACAAAGGGATCTGACTTGCCGTTACGATCTTTGGGAGCCAAGCCTCTGGCGGAAAGCACCTGGACGCGGAGGGTACACAACGGCGTCGAGGATGACGAGCTTGACGAAGCAGGAGGTGGAGATGGCGAGTCGTGCGTCGTCATAGCGCCAGGGATAGCCTGTGGATGATGGAACAGTGCTCTGGGTTGTGGTGAAAAGGGAAGCTGCGACGCTTTGACGGACGCGGTCGCTCCCGTTGTCGTTATGTGTCGCAAAGGAACAAGAGGGACTAGGACCGAGGCCAAAGGAATGCTGATGGCTTGTGCGACTCGCGGCTATGCGAGCCTTGACGGAGTGCTGATCCGAGCGTGGGAAACGACATCGACGCTGAGCTGCCCTTTTTCTTTGTTTCTTTTTTGTTTCTCCACAAAGTCACACTGTACCACCATGCAGCATACACTTCACACACGCTTCGTCCGCTCGTCCCCTTTAGGATATCGGCGCAGCTCCGTCTGATGTTCCGCGCGCTCACTCTCTGGTATTGTCTCCTCAAAGACTGAGCTTTGGGCCGACCGACGAAGGAAGCAGCTCAGCAACTGCCGACAGGATGAGGCCTTGCGAGGTAGCGGTCAGTGGCAGCACATACTGCAGGTGAAGCTGTGCTTATCATTGCCGCGGTGTTGCGGAAGGGAGGAGCCGAATCTGCGGGCCTTTTTTTTGCATGTGTTGCTCTCCACAGAGGAACACCGCCGACACGCAAGGGCTGGAGGGACGCGATCTGCAAGCCCAGACGAAGCGAGCCAGATGTCACAGCCTAGGCAAAAGCGATGCGAACCTGCCTTCCGAATCCGCGCGGTAACGTCAAATTTAATGACTTGCTCTTCAAGAAGCAAAATCAGCTCTAACATTGTGGAGGAATCGCCGACTCTCGGAACCGAATCTCGACACTCAGCTTGTTCCGCAAACGGTCGTTTACGGGAAACTTCGCCTGTGCTACAGTTCTTCTAGCAAGCCGTGCGAGTGTGTTTTGTGAATTTGCCACGGCTGTTCGCTTTCAATCATCTCTCTGCAATTCAGCCGCGATCGACGTCAACATCAGCTCTTGATCACGATCACACCCACTCGCATCCCACTTCGCATCTCCTTTCCAACGAGATACAGCAAATATGGCAGGACCAGCAGCTCAAGCAGCCAAGAACAAGGCTCGTCAGATCTTCATGAAGAACTGGTGCGTATCAAGGTTCGATGCGAGGGCTCAACCCGACCTGGATGGGGACTGGAGGAAGGATCCGCGATGATGTAGAAGATGTAATATAGGAGGAACGGGGAGCTCATCGCTCGAGCATATTGAAGGATGTAGAGAAGATGGGGAAGCCTCGATTCACATTGGAGTGGCTCGACTGACACTGTATGCCACTCACTCATTCACGACACGACACAGGTACGCCCCCGAAGTTCTTCCCATTTACGTTATCACTGGTCTCGCTGCCGGTGGTGCCACCTGGTAAGTCCAATTCAAACACAAATATTCCCTTCAGACGGCAGCATCGCAGCAGTCAAGCAGGCATCAGAATCAAACGAGCGATTGCCAGGGGTGCATATCACGTCGACTCCTCTCCGAATTATGGACCAAGCAGGCAACAGCGGAAGAGGTTGGAAGCCGATGCGAACTCAACGCCTATCATACACAAACGTAGTCCTACGATTGCTGTCTATCGGAAGCACATGCGAAGAATCTCATCGGCTCGACCTGGTGGACACCCTTCAAAGCAGCGACGCCACGCATGTCTACAGATCTCGACTCTTCAACTCGTTTTGTCAAATTGACCGCTGCCTGCCTGATCGCTCGCCCTCCATGCCGCCTCGCTTCTCAACCCGCCTTCCCTGCCCTTGACAAAGATCATGCATACTAACATCTCTTCCTCCACCTCATCGTCTCTGTCTCCACTTTTGCGCGGCTTTGCAGGTACCTGAGCCGCCTCGCGCGCGGACCAGACGTCATCTGGGACCGAAAGAACAACCCCACACCCTGGAACAACGTCGAACCAGGCACCAACACCAAGATGATGAGCGTCAACCAGCAGTTTGACAAGCAGTACAAGCGCGATCGTCTTTAGAGGACGGATTCGCGTCCGTGCTGTATTGTTGATTTCGCCCTTTTCCATCGCAAATTCATGTTTGGATCAATCCCATCTCATCGGTGCAGCATCGAATGTCTGTGGAAGTCGATGTGAGGGGCAGGCAAGGTTGGTAGGCGATCACAGCTGGAGCAACGACAACTTCTAATGAAATTGGAAAAAGAAAGAAACACTATACAATCGAAATCTCGGAAGGGGGCCGGAACTCTAGAACCAATCGCCGTGCTGCTTCATGGCATCAGCGACCTTTTTGAAACCTGCAATGTTGGCGCCGCCTACCAAGCTGGGCAGCTTGTCGGCCACCTTGTCATTCTTGGCAGGGAACTTGCTACCGGTCTTGAAGCAGTTGTCGTAGGCGTTCTTCATGATGTCCTTCAACTTGCCGTCGACCTCTTCGGGCGACCAGGTGAGTCGGGCCGAGTTTTGGGCCATCTCGAGACCGGAGACGGCTACACCGCCAGAGTTGGCCGCTTTGCCCGGACCGTACCAGCAGGCAGAGTCGGGGTTGGAAAGGCGGGATGCTTCGAATACGTCGATGGCGGCTTGATCGAGACCCATGTTGGATCCTTCGGCGACGTAACGGCAGCCGGCGGAGATAGCAGCCTTGGCTTCGTCCTCATTCAGCTCGTTCTGCGTGGCACAGGGGAGGGCGACGTCGTACTTGGAGACCAGCTTCCAGGGTCGTGCGCCAGAGTGCCATTCGAGAGCACCCGATGCGTTGCCGTACGATTCCAGCTCTCCGCGGTTGTACTTGATCTCGGCGATCTTTTGGATCATCTCGGCGGTGAAACCCTTGCCGTCCTTGGAGACGAGGGATCCCTTGGAGTCGGAGAGCGTCAGAACCGTTCCTCCGAGTTCCAGGATTTTGAGCGCAGCGTATTGAGCGACGTTGCCCGAACCAGAGATGACGCACTTCTTGCCCTTGAAGCCGTTGGTGGCCTGTTCGACGTGGTTGATCATGTGTTCGACGTAGTAGATGAGACCGTAGCCGGTTGCTTCGGGACGGATGTTGGATCCACCCCAGTCGAGAGCCTTACCGGTGATGACACCGGTCCATTCGTTTCGCAGCTGCTTGTAGGTTCCGAACACGAAACCGGCTTCTCGGGTGGAGAAACCAATGTCACCGGCGGGGACGTCGGTGTTGGGACCAATGTGACGCTGCAGCTCGGTAGCGAAAGCCTTGCAGAATCGCCTCACCTCTGCATCGCTCTTGCCCTTGGGGTTGAAGTCGGAACCTCCTTTACCTCCACCAATGTTGAGACCGGTCAAGGCGTTCTTGAAGATCTGCTCGAAACCGAGGAACTTGAGAACGGACAGGTTGACGGTCTCGTGCAGACGAAGACCACCCTTGTAAGGACCGAGAGCGGAGTTGAACTGGACACGGTATCCGCGATTGACCTGGGACTGGTGCTTGTCGTCTTCCCAGACGACGCGGAACTGGATGATGCGTTCGGGGATCTGGATGATCTCGAACGCCTTGTTGTACTCCGGGTTCTGCTCGAGGAAGGGCGCGAGCGTCGTGGCGAGCTCGTTGCGAGCCTGCTCGAACTCGGGTTCAGAGGGAAGGTTGGACATGATGGGAAGTGAGTGGATGAGGATGGGTGTGTGTTTACGGAGGGGCTGTAAAGGGGTGACACGACGTTACGATGATATTCAGACAGCTACTTATATTGTCTACCGTCTCGGGCAGGAAGCATACACTCTGTGGTCAACTTTTTTTTCCGCTTCAATTGGCCCGTGAGATCGATTGCGGAGGCCTCTTGTCGAACAAAGCTTCGCTTCTCGCAGCAGGTGGAGGGAGGCTCAGCGCAGCGCACTGGATCAAGCTTTCAGACGTGAGTCACACGGCGGAACCCGCACAGCGCAGAGTGGGGGGAAAAGATGGAGCTTGACGGGATTGACAGTTGGTCTATGCACGATTAACGCCGATTACGACAGCAGAGCCAAAGGGAGAAAACGGGAACCCACCCGACACACGGCGAACGGCGAGCAGATCATCTCTTTATCGGCCAATCCGCCCACATGGAGTTGTCGCTCTCGCAGATGGGCAGATGAGAAGAAGTGGAAAAAGAGCGCGAGGTGGAGGAGCCGATAGCGAAGAGATGTGATTCGTCGATTGACGTGCAAAGATAAGAAATGCAACCAAGAAAATCTTGCATGAGTGTCGAAAAGATGTCATTTTTCAGGCCAGCCGAGGTGCAATCGACTACAGTGGGAGGCACATCCGCACAATATGGCAGGGCGTGGCGGATCTTCTATTTTTTTGTTCGCACCGAACCGAGATGAGAGGACCGTCGGTCGGCCTTTTCCAATCATCATCTTCGTCGTCGCATGACAGAATCGAGTCGCAGGCAAGAACCGCAAACTCGGCTTTGCAATTGCAAATGTTAGAAGTCCGTCGATGGAGATGGCTAGCATTATGAAGTTCAAGTCAATTCTGGCTCGCTGATCTCGTCATCAGTAAGGCCATCCTCTTCCTTGAGCTTGAGCCAAAAAGACGCCGATCTTCGGACCGAAGTCAAGAAGATCGTCTTGTGGTTGGTCGTTCATCTTGCAGATCCGCTTTGTGCCGCTGGTCTGAAAGACAATGCGACTCTGCTTCAGAAACAATGACTCCGGCTGTTCAGCTCTATCGACAAAGGGATAGCACAGTGATGCATTATCAGATCCGAGTGTGATTCTCCCCGCGCGTCGGTCCTTTGGTCGGAATGACAGACGCAAGACCCATTGCGATCTTCAAAGTCAGCACGTATGCACTGAGATCGCTTTCTACCGCCTGACCGGCTGAAGAAGTCGCACTCGCTCTTGTCCGTACTCCGGTTTTATCCATACCAATTCCGCAACCATCAGCGACGTCGAAAATCGTCACGAAAATTGAGGCGTCGAAAAAGGATACAAAGATACACTTTCTTGCAAACAATAGCGATCTCACATCCATCTACAGCTCGCAAATGGTCAATCCGTGATTCGTCGACGGCTATCAAATTTGGCTGCAGGTGCAGTCGAAAAGTGTGTGCGGTGCGGGTTCAGCTGTGGCGAGACTGGAATTTCAAGCCTTTCCGCTTCCGCCAGACAATTCACCGAGCTTGATCCCGGAACTCAGCTTCATGTGGAAATAGAGCTCACCCTGCTCGTCGTTCATCTTGCTCCTCCTCGACACACATCGTCCTCCAACAACAACGAAACGAGGTCGACACACAACCGACCGCTCCTACCTGAAGATGGCATTCTCCGGTGCGTTGACCTTGACGGATCTCAACGACTACCTCGGCCCATCTCAGGCGTGCATCAAACCAGTCGAAGGCGCCGATGCCCCATCACAAGATCAGCCTGGAACATCCGAACAGACCCTCGACCCAGCTGCATCAGCCTCCACACAGATCGCGATCGATCACGATGGCTCTTACTACGAGTCATCGGCAGCGCCACCGTTGTCTTCGTCAGCAACCGCCGACAAGCCTCGTCAACGCACAAAGCTCGAAACCGCAGAGATATCGCTCAACGACTGTTTGGCGTGCAGCGGCTGCGTGACGAGTGCAGAGAGCGTCCTCATCACAATGCAGAGTCAGGATGAAATGCGGAGAGCCATCGCAGAGATCAACGACTCGAACGCACCGAACAAGCTCCTCGTCGCCTCCATCAGCACACAATCGCTCGCGTCTCTCTCCGCAAAGTATGCTTTCCAGCAACAGCAGCAGCAGCCTCAGCAGTCGAAAGCAACAACATCATCAATACCATCGACGTCGTCTGCGTCCAGTATCCCGCTCCGAGTATTGCTCCATCGCATCTCATACTTTCTCGAAACCGTCTTTGGCTTTCATCACGTCTACGATACCACCTTCGCTCGCCACATTGCTCTCAAGGAGCACCAGCGTGAGTTCTTCGAGCGCCGCGACAACACCCGCAGACGCGCTCACAACGACGACCCATCGCAAGGATCAAGCCTGCCCATGCTCGCCAGCGCCTGTCCAGGTTGGATCTGTTACGCCGAAAAGACCCATGGCGAGCTGCTACCCTACATCTCCACCACAAAGTCGCCGCAGCAGGTCGCTGGCGTCATCGCAAAGCGCTTTCTTCCACAGAGGCTAGGCCTGCTCAGTACGTCGTCTTCCGATCAGTCTACCATCTACCACGTCACCGTCATGCCGTGTTACGACAAGAAGCTAGAAGCATCTCGACCCGACTTTTACGACGACGTCACCAGCACAAAGGAGGTCGACTGCGTACTCACCACTGGCGAGCTCGACAAGCTCATGCTCGACGAAGGCTTCGACATTTGTGCTCCCGTTCCTGGCGAGCAAGAGGCTTTGCAACAGTCTATCGCTGATCTCAGTCTTCAGAAGGCGCTCAGTGTCACAAACGCAGACGCTGCTGCTGACAAAGTCTCGATTCTGCCCCGCTTTCCGCAGCTTCTCGATCAACCGGGAAGCAGCAGCGGCGGATACCTCTTCATGCTCATGCGTGCCGTATGGTTGGACTGGATCAGTCAGCATTGGGAGCAGTTCCCGCAGTCGATACGCGATCAGGGGGTTCTGCCTAAACTCGACGTTCGCGTCATTCGCACCGTCGACTTTACCGAGTACGTCCTTCGTGCGCCAATGCAGCTCGGAACGGCCCAAGGCTCCACGATCTTGTTCAGAGGTGCGCAGTGTTACGGTTTCCGCAATCTGCAGAACCTGGTGCGCAAGTTGCAGAAGCAGACGGGAGCGCGCAATGCTAAGGGAGCAGCGGGGAGGTTGGTCGACGCAGATGGGAACGCGCTTTCTGCAGCAGGAAGAGGCAGAGCGAGGGGGAGAGGCAGAGGCGGTATGGTCAGAAGGGGAAGAGGTGGTGCAGTCGCAGCAGCAGCGGCAGCGGGAGCGGCTGCGAAGAGCAGTCCACTTAATCCCGATGCCGATGCTGCCCCAGTGCAGATCAGTGCAGCGCAGGAGGAGGATGAAAGAGGCTACGACTATGTCGAGGTCATGGCTTGTCCTTCGGGGTGCGTTAATGGAGGTGGACAGATCAGGCCGCCTACGCAGTCCGAGATCGAGGGAGCGACAAACGGTACGTCTACCGGGGATACCGATCCGGAGGGGTACGCAAGGGGAGGATGGATCGAGGACCAAAGCAAGGGCAATGACGACTTCGACTATATGCTCAACAACAAGACCTGCTCCAAGAAGGCGGACGATGTCGAGATGGAGCAAGAAAAGCCAATGCAGGGTTGGCAGGGTACGAGCAAGGAATGGGTGCGTAGGGTGGAAGAGGCGTACTGGCAGGAATCGAGTGTAGCTCATACTCCGGTCACTGTTGCAGCCGTCCAAGGTGGTGGTGACGATTCGGGGGCGACGACGCCGACGCTGGTGGGCAGTGGTGTCAACACACCGCTATCGAGTGGGAATGCCAAGTCGATCCGTGTGGAGGACCATCAGCGGTTGTTGGAGGCACTGGCCATGGAGAAACAAGGGAGGACTAAGCATGGCCAAAAGGACGGGAAATTGGAGGTGGAAGGTCAAACGGCGTTTGTGGGGGGCGATACGATGGCGTACGCTGACGTTTTGGCCGAGTTGGTTGTCGAGGAGCTGTGTACGCTCGCTGCCTCGGAGGGACGTAGCGACCCTGCTACATCAAGATCAGATGAGAAGGTGAGGGCTAAGCTGTTCAGGACGCAGTACAGGGCGGTCCAGGATGAAGCGGTCAATGGGCTCGCTGTCCAGTGGTAGACGGCCGGACTTGCTGTCAACGGTACAGTCATCGTGCCTGTTATCGATAGGTCAAATTTTCACAGCCTCAGGAACGGCTCTCACCGGCAGGGCAGACCACTATACATCAGCTCTGTTCAAACGTATGAAACGTCATCAATGTGACCTGCGATGAAGCGGGACCATCTTGCAGCCTGATTCTGTTGAGCGCATTGGGAGAAAGCAATTGATCCCCAGCAACACGACCAAGACCCATCTGGCTAGGAGGAGGAGGAGGAGGAGGAGGAGGAGGAGGAGGTGGAAAGAGGTCACGAAGGAGGAGGAGGAGGATGAAGGAGGTCACGACTACATCGAGTCGTGACTTGTCCTTCGTAAGATCTCGATTGTTGTGGACAGCTCAGGCCGCTTACGCAGTCGGAGTTGGAGGAAATGTCGAATGATGCAGCCGCCCAAGGTCTCTTGATCGGTGCAAAAGCTCAATGTGGGAGACCAGCTGATCGTCGATGGCAAAAGCGATCGCTAGTGTGGGAAGGAACCGCTAAGCAGCCTTCCCGAGACAAGACAAACAATACAGCGGACTTTCTGAACCGATCGAGCCTTCGTTCAGAAGCACAGCGCTTGATTCGGAAAATGGCTCGCATCGAAATCGAAAAGAACGATAGCGACGACCTCAGGCGAATCCCATCGTGCCGTCCTCGGCTATTTGCTTTTCCGATGTTCGAGGAGGCTTCGTCTGGATCCGAGTCTTCGAGCTTCAATACAATACAAAGTACCGCCAAGATGCAACTGTACTGCAACTATAGTCTCGTTTGCGCATGCAAACAGTTGCATTAGTCGCTGCCATACCATGCGAGTTTGAGAGAATGATTTGCCCCTGACTCAGACTGCAAACACGCTGGAGTCGATGGGACACGGTGGCGGAGCAACATCAGCAGCGGCAGCAACACAGTGTACGTAAAATCTGCGCCAAGGTAAGGCTAACGGACGCCCGTGTCTCACATTTGCTTCTCAACTACAGCTTGCTTCGCTTGGCTGCTTTAATTTGTTTGTTTGTTTGTTCGAGACTCCAGCTTTGGGCGTGTATTTGCTCGAGAGCGGAGTATCAAAGGGGCATCAAACCGGACCAATGGCCTCGGTAAGAGGTAAATTCGGCTTTGCTTTCTCCGCCTCGCTTACCGAACATGGTTGTTTCCACGGTACTGGGTTCGCCTTGAACATCATAATGATATCCCGGCAGCCGTCGTTCCCGCTGCAAATTGCAAAGGCATGAATCTCGCTTGAGTAGGCCCTGCAGATCAGGCACTATTCGCACGTCCTCCCCCACGTCCATCACGAGACGGTCGCGCCAGACGTGTCAGTTCTGTCTCGGATTTCGATGCAAGCATGAGACCTCTGATGGTTTGTCATTTGCAGATGATGCTGCGGGTGCTGCTTCCCATCCGAGATGAGACTGCACTGGAATAACTGCGATCCCACGCTTAGTCGACGTCTGTCCTTTGCAGACTAGATTGAAGCGTCTTGCGTCCTGTTTGCCTGCAGAGACTTTTGCCTCGCACTTTGCCAAGGCCGGTACGTGCATAACCGAGCATCTAGTATAGACCATACAGGTGAAACTTATTTGCCATACGGACGCAATCTAGTCAAGAGCCGAGCTTCACGTGCTGCTATTCTCCCGCTTCTTACGCATCAAAGACTAGATTGCTGTTGTGTTCAAGCGATTCGGCTTCAAAGTCGGGCAGAACAGAGGTATGATAGAGCAACAGCGCCGCTCGAGGCTGAGCTGCACAATTTGACAGAGACTACAGGCTAGTGTCCTCGTCATCCCGGGAAGGGGTCCTTCGCATGAAAGAGACCTTGTGTGAGTCGACAAGTCGAGCAGTGTAGTTGCAGGGCAAATATATTAGGTTGATGACGACGACTTGTTCTGTCCCCGCTCGTCACGATACCTTCCGTTGGACAAGAGCGAAGCCTTACAATGTTCGAATCTCTCCTCGAAAGCCTAACTCTAGGCAGCTGCCTTCTCGTCGCACTGGCTTTCAGCCAAGCCGACTCCGTCAAGGGCCAGAACATCGACAACTGCCCCAACGCTGGCTCGACTTACACGTCCAGGAACAAGGTTGGCTTCAACGTATGCCGGCAGACCGACTATGGCGTGGACAACCTGCAAAGCGTCAGTCAAGCCACGCTCAATGCATGTATCGAATGGTGCAGCACCACGCCCGGCTGCATCTACGGTGTCTACGATCCGGTGGCCAAGATGTGCAATTCCAAAGGTTCGCCCTACACTCCCAACTGGAAGTCGGATCCGAGCTTCGATTCGTTCGTCATGACCAGTGCTGGTCTCGATGCACCCGCCACCAAGACCAAGAACGGAAGGTGGAGCGATGTGATCCAGCTCCAGGTGATTCCTGTAGCCGCTTACATGGTACCACAGTTTCCTAGCGTCACCAAATTCCTGGCGTTCTCGTCTTGGAGCCCCTCGACGTTCGGCGGTGCCGCTCAGTACCAGACTGCGTTCCAGAGCTACGACATCACTTCCAACACCCAAAGCAGCTTCATGGTGTCCAACACGATGCACGACATGTTCTGCCCCGGTATCAATTCGCTGGCCGACGGACGTCTCATGATCGATGGAGGCAACACGGACGCCGCAACCACCATCTACGACCCTGCCTCCAATACCTTCAGCCGTGCTGCCGACATGAAAATGGGTCGTGGCTACCAGGCTTCGGTGACGCTCTCAGATGGGCGCGGCTTTACGATCGGTGGGTCTTACACTGGTGGCATTGGGGGCCAGAACGGGGTACCAATGAAGGATGGCGAGGTTTACGATCCTTCCAGCAACCAATGGACCGCTCTGCCTGGTGCACAAGTGGCACCCATGCTTACCACCTACGACAACGCCGGTGCATGGCGCACCGACAATCACGCGTGGTTATGGGCCTGGAGCAGCGGATCGGTGCTGCAGGCGGGACCTAGCAAAAACATGAACTGGTACACCACTTCCGGCAGCGGTGGTGTCACAGCAGCCGGCACACGAAACGCCGCCAATGATCAAATGTGCGGCGTCAACGTCATGTACACCACTGGCAAGATCTTTGGAGCCGGCGGTTCTCAAAGCTACAGCGATGCGCCCGGCCTGAAAGCTGCCCACACCATCACCATCAACGGGGTCAATCAGAATCCTACGGTCCAGCAGCTGCCCGATATGTGGTACGGCCGAATGTACGCCAACGCCGTAGTACTTCCGAACGGGCAAGTTTTCATCTCTGGTGGGCAGACCTACGGAAAGGGGTTCAGCGATACCAACAGCGTCTTGCAGGCAGAGATCTGGGATCCAAAGACCAACAAATTCACTCTGGTGGGTGCCTCTAGCGTTCCTCGCAACTATCACTCTGTGTCGCTTCTGATGCCCGATGGTCGGGTTATGAGCGGTGGTGGTGGACTCTGCTACGTCAACGGGGGCTGCAACGACGCCAATCACCAAGACATGCAATTCTACACGCCACCTTACCTCTTCGACTCTAACGGCAACGCTGCTGTTCGACCCCAAGTTACGACACTGCGATCGAGCCAGCAGAATGGAAACCAAATTCGAGTCTCCCCCGGTGGGACCTTGACGGTGACGTTGAACAGCGTTTCTGGTCTGACCCACGCTTTGGTTCGTCTAGGCTCGGTGACGCATTCCATCAACAGCGATCAGCGCCGTATCCCCTTGACCGTAGTGAGGACCATCGGCAGCACGGTGACGTTGCGAGTGCCCAGCGACAACGGCATTGTTCCACCGGGCTTCTACTACTACTTTGCCGTTGCCTCAAGTGGCTCGCACAGCCTGGGTCTGACGGTCAACGTGCTCAAGGGCTGAGGTTGACGAGCAAACACCGACCCGAAACGCCTTTCACCGTGCAACTAGGATAGACCAACATCACCATTAGATCTCAACTACGCTTGTCACTAGGTCTCGATTACGCTTGTCTTACTTTAGCCATCTCAGATTATGCCACTGAATTTATCCCCGACAGCCTCAATTCCTTTGTACAAGTTTGACAGCCGGATCGATATGGGTATCATGCTTACTTCGCCAGAGGATTATAATGACAGTGCAGAAGGAGCATCGTAGTCACGGAGAAAGCCAAAGAGAATGTCCGAATTCGTGTTTGGATCCGCGGCACCTGCTGGGAAACCGTCCCTGCCCGGCCCTGCTGCCGATTCAAACTGATCGAACGAAGCGAGGATGCTCTCGAAGTCAATCTCGTATGGCGGTGTCATTCCCAGAGCCGAGTTGTCTGCCGGTCCACCACCGCCACCACCGAGTCGATTCAATGCTGTTGCTGTAGCACCGCCTCCGGTCGCTGATGGTGCGGTCATCGAAGCCGAGGATGATAGAGTCGCCATCGACAATGCGTTTCCGTGTCGACCGACGGCTTCGTTTCCACTCGTAATTCCAGAACTCGATATACCGACGCCTTGACCATTTCCCTGACCACCAGAACCACTCGTCGTAGGACTCTCATCCTGATTCATCGGCGACAAGCCACCTTCCTCTCCATCGTCCTGAATCAGCTCCAGGATGCCCGCCCTCTCCGCCATGTTCCTGATCACGCTCTTTGCCTTTACCACACCAGGATTGGGATCTTGATTCTCCTCGAAATCCTGGAGACACTGTCGCAGGGCTTTGAGCTCGTACCTTCGACTGGAAGCAGCAGCCGTGTTCGCGGCCGCTTCTCCACTGGTGTTGTTGGACTGCTGCAGCTGCGCTGCTACTCGGACGTGAATGCCGGCTGCGCAAAAGTTGATGTACGAGATGAGCTGGGGTGCACCTTTCATGCTGACCGTCTGTCGGTAGAGGTTCATGAGGCTCGAAATGCTGGATGCTGCGTCGACGCATGCCTTCCAGGCCGACCTTCCGGATGCCGCATCGTCGCTGCGAAGGTGGCCGTGCGGCAAAAAAGGTCGATTGAGCAGGATGGTCAGCGCATGGTACAGCGCATGCAATGAGATGAGGTTGGGCGGGCAGGTGCGAGATCGCTGGCCACCGCCACCGTTTCGGCTTGCTGGCGAGTTCGAGTCGATTCGCAAGTGCGCAGGTAACGACGTACGCCAAGAAGCCAGCTCGGACCGCATGCCGATCAGATGCTCTGTCTGCGCCCGCTCGGATCGCGCACCACTATCGATCGAGTAGAAGATCTGGATGATCTTTTCCATGATCACCGTCAGCCTGCACAGCTCGGCAAAAGTCGAGACGCTATAGATAGGGCCCGTGTATCCAGTAGGTGCCACGCCGTTGTTACCTCTCGCCGACGACCCTTGGCCTCCAGCAGCTTCTCGCAACGGTCGGTGAAAGGCGACAGGTGTCCAGAACTCGGTTTCTTCGAAATGATCGTGGAACTCGATCGGAACGTACAGATTGCGTCGTTCGATTGAAGCCTGTCGACCCTGATAAAGCGAATGGATCTTGTCGATCACAAACGCAGCCCACACCACGCGCCGACGCAGCTCGAGCTCCTCCAACGCCATGTTTCCAGAAGCAACGAGCTCGATGCTGTCCTCGTTCATCCCCAGGTCGATGGCCATACGAAATGCCAAGCCGGAATGCAACCAAGCAGCACTCTCGCTACCTCTCGCATAATGTGTGCAGGCCAGCAGAAGCAGCGCTTGAACGGTCGTGATTCGACTCTTGATCAACGCTTCCGGCAGCAGCTGCTGCACCCTCTCCAAAAATTGCTGACCAGCAGTGGAAGGATCGTTGACATCCGACCTGACCTGATGAGTTCGATCCGAAAACTTGGCCGCACCAAACAGAATAGCGTGAAACAGAAGTTTGGAAAAGTACTTGGCTTTGCCCGGAGGAGCAGCCATGTCCCGCATGAACAGAGGTCGATAAGTGACGAGGTAGGCGTGGTGCTGTCGATTCCAATGCAAATTTAGCAGGTGGATGGCGAGTTCCGGTTCTACACCGTCGAAATCGAGCCTGCCAGCTACGCTGTTCATCAGCTCTTGCTGCTTCTCCCTCGCAGCTAGCGACGTCAGTCTGTCGGTGAGCTCGGCTGGGTCCAAGGACAGACGATGATTTTGGCTGTCGTCCCTGGCGTTACCATCTGCTGCTCCATCGACATGAACATGGCCTTGGGCAGCATCAGCTTGCGCATCGACGATCAAAGGTTCGGGCGCACTGAAGGAAGCGCTGGTAGGACCATGGTATCGCGACTCGCCCCTGTTGTTGACGCGAAGATTCGACATGACTCCCCGAGTACCATGCTGACTGGGAGAAGCGGATGACGCGGCACGATCGGAACGGGCGATGGAATGTCTCGGGTTGCCGAGGTCTGCGATGATGTTGGCGACTGCCGAGGAGGTTGGCGAAGTGGGCAGGGGAGACGAGTTGCGGGGCCCCACGCTAGCAGCATGCAGTGTGGACGAGCTGGGTCGGCTTGGTTGAGCCACTGTGCTCGTTCCATGATCGTACGAGGCTTCTTCATCCTCCGAATCATCTGAAAGCGTGTGCGAGTTGGCGACAGTGTGCGTTGCACTAACACCATTCGCAAGTCTTGCAGCCGCTCGGGACGAGTCGAAGCTGCTCTCTGTGCTGCTGTAACGTACATTGCGCGGACCGATTGGCGACGAATGCTGTCTGGCGCTAGCTAGCTGCTCTTCGAGGTGGCGAATGCGGCTTTGTGCCTGATCGAGGGCGGGCGATGCGGTGTTCTTGGGTCGTCTGCCCGGTCGAGCTGGAGCATCCTGAAAGTGGCAGGAGTTGGCCCTGCTATGCTGTTGACACTTGTCACATGGCTGTTCGCCGTTGCAGCGAATCTGACATGACGGTCAAAAGCGGGGGTAACAGCAGGCAAGGTCAGCAAACACTGCTTGACACCAGCGAGCATTGACAACAGTACACGACACGAGAGCAAGGAGGAGGGCGACCAAACTCACCTTTCGACGACGGCAAAAGTCGCAAGCGGTCGAGACGGCCGGCTGACGTCGTGTGGTGCCCGAAGAAGCGGCGGAGGATCCTGTCCGTTCGGAAGGGCGTGGCATTCTGGACGGGCAAGACGTTGATGTGGCATAACGGGAAGACTGACGGATGGCCGAGATGGAGGATTAACCCAAAGCGTTCCGTGTTTTGCGTGAGCTCGCGGAAACGGACATGCAAACTCGGACGGGCCGGAGCAATGCCGGACCAGCGGGACAGGCACATTCGTCCAGTGCGCGGCCGGGGCAAACCCTTTTTTCTTTTGCAGAATCCAACGGAGACAATCGACGGAGCAGCACTCTGTCAGCCAAATAAATGCGGTTGCATACTGCGATTCACGGAGCATTACAATCCAACGGAGCTGTCAAACACGGAATTTGCCTTTGCCGTTTCGCCTCCTACTCCAGCCGGCGGCGTTGCTGTCGTTTCCATGTTATGCTCGTCATCAGATGCTCGTGCCTGGCTGCTTGCATGTGTATGACTTACTCCCGAAAGATCCGTAGTGTGTGTATGTGTGTGTGTGATGCAGCCATAGTACAGTATATATCATCGGGCCTTGAATGCAGCAGTGATGCCAACGACCCCACCTTTGTACTTCGACACAATCATCCCGCGACAAACTCTAGCAATCCCAACCGACGTGTACAAGAATGTTGCTGCAACCCACTTCCAGTCGACACTTCGAAGACTTTCGCCATGTCGAGCCTTCGATCTTGACCAAGAGTGTTCTGCCCGTAGGGTCCGCTTCTGCTGCTGCCGCATCGTCGAGCAAGGCGCCATACTTCGAGCGCCGATCTCTCAACACGGTCATTATGCGAGCAGGCACCTCGAAGGGTCTCTTTATCAAAGCGACCGATTTGCCTGCATCTCGATCAGCCTGGCAGCACATCCTGCCTTCGATCATGGGCAGCCCCGATCCATTCGGTCGTCAACTCAACGGACTCGGCGGTGGTACCTCAACCACATCCAAGATCTGCGTCGTTTCTCAGAGCACTGCTCCCCAAGTTGCCGACGTAGACTACCTCTTCATCCAATGCCCCATCGAAGGCGAAAAGCTCGACTTTACCGGCAACTGCGGAAACATGCTCAGCGGGGTAGGCCCGTTCGCATTTGAAGAAGGTCTCATCCCACCTTCTGTCCTCGCACCACTGGCTGCATTCGCCAAAACCGAGGGCAGCGCTCGCGAGGAAAAGATCGCACTGACGCTTCGCTGTCTCAACAACAACCAGCTCATTCGATCCACTTTCCTCATCCGCAACGGCAAACCTGTAGAATTTGGCGATGTCGTGATCGACGGCGTTGCTGGAACGGGTTCTCCTATCCAGCTCGATTTCTTGGATCCAGCGGGCAGCATGTGTTCCTCGCTCTGCCCTACCGGCAAACCAGTCGATCTCCTCCGTGTTCCAGGCGAAGATCTGCCCATCGAGGTGTCGTGCGTCGATGCAGCCAATCCCTTTGTCTTTGTCCGACTCTCGGACATCGACGACACCCTTCGTGGAGACGAGTCAGCCTCCATCCTCGAACGCCACTCACCCCGCGTCGAACTCATCCGTCAATCCGCTGCCGTCATCATGGGTCTCGCACCCGATCTTGCCACAGCAGCTAAAACCAAAGGAACTCCCAAAATCTGCCTCGTCGCCGATCCCCTGCCCGGATCAGACGCACATGTTCTCTCCCGAAGCTTCAGCATGGGCCGTCCCCATCCCGCACTCCAACTTTCAGGGGGTGTGTGTCTGGCTGCAGCGTGCAGCATTCCCGGAGCGATCCCGAACCAGATTTTGCTGAACAGGCAAAAGATGATGCCGGAGAGGTTGAAGTTCGCACATGCATGTGGAGCTATCGAGGCAACAGCGGATGTCGAGATGGACAGCAGGAGTGAGGTTGGCGTGGTCGTGAGGAGTACGAGTCTGTTCAGGACGGCCAGGAGGGTGGCGAGTGCTGAAGCATATTACCTTTCGCCCACTCAGTAGGTCCCTTTTCAGCGTTGATACTGTTTGACGTACGAATTTCTTCACCATTGCCTACTGTCTTTGTTTGTTCTCTGGCCTGAGCACTGTGAGATGCGATCGAATCTTGTACCGTGATCATTGGCCAGCTGTTCCTCGGCACTGCACTTGTCGTGTTCGAAGGTGACAGGTCGAGCGCTTCCTGACGAAGGTCTTGAGATGCATTTCTACCGAGTCCGACGGCGCACGGCACTCCCTTATTTCATCATTTCAACTTTCAGACACCGGACGGATTCACGAACAAGTGGGTGTACTCCAAAAACGTTCGATTACGCAACGTCACTAGCAAAGACTCTACACAGTAACCGGATTCAACCAACCGATGACAGTCTCGTACGCGGTAAATGCAATGCCACCGCTGAAGATCAACCTAGTCAATCTCGGCGTCGTCCCTTTCCACAGATTCTTGACGCCTTCCTTCTTGACGATATCCACGCCGCAGCTGAGGATGGAGGGCCTTGCTGCCACTGCTGCGTTTGCCGCTGGAGACTGTTGCAACCTGGTCTTTACCACATCAAACGGCATCGTCAGGTACACCGTGATCAACCCGGCACCGGCACCCGATGCGAACGTCGCCACCGTCGATTTGCCATACCCAGCATCCACCTGTACCGCCTTCAAGAGCGAATATGATGTCAACCTCACCGAGGAATTGGCTCCCTGTCTCAATACCGTCGCTCCCAGGCCCCTGTACAGCCCAGCCAGTCCTTCGCTCGCCACGATCTTTTGCACTGCATCGATGGGACCCTTGTACTTGCGCATGTGTGTCGGTTGGAGGGAGTCCTGAATCATACGGGTTTTGATCGCTTCGCTCGGGGTTACGGCTAGCATGGCTTCGGCTGATCCTGCGAGGAATCCGGCGAGAATGGAACGACCCATGGAGAGTTTTTCTTTGGAGGAAGAGGTGGATTTGGGTCGGAGGGCGTTTTGGATCGTGTCGTAGGTGAGGAAACGGACGCCTGCTTTGGCAGAATTTCCTGTCACCATGGCTCCTGCACCGCTGAAGAAGCCGGTGATGCCGCGCGTTCGATAGGTGTCTTTAACGATTTGCATCGCAGATGCGCCTGCGCGTGGGGTCATGGTCGAAGGAGCTGTGGCAGCTGCAGCTGCGGCCATGTTGAGCTTGTGCGCTGGCAGAGCGCCGTACGTAATGTGTCGAACACCACTGGGGATCGTCTTGGACGTCGCAGTGGATTTGAGAGCAGCAGAAGAGGCAGCGTTCGAGGCGAGTTGCGCCTGGGTCTTGACGAACTCGGTGGGGTAGGTCAGGAAGCCTTCGACCGCGCCTGCGATGGTACCAGCCAGCAGCGAGTGCATGGGCGTTGGAGAGACGCGCTTTTCAGTGTTCGACATGGTGTCCAGAAGTGGTCGACAGAGTGTCGACGATGAATGAGACAGAAGAAATTGTTGTGGATAGCAAGGAAAGTGTTGTGGCCGCCGGCTTCGAGACGCGGATTGTTAAATACGACGAGGCTTCGACGGATCTCGCCGTTTCCCGCAAGGAAGTTCCACCTCTTTCGACCCGGCTCTCGACGGAAAAGAAGGTACAACACGCTCAAATTGTGATCTCTGTGGCAAGAAAGCGACGCATCAGCGGCAAAGAATGTCCTTGTGGAGGATGCGTACGATGCATACGGAGAGCTCCGCACGACTGGACCGAAAGGTGAGAAATGGCGGCAATGTTGACACGTCCAACATCGCCCCTGTGTCCCCGCGATGCAGTCGCCGCTACCCTGCGTAACTTCCGACGGAGGATACGGAGGATACGGAGGATGGCTCCGTTTAGGCGGGGCTCCTCGTAGTAACGGACCATTTCGCGCCTCGCTCCGTCGCTTTTTCGTTCGAAACCGACGGGCCAACCTGCCTAGTCAGGGTTGTAGTGCACCAGCACTGTACCATGTGGGGCTCCACTGCCGCTCTGCGCGCGTTCCTCGCGGCTAATCTGCCTTTCCGTATTCGACAAGTCGTTGTCGTTCGCCGAGCCGTTTGGCTCAAACGCCACACGATCCCGCTCCTGTTTCCGCTGGATTGGGCCGCCGAACTTTGACGGCTCTACCTTCCCTTTGCCTCCGTCCCTGACCACAACCATCATTTACACGGAGCGAAACAGACCTCCTCGTCCCACCAATCATGTGGTCATTGTCGAGCCACGCAGGAACACCAGGCTAAACCAAAACTCAAACACACAAACATGTCGTAGCCTTCTCCTTTCGAGGTTTTGCTATAAGACCTGCCCCCGTCATTGCGATTTGTGGGGCCCCCTCTTTCCCCAACTCCATCCCCTCAAGCACCCTTCTTCCCTACCCCTCATCTCTGCAGCAAAATGACGACCGCAGCTTCGGGCAAGAGATGGGTGCCGTCGAAACTTCGACACATCCACGAGGTGCCCTCGCAGGCTCTCAATTGGCGTCTGCTCATGGCCGTGCTCAGCATGGGTTTGCTCGGCGCCAGTCGTGGCATGGACGAAGGCGTCATCTCTGGCTCCATCGGCACATATGCCTTCGAACACGCCTTCAACGTCAAGAAGAAGTCCAACAAGGAGTCCAACATTGTCGCCATGGTTCAGCTCCTCTCGACGCTCGGTGCGCTCGTCGGCTACGCCACTTCGGACCGCTTCGGTCGTGTCATGGCTGGTCGCCTTAGCTGTGTGCTGATCATCATCGGTTCTGCCATGTGGATGGCTAGCGCACACCACATTGCACTGCTGTACATCGGAAGGATGATCACTGGTGTCGGTGTCGGCATCAGTTCGGTATGTTCGCCCGTGTTCTTGGTCGAGACCGCACCGAGACAGATTCGTGGACTGTGCACGTCCGTCTACAGTGTCTCGATCTACCTTGGTGCCATGTTGGGTTACGCCGTCAACCTGGGTGCATCTCGAGGCCAAAACCCTCGCAAGAACCTCATCTGGCAGATCGTCGTTGTGCTGCCCATGGTGTGGCATGCCTTCCTGCTCGCCAGCACATTCTTCCTCCACGAAAGCCCCCGATGGCTCCTCGACCATGGTCACGTCGAGAAAGCAGCACGATCGCTCCAATTCTACCGAAACCTCGACGAAACGCACCCCGCAATGATTGAGGAAACCCAGCTCATGCGCGAATCCATCTCGGACGAACACCGTCTGCAAGCCGAACGAGTCGCTGCTCTCCCTGCCAACTCGCTCCTCCGCAAGTACAAGGCGCTGCACAAGCTTAACATCATCCTCACCTCGCGCAAGAACCTGCTCAAGGTCGGCTTGGGAGTCATGATCCAGGTCCTCGTACAGTTCGGTGGTCCCGGCGCTATCGCCACCTACGCCAACCGCATCATGACTCTAGTTGGAGCAAGCGACAAGAACGGCTACGTCATGTCGGTCGGTTTCGGCGCCACCAAGCTTGGCTGCGGCATCCTGTCGTCCTTCTTCCTCATCGACCTGCTTGGTCGTCGTAAGACCTTGCTGATCGGTGTCGCCATCCAAGGTCTTTCCATGCTGTACGTGTCGATCTTCCTCGGACTCTACGTTCAGGGACACCACACTGTTGGCGAAAAGCACGCAGGTCAAGCTGCGCTCGCAGCCATCTTCATTTCAGGCGCTTCCTTCTCTGCAGGAGGAAACCTGGCTCAGTACCTCGTTGGAACCGAGATTTTCGAGATGAACGTCCGTTCCATCGCATCCTCCCTAGTGATGGCTATGCACTACCTGCTGCAGTTCTCCGCCACCCGCACGCTCCAACCCATGCTGAACTCGCCGATGGGAGGTGCTGGAACCTTCGCGTTCTACGCCGCAGTATCCCTCGTCCTCGCCCTTCCCTTCTACGCCATCTTCCTGCCCGAAACATCCGGTATGCCACTCGAGCAGATCGACCAGGTGTTCGAACGAAGCGTCTGGTCCATGGGAAGGGCGACTAGGAAGATGGCGGATTCCGAGAGCGACGTTTTTGAGACAAAGCAAGGCGTTCTCCCCAAAGTGGGCAAAGGAATGGATAGCGAGAGCGCGTCGAGCAGAGGCACTGATGACGAGGACGAGAAAAAGGTCGATCTCACGGATCAGTTGAGATTGGAGACCCGGTCCTAATGCCTTTCGAGTTTGTTCAAGTATGCATGTATTCTTTTTTGTCATTTGTTGTCACGAAATCGTAACGAGTTGTCAGTCAACGAAACATGAATTCGTGTGCTTCATTCCTCCTCAACGCCGAGCAAACTACCGAACAGGCTGCCGGTGCCGAAATCATCGCCGATTCGGATGCCTTTAGCGCAAACTCATCCGCCTTGACCATGCTACTGTCCCGCTGGCAGCAACCACATGCTATACGTTGTATTTCTCTGGCATCTTTGAGTTTTGAGTCCGTCATATATATCCAGCTGTTTGCTGTCATTGATCGTGTGTGAGAGCCAACGAAGCAGTCACTCATGCAACAGTTCCATCTCCAAGATGAGATGCGCAACCAATGAACCCGTTTCGCAGTGCAACATCAACTACGCTCTGCCGCCCACCGGCAAGGGCACCGTGGACTGGGTGATTGGGGGCATCTTTTGCTCATTCTACTCGGTGATTGCCTACCAGACCTTCCGCGTCTTTCACCGCAAGTCTCCGCTCGCCCTGCCGTGGGTGAGTCTGCTCTTCTTTTCCGGCTTTCGATGCGTCGGCTTCCTCATGCGCGCGTGGGTCGACGACAATCCGGTGCAAGACAGCTGGTCGTATCAGCAAGCCAAGAACTGGGTTGTGCTGTTGACCACCTCGTATTCGATCATTGCGGCGGGCACCACGTTCTTCCTCATCTTTTTGGCGTCGGTGCTCGTGGCGCTGCGACGGGCGAGTCGGGCCACGCGCGACTTCGGCGATGCTTCGTTCAAGTCGACATTCCGCAAGCTCGGATCGCATGCTAGCAACCAAGACGCCGCCGCGATCCTCGACGAAGACGAGTTGCGCGTCCGACGATGGGAGGATCGCGCCATGATGGCCTACCGCATCTTTGTCGTCGCCGTCGCCGCGCTCAACATCGTTGGAGCGCTGCGCCAGTTCGACTACTACTGGCTCAACTACAACCAGGGCCTCACGCTGCGCAAGGTCGGTGGCTTGATGCAGATCGTTGTTTGCGCACTCCTCTTCCTCGCGTTCGTCTACGTGTACTTCCACTATGCATCGCCCAAACCCACCCGACCCGCTTTCCTTCTTTTCGTCTTGAACATCTTGCCCATCTACTTTATCACGCTCATCTTCAACATCCTCCGCGTTCTTCAACCCCTGGACTCTGCCATCAACCAGGACCCCAACTACACGTACTACTTCCAGGTGCTCCCCGATTGCCTCAACCTGTTCTTGCTGCTCATCTTTAATTATGATAGGCTGCTGGACTACTCTGCCGTTCGAGCGGAGTGATTTTTTCTGTACAATCGATCCTTTTGCAATCGTTAAAATGGTACATGCAACGTCGAGCTATCAGAGATGTCGCTTTCGAATCGGCCACATCACCATATGGTACCACAGCAGACACCGCAGGTTGCGCACCAGTCGTTTCAGCCAAAAGTCACCGCCAACCGGCTGCAGGTCAAAGTGCTCCAACGGCTGTTGCCGAGGCAGCGTCGCGATCGCCTTTGCGCGCCCTGGCATCGCCGCCAGCAGTTCTCGAACCGTATTCGCCCGGCACCCCGCCATGCCCTGCGCCGACGCAAACGGATACTCGGATGTCCAGGAGTCGCACTGCGAAGGCCGCTTTGTTCGCCACTTCTGGGTTGAAAAGGACCCCATCAAGGAGGACCACGTCAAAATCATTTTGAACGCCATCATCTGGCGCATCTTTTACGAGAATTCGCTCGGTGTGATCCTCTGCCAGATCGAGGGCGTCATGGAACGATATCGAGCGCACGACGTCACTGCGTAACCCCGATATTGTAACGACGCATCGCCCATGTAACACTATACAGTACGCCACAGATGATACTTCGATCGCCTCCTGAGACCGATGGTTGCGCTTGTTTTCTCTTGGTGCCGAATCGCACCGCTATCTGCAGCTCGTTACGGACGAGGCGTGTATCTATGTACAAACGACGAGAGCTGGTTGAACCTCTCACTTTCAATGACGTCTATCGGGATTAGCTGTTATTTGACGGATGGGTGGTGCAACGGTAGCGCTTCTGTAGGGTCGTTTACTGTTTTGTCTGCCACAAAATTCTCCTAAAACCCTGGGTACGAGAACTGCATTCCGGTCAGGGAAGCGGCTGTTGCGTTCTTTGTACTGTTTGCCTGGCCAAACGAAAAGGATACTGAGAGCAGCGAGCCTGCGGAACCCGAACCCGAGCTGGCTGTGTAAGCAAAGACACAGGCTTTCGTCAACACAAGTAGAACCAACAAAAAGCACCAAATTAGCGAACTCCTGCCTTGCGACTTAGGGTTAGGGTTAGGGTTAGGGTTAGGGTTAGGGTTAGGGTTAGGGTTAGGGTTA